ATTGACTATGATTGGAGGTTTGAAGGCATCATCACTGGTAGACTGGCCGTGGTTTGCGCAATTGAAAGATGTTACTTATCTTCAGGTGGGGTTGGATTTACTCTATCTACCTACATGTAGTTTAGACAGGCCCAGCCAGCCGATTACGTCTACAGAATCCTACGAGCAGCCTCCTATTCCGCTCAAATCATTAGCCATCTCGCATTTCAAAGACGTTGCAATCCTTTGGGGCGGTGGAAATGTCAGTCATAGCGACATATATGACCAGAACTACAGAACATTCCCAAACGCATTTTTTAGTCATGATCAAGATTGTCACTGCAAGCTGGGCAACAAAGTGAGGCTAATCAGGTTTACTGATTGATTTGATACAACCGATGGATGCTGCAGATAAATACATCGAATCTATGCGTGATCGAGAGACCTCGAGAGACCTCTGCTCATCTCAACCCGAGGTATCACAAGAATCACACGAGTGCACGGCCCCGGAGGCGATACGCTCATGAGAAGTTAATCCGCGTCAATGTCAAATAGATATCTAGTGCGCCGCAACAGCAATCTTCTGGTCAGCAGCAACGGCACCGTCAAAGTGGTACAGAGGCTCTAGTCTGGCGCCCTTCTTCATGAGAATGTAACGCTTGAACCACCATGGCAAAGCTTTGGTGATCTGGTACTTGGCGTGGACCCGAGTGGGCACGGCGAAGACGTAATCTAATTCTTCAAGCGTGCGCTGCTTTGTCTCTGGTACGAATAGGAAGATAAGGACCAAAGCGGTAAGATTGAGGCCGGCGTAGAAGGCGAAAGCGCCGACGGGGTGGAACACCTGGAGGATACGTGGGAATGAGATGGAGAGGACGGCGGCCCAGAAGAGGCAAGTAGCGACAGCCCAGGACATGCCGACTTCACGGTGAGAGAGTGGAAAGACCTCAGCGGAGTATGTGAATGGCACGGGACCTTCACCTGGGGAGTAGAAGGCGGCGAAGAGGAAGATGAAGAAGGCGATGAGGCCAAGATGGGCTCGTTCTTGTTCTGGGATGATGAAGCACAGTCCGGCCGCAAGCAAAGTCCACGCCATGTTTGGGAAGGTGAAAAGAAGGAGAGCGCGGCGACCCCAGGTATCAATGGTCCAGACAGCGGGCCAAGCAAAGACGAAGTTGACGAGACCGAATCCGAAGGAGGCGAGTAGGGCAGTCAGGTTGTCGGCACCAGCGTTCACGAAGACAGTCGATGAGTAGAAAGCGATAATGTTGATACCGCACATCTGTTGAGCCAACATGACGGTGAAGGATGCGCCAGTTGCACGTCTGACGCGGGGAATTGTGAAGAGTTCGATGAAGCGGGTGATGTAGTTGCTCTTGCCGATGATATCAGCCTCCTCTTGAATTTGAGCGTGGATGTAGTAAAGATCACGAGCCGCCTGGAGAGGAGTGTTTCGGAGACGGCAGAGCGATCGGAAAGCGTTGGAGTAGCGGCCCTTCTTGATGTACCATCGAGGTGACTCTGGGCAGAAGTATACACCGACGAGTAGAGGAAGTGCGGGAAGCATGGCAGATCCCAACTGTAGACGCCATGCGATGGCCCCGACGTTGTAGACTGCCAAATTGGCGCAGAAGCCGAGGAAGATACCGAAAGCGGTCCACATTTGCCAACTCATGACCAATCCACCTCGAATCGCCGCTGGACAGTTCTCCGCAGCGTAGATTGGGACTGTCGAAGCCTTGGCACCCATACCGACACCGAGGAGGAGACGAGTGACGAAGAGTTGAGGCCATGTTTGCGTGAAAGCGGAGCCGATCACGGAAAGGAAGCAGAAGATGGCAGCGAAGAAGATGGTTCCACGACGACCGAAGAAGGCATTGAGAGGGTCAGAGGCCCAGCAGCCGCTAGAATTCCGAATCAGCTTGTGAAAACATCACTCCACCACGCCTGTAGAATGTATGCTTACATGAAAGCAGAGCCAATGTAGGGACCCGAATTTACAACACCGACAATCCAGGAATTTCTAGCGTAATCGACACCAGATACAGCGCCAGTCGCGGGGACGGTATTGGGAACATTGAAGTCGACGGGCCACGACAGGTTGGCGCCGTTCGAACCAGTCTGATCCCAACCCTGTACAGCGGCACCAATAGAGCAAAGGATGACGGTAAAGTAAAGCGCGCCCGGTTGGCGCCATTTGTGAAGGACTTCGTTGCGAAGCGCGTCGCGTTCGACGTCGTCCAACTCGGGAATTTGCTCGAAAGCGGGGGGATCCTGTGCCACTAAAGCACCTTTCTTCAAGAGAGGGATCATGTCTTGCATGCCCGCCTCTTGGGCAAATTGCTCGACATTGTAAAACAGAGTATCTCGAGGAATGCCAGCCAGAGGGTTCTGAATTCTGTGTGATTGAAGATCAGGCTGAGTTCAATTTGGGGAGGAGGTGGGTGGGGGTGGGTTGTTTTGAAAGCGGGGAAGGAAACTAACCTAGCAGTAACGTTGCGATTCAAGCTCACGGAGTGTTGACGAGAGCCGTGTCCACCGACATTTTTTTCTTCATATTGATCAGGGCTACTATCAAGTCAGCGTTTGATAGCCTCATCCTGGGATCATTGGGGTGAATTTACCTTTGGTCGAGGTGCGCCAAGTCGCCCTTCTCGTTGTACTCCGCCATGGTGTAATGACGATCAAGCCGGTACGATTGACTTCAGAGACGACAAAAATTGTGAGGAAGGAAGAGGAAGGGAGGAAGGAACGAAGATGGAGATGACCTTAGTGCCGATGGACTGGAGTGAAGAAAGAAAACGACGGGGAAAGGTCGGGGGGCTGAGTTAGATATGTATGCAAACGGGTCGTTACGCCGGGTGACTTCTGGAATGCTTGAGCCCATTATCGCCATAGCCATTTTACAAGACAACCTTGCCATTCACCACACCCAATGTTCTAATCGCGCAGAAGGAGTGACAGGGTCAAAGGCTAATGTTGATCTTGCAAGCATTAGGCACTTTTCGCCCAGGATTATTAAAGGGTGGTTGCATAAGCTTGTCGACAATTGGTTAGAGCAACTGTTGGCGATTGTGCCGGCAAATTCGCCGACGAAGGTCCTTTTGAACCCTTTTTTCTGGGGAAGTCAGAGTTTATTTTTGCCTGTCTCGAACACGTCCCGTTGAGAGAATTGCACCGTTGCAATATAAACTTGTACCCACCGTCAAGCAAGACGCCTGAAGGTAGGTAGGTATTCTCCTGGCCCGTCTGCCTGCATGCCAAGAGATGCAGGACGCAGCTCGCAAGTGGATCTTCACTGGGAAAGGCAAGAGGGGTGCGACCTGCATGCTACCGATATTCCTACATGCAGTCCTCACTCAATCGACGCCTGGAACGAACAGATCCGGTAAAAGAGGGGAAGTTGTGAGACTTCACTCCAGCTCTCTTCTCCAATCCCCACAGTTTTATTGGGTCCCAGCGAACACTGTTCACGAGCCATGTGGCACGGAGCATTGTTTGAGTGGATCTCTTTTGAAAGGCGTGAACAATCATGTGATTTTATCAGATCCACTTGTATAGCCTAGCCTTGCCCAGCCGAATACCTTATTAGCCGTCACTGTTCCTCAGCCTTCTCCGCATCTCTCAACCTCGGCGTATCCGAAGCACATGACTACCTTGGGGACTGTAGCATTGTCGTCCTTACTTGAACGTTGACCGCAAGCGACCATTGTCTCACATGTTCTGTCATAATGTCTGTCATGTGTCTTAATGAAAACCGTTTCCGTGCGAAACAACACAACACAACACAACAAATCTCGTATCCCAACTGCCAAGTGGCAACTGGGTAAAGTGGTAGAAGTGGCTGGCGGTTGGCGCACGGGCCAAAGAGCGGCTCCAAAATCCCCTAGCGACTAGCGAGAATAAGGTAAGTGCCCATACTGTAGGTCGAGGCCCTGAGACTGAGCGTGAAATCTGAGGAGAAAGTCTGGGGAAGGGTAAAGTCAATGATAGAAAAGGGTAAAGTACAGAAGCGTGCAGGGAATAAAGTAAAAATTAGGGGTCCTTGCTTCTACCCGCCACCAGTTCACTCCTTCTACATTAGGGGGTTTCAGACTAGGGAGTCAACCACAATTTGACTCCACCGTGTATACACTGCATTAGCTGTTTTCCCTGTATATTCGCGTGAGGACCCCACCTGATTTTCAATAGATCCATATAGCTATGAGGCCTTAGTAAGCATAGCCTTCTCCGCAGAATAGTGACTTTGATAAATGCCTCCATTTGCTAGCCACGCAGCCATACAATTGTTAGCAACTCAGCTAAAAAAAGCTTGGTCCCGGGGGTGTTTGCGCTTGACAGCTAGACACCCCTATTTGGACTCAAATAGGGCCCCCGTGGGGGCTACTGCTAATAATGCCTCCCCCTCTAGGGGGGCTCGTCCTCGAGCTCCGAAGACAGTGCAAAAATCGCAATATCCCGGGGACTCTTCCCCGATTGAAGATCTACGATTTTAAGGACAACATGCCCTGTGCTCCGGGGTTCACTCCCCCGAAGACTCCTAAATGCCCGCTCATTGCGGAGCTTCAAATTGCCTCTGGGGCTTTTGTCTACGGGGCTACCAAGTGAAAGGCCTTTGACGCGATCGGTGGCCTGGGTGGCCTGGGAGGCCTGGGAGGCGATGGTCTGGAGATCCTAATTTAAGTGGTCTGGTCTATAGCTGATAGACGGGGTAGTAACGACAGGGTAACCTTTAAAAGACCTCCTAAATCGCAGGATCCATTAGCGTAATTTAGTGTATATACGTCTCTTAGCATGTCTAGATACCCTCGAGAGCTTGCATTAGCAATTCAATGTAGACACTGAATTGGCTGTCTGACGGCTCTAAAATGTATAGAGTTTACCGCTAAATTAGAGCCTTAAGACAGCTAATTCAGTGTGTGCAGGATGTAGATTCCCTAGTCTGAAACCCCCTATTGACCATTCGAGACTTTAGCCTGTGACTGGAAATAGAGAAAAAGAGAAAGAAAAGAAAACATCATCGCGCTGATGAATGTACGGTCATCCTATGCACATCTAGTCCTAGTACTCGTACAATCCAGAAGTGAGTTCTTTGATAGAGCGAGGACACCAATAAATCCTTCCACTTAGCCGAATATCGGTTAATCTATTGGTGTCCTCACTCTATCAAAGAACTCACTTCTGGATTATACGAGTAGTGTAGCGTGTTCCCATACGAGTACAAGATGCGTGGAACAAGGCATTGGGCAGGAAAGGCTTTTTACATTAACGATAATCTAAACTTTCCGGCAATTCTCCACGTACTCTGACTCGCGTGGCGGTTTCACTATGCGATGAAACCGCAGTGCCTAATTAATCTAACACCTGGCTTTCTTCACTTCAATCAAGTTACCAACGCCATCTAGGACCTAACGCCATCTCATTTAAGGATCGATTGCGACAGTGCTGACCTGAATAACAGCAACGGAACGCGCCAGACGCCAGTAAGAAATAAAGTAGGTATCCTCCTCGGCAAACATTACTCTAGCCACGCTGGCCACCTAGCGACCGCTCGTGTACTTTCAACTCGCTGCGACGACCTGATAGGGTGTAATAACACAGTAACGGTGATCACAATACGAGTAGGTATTTTATGCAGCCATCATTCGACACCAGGGAATATCTATGCGTGAGACCCAACCATGTGCTGTTATTCCCACCCGGTAAGCCTAAAAGGGCGCCATCCACGTATCTGGGGGTTCTAGCCGCCTTCTGGAACCTCGCTTGCATCAATTTGAGCCACGAAATAAACCCGGGCTACCTCTGTTGGTCTAAGATCCAGACACGAATATGCGGAACGTGACTTGATGGGCCTTCAAGGGCGTAGGGCGTAGGCTAACCACCCAGCGAACACCTGATCGATCCTGTCCTTTCATCATTCACGAGGCTCTTCGAGGATACATGCGCGTCCCTGGCAACGCATTTCTTTGAGAGCCTCAGCTTTAGCACGGGGGCTGACTGATCTCTCGAAACACCTCTTCCCCTACATAACCAACCATGCTTTCGCAGTCCACGTCGGTGGTGCAGAAGTCCTCGCGGTAACGACTCGCTATGCGGCAAGGTTGCTTTAGCACGGCTTATCTGATTTCAATCCGTCAATCCTGTACTATTGCCTGCCTTATTTGATTGCTTTTGCTACGTTTTCCATCCAGAGCGTGTAGATGAAGACTACAGCTTCACCATTGGCGTGTATGCGATCCATCGAACGCCATAGACTACAGATATTTCCTCCATCGCAGCTGTAGCGGGACGAGTATCACGGGTAAAACACTCACAGCCTCTCCAAGCCCAGCATACTGAGGAGACAAACGGACATGGATAAAGGCGCCAGCAGCAAATAAAATGGCAACGACATTATAGACTGCGGCCCAAGTGAAGTTGAAGACCATCTGGCGACAAGAGTCTCGGGAGAGGTCTATAAGCACGAGAATCCCCAACAGAGAAGGTCGGATGAGGACAGCGTCCCCTGCGATCCACGCAGTGCCGGGACCACTTTTCATATGCACGCCAACACTGGCCTGAGAAAGAGCGGCCGCGTCATTGACTCCGTCGCCACAGAAAAGAACGGTGTTATTGTCAGCTTGCATGAGCTCCTTGACGTACTGCTGCTTCTCTCGGGGCGTACACTTGGCCCTGATAACTTCATGAGAAATCCCCAGCTTGAGGGCCACCTTCTGCACTGCACCAATCTCATCGCCGCTTATGATTGACACGGCTATGCCTCGCTCGACCAAGCTAGCAACGACAGTACTCGCTTCCTCGCGGAGAGTAGCTTCCAGTCCGAAAACGGCGATAAGCCGATCTCCTTGAGTAGCACACAAGACTGTGAGATTTTGGGAGAGAAGGGACCGTACAGGCAATTGGTCTTCTACCCCCAGCCATCGAGCATTCCCAATGCGCACAATACGTCCGTCATACGTACCTTCAATGCCTTTACCGACTACTGGTGTGACATGAGTGACAGTAGCAGGCTCAACGCCTGCGGCTTTGAGGTGCTTGGACACCGCCAACGATACTGGATGATCTGACTGGTTCGTCAGAGCGACCACGATAGCAGCCCCCAAGTTTTGAGTCTCGGAGCAATATTCATCGCTCACTACCGATAAGCAACCTTGCGTCAGAGTGCCTGTCTTATCAAATACAACATGGGTCACGCCTCTAGCCGCCCTCATCACTTCCGCCGATCTGAAGACCACACCATGCTTTGCTCCAACCCCACTCGCAATGACGAGGACCATGGGCACAGCGAAGGCCACGGCGCATGGACAGCACACGACAAGTACCGAGATGGCATAGGGTATGGCCTTCAAGATGGCCGAACCGGCTGACTCTTCTTGTATTGTTATACCTACCGCGAACCAAACAACTAGAGTCAACATGGCAAGCGTCGCACTGGCCGGCACTATCCACCTCGCAACCTCATCGGCCGTGTGCTGAGCTTTGGTCTTTGAATGTGTCACCTCCTCAACCATCCCCGCAATCTCGTCAATTGTATTGCTTCCCGGTAGTCGAGTGACCCGGACCAGGACAGCATCACCAAGATTGACGGACCCTGCGATGACGGACGAACCAGCCGTTTTTTCCACCAAACTTGCCTCTCCAGTCAGCACGGATTCGTCGAATTCGGATACTCCAGAGACAATTGTACCGTCCGTCGCAACGGGACAGCTAGGCTTTACTCTGAACGTATCGCCAAGTTGCAGCAGACGGACATCAACATCCAATTCCTTGTCAATAGAGGAGTCGGAGATATCGACGAGAAGAGCGGACCGTGTCTGCAATGATTTTATAGAGCCGATTCTGAACGCTCTATGGCAAGCGAAGTCACTCATCAATCGTCCCATCATTATGAAGGTTATTAGCAGGGCGCTGGTTTCGAAGTAGATGCCGGACACAAGACGAGTGCCCTTTACCTCGCATATGAAAGACGCTACGGAGAATCCATACGTAATAGACGTGCTCAAGACGACCAACAAATCGAGATCGACAACTCGGTTCACGATCAAGCTTCGAAGAGCTCTCGGATAGAAGGGCCCGGCAACGACGACCTGAACGACAGTCGCTAATGCAAGGCACACTGCCCCGTATGCAATCACGTGCTTTGGGAGCGGCGCCCATGCGAGGACCAGTATTGGGATAGTGAAGATCCAGGACAAGGCCGTGGTGAAAGCTGTTGCTCGAATTTCTGTGGGTACCTCATCATGAGATTTTGGAAGAGCTAAGCTGACCGGACCATCCAAATCTGTGTTCAAGGCCTTCAGAAGCTGTCGGGCACCTATAATTTCTGCGTCATACTTTATAGAAAAGGTATGTCTATTCACTTGCGTCACATCCTTGACCCCAACAGGCAGCATAGCATCTGCTCCAAAGGCCCCGCAAATGCCCGATACCACAACATCCAGCTCCTGCCACCCATCTCCGGTCCTCTGGCAGGCACGCCCGCTTGCACTTTTCACGGAATCGATGACATCGCGAACCGAAGACTTGGCGAGATCGAGGTCGAATTCCGCCTGCAGAAGGATAGTGTTCATTTGCAGATTGTGCACCGCCGGCAATGACTCGAACGCTTTGGAAATCTTGCTTGTGCAGCCTGGACAGTTGGATCCTTGGAACTTGAGGATCACGTGCTCCGTGTACGCGGAACCTTCTTCGACATCGTCAAGCACATATTTCCGCAGTGTCCCTGATCTGTGAGCTGCGCGGATGGGTCTATTTGATTCATGGCCGGTAACGTGGTGTGAATCCAACGGCTTCTCGATGATGCCGGTATGGCACGTCCCCTCGTCTTGTCTTTGTTGCTCGCTGCAGCAGTCACCTCCGGCACACGGGCTGGTTGTTGAGATGTGCGAAACATCACCATCGCTGGATCCATCTTTGCTACTGGGAAAAAGCGACATGTCTTCCACAAACAATCGCAACCGTTTTCGCCTCTTGCTATCCTCGTCCAAGTTAATCGAAAGAAAAAAAGAAAATACGGACTTGATCTTTCTGTCCAAGAAAAGGAGATCGTCGGTCGCGACAGAGTAGTCATCACAGGGTAGGAGGCCACTTTGATCCTATTATTCATTTCCGCAAGAGCGCCTAAAACAACGTCCAAGAAGGCTCGGATCGCCGTGGCCTGCAGGAACCCGTCATACGTCCAAGCGTCAAGTGCATTATGCACAATAGAGGCTCCAGACTGGCATTAGCCGCAATGCGCACCGAGCACCGTACGTTGGATGCGTCTCTGGCACATGCATGCAGAGCGTCGCTTAGGCGGATGGACTGTATCAGTATTACGTACGAGTGCCCGGATCTGTCTCGATCTCATATGACTTGCAGGAGCCCTTCTCCGTACTAGTACCTACGAGTGCATCATCGCGTCACAAAGTGAGCCGATCACGATATCAAGTATTGCATGCCCATCGACCATCTTACCGCCTACCGTCTCACCAACCTACCAAGCGACCAATCAGGAGAGCAACAGAACGGAGTTAGCGGACCAGTTCTACCAATTTCTCCCACTATAGATACACATCTACCCACATCAACTCTTCGCCACGGCACTCGGGCTCGTGTCTCGATCAACCGCCGACCATAAGCGTCGCGAGAAAGAACAAAGGAAAGAAGAGCATCCCCAACCACACAACCAACCATTCCCATTCCCATTCCCATCTCCTTCTCCGCACCCCCCCCCCCAACTCTTCCCCACCTCCCCACCCCGATCCGTAGTAACGACGCAAAGCCCCACCTCAGTGTCTAGGTACATACAAACGCCCTATGCCGTAGGCGAATAGCCGACCATCTACCAAGCACCGCGAGATCCAGGGATTACAGCACCCACATTACGTCGTACGCGGTTGTTCCCACACCAGGATCAAGATCCTTGCATCCCGTATGTATATATGTATGTACAAGTAAAGGCCCATGAATTAAATTCATGGAGTTGGATTTTTCATTTTTCTAAGTCAAATGGAGTTGGATTTTTCTAAGTTAAATGGAATTTTAGCCCTAGCCCTAAGTCAAATCGAACTCTAATCGCTTACTATGCGTTTTTAACCTACTTCCACCACTATAAAATTAATTTAATCTATATAGTATATAGATATATATATATAGAGAGAGGCGCGCTAAGGTCTAATTAGAAAGGTATATCGAGTATAAAGGATTAAAATAGAGAAAGGCCATATTCTTATAGCAAGAAGTATCGAAATATCGGAAAAAAATGAAGATAACATACTAATTAGTGATATGAATCCCATATTATCTCCTATCGCAGTAAAATCTTTCGAATAATAAAATAGCTATTAGAGTAAGATATCGGATAATTTCAATTTATTTAAATATATATCGTTCGATATTTCTTCTATAGAGGCTTAATTAACTATAATTATTATAGTAGATTCTTCTCTTATAACGTTATTATAGTTTCTTCTCTTACTTCTTAATTTAATAGAGATAATAAATTAAGTTATAGTAGTATTCTCCGCTTATTAAGTAATAATTTAATATAAAACCGTGAAGAGTATATAACGTGGGATCTTGAAGAGCTAAGCTATGTTTTTAATAATAATAATCTTATTATCGCTTAATTTCTCCGTAGTATTCTCCGCATTTATCTATTATAATTTCTTTTTTTACTTCTTCTCTTATAGAGTATTAAATTAAGTAGCTAGCTAAGTAGCTAATTAAGTAAATAACTAATATAATATAAGATCTTAAAGAGCTAAGCCGTATTCTTAACGATAGTAGCCTTATTACTACTTAGTTTCTCCGTAGTATTCTCTATAGTATTCTTCGCAGTATTCTTCATAATATTCTCTATAGTATTCTCCGCATTTATTTATTATAATTTCTTCTTTTACTTTTTAATATAGTAAGGATAATAAGCTAAGTTATAGTAATATTCTTTACTTACTAAATAATAATTTAATATAAAACCGTAGAGAGTATATAACGTGAGATCTTAAAGAGCTAAGCCGTATTCTTAATGTTAGAAGCCTTATTATTACTTTATTTCTTCGTAGTATTCTTCGTAGTATTCTCCGTAGTATTCTCCGTAGTATTCTTCGTAGTATTCTTCGTATTTATCTATTATAATTTCTCCTCTTATTTCTTAATATAGTAGAGATAATAGACTAAATTATAATAGTATTCTTCGCTTATTAAGTAATAATTTAATATAAAATCGTAGAGAGTATATAACGTAGAATCTTAGAGAGCTAAGTCGTATTTTTAATGATAATAATTTTATTACCGCTTAGTTTCTTCGTAGTATTCTCCGTATTTATCTACTATATTAACTTCTCTTATACTAGCTAAATAGATTAATATAAGATTATAAAGAGTAGGTCTATTATATTATTACTGCTAATAACTATCTTTATAATATTCTTCGTATTCGCCTATTATATATCCTCCTCTTATTTAATTAAGTGCGAAGATATTAACGCGTTTATAAGTAGTAGTAGATATCTATTAGACTCGCTTACGGCCTCGATTATTAATAATAGCAAATTTGTTAAGGGGTGGCTTAAGGGTATTAATAAGAGCTCTAAGAGATAAGTAAAAGGAATATATATATCTAAATTGAACGCGTTTAATATAACTACAATATTTAAATATTAGTTTAATTTATTTATCGCTGACTTAAGAGGAGTATATAGAAGAGGATATATTCATTTAGACTCTTTTTAAAAATCTTTTAACGCGTTTATAAGTAATAGTAGATAGCTATTAAGCTCGCTTACGGCCTCAATTATTAATAATAGCGAATTTATCGAGGGGTGGCCTAGCTCTAAGAGGCGGATAAAAGGGGTATATATATCTAAAACGTTAAGTAACCTTTAGGCGAGAGATATCGAAGACGATTATATTTATATTAATGAAATTAATAGAATTAATAGAATTAATAGAATAGTAAAAGAATAATAAATAGGTGAAAGAATTATTATTCGATTCTGGATACGTCTAATGTGACTACTATAACTATTATATTTGAATATTTATTTAATTCATTAATAGTAAGTTAAACTTTATAATTTTTATAGCGTTAGAAAGCGTAAAGCGAGCTTTATAATTTGAGAAATTATAAAGTAACTATATATATCGCAAGCTAAGTACTTTAAAGTGTAAAACTTCTATATATAAATTTTTGATAAGAGAAGCGCGGAAGGATTATTAGGCTAACTCAGCCGGTCTAATCAAAGAGCGTAGCGAATCTAAATTAATAATTGGCTACATATATAAATTCAAGGTTTCCAAGCTCAGCCCTACCTTATTCTGTTATATATACTAATGTATATATGTATATAGACACGACCGATCCCGGACGAACGACAGGCGACGCAAGGGCAAAACAGAGGCGCGCATGTTCAATCGCCGGGCTTGCGGCAAACGGCCGCGATGGGTTGGCTTGGACGCTTATAGGAACGTAACGTATGTACGTATATACGAACGAACGAACGGACGAACGAACGAACGAACGAACGAACGAACGAACAAACGAACGAACAGAAGATACTCGTGCGATATATATTCAACTCGGAAAAGAAGGGGAAGGGGAAGAAAGTCTGAGCGCTGGGAGGTGGGGCGGGGGTGCGTACGGTGTTGAGAGGGTAATACCTAGGTAGATAATGGAATTGAAAAGAGAGTGGAAGAAAGAAATAAGGGGGGGGAGAGATCGCGAATGCGGTATTGGGATGTGACCAGATTGATTCATATCTACTACATACGCTCATCTCAATCGCACGAACCGGTCCAGTGAACGGAATTCCTCTCTCCCCACGCCCTCACCAGACCCGCATACTACACACAAATCTTCCGCCGACAATCGAAATCACTTGCGACCCAAAGCACCCTATCTGCCGCTTCATTCGACACCGTGCTCCTCCTCCTACTACCGCTGCTGCATCGCTCCGCCCTCAGCTTCTCTCGGATCCTGGAGCCTCCGCTTTGCCGAAAGCCCTATCCTGCTACATCCCCCCTAGACGCCATCTTTCCAATCTTCTCCGCTCGTTGACTCAAGGACTCCGTCCTTTCCGCAGCCTCCATCGGCCCCGCTTTGCTACCCGTCGTGTCGAGATCGCTGTTATAGCGAGGCGTCGCTTGCGATGTACGGATAAGGAATCCGCGTCATGGCCCTCAATCGTCCCGGCCGCGAAGCGCCTGTCGACCTTCTTAGCCAAATTTGTTGAGCCGGCAGATGGAAAGTTTCCAACCTTGGCAATGATGCCCCGTTCATCGCCGCCCTCATAACCTTCATCCGGCACCAGGACGCGGTAGCTTAAGCTCGGCAGACCATCAACCCCTGCCGACCCCGACGCCGGAGCCCGAAACGGGCAAGGGAAGCGCGCGACGCATCTGCGACAGGCGGAGTCGCCGTTGCGCCACAGCCACGTGCAGCCGGTGCAGGAAAGGTCGGCGCATGGGGATCGAGCCCGAGTGTGTGAGAGGTTGTTCTCGGTGTGGAAGCCGTCGCTGCAGAGGCGGCAGATTTGCAAACCTGAAGTCGACCGGTCGTGGTGATTGTGATCGGCTCCGGTAGAGATTGGGGGGATGCTGATGTTTGGCGAGAGCCATGTATCGTGGAAGGCGGGCATGGTCGCTGCGATTGTGATTGTGGTAGTGGTGGAGATTGTGAGTGCAGTCTGGCGCGATTGGTTGTCAGTGGGAGGGAGTGCCTCTGTGAGCGGCTGAAGATGGTTGGTGAGGTTGTTTAAGCATAAGGGAGACATGTAGCACGAAGAAGACAATGACAGTGTCAGCGAAACACAAAGCAGCGGAAAAAAGCCCTTTGTCTTTGTGGCCAGTGAGAAAGTGACACTATTAAGGAGAAAGGTCCCCGGTTCAACAAAGACAGTTGCTCAGGGATGTCAGCACAATGTCTCAAGTTCATGGTACACGCCTGGACCGGTTTAGGCACTCCAGGATAACAACTTCCCAACCTGTAATACTATTCGCGGTGGTAGCGGCTTTGTCGTCATGTGCCGAGTCTCTTGAATCCCTCGTACCAATCACCTAGTAAAGCCTCGAATTTACTTCTCGGCTTCTCAGACTTCGCACCTTCCACGCTCGATCACATCTATCGCGCGTGCCCAGATGCAGCGGGGTCTAGTTCGGCATTCCACTTCCAGCCCATTTTGACAGCCTTTCTTGGCCACAGTATCGCTGGAAGCCATTCAGGTGGGAGAATTTGACGTATGAATTCGACCAGATGAGCGCCTCGACCTTCTAACCACCACTGCCCGTTGCTGGTATGAAGAAGGACGGCGTAGTGAGCGAGAATCGTCACCGCCATAGGCTTTTTCTTTTCTAGCTGGGTGATATACGACGCTTGAACCACGACCAGCCAAGTGAACACGAGGCCGGGTTGGTCCCTTACGACCGTGTGTATGTCAAAGATCTTTTTAAGGCTTTGAATCGTTGACCGGTAAATGTCTCTGGTGCTTGGATCAAGCGTCTCTTTCTCATTCGTGTCGAACAGCTTTTCAAAAGCAACACTCGCGTCTTCGGAGAGCGGGGATGTCGTAGGGTTCCAACCGCAATCGATGAGTGCTCCCAAACTCCCCTGCGCGATCCATTCTTGGGCGCTTTGAACGACGGTCGTCACACCACGTATGAGTGTAAAGACACTCAATATGTCATTCACCGGGTCGGAGGGCATTCCAAATTTCCCACTGTGGGGTGATACGAAAGATAGCACTGAAACTATGCCGGACATTGCAAATTGTGCTCGACAGTTGTGTCGGGTGACCTCGTTGAGAGCGGGTATTGACGTTGCGAGGGCAAGATTCCAATGGTGGAGCGCTGCTCTCTCGTACAGGTGGCGCTTTGTAGGATTAACATACCAGAGGTTCACCGTTGATATGGCAAGCAAAGCGTGCAAAAGACATCCGTGGGACTTGGCTTCTCTTGGAACGGCGATTTGCCAGATCTGCCGATTCGATGGTATACTGGATAGAGGGAAGCACGTACTAGTCGTATAGTGATGCAACAGTTCCAGGTCAAGGAGGCCGGGAACAGATACGGGCTTCGGAGTAATTTGGCCATTGATCCCACCAAACGGAGCACAGAAACTGGTCAAAGACGGGCCCGGTGACGGGCGCGAGGACGTAAGGACTGACTCAATAGGATGAGGAAAAACTACATCGTCGCTCGGAGCTGAGGCTGATATAGAGCCAAGTTCAGACGGCGTGTTAACGGGCTTTGAGTCAAGAAACCTACATCGCAAATGTAGGCGCACACATTTACCACAGGCGGGCAGCTTCTCGTCGCACTAGACGAAACCAATCAGTCGAAGATCGAACGCATATCAATAGTCAGTTGGCTTTAGCAAGAGATGGGACCAAAAGTCATGAACAGAGAGAAACTCCAAAAACTCCTCTTTTGCGGACAGGCGGAGTATCCAAAAAGGGAACAGTCAAAGAGGCATCGAACCCTCAAACATTGACAAGTTCAAATCAACGGTTTCTCTGTGCTATCGAACGCTCAAATTGTAGTAAATCATTCTTCATTAGCAAAGTCCTTGTGAGGGATGAAGCCCAAAGTCGAAGTGAAAATATAAATACCCAGCCCTTCAGATCGCAAGTGTTCTCCGAATATTTGATTGCCGGTTGAACAACGAGACTCGAAAACAGTGGCGTGCCAAGAGTACCCCAGTTCATGACTTTTGATCCATCCTCTTACCAGCCTTTGTCCTGAGTTGAAAGACATTCAGATGCAACAATGCAGAGACGAGAGCAGTCTATGAAATACAGCGACGTACCTTCACTCATCTCGCTTTGCACCAGGCGCAGCCATGTCGAGTCTTATTATGTAGACGCCGCGATGGCATCACGAGCGAATTATCCGAGCAATCGGACGTCAAGTCATGATACGCGCGTCAGACGACCAATTGACGCGGATGTTGTTCTCGGGGAGATAGACTGGAACGTCTCAAGTAATCTGACCGCTCGAGTAGGTAGTCCATTGGTGGGCGGTAAGTAGATATGAGATGGGTGTACGGGGAATTGGAGTGGAAAAGTGTTTGTTGTGTCATTCGGGAAAGGAGAAGTAGGGAAGAACATCAGTTCGGGCCCTTGCGGGCCTTCGTTTCGACCTGTCCTGACAACATTATGAGAATAAGGAGAAGAGGTTACCGTGCATGACTACCTAGTACTGCATAGCAATAATAGCCAAAAATAGATGAACATACAATTCGCTCAACCTTGGGGAGGGTTGAGAGCCGAAACCATAATCTCCTTCGAGTATGGTGTACGAGAGATGCTAACCCGATCGCTCCTCCAGATATATCTAAGTACTTTCACTCACCGAGGCAACCTTCTTCTTCACCAGGCTGCTCCTTACAATCCACCTGCCCTCTACAGTAAGACACTTTCACTCCGCAACGCTTTAGTACACTCGTTCCATCAGTCAGAGCAATCTCTTACTCCTTGACTTAAGACAATCTCTATCGCTATGGCGAACATCACGGTCAATGGTCCCAACAGGCCCCGACACACAAGTATTCAAGTACTACCCTGTCCGTGGCCGCAGCCACAATATTTACGATCCTATTCCTCTCCACCACCATGGTCCACCTCTAACAAATCGTACGGACACGAACTTGAATCATAATTCCTCTGCTCATAGGAGGCCTCTGTATATACCCAACAAATCAATTGCACAGTAGGAAGGCTGACCAGCATTGCAGTCGAATGGATCGAATACATCGGCCGCGCAATCTCAGCCCACCAGACGCCGAACTGGACACTGGGCGCTTATATGACTTCTAGTCAGCATATCATTGGCCATCACAAGGGTCCAAAATCCCCCCGTCACAATGAACCTGAAGCTTCTGATACTTGTTACGTCCACTACGTCAGCTTTCGGGCCTCTCGTAAGGTGACACAGAGTAGACGCCATCAGGGTTCCAAAGAGCGCGTGGCTGGAGACCTAAAAGCCCTGTCGCTCTTGATCTTCGTCACGGCTAGTTCGCCTTCTGCACTTGCCATCTAGGTTGTTATGTCGTAATAGTGGGACCCAAGTAACGTACTGGGCGTGGGTGAGCTTCGCACGGTGTGAATTTTCTCGGCGTGACTCTGAGCTTTCAGCCGCGGCCCAGCACTGGATTAGATGTGCACTATGCATTAAGAGCGATGATAGCGTACAGAGCGATCAAAACAACTCCATCGAGCCTAACTTGGTGTCAGTCCGGACGAGCGCAAACAAGAACACTAAGAGGCTACCAATTGGACTTCCCTGTACATCTCATATACTTCAAGACCAAATTTGAGATGGCAAGGCTGACGACCTGGAATCTATCAAAGAGTAGAGTCATCTTATCATCGTGTCGAATCCAGCAGATAATAACAGCAAGCGGCAGGATCCCTAGCAGTAATTGTATGCTGCTGTTAATGTAATGGCAAAGCTAGTTGGTATCTAATCCTTAGCGGCGAGGATAAGGAGTGAGAGTTGTAGTCTAGTAACGGTAAGAGGATAAGACGAATAAAGTCTTGCGTTAAGACTGTCTTTGGGGTAAGCCCATCAATACTGTCCACGGCGAAGGTGGTATTGAATCCCAGGCAGACTGTGATAATAATGAGTGTGGACGCCAGAGCTGGCTGCGATATCTTTGGTAGAGGGTTCTCTTGAGCACGTCTTATAAGCACGTTCTCTCCAGTCGCACCTCCTGCGGACGCTGCCATCATCGCGCCGATTTGTGCTATGCCTTTCTCTGCGTCGCCATAGTGGGCTTTAACTCTCCGTAGCTCTACCCTCAGATGCTGTGCGCTGAATATTAACGAATGCGTTTTGTAGCAGGGAAAGCAGAGGCAGAGATAAGACAGCAGTAGGAGTTTGGCTTCCCCTCGGGAGAATTTTGCGATGACATCCTGGCTGTTGCCGAGCGTGCGAAAGTCTCCATGGCGGTGAGTAATAGGAGTGCTGCGACGCTGAATGCGACCAAAGAATCGCTGACGAAGAATGGGTTGAAGCAATGCTCGATCGGATTCATGCCTCCGAATAAGAATCCAATGCCCACCATAAGCACACTGTTGGAGATGACCGCGCTGATTATGGAGGTTTGCACAATCGCTATTTGATGTTTGATCAGAGCGATGATGAGGATGACCAGCTGGGCAGCATTACTTCAAACCGTGTATTTAGCATGCATCCTCACGATCGTGGACTGTACATACCCCAGGGTACTCACATTCAGCATTCTTTCATGGCCTCCTCTCCTTAACACTAGCTCTTCCGTAACCGCGTCAAGTACCTGGCCTAGAGGTATGATAGCGACGAATCTGACAGCAAAGGTGATGACAGGACTTTGACCCGTGTTTTTCACGGCAAACCCGGCAGGCACCGCGAATATGAGGACGATGTTGATCCATGATGCGAATACTATAGCTCTCAACCCGCCCCAAACGGCGTATTTTTCCTTCTCTTTCGTCTGAACATCGCGTGTGCTCTATTCGTCCTTTCCTCGTACTAGTACAGTGTCGAGCGCCATTGCGCGCGTAAGCACGTTGGCCCTGCTAGCGTCATCGTCCTCGAATCGTATATGAATTTCTATCCCGGGATCTCTATCCACAGAGCTATCAGCACGAGTCGTAGTCGAAGTCGCAGATGGCTGGGGACTCATCACATTGTATCGGACATGTGGCCACACCTTCAGTTTGTGCTTTTGCAAAAAATTGGGTGTTTTCGACGCATTGCAAGATCTTCACAGATTATAATTAGCTCGTTATGAACCTCGACCGAACTCCTCCGCATGCAGACCCACGGTCACGGCATTTGAGGTGCATCTGCAGGGCTCATCCATTCATCTTGAGTTCTTGTCCACTTCCACAACTCCAAATATGTCGATTGAGGAAGCTCAAGATGATACTCTTTGATGCGGTTGTTAGCCGTCCAGATCAGGTTCACGCCTAAGAATAGTTCCGTTCTCCGGCTCTTTCCGGTCAAGGGTCCGGGCTCCACCAAAACAATCTCGGCGCCATAGGTAGCCACAACAATAATCTCGCGCTCACTTTCATCTCTATTGATTTCCAAGTCCTGGTCTATGAAAAGAACCTCACATTCTGCGAGACTGTCTAGACACGACATTAAGAGACTTTTTGTACTTTTTGTACTTTTTGTACTTTTTGTTCTACATCTTGCAAATTTGCCCGTTCGTTCTGCGCTAGAATTCCCATCAATGTCATGAGCACTCTTCACAGTCGACATGTACGCGCTCGTATCTTTCTCTCCTCTGAACTCGAGACAAAAAGGTTTAGGTACTCTATTTCTATATCTATTTTTCGCCTTCAAAAGTAGCTCGGAAATCAAGGGTTGGATATTGAGGGGATTTTCAACTTCAATGTAAACAGTAGGACTGGGTTTGGCCTATCGGACTCCAACTTCAAGCACACGGTGTTGGCAAGGATGCGCGTGTACCGCTTGAGTCCTCATCTCTCAGCTCTTTAGAGTCCCTACTCAAATCGTGCATGATGCTGTTGTTGGGGAGTTGGGCTAGACAGACTCAGCCTCAGGGTTGGCGCCGGGAGGACTGAACAAGTTTCTGCCCCGGTCGCACCATAAACAAGTGCTCACTCGCAATAGTACAAATGTACCCCCGATCCAATCAAAAACTATGGTGAAGTCGATCAGTCTCCTCCATCCGATGGTAGCACACGACGACTAATGATCCTTGTTGTAATCTCTGACGATCCATCTAACGCGTGCTCATAAGGTAACCCTAATTCCCAACTTCGTCGTGGTTGTCAACCCTCGGTCTTGTATCCTTGTAGAAGCTGTAAAGCTCAGACTGTTATTACTGCAAGTCTAAAATCCCGATGTTGTCCGACTTTTTCTCTTTTGCTCTTGCTTGTAATCTCATTGTTATCATACCTTTCAGTGCAGCGACAGCACACCTGTATCCGAGTAAGTCGCGAACAGACCTTTGGACATCGTAGGCAAGGATTAATCAAGGCAGCAACGTTTGCAAACTCAACAAGGATAACTTTTCCAAGCGCAGCGAGAACAACAGATTGCCCATCGAACTGCACGCGAAACGTTGAACCACTTGGTTCCATTACCTGGACGGGTAGGACGATTACTGCAACGGTAACGGCAGAGACGATAGTCTATGTGGTCAACAAGAAAAACAATAGCACGAGAACCGAGACAATTACCAACACAGAGGTGGACTTGAAAGATTATACTCCACTCTCAACCACGAAGACGACATCAGTTGTCCTCCAATTCGGTACCACCAGCAGAACCGAGATATTGTAAGACTCATTCAAGGTAGTGTATTCATCCAAGAAACTGACTTCTATCGTAGAACCTTCCCATCGATCCTCTACACGGATTACCCGTCTAGCTATACCTTCTGTGGCACTCTTCCCACAACAACTGCTGGGGTCGCAACATGCCTGAATTACCCGTGCGCCCAAGTCTCTGGGGAATTCGACCCCTTCAATAGTGACTCACCAGTCTTTGCCTTTCCGTCACATCCACCCATACCGGATACTATCCAAAACATAAGCGCAAGCTACCTAGCATTGGATCCCAGGGGCTCAACATGGGATGCTGTCTGGTCCTCCGACAGTGATTATGAGCCTCTGGTTAAACCGCTCATGCCCGACATGGGAGCTTGGAATTGCTCACCATACGGAACGTGGCCTGCTGCAGCCTCCGCTTTGAACACGGCGTTGTATCTCACCGCAACATCTACATCCACCGAGGCCGGTGACGAGGCTGGCGTAACACCGGCGCCCAAAGCGAGTCCGCCGAAAGAAGCTCCCGGCCCGGCAGCGGGCAAAGCACCAGCAAAAGTTGAGCCCCAAGCGGCGGAAGTGTCTCAGATCATTGCGAATCCTTTCGGAGTTGGGAAACCAGCTGCCGTAGCAGAAAAGCCAACTCCTGCTCCGAGCCCACCTTCTCCGCATGAGGAGAACTCTGATATTGCTGCTCTTGTGCCAGTCTCGGGCCTCAACAACCAAGCCGCCACCGCCGTTCCAGCAGCCGCGGTTAATGCCGTAGCGAACGTCGTCATCAGTTCTACGAACGCCCAAGGTAGCATCCTCGTCGCGACATCCCAAGTACCTGGCGTAATCGTCACATCGACGAACGCTCAAGGTTCACAAGTTGTCACAACAATACCTGTCGTCTCACCGCAAGCCATTGATAATACGCCGGAGCCCGCTCCGGTTGTTGTGAATGGGCATACCCTCACCACAGACTCACAGTCACACTACGTAATCGCTGGCCAGATCCTCTCAGCTAACACACCTCTCGTCCTCGGCTCTGGCGCCTCCACTACGCCCGTCATACTGCAAACATCAGGGATCCACCCCGTGCTCGTTATAGGCTCGAGCACCACAACACTGAATCTGCCGACTTCGACTCCTACCACAACCATACCGCCAGCGATTACGATCGGCACGCAAACAATAACAGCCAATGCGCAGGGCCAGTATCTCATAGGCAGTCAAACGCTAACGCCTGGTGGCGAGAACGTCGTGGGTGGTACAACGGCGCCAGGAGGGACGGTTGCGGTAGGTGGGACTACGGTTTCGTTAGCGCCGAGCGCGACGCAAGCTGTGGTTGGGACGAGTACGGAGGGATTGGCGCCTTATATAGTGGGCGGGCTGGGTACGGGACCAAACGGTACGGGGGCGGTACAGTTCTTGGGTGTCGCGGGGGCCAAAGTCAAGTGCTCTGGGTCGAGATATCTCGTTGGGATAATGGCTGGGGTCGCGGGAATATCATGGTTGTTTTGAAGAAGTATGAAAATAGAAGATCAAGAAGTTGGAATAAGCTAATTGACCGAGTAACTGCTCTAGCTTCATACGATAGTTGTGGTGAAAAAATAAACACACAGCCTCATCCACGGACCTGAACCTAGCATGTCATGCCGAATCTCAAGTTAGTGGGAGTCGAAACCCGCGCGCCTCTAGCCATGTACACGTCTCGCATTGCACAACTGTATCAAGCATCTGTCCAGCGGGCCAAATAGTTACCTCGGAAGATAACAAAGTCCTTACTCAGCGTAGCAGGAGGCAAGGCTGCAGATTCGCGCTGCGGGTGCGAGGCCAGAGCAGCACATTCGGATACCAGAAGAACCCTTATGGTGAGCGCCATCTGAAACAATGCGGCAAAGCTCCTGATGATAGCCCCAATGCACGCCGGGGAAGATACGACACCTATGATGGCGTGCACATCGAATCAGAGGCAACAACCAAGCCCCATGAATCCAACTTTACCCCAACCGGCAACACAGTCCCGTAAGCCTCCCGCAGCCCGCAAGGGTAGTGCAGGGGCGCCTTTTGGATGTGATTCGCGGGGGTCCCAAAGCCTTTCGATTAATCTGTTTCGTCCACCATGTCGCATCGACCCGTTCTCTGTCTTGCGCCAAGATCTCGAACCGTGCCCCACCTGAAGGATTGGCTGGACAGTGCGCCATGGTCTAAGCTCGGTCTAGGGCCCAGTCACATGATAGGCTCTCAGGTCCAACAGAAGTCTCTAGAGATCAATTTATCGGCTCCCGGGAAATATATATCGGGTTCCCCCACCACAAGGTCGCCTTCCGATTGCCATTCCGTTCCGTCAACGAGTCTCTATGTTATCTACTACCACTTTTGCTCGCACAGTGTCTCCAGAGATTGCTGGCTATACGTGTGCTTTCAATACGACTGAAAGGGCTCACTGTTCCTGTGCAGATGTCATCAACTATATCTTTCCGCATTGACAGACTAGACTGGCCTCGGTGCGTTTGACAATAATTGTTCCACAAATACATCGCGTCTGAAATCGTAACTACCACATCGCTCAGTTATGAGAAGTTTGGCTAAAAAGTTCTTAGCTCTCAAGTGGGTTTTGATTACTGCTATCCCATCGTCTGGCAGGGGGTAAAATTCAGGGGTTCAGCCCTACCGGCCTGACCCTACGAACCACCAAAACAATGCGTCTACCAGACATCGGATGAAAGCCAAATAGCCTAAAAAACCAATAAACATGCCTCGCAATAAGGTGGCAAATGATCTTGATCACGTGGAAAAGGATCCAAAGCCTACTTGCCACTCAGTTATTTGCACACTCCGAGCGACTTACCGGCTATCCCAGTCCAGTCAAAGTCTCTCTATCAGCACGAGTACACCCCGCAGTTATGCGCGATCATGGCGGGCTAGAACGTATGTGGGACAAGGCCAAACGATGCGTAGTTTGCTTGAATGCAGGGCGAAAATCGGAGAAACTTGCAAAGATCAGGAAGCCACTATTGGAATTATCTATTAATACCGTCAGAATACCAGATAAGGGCCAAAGAAAACGGCCTCAGCAGACCCCAAGAGGTATATATGACTGTAAGCTATGTGGAATAGCGATATGTAATCATATTACTTGTTGGAAGGAGCATTTGGAGGCCATACCATGTAAATAGATTTTTAATAAGGGGTGCCAAGACATTTTACCCGCAAGTCGCCAGACGATGGGATACACGGTATTGGAATGAAACCGTGCCCTTATCCGGCTTTGGCTGGGCTTCATCGCAGTTAGCTTAGACCGTCGAGACAACCCACGACGAAGAGGAGGCCATAGAAATAAGCTCTACATCTACTGCGGCCGGTTCAAGTACCACGTTCACCACAAACCTCGAATACTTTCTGGGTTCTTCCCACATAGGATCACGCAATACAGGCGGCGCGAATGTGGATCTCTTCTTAGATCTTCCGACTCCGCTTTCAGCAATTCGCCTGGCACAGCTTCTGGTATTTCTACCGGTTCTACGAACTCTATATTTAACCGCCTTTTAAGCAGTTCGACCACGTCTATGGTATCGTCAAGCAGTTCGTCTAATGTTTAGCGGATTAGCCCTAGTGGCGGTGATAGCTGCGATTGTCGTCGGTGGACTACTCATTGGTTTTTTGTCCTGGCTCCTATACCTCTGGCTTACAAGAGGATCGAGGGAGCGACTTAGGCAGGAAAGAGACCGTTTTCGGCAAGATCGCCTCAATTACCTCAACGGTGTTCCATCGCACATGGGTCTACCCTCCAACACCGGCTATGCGCCGCCAGTGAACCAGCTTCTAGAGTTGAATCTGAGCGACTCCGATGTTGGTAGCGTATGGGTCTCGACAGCTCCAGCCCCAGAAGCTGCATCTCAAGTAGACTCAAGACCACCATGGTCGGTGAACAGTGGTGGATTCAATCAAACGACAAGTGCGCCTTGTGGTCACCCTTCCAATGTGTCGCCACAGAGTTTATCGAATCAGTTTGCGTCCATGCCGCCGTCGTTCCCACCACGAACGTCTGACAGATCAAACGCAATGGCGGCTTCAGGTTTGAGCCCAAGGCAAGAGCAAATTTGGACATGAGGCAAGAGCGGCGAGAAGAAAGGATCACAATGGTAGTCTTTTGACGCCTGTTTTATTATCTCCGATTTGAGACTACCTTGGGCTTACACTCGCTGATTGGAAAGCTCAAAACGATTTCGCCAATTCATAGCCCAGACGGTAGTCTCTGCGAGGTTCGAACTTTTAGAAAACTGCAGCGCTTGCAGCGCCCCTGTGATCGCTGCAATGGCTTCATCCTTCTGCCGGCGGGCCTCCTGAGGACTCAAATCCAGCCTAACATCAACCTCTGCTCTTCTGCCTTTTAACACAGCTTGTTGGAGCATCACTTGCGTCACACATCCCGCAGTACCTCCATTACGGGCCCAAGAAGAAGCCTCGACCCCATAGCATTCAGCAGCCTTCAGGTGCGACATCTTATCTTCTGCACTCATGGCCCGATGATAGCTCATTTCCATTTCGACGTTCATGAGTTGATAGTAAACTTGTGTGAAGCCTGCCGGATCTGGATTTGGTGACCTTCCTAGAACGCCTCTTGCAAATGCAAAGTGTGTCCGAGCGGTGACGAGGTTTTGCTCAAAGTTTCTATCTCTCTGTTTTAGAAAGCGTGTGCCTTGCTCCATGCTCTTGGCTACTTGTGGGAACCATGGGTTAGTGTGATATGACAGTGTGATCTGCAGGTACACGCGTTGTTTTTGAAGGATAAGGACGACGCACTAAAATCTCTACAGAAATTCTGGCCCTCCAACTCTGCCAGATGGTTGTTCCGAGACTCTCCACTTTTCACAGACCCGCCTAGCCGGCTTGGCATGTCGAGATAAGATATTGTCGAGAGTACTCTCCTTAGCGGTAGCTAGAAGACCCTGTTGTGGACTACGGCTGATATGCCGAGAATTCGACCGCGGTACGTCACTCAGCCACTGGCGGCTGTTGCTGCGACTTGAAGGATTAGATTATACTACAAAGTCAGAAGAATGTTAGGTACAGCTGATCACGGCCAGGATCCAAACCAGTCAATCCATGGTGACTGCATCGCCTCCAGGGGCGGCAACGGTGAGTATACCGTTTGCTTCTGTACGCCCTCCCTCGATGCGGTCCTTTATGATCTCTCGAATAGTAAATTTGACCTTCTTGTAGTCGTTTTCCTTATCGCTGGTAAACTTAACCATATCGTAATGGTTTGCATGCATGTGGTACTCCTTTTCATGCCAGCCGATGATCGCAGAGTCTTTTTCCACGATCCTGCCAACTTTCGGATATCCGACGTCTTCGACGAATGTGTATACGCCGAAGTGCTCCAGGATATCCCTGAAACTGTCTTGCAGTCTTTCGAGAACCTCGGATCCTCGCTTCAGAGTGTTGAGGCCTCTTTAGAATGTGTCAAAATATCAGGTATGGTAGAATAAGTAGTGTGTAGCTTGCATAAATTATTCTATCTCAGAGCTCCCCTGGGCCAGTATTTGTACCCCTCACAAATTAGGTGGTTGTTCCAACAGGTGGCTGGTAGGAGGCTGGGAACCTTATTTCGACAGAATAATCCTTTTTTAAAAACCACGCCAGTGGTAGCAGTGGCTGCCCATTTTGCCTTGTCCGCACCCCGATGAGGTGTTCCTGCGAATAGCACACCCTTTGTGGAAGATTTTATTGCAGCAAGGCGCTTATCGACGCTTTCACGAGCTTCCTTGACTCCTTCGCGGTATGACATAAACAGGGCCTAGGAGTTTTCCACATCGATCAGCAATCTTGCCTCTGCACCAACTCGACTATTAAGACCCACATCTTTAACAACCAAGCCTCCCAAGCTGTGAGAAACAAAGATTATCGGCCTAGAAATCTGCGTTTATCAGCTCGCGTTTAATAGCGTGTGCGAAAGCCATAGGTAGTAGAAGAAGACTTTGACCACATACCTGATACTCCTCAAACCGCTCCTGCACAAGATCCCTATCCAGATCTTTCGCCAGATCCTGCACGTTAGACCGTCCCACCGGCCCGAAGAACCGAACGACATCTGTATCGTAGCCCCACTGCACCCGTAACGTCAGCATCGGCGAACGCCCGCACAGTCCACGGCCCAACTCCCGCCCAAGATCCTCGCCGTCGGAAAGTCCAGCGCGAGTACCGTCCGCCCCCACAGGACGCCGTCTTTCGTCCACGTGCCGTACCTCGACCCACCCAGTCCGTGCACGAAGACGATGTCCACGATCGCATCTTCGTCGCTCGTGCCGGCGGGGGGAAAGAGGACGTCGAGGCCGAGGCCGTCGGGTGAGCCGTTGTGGAGGCTTCTGCTCCTGTTGAACATTTGGCCGGGCCGGATTATTGTTGCGCGGTGGAGCGTCTGCAGTGACTGGCAAGGCAAGATTTTAGGCTTCGATATATGTATGTATGCAGTATAACAACGGCGTGCTGTGCACGAACTCGCCGTTCGGGTTTCGCTCCACAGTCCGCGGCGTACGAGAGATGGTGGGCGGTCGCGGCGGGGGATGCAGAATGGAGGAAGTTTACCAACGACCAGGCTGAAGAAGGCACCAGAAGGCAAGAGCTCAGGGGAGCGCAGAGGCAGGATCCTGTGAGGCTGAGGGATGCGGGCTGCAGGTTTGGCAAGTCTAGCGAAACGATAGGGCGTCGTGGGTTTTGCAGGACGCGCTGCGTGGTGCTAGCTGCATTAGTGTGTTTGTGTGTGTGTATGGGTGAGCTGCGGCTGATGGGTGATACAAGGGGTTGTGTATGCATGAGAGACGGTATTGGGGTAGATAATTCATTATGATGACTTCGTTGTTTGATGTTCTGATGTCCTACCATATCAATGTAGCAACCATCAGTCGGGGAATTGGGGTAGGTCGTGTGAGGGAGGTGCGGGGAAAAAAAAGAGTAACACCATTTTTAACAGCATGTTGACTTTATTGAGACTTGGTTTCCAGCACTTTGCACCCATTCACTCACTCACTCACTCACTCACTCACTCACTCACTCATCCAAGGGAGACCGTACATTAGCATGCTTCAACTCTACTGGCCCTTTCTTACACCACAGCGTCTGCTTGATCTTCTTCATTACCTTCACACGCGCGCTCGACTTTTCGAGACCCGCACTTCCACTCGTCACGTTCGAATCTTCCACCGCGCCATCCCAAACCCCAACTCCAGAACATCCCTCATCTCCCGAACCGGTCGACCTGACCTTCTTTCCAGTAGCCACCACCGCCGCGCCGATGCATTCGCAAGCTCTTCGCAGGCCGCGGGTAAACATGTTGCCCCCGCTGGGCCTTGACTTTCCTATCAAGCACTTCTCTTCGCTTTCAAGGTCGCTGATGGACACCAAATTCTCCGAAGAAGCTGACCATGCTGAGCTCCATAGCCGTTCCTCAGCTCGACATGCTAGCAACGTCTGATCCTCCTCTTCTGCAAACAGTGGAGGTGCCAATGGAGGCTTCGGCGTCAGAGTGATGGTGCGGAGCTTTCCTCGAGCGTGGGAGCGCGATTCTGATGGGCTGAAATAGCCGGAATCGCGCGTGACGGAGCGGGGAGGGGAGAGCGAGCTCTGTTGTCGGACTGTGGTGCACATCAGGTCCAGATGCTCGTCGGAGTGGTCATGGTCTGCCCGGTAAGGGTGAGGTGGTTCCATCGTTAGGGGAAAAGTGGTGAACATGAGGTTCAGATGCTCGTCGGAGTGGTCGTGGTCTGCCCAGTAAGGGTGTGGAGACTCCATTGCTTGGGAATCAAAGGTGATGGGGAGGTTAGGGGAAGTTGGTAGATAGATGGAATGGACATGATTGGGGCAAAAGCAAGAGTCATCTTTGTAGGTATGAAAATTTGAATATATTAAAATGGAATATAATGAGAATATTTCTAACACGGGCTTAGCAGCCAAGAAGTTTGAGCAAGTAGATTTTGCAGAGAAGACGATATGTTTCCTACCGATTCTTTATCCCTTGCATGTACTGTGATGAAGCCTGGACAACATTGTCTGAAATTTCCGAATCTTTATTTATTTAATCGTACTTCGAGTCACGAAAAGCAAATGATCGCAGGGCGAAAGGATAAACATGCCATTCTACCTTCAAACAGTTAAATGATCGAGGAAACTAACAACACATTTGAAGAACTGTTGAGCAAAGGATGAAGAACTGGGAAGGAACGTCGAATGTGGGATTTTGGGGACAGTAGAAGATATCCCCCTCACTTTTCACAGACCGGTCACACATATTCGTCGTAGAGTCTTTTCCATGGAGCAGTTCCATGGAGCAGTTCCATGATTAGACACAGAACTTTCGCGCCTACCATCCAAGCTCACCGACTACTCTGCAGAGTAATGAAGAAGTCGACGATGTGAAGAGATAATCCGAAGTATCTTTATGCTTTTATGCACCCTTATCCTTGTGCATGAATATTTACCCGAGATTTGTCCGCCACAATATTCCAACGGCTGCCCATTTTCCCCGCACGAGACCACCCATCATTATTGGGCGCACTTGTCAACGCGAAGGGAGGGGCTTATGGGATAGCAGCAGTCGATTGTATATAGATCCATCTACCTCGATAACAATATCTCTATCAACATAGAATTACCCATGTCCGTCCCATGCGTTCGTTTCGCTCACCGAGGACACGGCCTGTGAACAGCATCAGGTAATTCCCGAGGCGGCATCGATTATTTTCGTTATTGGCCAGGTGGGCTCTGCGGGGCAGGGCCTTCCCAAGTACGTTGCAGCACGCCTCCACCGTTTTCCTTTTCCTCTGGTCCGGGACTCTCGGATACCAGCAGGGTCTCATCTCGTTTCACAGCTGCGGGCATGGGCCATGGACCGGAGTAATCATGAGGGAATGCTGACAGCGAATATCAGCAAACACCAACACCGAATCCATTGAGAGTCTCCCGATTGACCCCCCCACACTCCCCAACAAGCCCTCGAACAAGCCCTCCCCCTCTCCTCCACCTCCCTACAAATCACACATCCACCCCCCCATCTCCACTCCATAGCCATCACAATGTCCAAAGCCGTAGATGCCGCCAAATCCGCCTCCAACAAAACCACCTCCGCCCTCTCCAAACCGGCCTCCGAAACCTCCCCCGTCGCCGCGTCCATCCTCCACCAACCCTACACCCGCGCCGCCCTCCCCTTCGCAAACGGCGGCCTAGCCGGCATGACGGCCACCACCTGCATCCAACCCATCGACATGATCAAAGTACGGCTGCAATTAGCCGGCGAAGGGATAAAAACGGGTCCTCGTGCGACACCGCTGTCCGTGACGAAGGACATCATAGCCCAAGGCAAGGTGATGGATCTATACACGGGCCTGAGCGCGGGACTGTTGCGGCAAGCGGTGTACACGACCGCGAGGCTCGGGTTCTTCGACACGTTCATGACGGCGCTGAAGGCCAGGGCGGAGACCAAGGGGCAGGGCATCGGCTTCAAGGAGAGAGCGGGCGCGGGGCTGACGGCGGGCGGGTTGGCGGCCATGGCGGGGAATCCGGCGGACCTGGCTCTCATACGGATGCAGAGTGACGGGCTCAAACCGAAGGAGATGCGGGCGAATTACAAAGGCGTCTTAGACGCCCTGACGCGGATAACAAAGACCGAGGGCGTATATGCACTCTGGGCAGGTGCGAGCCCGACGGTAGTGAGGGCTATGGCGTTGAATTTTGGGCAATTGGCGTTCTTCTCCGAGGCAAAGACGCAGTTGAAGGCAAAGACGCAATTGTCGATGCAGACGCAGACACTGACGGCGAGTGCGATTGCGGGATTCTTTGCTAGCTTTTTCTCACTGCCGTTTGATTTTGTGAAGACGAGGTTGCAGAAGCAGCAAAAAGGGAAGGACGGGAAGGTACCGTATAGTGGGATGGCGGATTGTTTTCGGAAGGTGGCGAAGGAGGAGGGACTGTTGAGGTTTTATAGGGGGTTTGGGACGTATTATGTTAGGATTGCGCCGCATGCGTGAGTTACCCTGCCCTACCTTTTCCCTGCCATGGATATCTTTATGCACATTTGAAGCCACAAGTTGACCTTAGCCTCATATAGTATGATAACGCTGATTGTTGCTGATTGGCTTGGCGTCATCACCAAATGATGGAATGGATATATGCGTCGATTGCGATTAGCGTCGTTGGGTCTGGTCGGCGTTTTGTTATGACAGCTTCGAGAAACAACTGCAAGCGGCAAATGACTCAGCGTTGGAGCATTTGACCATATGCGGATCTTTGTGGGTATCAATTTTTAGCAGCTCAAATGCACATAGGCATCTACATCCAAATGTCTTTCTGAGATATGAAGAGCTGATGCTTTTGCCGAATGCTCCTCGAGCTCGTCTCCGTAAGAGCAGTCGTTTGTCTCAGAATCTCACATTCTATTCCTCCGCATCCTCATCCTCATCGTCGTCTTCGAGATCAACAACTTGCGTTGCCGCGGAGCTGCTTGGTCTTCCCTGCCCCTCATTTACGAGCCCCTGTACTTGTGAATTTGGCACCATCGATACCTCTCTGCTCTTGTTTCTCAGCGCTTGGCTTCGTCGTTCGTTTTTGACTTGAGTTGTGCGGGTTCTTGCTGGCGAGCTACCGATCTCTTCAGGTCGGAGCCGCCCACTTGTCGGTGCTCTCACGTCATCGTCATCGGAGTCGTCCTGGATTTGAGCATTTTCGGCAGCTTGTATACGTTGAATTTTGCGGACAAGAACGGGGTTGGCCGCGACGTCGTCGGCTGTGAGCATCTGTGGCATAAGTGATTAGCGCTGAACCTGGAGAACGGGTGAATAGCAGCAATGTAAAGGGCAACTTACGACTGTGCACACGGGGCATTGCATGGCCTTCTTGCCACCTGCTCCTCGTCTACCACTTCCATCAACTCTTACGTCGCTGGCATCGATCATGCTCAATATGGCTTCTCTTTCGAAACTATGGGGGCACTTGGTGCTCGTAACAGGATCTTTCATAGGTAGCAATGTGATCGGACACTTGGTGCTAATTCGCTCAGAAGCTACAGCCAGATCATCGTCATTGCCAGCTGTTTGGCTGCCTGGTGCTGCCGCCGCTCCGCGCGTATTACGGTCAGACATATTCGCAGACTGATCAGAAAACCATGTGGATGAGTGTGGCATTAGTGGTGCGTCGTCGCCCGGGAATTGAGCGTCATAGACGAGCTTCTTAAAGCCAACGTAGTCGTTGTTCTGCGCGTAGCTAGTGAGATGTAAGCAAGAAAATAGACTGTTAATTACCACAATTCACTCACCGAAAGGACATAGTCTCGTTCTGATATGTCGAATTTTGTTCTGCTACCTTTCGCTTGATGAAATCCAAAGCGCCTCCGTTCTCTCCAGCGGACTCGGTATCATCTTCGCTGTCTTCAGCGTCCGCGTCCCCACCTCGTCTTCGTCGGTTTGGTCTGAACTGACTCGCCCCAAGCGTGCTCTGGGTAGGCGCAATAGCACCTCGATTGTTCGCGACATTTGTCTCGAGTTCTCTGAGGGCCTTCTCAACGCCCTCTACTTCGAACTTTGCATCGATTATCTTGCGGACACCCGACTCCAATCTACCGGTCAATTCAATTGTCTGCTGCCGCTTCTCATCCATGGCCATCTCTTCTTCTTCATTGTCTTCCTGGGATCCCTGCTTCTCTCGTCTGGCCCGAGACTTCTCGTGTAGGGCAATCTGGGCTACCAAGCGATCGTTGATATCAACCGCTGCCCCTGCTAGGTGGTTGTTTGCGGCATTCAGCCGAGCTTTGAGAGAGTCGAGTTTGTGATTGCGAGGGAGGTCCTGGACGGCGCGTATGGCATTCTCGTTCAGAGGATGTCGGGGGAGGCTGGTATGTGGGAAGGGGGGTAGGTCCTGACCTTTGTCGATTGGAAGTTGCTGAAGGTCGAGATCTAGCTGAGGAGGCCATGGTCCGCTTTGGTTTTATGTAGTATTCGCAATGTACTTATTATTAGAGGGTATCGTGAGGAAGAATCGAAACGCGATCACTGACGCGAACATTTGAAGGATAAACTTCGGTGCTGATATAGCCCGCTAGTTCTCAAAGTGGTAAAGCGTTATTTGACAGTTTATCCATCTCGAAAATCAAGAGAATCTCGACGTCTCTCACTGTTTCTCAATTATCGTCATTCATAAATCATACATTATACCTAACAAATAGTGAGGAAGTGGCGATCCTAACCCTACGACTCAGGAGCAATAATGAAACGGGCAATCAACTAACCAATCAGTCAATGCAGAATTACGTCTGTTCACACCAAACAGGGCTCTGCAGTGATAATACTCGCTTGCATATGCATCCTAATCTTGATCCTGCAGCATGCTTGCGTACGATGCCTTTTATCGAGATTAGCTGAGCCTGATATGGGCATCCCGTGTTGCGCCCTACGCAAGCCGCAACTCTATGCAGTCAGGAACCTACTCAGCCTTGACTGCCTTACCTTAGCTTACCGTAAACAAAAGTCCCATGCAGAGGTCGGAGCCTGAAGACATCTTTCTCTGCTACAAATTGTGACTCTTCAAGACCACTTTACTCAACCTTTTGCTTCTGCATCGTAGTACTACAATTGAATCTTTCTTCTCCACAGCTTTGCGACATTTATCCAAGTTTCTGGACACGGGCGCTCAGTTGCAGGCGCTACAATACCTTGATGGTCTTGTGGTGAAAATCATCATCTAGTACTCGGCTGCCAGGTTTTAGTACTGTCCACCATGGCAGAGGAGAGGCCGAAGCTCAGGTGAGCCACCATCCGGTTCAATCCAATTTTCGCTGATGAACCTTAGGCAAGAACTGTTTGGCTGGCAGATTTTCGTGGGTTCGTTATTGGCATCCAAGGTAACATATATTTACCGCCTATAGATGATCACAATTAGTGCGACTGTCGGGACCGGAATACTTCATGTGGCTGCCAGTCGTAGCCGTGAGAGGTTGTTACTCCATTGCAAAAGTTAGTATCGACATTCCGTGAGGAGACTTTGCTAAGCAGGTCGCAGCTTACTGTATTCATGAATGTCAACGCAAGCGTGAGCTGCCTCCCGGTATGAGCCTCACAATGCTTCGCTTTCATTCGATATTAAACGTGGTAAGTCCTATATTACCTTAGGCTATATCACGACTGAAACGATCATGAAAGGACTTAAAAAGCACAAAGACGCTCTTGCCAAAAGAGTTGGCGAAAATGGTGGCCCCAATTTCAGTCGTCGTACAGAGGGCTGCAAGACATCAACACTTCTGGATCGATTTCAGCCTATTCCGGCCTGGTTCGGCTTCCTCGCGTGCCTCGTTATCGTCGTGGTGTTTCCTTCGGTGACTTGGTGGGCACGCCGTTCAGTTTCCAAAAATTTGCGGTTGCGTACGGCTCGGTGAGCTCTGTTGTTCTCTTCGTTCGTAGAGCGGGCTCTGCTAGTTATCTGTTATGGGACAGCTTCTGCTTCTCGGCGCACTTTTCCTAGTGTCCAAAATCGCTACAGGAAGATCATCTGTAAAGCTGGATGATAATCCCACGGTTTTCATGGAAGCTCTCCATGAGCTCACGTACATGAGCCAGGGCGACGACCTCAATCCACAGAATACGTCATTTTGAAGAGAGTAATGCAGTGGGTGTTTGACAGCGTCACTTTTATCAAGCCAGGATCGCCATAGCGTTCAACTGCGCATGGGGAGCACAACAATGTGGAGAATGGTCACATAGCTTTGATGAACTTGAATGCTAGGCACGATGGGCCGAGATCAGCAGCAACAGATTAGACCTGATGTGCAACGAAGATGTTTTGCTCGAAGGTAACATGTCTGTAGATTATGAAGGTTCTCGGGCATTCGCACGGTGTCATCTACTCGAGTGCCGAGATAATTTGCGGCTCGCAACGCGATGCTATCAATCTGGGTCCCAAGCCGGACTTGTGACTTGTGCAGCAAATAGTGATGCCGAAGTCGAAATGATGGGCCAGCCTTGCTGGCCTGTTAGGGATCAGGCTGTTGGGTAACGAGTGTCTTATGGGGTGGTGATACAGTAAAATACGGTCGCCCAATCTTTGGCAGGATCGGCCTTGGTACTTGTATGCGTAGGTCGATTGGCAATGTCAGGGCACAAGTATTGCGTCACCAAAGTCTTAGCTTTATGCATGATTTCAGCCACCTTACGCCCTGTCTCCCTGTTAATCAACAAGGCAGACACTTGGATGAGATTTACACAGGGCGCTGTCTTGGGCACTGACCAGCACCCCGGAACACGGTTGTACGTGTCGTGAATCATCAAATGAATTACATACTGCATTTGCAGCACACCACACGAGGTCAACGACTGACCGTTCATTCCAGTCTGCTACAAATGCCGGCAGTACTTTCACCAAAATGTCCCGAGGCTCCGACTTGATGTTGCCTCAACAGCATGATGCGCCCAGTATTGAGGCTATGCAGATTCGTATGCTAGACGGAATGTGTCACAGCGAAGACGCCTCGAAGAGGTTCATTGGCCAGCAGGAATTACATGCCATTTAGGCCGACCGTCGACTCCGTAAAATGTTCCCGACCCACGCATGGGGGATCACGAAATCCAAACCATTCGCGATTGCTACCTGAAGGTTTTATCTATTTTGGTCCTGATCGCTTGGCCCGGTGTCTGCAGTCATGACAAGTCCGGGTTTCGCAAACACTTCTTACAGCGCCCGTATCATGACCTTGATGATCCAAACCTGCCATTGGCCAACGAACGGTTGGCTTTCCTGAAGGAATATGCTATCAGCTTCCGCGAAAATACATACGCCTTCTGCCCCGTCATAATCGAAGAGCGTGAAGTCTCTTCTATTCAAGAGGTTGCGGCAGATCGACCACTTCCGTTCACGGAGGAAGAGTTGCCATTGAGAGAAGGGGCGTCTGGGAAGGTAAGAAAGGTTGTCATTGCCCGCCACGGTTTTCGTGACACAGGGAAAACTCTCACGTGAAGGTATATAGTGACATCAGGCTGTGAAGGCCAAAGTTTATTGTGACCGTTGAATGATTACAGGAGATGCACGTGGCATGCAAGACATTCCATGTGGCAGGGAATTTTCGAAGAGCATTTCGAAGACTCGGATGGGTCAAAGAGCCCAAAGAGGATACGCGGATCATGAAACATATTGCTGCCCTAGCACACGGACGCAATGTCATAATACTGCTTCCCATGGCCGAGCATTTTGATCTTGATGTGTTCCTCCGCCACGGTTTCAAGCCCAAACGCGACACATTGGAAGCCGAAAAGCTATACGACTTAGACATCAGGTTCCCAGATTTGAGAGATGACGGGTGGGTGCGGCGCTGATCAAAGAGCTATGCGAACTTGCTTCTGCGGTACAGTGGCTCCATGAAGGGAACGAGGCCTCCCAAAGTCTCTATCGTTCTCTGGCGCACATAGATCTCAAACCAGAAAATATTCTCGTTGCTGAGGATCCAAGTTCACTAACTGGTATATGGATGCTGTCCGAATTTGGGGTGTCCCTATTCGCTCTCAGCCAGGAAGTATCACAGGGTCAATCTGCGCGTACAACAGCCAGCAGCTATCTCGACGAGCCGCGACGAGGCTGCGGGACCTACCAACCACCCGAAACTAAGCACCTTGGAATCGACGGACACAAGTGCGACATATGGTCCTTTGGCTGCATACTATTAGATTTCTGTCGTTTGCGCTAGGACGAACGGAACTCTGGAAAGAAGTCCGAACATTGAGAAACTGTGGAGGAGATGACTACTTCTATGAAACAAACCTCAGCAGTGGGGCCACCCAGACGGCTATCAGTAGTACCAATACGAAATTGAAAACGCAAATGAGACAATGGCTCAAGGACCAGAAGCGGAGTGCAAAGAATCCGCGTTGGGTTCGATGTTATATCGACATCATTGAGTCGACCTTGAAATGTGATCCACAAAGATCGCCCAAAAATCGGATCCGTTGTGTGTGCTCTATCGAATCTTCTGCAAGGTAAGGAAGCCGCTATCCACCACTTCCCACCGTTGCTGATCGATCGTTGGAGAGCGTTTTCCTTAGTGACGAGGCCAAGCACTATGCTGACGGAAGCAGATACCACCGCCTTTGTTTCCGAGTCAGCGTCAGGGCGGCCTGACAATAACACGGCTGGGTTCGGCCAGGTGCACGAAGTGGAGAGCAAAGATGTGGGAGAGGTCTCCGTGGACAGCGAAACTTCATTTGATACAGACACCGCTTCGCTACCGACTTCGGAAGCGATCATATCCTATTCGCCGCAGTCAGAACATGCAGGATTGCAATTTGACTCTCGTGACGGCTTCGGCCGACAAGATCGCGATTCTGTATTGACGAATGGTTCTGGCTCGATTATAATTGCACTGTGTCCAGAACCGCCTTTTCCCTCCCCTACTCACCTCTCTCACAGGTTGGGGACTCAAAACTTGCAAGGTCGACCCTTCAGCGTCAAATGTTCTCCAGAGGCAATATCAAGAATTAGTCTTCCCGTCAAGGATACGGAGAAAATCATAGCGTTAGCCCTTTCATCTTCGGGAGACTGCTCTTCTCTTTATGCATGCATGTCGCGTTTTTGCCACCAGCGGTGACATAGAGACGCCAAAGATCTCTATACAATTAGAGCGCAAGGTTCAATGGACCAGCCTGTGTATCGGCTTACAATACCTTGTAATTTATGGAACGGAACGAGGCCCAGTCTTCCAAAATCGCGTGAGTTGCCCGACCTAGGATCAATTCCCAGCAATACAAGAACTGCAGATAACAATGAAGACAGGCCGTCGTGTTTGACGTGCGTGATGGCCGAAATGTTTGGGAATTCGACCATGGAATTCATGGAGTCCAGGTCTCAGACGTCACCATATCTACCGGGGCCATGACGCCGGCGCCTACGAGAATCACCTCCTTATATATGATCTTTCGTCAGTCTCCTTTATGAGCACAAAACCTGTTCTTTATCTCACTCTCAGACAAAATGAGCGTGGGCAGACCCTTCCCGCTCGAAAAAGGGCTTATCATCAAGAATCTCGCTTTCAGTGCTAACGGTAGATGGCTTTGTGCATGGGCTATCTCAATTGATCAAGGGTGTGACCGATTCTACTTTGGGAGACCAGCCAGCAATCGATCGACCTCTGTGGGTCAAGTTTCTATCGCAGGGTATGATTAATATCAGCTCCCGAGATGTGTACTGATTCTGTCTCAGGTCGACGATGCTTCTACAAAATTTTACCTCTGGTGCTATCCCAATGCTCCCGCCTGCGTCATTGATGAAAGACACTACGGGCTAACCTCTATCGTACAGCCGAAAGACCAGACCGACCAAAATTCGGCGATCCCCGGTATTCTTCACGCTTTGTATCACACCGCGTAATCCTCTCATATACGTTGTCAAATCATCCATCCTGTCGCGTCGCCGAGAAGCTCGATTCGAAGAACGTCTTCTCAGGTCCGAACAAGATCGACCCAAATGGATTTCGAAAAAAGCCACCACACATGGCGCGGTTGGAAGCAAATGGGAGAACATTGCTATCGCTGTAGCTGCGCAAGCGAATCTACTGACTTAATTACTCTATGCTCTTTTAAGAGAAACATGGCGGAAGTCGTCAAGTACAAAATCGACTATGAATGACGCCTATCATCATAGAAGAAACTAGCACAAGAGCAAGAAATGGTACCTCTATAGCAACGCAGGACTACTTCAAAGGCAGCACTCCTTCATAACGTTTTATCATCTCAGCCATGAACATCTGATCGTTCCTCCCAAGGCGTCTCTGGCTTAACCAATGCCATCTTCGTTCAGGCGGCTGGACCAGAAGAACGACCACTCCATAACCTAGTAGCGTCAGGAGCGTCAGTGGAAGCCAAGTTGCAACGTACACCCAAAGGTCTTCTGCAACCACTATTCTCATGATTTGTTGATTGAATGTAAAGAAGTTCAGTCCAAATAAGCTCGGCAGCAGTCAGTCATTATCCAAATCAACGTCCCGAGCCCCGACCTTACAGTCACAAAGCTACCCGGAAGGTAGAAGAGGGATACGATAGTGATCCATTTGATCACCGTGTTGTCCGTTGTCGATTTCTCGGCGAAATCTGCTGTCTTTTCTGTGAGAAAGTTGGTCTTTCTCGTGAGAATCTCCATTCCTTTGTTTGTTTCTGTGACCGTATATTGGTTCTTTGCATCTAGGGCGTATGCTCCCAAGCTTTTTGTAGCGACGTTGATTGCACCGCTCTCGGCAAGATGAGGCTCATCTCCAAAGGAGAATAGAAATGGTAAAAATTCTGAATCAACATGGAACCCCATCAATTTCTCTTTCATCAGGTCTTCCGTAATGCGCAGTGGGGAGATGGTATTTGCGGAATTAAGGGAGCTAGTACTTCGAGGTTAAAAAACTCGAAGGTTTTTGGATCATGCAATCATGAAACAGATGCCTCCATTATTCTGATCCTGGGTACGTCTCCATTGGTCGAGCTCAACACCTGTCGGACATCTACTGCTTGCTCCATCAACCTCGTCTTGTAGTCGAAAACACCTATGGACTAAAGATCAGCCTCCGGTCATGGTGGGCGAACCCATGGGTCATTGATCACCCTCCCTCTCCTCGAAGTCATAGACACGTATTCGTGTCTCATCGGAGAATATTGTGGAGCTCGATTCGCTCCATCTCTGCTTCACAATGGATGTGGAAATATTGCTGCTGATGTCGTCTGACCGATGCTCAAGACCATCCGGGTACTCGTGGTGTCCGGTGACTTCAGGAAGACCAGTCAAATGAGCGACCATCTTCGCGTCATCTGCGTGAGTCGATGAAGCGGAACACGGAAACTCTCAAATAGCGCAATGAGTCTTGATGCGAAGGACGATTTGCGCTGAAGCCTTTGGGTATCTATAATCGAGGCTACGTAGCCTCGTCTACGATCATGCACAAGCATGACCAATCATGTGTCCCAACCTCCTCAGCCTACTCCGTGGTGCTGCTACAACCGAAGCAGACGCACGAAAACAGAAGCTGGATAACAGATCATTACATCATGGTACATCAAGTATTTGAAATGCGCCTCCTCAGGCTCCCGTGGGTCCTGACGACGATCCCTCGCCCACACCGTCCGACTTCGCAGCCTTCTCCTTCCTAACCTTCTTCTCCTGGTTTATGCGCGCTTGCACTCTTGCCGTCCAACTCCTATTGCTCGTCAGTCTGACTTGAACAAAAAATAAGGCTTCCATCGATTTTGTCCAGATACATAGGCAATGCACTTCACCCTCGACTCCGACACCACCTCCGGAGCGCGGAAACTCCACCTGCCATTCTCGCCTGCGACATGTACTACGAATCAGCTGATGACACCACCTCGTCTCCCCCAGCTGACTCGGGCGGCCCTCACGGAGATCCTGAAATCCTTCACATTGGGAAATTTCTCCCGCAGAAATTGCTGCAGATCTGCACCATCTAGGAGATAACGCGTTTGCGCCGGAGTGAGGGTGTTGTCGAAAAGGGCGTTGGGTTGTTGTGCAAGGAGAGGAAAAGGAGCCTGGGCGCTCGTGATGCAGTTTCAGCCTTCTCATGGGACGAAACGCCCGGGCGCATTGGTTCTTGTTTGATTTTATGGATGGCAGCCTTGTTCTATCCTGGCACCCATAGGCACAGAGCCGCAAAAGGAAGATTGATGCACATCGCAATTATCTGAATGGACATGCAAGAGGGACGAACCCCGCACAGCATGGCTGTGTCTATTGGTCAGTCGAGGCGCGCTGCATTTCTGCGTCCCCAATGACCGGAGGCGCCCGCCCACCACCCTGAATATTTGCAACTCCATCGCCTCGGGGCTTCAATTCCAGCCATAGGTCTTATCTCAGCCATGAAACGTATACACAGTCGCTCGCTATTCTCAGCGATATGGAAAGTAGTGAAGGCGCGGCTTTATCAAGCTGATAAGCGGGTTTCAAATGTGCGAAGCCCGACAACAAAAGACATATATTTGTGTCGATGAAGGGTGCTAGATTGCAATGGGCCTTAGGCGAAGAGTCACGCTAGGATCGCATCCCCCTCCCGGACGCCTCACTGTCACACTTACTATATACAGGCCTTCCGGCATTTTGTATGGAGGTGCGATTAGCACTTTGTTTGATGTACGTATCACATTGTTAAGACATGACTGATATAACAAAAATAACTCGGCACTTCATGTCTTTTATTCATGTTCTCGATGAAGGATATGGGGTTGAAGAATAGAGTGTGTAGATCTAGCGTTCGAAGCAACGTGGTTGTTCATACTCATGAAGTGCGGCATGCCTTTGACGCCTGAGTTAATGTGCTGGGTCTCTCGCATTGATGACGAGCAAGGTTTCTCCACCGTTTGGGTCAAGGTGCTGATTCATTCTTGTCGATGATGAGGATGGTTTCTCTAGCGTTCGAATCAACGTGCTGATTTTCTCATATTGATGATGATGTGCTTTTCTTTAGTCGTAATCAGTGTTCTGGTAACGTACAACATATCTCGTTCAACAACGAAGCGTAATTCACGACCTGTAAAGCGAAATCGTTTAGATTCTCAGAGATGAACGATTCCTCGCATGTAGCGTATCCAAAATCCTCGGCAGCGAGAAGCCACCGTCAAACATCTACCCTGCGCGGTGACGCCTAAAACCATAACTTACTGCTTTAGAATAGCGTACTCGAGGGCATTGACCACCGGCCAGAGGACTGTCGCTTGGGTGTCTTCGTGTGGGCAGTCCTCTACACTGGGGGCTAAGCTTCGCTGAACACTGCGGGAAGGAAGGATAGGAGAGCGGAGGATTTGATGCCGCCAAGACGTTCGATCGGTTCTTGATTCATATCGCAGAAGATGCCAGGATGAAAGCGTAAGAGGCGATGGGACGGAAGAAGTTCGTTGCGAAAGCCCGCGCTCTGTGGGAGAGCTCTACGGTCATGCCGCCCGAAGTTATATTTTCGAAGCTTGCAGCTCGAGGGAATTGTCTACAATCTACCCTGAGGCTTTGGTCTTCCACTCGTGAGTAAGGCTTTAAGCAAGACGTGTCGAAGAGCGTCGTTATCCATTCAGCATCGGAGATGGACGGTCAGTGAGAGAAGAAGACCCGCTTGCGTCCTCGGGACTCTCTGCGCTCGCAACGCTGAAGATAGCACATCTTACTTCGAGCGCGCTGTGGTCTTTCAAATGTGCTTTGAGAATACAATTATCGCTATTACTACCTTCTACCATATGTTAGGCATTTCTGCCCTCCGCTTGCCATCAGTCCATTATTCTCATAATGGAATATTGGTCGTCTAATCATGATCAGCTCCCATATTTTCTGCCCATACAGAGTCAATGATCCATCACGGTTCGCCTGGTCCAGCGCTTAGAGCCTGTGTGATCATCTGAGCCAACGCTGTAATTGGCTTCCATACTGACCCGGAATTTGAAGATACCATCAAGTAGCCAGCTCCGACAAAACGAAGAAGAGAAAAAAGTCCAGCCTGCAAACTCACCATCGTCGATCTCACGGATTTTTACACCCACAGCCTCATCGCGGCCATTTGCGAAAGCATCGTCATGAGATTGTAATCGTAAGTGTCTGCACGTTGCGGAAGAGAGAGTGCGGGCACTGGCGTACATATTTCGTCATCGTTGCGGAAGCAGTCGTGGTAGAGACACTGCTTCCTTCAGAACGCATAAATGGTGCCTGGGAGTGAGGTCTCCGGGCCAGATGTCATGTTATTCCCGACAACGTAACCCTGAGCCTGAGCTTGTAGATCGTTTGCAGCGCTGTCCGTGTCGGGTTTGGGTCCAGGCTTGGGGATCATGGGCGCTCGTTCAGAATAAGCATGCTGTTTAAAGTAAGCTTGCACTAGTTGTTCGATGTCTTGGCGTCCAAAGGTTTAGCCGAGGGAGCCGCAAGGATAAACTTCGGTATCACCTTCCTCGGCAGAGTTGCCTTCAAGATTTCAATGTTCTCTTCGATCGGTGAAATTTTCTATGCGAGTAATCGTCCAGCGAAGGTCTCATACATACACAAGGGGAACTAATGAAGTTAGAACGGGAAGGAATCTCAGTCACCACAAAGTTGATGTTATACTCCCAACGACGCGGTCATTGAGAGCTTCCAAGCCGACTGAAAAGAATGGAGAACGGACAGAGACCCGTGACTGTGCTCCCAGATCCCAGAGCGGATCTGCATTGGTCTCATTTCGAAGGGGCAATTCATGATCGGTTCGCAGAAAATGCCATCAAATTCCCAGATCGCCACTGTGTAGTCGAGACCGCATCAAGGACAGCGCCGCAGCGGGAGTTTACCTATCAACAGATCCATTATGCTTCCAATGTCCTTGCACATCATTTCTTGCAGCATGGCATTGAACGGGGCGAAGTTATTATGATTTATGCTTACAGGGGGGTGGACCTATGCATTGCGATACTCGCGGTTTTGAAAGCTGGGGCTACCTTCAGCGTGGTCGATCCTGCGTACGACTCCCCCAGAACCAAAATGAAAAGAAAACCAAGATTTCACCTCTGAACAGTCCTAAAAATTGCGCAGATATCCTCCTGATAGACAAATAATATACTTGGACGTTGCAAGGCCTAGAGGTCTCATTGTGATCGAAAAGGCTTCCCAAGAAGAAGGCAGGCTCTCGGCTCAAGTACGGACATGGATCCAGGAGAATCTCGAGTTGCGGGCTGAAGTGCCTGCTCTGGAATTGCTTGATGACGGCAGCGTCAGGGGAGGATCGCTTGACCGAGATGGCAAGGATGTCTTACTGGAACAACAGTCGTTGAAGAGCACGCACCCTGGCGTGGTTGTTGGCCCGGATTCTACACCAACGCTTAGCTTTACATCTGGTAAGCTGTGGTTTCGAAACTCTGTCTTTTTCAGTGCGGCTGACATTATGTAGGCTCGGAGGGCAGACCAAAAGGGGTATCTTCAACCGTCGCAAGGTGTATATTTCTATATTGCTGACCAATCAAAAAGGTCCGAGGACGTCACTTTTCTCTGACGTAAGGCGCTCCCTCCGTAATGAGTAAAGTTGTGGTGAGCCTGAATCTTCGTAGGCATTACTATCCCTGGATGGCCGATACTTTCAATCTCTCTGTATGTTTCTTCAGTCACTCAGAAATGGAAAGGTTTGACGTTTGTACAGGACAAAGACCAATTCACCATGCTGTCAGGGATAGCCCACGATCCCATCCAGAGGTATGTGATGCCTTTCACCAACGATATCCAGAAATATCTGAAAATGGCTGATGGCTTGGAAGAGATGTTTTCACACCTCTCTTTCTTGGAGGTAAGATGTTTCCGATCATAAACTAAGATATAGGCTGATTATCATCCCAGCGAAACTACTTGTACCGGCCAAAGAGGACATCGAGCACGAGAGGCTGGCTGAGTGGATGCGAGAATACCAGGCAACCGTGACCCATCTGACTCCAGCAATGGGTAGGCCAATTGACTGCAATGTTTCTTGAATCATTTCATTTGCTTACTCGGAGCGCTTGCACAGGCCAAATCCTAGTTGGTGGCGCCAGTGCTGAGTTTCCATCCCTTCGAAATGCATTCTTTGTAGGGGATCAACTCATCAAGCGTGACTGTCGTCTACTCCAAAGACTGGCTCATAACTGCAGAATCGTACGGCCCACACCTCTTATCATCGCTCATCACAGCGCTGAGCCGACGCTAACTAGCTTGACAGATTAATATGTTCGTACGTAACTTCGGAGCCCATATTTCCCCTTTGGGAGCAAATCCTGAGTCTTGAGACGTGTCTCGGGAATTTCTACCCTCGAAACATGTCCCAAGGCTTGACATTCCCCCTCAAATAGGCAATACTGACGCGAATTATATTCTAGGGTACAACGGAAACCCAACGAGCCGTTAGTTATTATGCCATACCTCCTCGGAATGAGGACTCGGAATACCTCGGCCGGATGCCTGACGTCATTCCAGCCGGTACATCTCCCATCTCTGCATAAGAACGGAAACGGAGCAATTACTGATTTCGAAATAGGCAGAGGTATGAAGAATGTACAATTGCTTGCTGTCGACCGCGCATCTCTGGAGCAAGGTAAGCCTCGACTATGCGGCATTGGTGAACAGGGAGAGATCTTCGTCCGAGCCGGAGGTAAGTTCGATGTACATCGCGGAATCGATGCGGACCCACAGCTTGCTGAGTACGTGTGTTTTAGGTCTCGCTGAGGGCTATTTGGGTGATGATCTAAATAAGGAGAAGTTCATCCCGAACTTTTTTCTCGAAAACCCCAATGTGTGGCAGGAAAGTGAGGAGTCGAACTCTACCGGTCACGAGGAGCCGTGGCGCAAGTTCTGGAAAGGTCCTCGAGACCGACTTTACAGGTATAGCAGTTTTTACAAATTCCAGACCTAGGCACATAGCAGACTCATGACTTGGCAGGTCTGGCGATCTTGGACGATATACTGAGAGTGGAGATGTCGAGTGTACTGGGTGAGAGTCACAACTTCCTAACTGTAGAAAACTGTTAACCGAGCGGCTGAAGTCGGGCAGACAACCAGGTTAAAATTCGTGGGTTCAGGCTTGAGCTTGGAGAAATCGACACACATATTTCGCAGCATCCGTTGGTTAGAGATAATGTTACGCTCGTAAGACGCGACAAAGATGAGGTATGTTACTACGTTGGAAGGATGCCTATAGTCAATAAGCTTAGCTTCCACCACAGGAACCTACGCTTGTGTCATACGTGGTGCCAGACATGAAGGAATGGACTTCGTGGTTAGAAAAGACTAGCCAAACAGACGACACAGAAGACGATACCATGGTGGGTATGCTCAAGCGGTTTCGTCTACTTCGAGAAGATGTCAGAGCTACGTTGAGAACGAAGCTTCCCTCCTACGCCGTGCCGAGCGTCATAATCCCTTTAAGAAAGCTACCCTTGACTCCCAACTACAAAGTCGACAGAAAAATCCTACCATATCCAGACGCCGCCGCTCTCGCCACAGCTGCGTCAGCGGGCAGGACAGCGAGGTCTCACTGGACAGACATACAGAAGACTCTAGGCCAAATGTGGGCTTCGCGAATAGGCGTTCCCGCCGAGACCATTGACCTAGATGATGGGTTCATCGACAGCGGTGGTCATAGTCTCAGGGCGCAGGAGGTTCTGTTTGACATCAAGCGCTGGGCAAAAATCAGTATCTCTATGAACACTCTGTTCCAGAATTCAACGCTGCGAGAGTTCTCAAGTGTCATAGCTGCTGCGCTAGAAGCTCGAGAGGATGGCGAGAAGAAGGCTGACAGTACGCCACCGGAGATGGACTACGCGCTTGATGGCGAAGTCCTACGGGCCAAGAGCCTTCCGTCTTCTTTCCCAACAGGGGTTGTCAGACCAGAGACTATCATGATTACCGGGGCGACTGGCTTTCTGGGTGCTTCCATCCTTGAAAACATCCTCAACCGCAACAACGGGATCAGGGTCATTGCGCTAGTCCGAGCCAAGTCATCCTCTGAAGCACTCGCGCGTGTCAAGACCACCTGTGTAGCGTACGGCACTTGGTCCGCCTCCTGGGAATCGCGACTCAAATGCATACCCGGAGACCTCTCCAAAGAAAAGCTAGGTCTCAGCCCCGACGTATGGTACATGCTCGAGAATGCTGTCGACGTCGTGATTCACAATGGAGCACGCGTCCATTGGATATATACCTACACAACACTCAAACCCACGAATGTCCTCAGTACCCTCGCCTGCCTTGCGCTTTGCGCAAGTGGCAAACCCAAGCACTTGACGTTCGTCTCTTCGACCGCGGTTCTGGATACGGATCACTACGCCTCTCGCACGACGCCCATCTTAGAAAGGGACCCTCTGGACGGCTCCCGCAAGGGCCTTTCGAGCGGGTACGCGCAGTCGAAATACGTTTCCGAGTACCTCATGCGCGAAGCAGGACTACGTGGGTTGCGAGGTAGTGTCGTCCGGCCAGGCTACATTACTGGGAACCCATCTACCGGCATCGGCCCTACCGACGACTTTCTGCTCCGTATGCTCAAAGGGTGTATCCAGCTATCCTGCCGTCCAGACCTAGGCAACAACACCATCAATCTCGTTCCCGTCGACTACTGCGCCAACCTCGTCGTGGCGTCTTCACTGCATCCACCGCTCGAGCAAGATGTTGGAGTTGTGCATGTCACGCCACATGCGCAGTTGGGCTTCAATGCTTTCCTCGAAACGTTACAGAAATATGGTTACAATGTGCCAATGATACCCTATCCAGAATGGCGTTCAGCCCTCGAGCAATACGTGTCGACGGAAACTCAAGACCAAAGAGAAGCGCATGCGCTTCTTCCGCTCTTCGATTGGGTGACGACTGACCTGCCATCCGATACGAAGTCCAGAGCCTTAGACAACATCAACGCACAGGCCGTGCTTCGAGCCACTGGTGTTGAGGAGAAGGATTGCCAGGTTGGAGTCACGCAAGAGACTGTGGGCGCTTACCTGGCTTTCATGGCTGAGATTGGATTCATCGGCCGACCGGAAGGGACGAAGGAGGGGACGAATCTACCGGTGATCGGAATTCGAGAAGAGCAAAAACAGGCACTGAAAACGGTCGGGAGGGGGGGTTAGTAGCTACACGGGTAAGGGAGACGCAGAGCGCGAGCAGACGGACGAGACGTTGGTGAGAAAGGGTATATACACGCTATATAGTGTACGGCCGGTGATCGATTGTTCATCGAGTACTCCTGATATCAAACTGGCGGTGCCCTTCGATGCATTACTTCGACAGTCATCCGAGCTTCAGTTGTCGCTAATGTCCGGCCCGCCTGCTATTCTATAGACCCCTAATGGTAGCACCATTATATATTGGTATTTTTGGACATTACCCATGTAGGCATGGATGCAAAGAAGGCTGAGTAAAGGAGTATATGAAGAAGCATGCCAAGACTCGGCCGGGTGCTTTCTTTCACGTCTGCTATCCGGCGTTCGTTTCTATCCGTGGTGTCTGCAAGATGACGCAGCCAGTTCTTACTTTTCAATTTGATTTGTCTCAGCTTGGCCCCACCGGCCTTGAGGTGGGTCTGGTAGGAAACCCTGAGACTTATTTTTGGTGTTTGCCCGATATGTAATATTCACACCCTGCGTACATATGATCCTCAACAAAAATGCGCAACTACGTGATATGGCCTTTTTGGAATTCTTGAAAAGGTCGAATAAATAGTCAAATAGGCCTTCGTAGGGGCTGTGGTGCAGTGGTTAGAAGTAGGCTTCAATTCCATTCCACTAAAAAACTCAGCTAACTCAGATAGCAGCGACCGGTACTCAAGACGCCGTACGTCTCAACAGACTCATGGCTGCGGTAGCCCGATTAGCTGAAATAACCGAGACATCTCTATGGTGCGGTAGCCCAATTAGGTGGAATGGTTGAGACCTCTATGGCTGCGATAGCCCAAATAGGTGGCATGGTTGAGACCTCTCCATGGCTGCGATAGCCCAAATAGGTGGCATGGTTGAGACCTCTCCATGGCTGCGGTAGCCTAAATGGCTGAAATAGCTGAGATATCTCCATGGCTGCGAGGAACCAAATATATGATTTTTTTCTTTGCTCCAGAACTGGTGCCAAATGTTTTAAAACTTCGTATTCGTCAGGAGGAAGGATGTTCCTGTAAGGTATAAAGAGGTCAGTATATGTAGTTCGAAGATACCTCGCTGTCGTCGTCGGAGAGAAAATCGCGTACCTAAGCGCCCCTCAGTTCTTGGCTTAGTTTTTGACGCGTAGCGCGTAACCATTAGGTTGTGTTTTTGCCTACTCCTGGTGTGTTCTAGTTGGGTGTGTGTGGGGGTGGCTCCGTGCTCGTTTCTAGCGTGCACGGTCAAACTTGTGATCCATCTTAACCACTCTTATTGACTTTCGGATGCTGCGATGCGCTATCGTCTGGAATTTAATCATCGGGGGTGATCGACTGAGGTGGGTGTGTAACCGTCGCGGGCGCGTTCCGGTGGCTTTGCGCACCGGCTTCGTGTAAAGTTTTGTACTTGTTGCGCCTCGGGCCTATTGGCCCCTATTGTATTAAAGACCTATGGTGATGGCTGGAAATTGGGGGTGACTTCCCGTAACGGGGTTTTTGGTTCATTCGGTCAATGTAGCTTCGGTTTGGGGGTTGCGATGTTGGTTTCCGGGCGGTGTGTGGCCGGTCCCGCGCCGTCTTCTGTTCAATTTGATTTCGTCATGAATGCAAAAGTTTCCCCTCCACGGCTCAAGTGTATCCGCGAAGTGGAGAAGACTTGAGTGATACTTCGCTTCCATCTTGTTCTTAGAAGCCAATCGTTGCCTTTCTTCTTAGCTCGTGCTGTCGTACACGTAATGGAGAAGGCGCTTGGGAACGCGTCCCTTGGTATGATTTCCTACCATCATGAAGTAATTATGTTCAATGTTCAGTATGCTACTTTATGAGGTAGGAACGATATCTCTTTCTCAATTTCCCGCCCTTCCTTGTCTCATCTTCATCATATTTCTCTTCCATTCGTCTCAGCTTCAACAATTATCCCAATGATTCTTTCTACCTCCCTCCTCATTGCAGCATTGGCCGCCACCCAAGCCCTCGCCATCCCCTCTTCCGCTTACACCTTTTCTGCCTACCCATCGTCCACAGCCTCGCCTTTCACCCCACAGAACCTCACCTCCTTCACCCAGCCTTCCTCCCCCAACAATTTCACAATAGACGGCCCCTACCTCGAGGTCGTCCACGAAATATACAACCTCACCACCTTCCCCACTGGCGTCGCCGTTGACCAAGACAACCGTATTTTCATCAACTTCCCTCGCTCCGCCTCAAACAATGATATCACGCTGGGCCTAGCAGACAGCTTCAATACTACAGTCGCGTATCCAAATGCCAGCATACAGACCTGTCAGCCCGGTCAGAATGTCTCGACGTGCTTTGTCAATGTTCAGAGCGTGGTAATCGATTCGGCGCAGAGAATATGGGCGCTGGACACAGGTGCGGGGCCGGGGCAGACGGATGCGGTGGAATATGGAGCGAAGATCATGTCCTTTAATCTAACGACGAATGAGATGATTGATAATTACGTGCTGCCATACTCCATCTCCGCCAACGGCACGAGGTATGCTCCGCCCCGGGAATCCCTTTTCGAGAAACCGCTCCTAACGGAGGAATAAAGCATCAACGACGTCCGCTTCAACCTCTCCATGTCCACCGCCGGCGTCGCCTTTCTCACTGATGAACAAGGCTCCCTGGTCATAATCGACCTTGCCTCCCACACATACACCCGCCGCCTCTTCAACACCTCCGTCGTGGCGGCAGACGAGTTATTCGTCGGATCATTCGACGGAACACCTTTCTACGAGTGGAAAGGCACCCAGCGCTCCCACGTCGGGATCGGCTCTGATGGCATTGCGCTCGCAAACGGAAACCTCTACTTTGCACCTTTGGCGTCCCGAAGATTATATCAGATCAATCAGACTGTCTTAGCGAATGCCAGCCTAACTGATACCGAGATGCTCAACGCAGTGGAATTCATTGGCCAAGTAGGCAGCTATCTCGAAGGCTTCACTGCCGATGACCAAGGCCGCGTCTACATGGGCACTGCAGAGCAAAACTCCATCACCTATTTCAACACCTCGATATCCTCTCTCATGAATTCGACAATGCTGAACGGTATCAACGCATCAAGCACGAACGCCACGAACGAAGGCGTGATTCCCGCCTCGGATATCGAAGTAGCGCCCTTCGTTAGAAGTGCGGATATACAGTGGCCGGACAGCATGTGTATTGAAAACGGGTATTTGTGGTTCACGACCAACCAACTTCCGCTTCAAGGAACATATCAAAGGAATGATATCACGAAGGCTAGTTTACCTTATAAGGTATATCGAACTAGTGTTGGGGGCGCCGGTCCTGCTGTGTAAACAGAGAATGATGAGATACGAAAATGACACTGAGGACAGACTACTGTACATAGCATGAATTATATAGACACTATTGGACATAGGAACGTCAAATCTCCACATCTTCATTCCTTCCATCCTTCAACATCAAGCGTGCAGTGCCATTATTATTCTTCCCACAAATACTCATATCGATCAAACCACCACGAGTCGACCTCGACACGTGAAAAGCAGACAGACAGACAGACAGACAGACAGACAGACAGACAGACAGACAGACAGACAGACAGACAGACAGACAGACAGACAGACAGACAGACAGAACTTCATGAATAACAGAAAAATGCATGAAATGAAAGAGAAAAAGTTCATGAATGACAGAAAAGTGAAACGTGAGCCTAAGCACAGATGGTGCTTGCGTGCTTACGTACATTCGTGCGTGCATACGTACCTGCTGATGTGCGGATGTACGGATGTATGTACGTATGTAGAGTACGGTGGCAAAAAAGGGGGGGAGAAGAGTTGGAAGATTTGAGAGGAAAAGGGGGAAGGGGGTGGAAGATTGGAAGATTGAGGATGGATTGAGGAAGGATTGAGGACGGATTGAGGAGGGGGTGGAAGATTGGAAGATTGGAAGATTGAGGAAGATTTGAGAGGAAAAGGGGGAAGGGGGTGGAAGATTGGAAGATTGGAAGAGTTGGAAGATTTGAGAGGAAAAGGGGGAAGGGGGTGGAAGATTGGAAGATTGGAAGATTGGAAGATTGGAAGATTGAGGAGGGGGAGGATGGATGGATGGATGGATGTATGGATGTATGGATGGATGGATGGATGGATGGATGTGTGGGCACGGTTGGCGTTGTGGATGGTGGGTTGTGCAAGGGAAGGCAAGGGAAGGCAAGGGAAGGGAAGGGAAGGGAAGAGAGGGCATGAGTCCACGGTACGGTGTCGGTTTATGCGGGTAGGGAGTGGATAAGGTAATCTAGATGGACTGGTGGTTTATTTATGTGTGTTTGTGTTGATGAATAAAATATGTCGAGTGCAGGCTTTGTGTGCTAGGCCGAGCATGCCGTCATGCCTCGTTATGTACATTCCTTGCTTTCACCTTCATGTCTCATCTATCCATTCCCTCGTCCACCCCCAACTTTCTTCCCTCCTCTGCCCGCAGGACCTCCGTCACCTCTCCCTCTCCCTCTCCCTCTTCCCCTGGAACCACCTCTCACTTTCCCTCTCGCTCCTCTCCCACCTCGAGCAGCTGGCCGTGCGGCTAACTCCTCTTCCTCTCTAACCCTCCGACTCTCCTCATCCCACCATTCCTGAAATGCTTGCTCTTCTTGGATCTCTTGCAAGCTCCTCTTGGCGGCTGCTTCTTTGATGATGTCCTTCTCCGTCTGTTGCTGGTAGAGTATGTCGGACATTGAAAGTTGGAGAGTCGGTTCGACAGGCAGAGGCTTGTGGCGGATCGATTGGATTGGTTGCTGGACTGATGATGAGCGTGAAGCCGTAGGCGGATTTTGGGCTGTGGCTTTGGAGGCGTCGGGCGTTGAGATGCTGCGGTTTTGTGTCGGAGCTAACGTTGGGGCAGGGCCACTGGCAGCCCTTCGGGCCGCGGGTGCCTTTCCAGGAACGGTTTGTCTCATCGTAAGTGGCGATGGGGTACGAGGTATGCTTTTAGCCTCGGATGATGGCGACTTGGTGCTCTCTGTACCGAGGACATCCTTTAATGAAAGCTTTGGACCAGTGGATGCCACCTGCCATGGCGACACCGAGCTCTCGCTCTGTGCTCGATTTTCCGCTAAAGTTGGGCTTGGCGTTGGGAAGTTCTGTGGTGATCGAAGCTGCTGTTGTTGCTGTTGCTTCTTACGCTCTTTCTGGGATAGCTTCGTAGTTAAGCCACTGGTAGAAGCTTCACTCTCCTTAGCACGGAAAGAAAGGCCTGTTGAAATACTCGATACCCGATGGGCGGACGCTTGGGCCATGATATCTTTCATGTCTAGCTTAAGGGCAGTCATTGAAGGAGGAGCCCAGGGCTGCTTGCTGCTTATTTCGCCAGGAGATTTACCAGTGGAGTTACCCTGGCTTTTGTAGGATGAAGGACTGGTTGAAGCTGCGATGGCGCCCTCTGTTCTGGAAGATGAGGCAGCTCGCCCATCGTCGGTTTCATAGCCCCTGGTGATCTGCGGAGGAGGCAACAGTGACTCAGGAGTATTGGCTTTGTGGCGTCGATGGCGATCGGGCGTGCTTTTGTCAGCCGCCTCTGCTTCAGGTCCATCATCTTCTTCCATCTCAAACATGAGGTCCGCGGCAGAGCTCTTAGCCCGCAAAGAAGGGCTCTTGGACTGGCTGTTTCGATCGCGAGATGCTCTCGATTGAGACTTCGACACCGAGGGCGACTGATGAAAATCTTCGAAAAACGCGGCTTTGGCCTTAGAACCCCCGGAGGACTTTGCTTCACGCTCAGGGAGCCGAGTCTGCAAGGATACCGAATCGATCTTGATGCGTTTACTTCGTGCCATCAATTCGAGGAGCTGAGGATACTTTTCGATCAAGTCGTCTTCGGCCTTGCCGCTTTTTGCAATTGGTAGACATGCCAGTTGATTTTGGCGGACGACTTCATCCAGCTCGAGAATAAGATCCTCATCCAGCTCGTTGAGGAGACTGAGTCTGGTCAGAGCGATTTTAGCACAAAAGAAAGACTGCGATGCTTACTGGTTCTCAAGCATGCCCTCGAGGTTCAGACAGATGTACTCAAGCGCAGCGTCTTTGAACTGCGTGACCGAGCACGGAGCGACAGCGTTCAGCAGCTGGCAGACGTTGCGTGTATTAACTTGAATTAGTCAGCAACAGTGCGCATGAGGCCACGAGTCATTGTTCTCACCATATCGGCCTAGCACCTTCTGACAGCACTGGGCGAGCCGCTCGAGCATCAATTCATTCGCAACAGACATGACTTCCATCACGAGGTCTAGGAAGGCGTCGAAATCAGTAGTCACAACATCCTCAAACATCTCCTCATCAGTGTCGGCGTAGATATGCCGCAGTACAAAGTCGAAGACACTAGGGTCCACATGCTTCAAGTCCACCTTGATGGCTTCCTCCGGTTCTTTCAGTTGCTCGCGCCTGGAAGAAAGCCATAGACCCGCAGCACGGCCTTCGAAGAGCCCTTCGAAGAAAGGGCACCTCTGGCACATAAGTGCGCTATGAACCTTCACATTTTTACCATCAAGCTCAACCTCTACGTTGCCGTCGTCGAAATATCCAGGCTGGCGGATCGCCAACCCAAAGTCTTCGTGCAAGGACTTTGGTGGTTCCGTCATCACTCTGACTGCTTGCTCGAGTTTACGCATCTCCAAACCGGAAGCTATCTTCATCAGCTCGGTCCTAATTTGACGATAGCGGAAGGCTGATGACGGCGCGTGTCTCGTGTAATGCCAAACGTCGACCACAGAGTCAGTATACAGGTATAGGACGAGATTAAAGACGGTGATAAAATCCAGGCCTTGAAAGAGTATCAGGGTCTTCCCTTCGCTGTCATACTCGATCGTCACGACTTCGGGGATCGAGAAAAAGTAATGCTTCCGAAATATTGCAAGTCCTTGCCTCATGGACTCGCTGCGAGCTGCCAAGACAAAACCATGAACGGGGATGCGGACGTCAGAGAGCGTGGTCCCAACTCGGGCACTATACGCCGTCTCTTTCGAACCAAGACTATCACTAAGATAGCTTGCCAATTCCTTTTCAAGGTCTGGAACAGTCAGCACAGCCCTTCGGATTGTCGCAACGTCATTGGGCTGACTTGATTTCCAGAAGCGCGGTGTTGGTTCTTCGGTCTCGGAGTCCTCCTCTGCGAACCCGTGAAACGGAAGAAGAGGGTACAAATCCTGCCACAGCATTTTGCACTCGACGTCAATCTGGATTTTGAGAACATCACAATCCCTACGGACGGCAGCGTATGCGCCGAAGGTATTGCTTCTTACCGCCGCAATCCTTGTCAAACCGGGTACACGAGAGAATTTGTAGTCTTTTGCTTTGTACTCTGCAAGACCAGCGGCACTCGCGTCTTTGATCTTGGCACGCTTAACCCTTCGCCACACTGACCCAGATTCTGTACAGATTACGATAGAGCCGTCTTGGCTGACATCCACATCTTTTACGGCCATGTGACCTTTCTTCAGAGACCAGACGCGCTGTGGAGGCGATAAGGCTAAACGTATCTTTGACGGGTTGGTGGTTGATGATGTAGCACTTGAAGCCTCTACCTTTTGGCTGACATGTACGGTGAACACATCGCCCATGCTCGACATTGCACATATGGTATCACCACCAGAAGTGACCTTACATATGTGATTCTCAGCACCTTCAGCCCTGGCACCCCATATACTGTTCAGAAAGTAGTTGGAGAATGCTTCCAGTGGAAACGCCATCTTCGCATAGCCATAATTGGAAAAAACCCACACATCGTGATTTTCCAGGAGACATATAGTAGCCTTGTCAATAGCTGATACTGACTTCACGGAAGACGAGAAGAGCGATGCGGCGACCTTTCGTGGCGTGTTCTGGATCGCAAGCGAGCGAGCATCGGAGTCGAAGAGGCCGAGCTGGCCCTCGTTCTTGCCAAATGTGAACAAAGAGCTGGCTGTGTGTACCACAGTATGGATGCTAGAAGCGGCAGCTCCTACCACGATTTCGCGTTTCAGAGGGCCAAAGACCTGTCGTGGCAACAACTGGGTGGGCTCTTCGTCCATGGTGGCGGAAGTATTGGGCGCATAGCCGAGTTGACCAAAGCCATTACTGCCCCAAGTAAAAGTCTCGCCTTCGCTTGAGATGGCAATGCTATGATTCTGTCCAAGCGCAACATGTATGACCTTCTTGCCCAAAAGACCTCCGCCATGTACGCTGATGAACCCAAACCTGGTGGTTTCATCTCCAGACCCAAGCCTGCCTCCCTTGCCAAAGCCGCACATGTACAAGTTGGCTTCAGGGTCCGTGGTAAGAACGGCGGAATGCAACTTGGACAGCTGAACGTCCTGTACAACGATGGGACGATATTGAACAAGCGCTGGGAGTTGATTGGTTTGCGAAGGTGGAAAACGTCCCTCCGCAGCTTGAGCGCTCGCGCGAGAATTCTGAGCCTCATACTCGTTGTATAGACGGCGTAATAGATGGTCGGGACGCTTCAGGAAGATTCGCTCGGGAAACTGGCGGTCGTCCTCATCCCCAAACCCTAGTGTAAAGTTCTTATTACTGCCAAAGGCGAATATCTCATCTCCTTCGATTCGTGTCCTCGGTGCAACTACTCTGCTTGGGCCGTCATTATCATTGGTGTCTCCGCTGACACCCTGAGCCATTTCACTGTCTTCATCATCCTGGCTTCCAGCTAACAGCGGGGCGCCTGAGTCTTGTCTGATGTTCCGGCTTGTGATTGATGCCCCATACACGTCGAAAGGGCTGTTGCCCTCTCTATCCTTGATCTTGATCAAACCACCTGCAGCGTGAGATGGGCCCATAGTCGAATGTTCCATAGCGTCTTGAATGTCCCGGTCCATCAATGCTCGCGCGATTGTGATGTTGCCAAAATACAGAGCTCGGTGTAGTGCGGTCCATCCACTTTCCTCATCCTGAACATAGAGGTCCAGAAGCGGGAGCTGTAGCAATGCAATGGCGAACTCCGATGCATTCTCGTTGGTCGACGATGCTATATGATGCAGCAGTGTGACACCATGAGAGTCCCTCCAATTGACATCTGCGCGGCTCAACGTCACATTCGCAAGCGACTTCGGCGTCGCACTACCCGACGGAGCTCTTTGATTGCTCCAACTAGATCCTTTCGCACTCTTACTCAAGGTCGGTGATGTCCCCAACGTTGCGCCTGGGCTCCCCGCAATACCAACGCTTCCTGCCCTTCCTCCACCACCGCCCTTTGTAGACTGCGCGGAGGCATTGTAGGTGGCTCGAGCGAGCACTTGTCGAAAATTCTCTGCGTCATTTTCGAAATAGTACTTCCAGAGCAGGGTACTCATATGCGAGCGAGGGGAGCGATGGAAGGTCCTTCCAGTCGCCCCAGGGAACGCGCCTCGCTGTAACCTCGAGGGCTACGGCTTGTTTAAAGGCGCTCGGTGAAGGACGGAAGGGTTCTGAAAAGGTTGGGTAGGAAAGGAGGGGAGAGGAGGAAAATGCGTGTCTTGATCGAGTGATCTAGGCAGGCGTGGGTTTGGGGGGCGTTGAGAGACTCGGTGTCAATTGGGCTTGCCGAAGGTTTCTGGGACAGCTATTGCAGGTAAGCTGTATGATACTGAGGGAGGTGTCTGGAAACAGAGTGCGAGAGATATGAAAGAAGGTGCTGCAGTGGTAGGAACTGTAAATGTGGGGAAGGAAGAATGGACGTGTGGCCCCTCGGGCGGAATGACTCGCAGGAAGCTAGATTGTGCTTGGCATGTTATCGCGTCCCGATAGGGAGACGTTTGACAGCCAATGAGAGACATTTCTCGAGGGGCATGGACTTTCAATACGATGAACAGTTCTTGTCAAAGTGTAGATAGTTAATCCAAAAATACGTATGTTCTTTGATCTCCTTAAGCCTCTTCTCTCCCTCCTACTATGGCATGCTGCACTTCATCACTTCCCGAGCCAATGCGCCACCAGCGCCATCCGGCCCTTTTTGCTCCCAATCCAATCTATGTAACAGCCTCATTCGCTGAAATGCGCGACTGGCAATGAAGTGTATGTATAACATCGAGAGATAAGAGTCAAGATGTCGTTGGAAAAGGGTTTGCGATCCTCAGTCCCCATTTTTGCTGAAGAAAAGGTTCAACATCAAACCCAGCCCTGAACGCCAGAGTATATCCTATAATGCGCATTTTAACCTCTAGCAGAATACTCCATGCGTATCCACAGCTAAAGTTGAGGACAGGTCAGTATCCACCTCTCCTGCTCCCTTTCCTCGACGATGCCCCCGAATCACTGCTGCCTCTCTCCCCACCTCGGTTCTCTTCCAGACTTCGATGTGATTGCTGAGTAGCGCCAAAGTCACTCATGGCAAAGAGTAGCGGCTCTTCATCCTCAAAATTGCTCGGAGGTCGAGGAAAGCTAGATCTGCTACCACGATGATCTGAGCTTCCACTAACACTCCCTCGCTCAGCGAGACTAGACGCGGAGTTCTGCGGGGGGGTGCCCCTTCCACTTCCCCTACCGATACGAGGACGGTAGGGTGCGGCGCGAGTTTGCAAGGAGCCAGCTTCCTCGCGGTGCTCAAATGACGAAGGCTGTGGTCGATTGCCCCTTTCGGCATCGAAAGGAGATCCAAAAGCGGATTCGCGGGTTTCGACACTCGGCACTGCCACGGCGGATTCGTCGGGCACGTCGCCCTCATGCATGCCAGCGAGGGCGCCGAGGCTGACTGGCGGCCGGTCATCGACGCCAAGACTCGCACTGCGCATCCCGAAAGGGAAAATCTCATCGTCTTCATATGGCATATTTCGGGCTTGCTGCGCGGCCGAGCTCGACCGTCGATAGCTAGGCTGGAACGGTCGTGGAGAATTTGGGATGTCAATTGCTCCAGTACTTGAATCTCGATTACTTCGAGCGTCCCGAGCACCATCCGTGGCAGCAGGGCGTGGACGGCGCTCTTCACCCCGACTAGGGACACGATGAGGATACTCGATGGTACTGTTAGCGCTTAATCTTGAAGGGACAGCAGGCGTATGAGGCGTGTGTGGGGAGATGGGCTTCCCCGGTGATGATGATGGGGATATTGAGGTTCCGGCTACCATTGGCGGTACGCTTGACAATTGACGGCTTGAGGATGATGATGAACGATGCAACAGATGAGAAGACGACATTGAGCTATATAAAGCATCGTTCGAGTCTCTCATACGCTGAAACTTATTCAAGGCAGCGCTAGTCCGCCTCGTCGAGGCTTCAGTTGCAGCCTGATCGTTGGAATGCCTGAAGCTTTTCAGATCCTTTTTCTGATCCAACAATTTGAGGAAATCAGAGATATTATCATCATCTGTCGGGATGGAGCCCGAGCTGGCGCCTCCACCTTCGGCCAAGACACCAGATCCAGGTTGGGCGTTAGAAGAAGTTAAGCTGGCTTTCCCACTGCTGTTGTCATCTTCTGTCCTGCTGCTACCGCCAATGGACAATTTAGCTTTCCTGTGTCCAAAACTGCTGCTATATCTGTGCGGAGGACCAGGCTTCGGCGAACTGGATATCGAAGACGGGACATCTGCTGCATTTGGTGAACCTCGTGAGGGAACCGAACCGTATGGTCCAAGAGTTGAAGGCGCTCTGGCCTCCGCCAAAGCAGCCAGAGGTGACGCTTTCCCCAAGGATCCTCGTGGAATTGAGGTCATCAGCTGCTCGGCCTGAGAAGGCGAGGCAGACAACGAGGGACTCTTGAAAGGCATGAAAGATACAGATGGTCTCCTACCCACTCCGGGGCCACCGTCAGCGGAGCGGAGAGACGACCTAGATCCTTGCGCTGATCGCGTATTTGGTGGTCCTCTCCTGGATACCGTATCCTCGGGGGATTCAGAACGCGCAATTTGTGCAGCACGGAGAGCAGATAATGGACTCGAGCTCGTAGGTGGGCCAGGTTGGTGAAAAGTCGACATGCTACCATACGCTTGGCCTTGATCGGGACGCGGGATACTGTCTCGCCTGTTGTGAGGTAACGAGCCAGCTGCTTCAGTAGCGGTGCGAACAGCGTAATCCTTTCGTTGTTTGTTAGGGTCTTCCCTACGTCCAAGAGAGGGCTCAAAGTACTGGTCGTCCATGCCCATGAACCTGGAGCTCAGAAACGCTTCTGAGTTGTCAACGCGAAAGTCGCACTGGGTTCGATATGAAACCTGGAGACGAAAGGATCCAGCAGGAGAATCGATGGGCTCGAACACGAATGTATCGAGGACCTCATCATCACTTTTGAACAGAGGTATTGCCAAGTGATCATTCTTGGATTCTTGTTCGGATTGAGGACCTTGCGTGATACGATATTTGAGTTTTGGCAATTTGGGAGCTGAGCCGGTCTTAGACGACCTTTTGCCAATTTTCCAGGCAGGAAGAAGCCTAGAAACGGAGTAGAGCGATCGTAAGAGCACAACAGTATTTTTGTAGGTGCGAGGGTTATTGGTGCTCAAGTCCTGCGGGATATCCCCTGAAGACTGTCCAAGTTGTATGACCCATCTCTCAATGACAACTTCAGGTCGCGAAGATTGAACACTGGCCCCGGCTGACGAAGAGGGGGACTTGTTCAGCGCCTCTTCTACGTCCCATCGTCTCCCTTGCTCATCAATAATCACCAGACTTTGATGATTCGTAAGATCTTGCGCATCGATATATAATTCGATAATCATTGGTGGAGGTCGATGGCTAACAGCGTCGCAGCTTCGCCAAAGGCGAACGTCATTTCGGAGGATATCGGTCTCGTTGATCTCGACATTGAACTATAGTAGAAGGGGCAATCAGCCCTGTATTCGCGTGACCAAGCTGAGGAAAGTCTAGGTAGAAGTACTGACCCATTTGTTCACCCTCTTGACCGTAGAGTCTTTTGAATATGCCTGCGGCAGAGAAACCCGGGAATCGAGGATAGTCAAGGCAGATTTCGTAAAGTAGTTCTAAGATCCAAAATTAGAACAGTCCTTTTCTTCAAGTGTGAAGGGTACCGTGAAAACACACCTGAACGACCTGATTTAATTTGGCAACCGAGTCTTTGCCTTGACTGGCGCTCTCTGGGTCCCGTAGTATTGCGTCCGCTCCTTCGCCTACTCCAATTCCTTGCTCACTCGGTGTACCCCTGCCTGAGCTTGCTCTTGATCCCATCGGAAGCTCTTCTCTAGGGTTATTGGTCCGTGTGGGATTTGTTCGTGGAGAGTTTGCTGGGGAAGCCGTAACCGGCGACGGTCGAGGGTGTTGGTGCATGATGGCTGCGCTGGTGTCGGGTGTGGGCTAAGGCACCAGGGCTTCGAACGATGTTCAGAAATCAATCGTCTACCTTTGCGAGGTGTATATTATATCCAGCAGTCCCATCCAAACTCATCCAATGATTGAAGACTCCATGATCACATGATAACGCCGGTGTTCAGGGGTCTTGACGGGCTGCCTCCTCAACCGGAAAGCGTTGAGCGTGGGCAGTGGATGCGCATGCAGGCGGGGCTGTGCGGCTTGATTGCTATGGATGCATTACCGTTTGTGAAGAAGGCGGGGCACAGGCCAGGGAAGGCTCGAGAACGTATGCTTGTGATACTGGTGCCTGAGAGGGCGCTTGGAGGGCGGTCAATGCACAAGGCTGGCTCCAATGTTTAAGACAGCTTCTGTATCTCGGTTTAGAAAGTTGCAGCCTGACCGCAAAACGCCAAACAGGACGTTACACCTTCATTGTGTCGATATCGAAAGTTGGAGAGAGTGTGAATGACTCGGATTCAAGAGTCATATGGCTAGCTCGGGGTGCAGGGATCTTCGAGGTATAATTGTCAACTAGCGAGGGATTAATGTCATCTCGAGCATTGATTGCATGATGATGTTGAATTATAGATGGTCACAGCATCAAGCAAGAATATTGGAGCTTGATGTGAGGCGTGGGTTCAGGCACATGATGGATGGGACTGGGGACCTTCTGAAAGCTGGGGTCCAGGCCGGGCTGGGTTTAGCGCCAATGAAACGTTCAGCCTTACGCACTTATCTCAACTGATAAGCCTTGTGGTAACGAGATCTTCCGCCAATTCCGCATTGCTCACCGGATGTTGATAGACAATGGTCTACCCCTGAAGGACTTAGGGTAAAAGTTATATTTAAGGAACATTTTGATAAGGGAGTCTTGATACCATCAAAAGATGCCAACTTTCACTGTCGCAAACTATGTGTCAATTGCTCAAAGAGATGAGGAACATGACTAGCTACATAGGCTCGGAGGCCGTGCTATTTGCTACACCTTAAACCATCCAGCAACGGTTAGCTACATGGTGACAACAGTGGAAAATCCAGCTTCCGACACTGTGAGAGAACCCGGAATCATTTGGTCCCCAATTGTGCTGCTCTTTGCCGAAAATAGTCATCAGCAACCGAGGATGCAATTGTCGATCCTCGTTCTCAGGCATCGAAAATAGTTGTCAACAACCGAGGAGGCAAGTTTTGACCGGTATCAAACAAGGTTGGCTTGAAATATTTGTAGTCAACGACCGAGCATGCAATTGATGTTCTCAAACCAAGTCTTCCGAGCGCGGCTGAAATGTTCTCAAAATCTGGCAGAATGCGATCTAGGAAGGAACCTGCAACAGAGAGTTCACCAATCCGACCTTGAGGCATTGTTGTCGTTTGAATCGATCTTACGTAGGTGTTCAGATGATGAGAAGATTCCAGCTAAATAGCAAGACGCGATACCCAGTCGTGGCTGCAGATGGTCATCTAGATTTCAACAGGGGAAGGGTTTCCGCCGTTCGTTGATGACAAACCGCTCGCTCGATGACTGATACCGATGGTGCCACCAGGATGATAGCCCTGGAAAACCACTGAAGGATCAAGATGAAGACGTCGAGCAACCGCCATTGCTAGGGCGTCAGTCAAAGCAAGTGCAACCGTGGTGGACGTGGTTGGAGCAGCCACACCAAATGAGTCGACCTCGGAAGTTGGAATGGGTGCTGGGAGAAGAATCGACAGATGCGGAGACCGAGATTCAAATAAGGGACATGTCGATGGGGTCGCATGGGATGTAACCGCTATAAGCGCCATGTCGAGAGGAAGATAGGGCAGAAGATTCAGTAGTTCCGGCGTCCTTCCGGAGAAAGTAATGACGAGGATTGTATCATTCTGGTGCAAACAGTCAGCTTCGTAGTCTCCTAGGAGTAACAAGGATGCACACTTCTCCTATCATGCCTAAGTCGCCATGCAAAGCTTCTGTGGGGTGAAGGAAGGCGCTTCGGATGCCAAAGCTGTTCATTGTCGCTACCACCTTCTGGCCGATTTTGCCACTCTTTCCAACGCCGACGACTACCAATTTCCCACCAGAGCAGATAGACGTAGTGATGACATTGACAGAGTTGGCAAGTCCGGCTTGGGCAATATCATCAGACGCATACAGGCCTTCAAGCTGCGTTAGAGCGTCCCGCTCTGTCCCGATAACGGATAACGCTGTGGCTAATGCGTCTTTGCCGCTGATTTCCTCGATGGGCCCTCCTGCATCTGACATTGCTGCGGGAGAGAGTGGCGATGTCGGCGTTAGGGGTAGTTGGTATATGGCTGTCGAAGCCAATTTGGATTCGCCCATCATGAGTGGGGGCTGGCGAATATTCTTTCTTTGTGATGAAGATTGGGACGGGGAATTCAGAAGCACTGGGGCGTCTTTGCGTGTTCACAACATCATAGTGAATATTTTGCCAGGAAGCAGAGGACCCTCGGAGGTCTACCACTTCGTATAAAAGCTCAGCTCAGAGAGATAGAGCAGGTATTGCAGTACGGAGGAAAGGGTCCTCAAAGCGGAAGAATTGTGCCCACAATGTAGTCAAGAGATGAAAGAAGAGCAGGATCAAGCCATTTTATAGAGTGTCAACGGCACGATCAGTAAGCAAGAAGTTTCATGAAGTACTCTAACTCTACTCCACCCTCGCACGCAATGTGGAGATAAGGTAGGTTCGTCACTTTTATCTCCTTCCCGCTCTTTGTGTCAGCATTTGTCTTCCAAGGCTTGAATCTAAACCGCATGCAGGAGGTGCATTCGTCATTGAATATGTATGGGCATCAACAGGGTCCAGAGTCCAGGGTCCAGGGTCCAGGGTCCAAGAGCACCATCAGCAACTCTATTCAAGCGCGAGGTTTCACTTGATGTACTTTAGATTGAGTGATTAATTGTATAATGCGGAGAAATCATGTTTCGGCATCTTTCGGCCTCGTGGCAAATGGATTAGAGGCCTCTCCGCATGCCAAGAGAAATGATGAATGCAGGGATCTGCGTCTACCAAAGAAGATGTCAAAGGATTCGTGTGGGTAGAATTAGGATGTACTCGTACGTTCGAGAGTGAGCTACTTGATAGAGCGAGGACACCAATAGATCTTTTTACTTAGTGGGATGTCGCTTGATCTATTGGTGTCCTCGCTCTATCAAGTAGCTCACTTCTCGAAGCACAGTAGGATTTGTAATTATAAGTATGGAAAAATCCGAAGGATTCAGGATCTAGTAGCCAAGCAAGCTATACTACATATGGCTAGCAAGGAAGACCCCGCAGGAAGCACCTTCCGACTCTATCTCCCAACGACATCTACCTCGTGCTGTCCAGGAGTGAGTATTGTAATTAGCGCGGGGAGTTGACCAATCAAACTACTCAGTTCTCCGCGAAAATCGTAGTTTGATTGGTCAACTCTCCGGCGCTATCACGAGGTAACTCACTTCCTGGACAGCACTAGTACTCAATTCTCCGCTCGGTACCGCACACCCAAAGATACCTGTACGAGTATGCCATCCCTGGCAACGAGCGACCGATCCTCCATCCCACCTCCTGTACCGCCACAGGACGCCGCCCCTCTCTCGTCCACCCCGTGGGGGCCACGCAGCGGAACTGCAGCATCACAAGGCCAGTTATGAAGCCAGTCACGCATCCCGAGGCCCGTGCTCGTTCGCATTCTTGAACTTCCGGTCTCCTATCCGGCGGTCTGACAAGTCAAGGCGCTGATGCTCCTCCGAGCCTCTCAGCGCGTTCCCCTGTCAGGTCATCAGTCTGGGACGCGGTCGCCGCAGCTGTGACCATAATCTCGTACAGCAGCGGTGCAATTCATACCCATCCCCGAACTCTTTCGTCCTTCCGCCAGATGGTCCGTCGCCTCGTCCTCCCGAGACCATTCACCCAGTGTACAGGCTCCCTACAAAGTTGAGCAAGGCCCTGACGGGACTCCGATCGTGGTATCCATAATCTACCCTCTGCATCACCGCTCGCGACCATAACCTACCTCCAAAAGTCTCGAAGGATAGATGTTCAATATGACGACGGCAGACTGGGGGTCTACAGATCTTCTCGCCTCTAGGGTTTACATATGGGTTTTGATCAGATGGCATGGGCATACTGGAATGGGTGACCAAGGAAATGAAATTTTGCAATATAAATTGGAGCATTTGTGCAGAAGGCAGGGGCTAGATGTGCATAGCGCTACGTAACAGCATGATACGGAACGGAGCAAAAGATGATGTGTTTGTGCTGCAATCATGGCTAGATCTGTAGCAATACACGAATTGATGGTGGCGAACACGGAGTCGAATGGAGCAATGCATGATTGTTGTAGCTTTCCTAACTAATGTAATAGAACAAGTTTTGATGCTAGCCGAATTGAATTTGTGCTTCCCTTGCAATTATCGACCTGACGAGTTCGTATCATAATGTGAGTGAAGAGATGAACTCGTAGCAGTCCCCGAAGAAACTACTCAAATTCGTTCAGGAACCCCTTGGCACCCACCGCAGTCCAATCTGTAGCCTCTTCGTTGGAATTATTGCCCACCGCAGCGTCCGCAAGGTGCTGCAATCCACCACGAGAAGTCATGCTGTCATTGGACGCTTGAGGGGCACTATCTCCGAGCTTCTTGCTGATGAACGAGCTGATAGGCACATTCCAGACCGTCTTGTGAGGCCTAGATTTGCTCGATTCGATGTCTTCTCGAACGTAGCCAGTGTCGAGAATGGCCCGAAGTTTTTGCAAAGTGGCCACAGATTGCTCATTGCCCATGTTCTCTGCCAGCGTGATGGCAGCGAGCCCAGCGAAATGATGAGTCAATGGTCGCACACCGCCAATGGGCGAGCTTAGCTGATCGACAACTGTGTAAGCGAGATCCAAGAGTTCCGTCGTTATTGAATCGGGAAATCCAGGAAGTCTGAGGGAGAGGAGCTTAAGGTGGGCGAAAGCTAGGTATAAGTGTGGCGCCTGACGGAATGTCTGATACAGACCTTCACCTAAGCGGTCAATCTCTCCTTTCATCAAGTGGTCAAGGAGAAGCTCGCGCGGATGGGAACGATTGCGCTCGGGGTACTGGTAGAGGATAGCATGGGATACATGGCCCAGCGCGAGCGAGATACCTGCACTCCGTTATCATCTAATTGTAGGGTGAAGACCATCATGTGGCTGTTTTTCACTTACGGACTAGGTGGTAGGCGTCGGGTCCCAAAATATCCTCATCGGATGCAACCAGACGTGCACTATCTTCGGCAACCAGCAATGGGCTGGCTGTACTACTGGCATGAAAGCGGTCAAGCACAATCAGGCTCAGCCAAACGCGCCGAGCTACCTTTGGGCTAGAATCTTCATCCTCTGTGCCCCCCATTTCGAAGGCGTGGGATTGGTGCAGATTCAAGTATGTTGCGATGCTGACCGCTTCGGCAATCCAGGACGTGTTACGACTGTGCACGGGACCACTATTCTCGGTGACGATGGCCATGAAGAACAAAGCTTGAAGGTATGCGAAATTGGCATCGCACGTTCGGGCTTGGGGTCCCTCTGCTTTCAAGGCTGCGAGTTCTGATGTGACTCGGGCGACCAAAGCCTCCGGCTTGAGAGCAGAAGTACAACAGGTGACTGCTAGATCGCGTGCATGGAGCAGGGCTGTACGAACAGTAGAAGGTACTTTCTCGAGTTCGTGATGCACCCGGCCTTCCTGGCGTGCAAGCACAGGAAAGAAGGGTTGGATGAGCTTGCCGTAACTATAAAAGAGTTAGAGGGGGATTCAAGCCTTACAGAATTCCAACTTACTCGTAGACCGATGGATCAGGTGCCATGTTGTTCAACGTGTCTCGTGTTTGTTGATGGACGAGGGATGTAGGGTGCAAGACTCTAGGCACTTGAAGTCCATTTGCAGCCGCGTCGGTATTAGTGCCGCGATGTCCTGGCGAGAACTCTAGAAGCTCTTGATGATCTTGCTCGAAGTTTTGTTGCCCCATCATCATACCATGATTTCTGTGTCTATTATATTCAAGCGGCGGAGAATAAGCGCTCCCTGGACCGGATGGATCGTGAATGACCGGGGCATACTGCATATCCGGAGGAGTAGCCCCAGAATTTTCCAACCTATTTACACGCTCTGCTAATTCCTTGATGTACCTACAAGAGAATGAGTATGTCATAGGCCCCCGGTTTCTTGGTATCGACTTACCCTTTGCTTGGACCGCGCTTTTGTGGCGCTCTTCTGAAATCGCATACCTGGTCTGCTCGTTTGCAGGCACTGCACTGTATACCGGGTGTCTCCGACTCGGCATCGCATCGTATCTAAAGAGGTCGGTAAGGAGCCCGTGAATCTGGAGAGAGCGCTCCAGCAAGCTGGGAACAAGATACCTTCTTTCTTCTACATTCATCGCACGCTCTCGTAACCTTTGCTCTCTTTCTTGCAGAAGAATCCACATTGCTCCGCCCTTGGCTCTGGTCTGCGTCAAGTCCTCGTTGTGCAAGCTGCTGTGGCGTGGCGGGCTGAGCTTCTCTTGAAATCTGTCCATTTTGTGTGAATACTTGTCCGTTGTGGTTTATCTGCCCATACTCTTGTCCGTCACCGACAGGTCCTCGCATGTTTGCTGCAGGAGCTTGCTGCATGTGCGCGTGCGCGTGCTCGGCTGGAGGCATCGGAGGTTGGGCTGCATAGGAAAATGGATGCATTCCTCCATGAGCTGCCTCGGGGTCTGGATAGGATGGCTTCGGATCCATCTTGATATGCTCTCGTCGATAAGTTCTCAAACGATGGTGCTTTTGAGAGCAGAATGGATGGAAAAGAAGTTGAGAATGATGTAGGTGTGTTGTGCAAAAAGCAAGGTGTGGAGGGTAATAAGAATTTTAAGGCTAGCGCCATTGGCAGTTGGTTAGAGCTCTGGCGAGCGCTCATACTTGTGCTGATACTCAAGAAACTTATGCTCCTCGTCTACAGAAAAGACTGGATTTGAAAAATGCTTCTACTGGTTTGAGCTCTACAGCTTAGACGCCGTTGAACGGAGATGGAGAGAAGTTGTTCCTAGCCACGGCTTCGGAGTAACCTGAGAGAGCGAAACCCTAACTACGGATGCAGCAATCCAACAGGATCTGGTCTTTATCAGAGTGCTTAATCGTTCTTTAATCTTGCAGACATTCAGATAGTACATGGGTGCTCTGAGTGCATGCTCATGCTATCTGAGGTTGACCATGATAGGCGAAAGCTGCCGTTTTCTAAATCGACTTTTCGAGGCTCTACTGAGCTTGGAAAAGTGAGAATGCCATCTCTCAGAAACCCAAGCTCCATAGCAAATACATCGTGAACCTCGTCCAGGGCTCGTGAGGCAGCTCCAAAGACCTCTCAGAAGATTCCAAGACAAGCCCGCAAGGACGAGGCAGAAGCTTTCTTCATCAAGATCCTCCATTCCAATCTTCCGCGGCGCGCCCCTTTTTGGACAGGAGAACCTCCAGATTGCCTGGAGATGAGGTCGGTGCCGGAGCACCTGTCCCATGTGTGAGGTGTAGCATCCCATGCTTGCTCGAAGGCCCATGCTATCTCCTCTTCCTGCCTACCACCTCTGTAAATCCCTCCTCATCGACCTTAGGTTGGACCTTCTCCTTGGGAGTCTTCACCAGCGCAGGTGCTTCACCCATTTCGACATCATCGTTGTCGTCTTCCTCGTCGATACCATCACTATCCCAATCGGTTTCATCTTCATGGTCATCCCTAGAGAAATGGTGAAAGTTGATCCTCTCACCACTACCCCTGCCCTGCCTCTCCTGCCATTTCGAATACATCTCATCCACCATGGCGAAATCCCCTTGCAGAGTCAATTTCCTCAAACCAATGATCTTCGCGGAGATCTCTTCCCCACTGCCATCTTCAACGTTGACATCAAATTCATCGTTCATGACCTGAAGCATAAATTCCTCGACATATTCAACGTCGGCATCTGGTGTAGTAGATATCAGGTCGGAAATTGCTCCTGCAAACCAGTCCCGCTTCTCCGAAGAATCCGGGCCACCCCATGAGTTCTGGACAGCGAGAGTGAGAGCAGGCCATGTAGAGAGAGAGAGGGCGATTGAAAGGTCGAACTTGCTCTGGATCTTTTCTACCATCTTTCAGCAATTTGGACTGTGTAGAGACGACATCAATATGTACCAGGTGACGGAGGAAGCGCAACACCTCCCTGGGTTTCTCTCATTGGCTTCGACATTGAGATCGACGATGGAGCTGATATTGTCTTCAGCGGTCAACGCACGACGCTGTTGTCGAGGGGGATGATGGGTCCATTCACAAAATCTGGTGGACGCTTATGGCTCGGGAGATCGACATGTCCGAGATAGCCGAGGAATCTAAGATTTTGGACATGACGATTGAGAAATCTCCATCACCTCTCCAAAATGGTACAATTCTCCACATCAAGTATTCAAGTCTTTGTGACACCCAGATATGAAAGTGGTCGCTGGTTTATACTGCATCTTGTGCTGATGTTCTCATTGTTCTGCGTCTCCTAGATGCTCTCTCGTAGGTTTTCGATATCTGCATTACCTACTCGCGCCACCCCTTGAACAGCCATGGTCTTCAATACCATCTCGGTCGGCACTGCAGTCGCACCTACAGTAATCGAGACTTGTTTTTCTCATGTATGGCTAGCTTGTCGCTCTGTTCCACGGATTGTAGCTCACGAATGCCATAGTACCTCAATCGCAAGCCTCTCCGTCAGATGCCCACTGCCCACATCTCGTACCACGAAGGCGTGAATCTCATCCGCCAATTCCTTGCCTATGCTTCCCATCACACAGTCGAAGATGTACAGGGTTTTACGTCTCAATGGGTTCCCAGTCCACGCTGGGTCAAAGTCGACGAAATCACAATACCCCAGAAATGCCTATCTGGAGCTGCGGACGCGGTTATAGCACAACTGGGTCACCATGGTGTTGACAAGGTAGGAGGCGAGGAATGGTGGCAATGGCGAAGAGACGGCAGCGTCTTGAAGGCCGAATGGATTGAGATGAGGAGAGATTTCGATAAGAGGAAGGACGAGAAGGGCAAACGAGTCATGCTCTATGTACACGGGGGTGCTTACTTCTTTGGGAGCGTGGATGAACATCGGTATCAGCTTCAGCGTCATGCTCGAAAGTTGGAAGCTAGGGTCTTTGCGCGGTGAGTGTACAGCTGAAGACTGGTTAAAAGAACAGTGTACTGATAAGTCTTAGTGAGTCTTATCATTGGAACGGAAGTCACCGGCAGTATTGACACGATTCAGCACGATATCGATTAGCTCCTCAATATCCATTTCCTTGCGGTCTTCTCGATTGTCTAGCAGCATACCTCTACCTTTTGACTGTGCAAGATCCCTCGGAGATCGTTCTTGCAGGCGATTCAGCGGGAGGCGGGATGATTGTTAGGTATGTGAGATTATACTAGGAGCGTGCCACAGCTAAATTGGGTCTAGCATACTTGTAATACTACGCGATCGAGGCCTGCCTCTTCCAGCAGGAGCAATACTAATATCACCTTGGGTCGACCTGACCCATTCTTTCCCCAGCGTCGCAGGCGATGGCTCATTAGATTTCATTCCCACTCATGGCTTCCTACAGAAGCCTTCGACCTCATGGCCACCACCCAATACAGATGATATGGAACAAATAGCAATGCATGCCGTTGAGCAAGTGGCAGGCGAAGGACTGCCTAGAAAGTCAACTAACGCAGAAAGGCGAGAGGCAAGGAACAGTGCAGTGCAGGGTTTCTCAGTTGATCACACCCGAGAGAACTTACATCCCAAGGAAAACGCGGATAATCCAGCCGGTACTGACGGTGTTGGAGAGCGACCTGGTAATACGATTCCTGGCGCTGGACACAACTTCTCAATTATGATCGGTGGCAACTTCGTCGACATAAAGGATCAAATCCAAATGTACACTACTAATCAGCTAATATCGCATCCGCTCGTTTCGCCGGTTTTACAACCATCATTAGGTGGCTTACCTCCATTGCTCGTTGTCACGGGCGGTGGTGAGATACTACGAGATGAGCAGATATATCTTGCTCACAAAGCCGCGCATCCTTCGCAATATCCTCCAGGTGATGCATATCTAGACGAGTATCCCGAAGCGAGGGACCTCATCGCAAAGTGGAAGCCTACAGATGTGCAGCTACAGGTCTGGGACGATCTTTGCCACGTGGCCCCTACACTCAGTTTCACACGACCAGCAAAATTCATGTATCGGTCTATTGCTCAATTTGGCGCTTGGGTCCTCGCTCGAGCTCAAAAGACTGAGATTGAGATCATGGATGACGATGAGGTGTCCCTCATTTCCGTGGGATCAGACACCGAAAGTGAAAGCGACTTCGATAAATCGAAGCAAACAAAAACCACCATGAACAATGGCGTGGCTCAAAGGGGAAGTGCCGCGAAAGATCAAGTGGGCAGAGCTGGCGATGCTTTGCCAGCTTTCAAGGATCACATGATACGGCAAAGAGTCGACCGGCACGGTCACATCTTTCCTTTAGATCCACCTTCATCGATGCCGGCTCTACAGATGTCGGCAAATGAAGTTGGCGTGATTAAGCCTGGTCCCGTCGGGAAATGGTTGAACGCTAAGAAACAGTGGGACCAAAAATATGCTCGAGAAAAGCGAAAGGTACAAAAGCAGCGAGCGAAAGAAATGGCCAAAGGCTTTCAGGGTTTCGGTAATGATGAGGTGCCTCCGCCTTCAGCACTAGCTGGACGGAGAGGTCTGAGCATGCCGAAGGAAGAGAAGAAAAAGAAGAGCTGGGGAATGAGTATGTGGAGCTTGTGGGGAAGCTCGCACGATGAAAATACTGTATGGATTCTTCCCTCTCCTCTGAGGTGTTGTGTTCGGTGCTGATAGTTCGCAGATTCAACGTGAAAAAAAGGCAGATAAGGAAGTCAACACCACGATAATATCCCAGAATGACGGTGCCAACGCCAGACCAGTAGGTACTGACCGAGCAAATAAGCTATCACGTTCGCGGTCTCGGCGGCGAGGCGTGACTGATGCAGGTCAAACTGATTACACAGCCAAACCTGGAAATGACGAGAATACGCCAGCTGCAGAATTGGATCGCCGAAGAAATGAGCAAGCATCGAACAGCCAAGCAAACGGCCATCCAACCGATCACGCTCACCTCGCCCCTCCGATCCTCCTCTCCAGTCCACCGGATGAGAATTCTGAGAACGCGAAAGCAGTACCGCTACCTGCTAGCCCTGGGGAGCGGCCTTCTGCAGGGCCGGGCATGGCCTTCCCGTTCAAACTCGGCAGGACTTTGGGTAATCAAGACGTGAATGCCAGTAACATCACGCTGGCCAGTCAAGCAGGTGTCGTCAGCCCCAACCGAGACGAAGAGAGTAAGCAAGTTAGTGACAGCATCACTTCAAGTCCACCAGACCGAAATTCCGAGAATGCAATAGCAGTCCCTCTCCCTGCCAGTCCCGGGGAACGGCCCTCCGCAGGTCCTGGCAAAGCTTTCCCTTTCAAGCTTGGCAGACACCAAGGTAGTCTAGGTATTGAGGGCGCCAATGCCAGTACTGTCACTCTCACCAGTCAAGCAGGTGTCGTCTCGCCCAAGGGGGACGAGACGGGCAAACAAGCTGGGGATAGCCCCGACAACCAGGACGAAGTCTTCATTGACGCACAGGAGAACCACGATCGTCAAAGAACGATAGAACCGGTAGAAGACGCCCACGGCGAGTACGCTGATGGCGTGGACCACTACGACTTGCGCAACAAACTTCCGCTGGCGGGCGAGAACGGGAACGAGCTGGCGAACACTGCCGTAGGCCCAGTCGAAGAGAGGAGAGGCACGTTGGAGGATGCGAAGGGCGTGCTGCATCATGGGCCCGGTGTCATCGGGGGCATTGGAGAGAAGAAGGGCGAAGGGAAGGGAGAGGGAGAGGAAGAGGTGACAAGGCCTGGGATTGATCGGAGCGATACTGCGAGTTTGGATTAAACGTATTATACCCACTCTTAATGCTTTGCCAAGAGTCAAAAATCGATAGCAAGTTGTAACGGCGCTGAGTTCGACGGCGAAGGCCAGGTCATACGATCCCAATGCTGTCACTGCTCTATACAAGAACTTTGAACGTAGGAAGCTAAACAGATAGCAAAGTCAAAAGCACCGCCGTGCGTCCAATCCAGTAGCAACCTCATCGCCCGGCCCAATGCGCCCCCTTGAATTTCAAAGCTTCGGCAGCCAAAGAAGCTAATTCCATGCCCTCCTTACTCCCAATCCTCTTCCTCGTCGTCATCCTTCTTCTCCCCCGCCCTCGGACTCCCAGGCGCCCTGCTCGTAGCACCGCTCACGAGATCATAGCTCGTGTCGCTATCCGGTTGGGACAGAGCGTCCTGGGAGCGGCGTGGTTCGGCGGGCTTGAGCGAGGGCGGTTCCTGTGGCTCATCTGCTTTGGGGTCGGTGGAGGAGGGCGGTGGGGAGATCTCTGGTGCTTCAGATGCGATTGGGGGAGGTTGGGATTGTTGAGGGGTGGAGGCTTTGTCTTCTTCGTCGTCGGAGTCGTCGTCCCAGCCGATGTTTTCGTGGGTGGATTCGGTGGCGCCTGTTGTAGGTCAGTGCACGGTGCTCGGCAGGTTTCCTATTGGAGAGAGTGTGTGTGGGGCTTACCTTTCAATATGTCTTTCCTCCTCTGCTCCTCCGTCTCCACCACCATCCTCAAGAAGTAATATCTCGTCCAAAAGTCCTTGTATTCTACTTTCTCCGGCACCAGCTTCTCCATTGTCCGTCTCAGCTCTTCATACTTCTCCAAATCCTGAGCTATAGCGCCTGTCTTTTTGTCCACATCGAAATCGTCTTTCCACTTTGCATACTCCGCGCTCGCAGGATCGGAAGTGAAGCTTTCCAAGGAGGAGTGTATAGCGTGTAATTGGGCGTCGAACCGCGTGCTGTGGATGACCCGTTTGCCATCTTGATCTTTACTTTCGAAGAGGACTTTCCGTGAGCCGTCTTTGTTGGTCTCTTCGGTGGGAGGAGCAATGGTCACGGCATCGCGGAGGAAATTGCCGATGTTGGCACCGAATCTGAAGATTGCTGCGTCCGCTGCTTCTTCTGCTTTCTCGAGATCCTTCAACCGTTTTCCGGCTTCAGCACGGAAGCGAGAGATGACGCTTTCGGATTCTCGTAAGGCTTCGCTTTCAGACCGCTCCTTGTCGTCCTTTCCCTCTTTCTCCGCCTCTCTACCGAACGTCTGACTGGCAGCCGTGGGTGTAGATGGTGGATCCTGTCCCGTCGACATGGATCGTGCTCGACTAACGAGGGTAGATCTTAGATCCGTGAAGCCTTTGAGGGCTTCACCGCTAGCAGCAGTGGCTTCCTGGCGGGCGCCCTCGTAATAAGTCTCGCCGTGCTTCCGGACATCGCTGAGAAAGCCGCCGAGGCGGGCTCCCCAGGGACTCGATGAAAAGGATTTGTATGCCTCCTTGAATTCGGTGTTCAGGTTGCCATCTTTTTGGTTGGGGTCTTGTGATTTCTTATTGGCGATTTGGTCGGGGGAGAGGACTTCCTCTTGGATGTGGTCGTAGGCTATGTCCATGGTTGGAGATACAGATGCCACCAAACCGGCGGATAGGCAGGGGGAGCGTCTTATGGGTAAGTAGGGAGACAAGATGTGAGATTGAGAGGGGTAAGTAAGGGTATCTCACGTGGAAAGTAAACAGTGGTTCAGGAGACAGGCATGCGGTCATGGAGTGCAGGGCAGCGGAATGTTCCGAGGCTTGGCATCCGGATCTCACAAGGGTGTGGCCGCTTTACTCGTACGTCCAGCGAATGAGCTAGAGGAGCAGGGGTAATATCAAAGTCCGCGCTGTTGAGACAACTTGGAAGAATAAAGTAAGAAGCTTACCTGTACAAATTGTATAAGATCAGATAATTTGTCAGCCCAGAAATTATACAAACCCGTTCTATGGATAGGACCTCTGACCTTAGAGTATTTTACGCTGCAGCAATCCTCTACGCTGCAGCGGTTGTTATTGATTCTTTGATACTCTTGTACTCTACAATAACACCTACTCAACTCTATTCTTCCACTCTGCGATCCTCTTCTGTTCCACGATACTCTCAAAGTTGTTTGCAGCCCGTCCTTCTGCTTCTTCGGCAGATGTCCGTCAGCCCAGATAATATGAGAGCTATTCTTACAGTGCGAGAGGAACGACGAGAGGCAGATGGTGAGAGCGAGACCGACGGCTGCTGCCAACTGGCTGAGTCCGACCAATTTCGACGAGATGTAGGAGGTATTTTTACGCCGTCGTTTTCGTTTATAGATGTTTTTGAAGCTTCAACTGAATTAATAACGATAAAGTAGGTGATTATGTTGATATACATATGGGACTAATATAGAATCGGGTGGGGCTGTAAACAAGAGCCAATGCACAGGCTTCTCATGGGTTTTGCCCAGGCCAAATTTCCCTGCTTTGACTTCTTTTTCGTCAACAAATCACTCAAAAATCTCAACAATCTCCAAGTCCAGCAGTCAATATAGACTTAGATCTTCAAATATGTCCAGAGCTTCGAATCTGTTCAGAGGACGCGAATACGTGTACGTCAGTTTTGGCTTCCTTGGATTCCGCTTCTCAGAACGATGAATCGGCCTTGAAGAAGGTTTAATGTCGCGGTTCAACCGTTCTGCTCGTCTGACAGCTGCTTTGTCGCTTAATATGCGGCGGCGCCACGAGTGAGCCGTTCATCTCGCGTCGTATTGTATGTTCCAGAATCCAAAATATCGATGTACGTCTCTTTAATCATACCAAAAAAATCGCATCGCAAGAAGCGTCTTCTAGTGGTTCCCAGCCTTCGTATTCATCAGCACCGTCAGGAACGTATGGCGTCGTAGCTGCTTTCATGACTGGGAGTGAACTTCGATTCGAGGGCAAATATCCATCCGTCAGATCTTCCTGAATAATCCCGAAACAAGAGGCCTCGTCACAACCGTGTCGCTATTCATCTTCCTCTAGTATGCGTTGTCATGTCCACTCTGCATCCTCACTGTTTCTTCTCTTACCCCCCTTTTTCACGCGTTGCTTTGCTGCACAGTTTCGTGCTGTAAGACGTCCGCATGCGAGACCTTCTGAACTTGGCACTGTGTTCGCCCCTGAAGCCAACGTCTTTCCCTATGCCGCAATTTGGTGATCTGGCCTTCCTCAACATTGATCCCAGTGGCGGTCGCTTGAGAGGGACCTCAAAAACGCGGACTCCGCAACACCGCTAACCTCCCATCGCAGGAAGGCGAAGTCCAGCTGGAGTGCCTGTTCATATACCACGGCCTCGTTAGTTGTTTTCGCACCGAATGTGTGAACTTAGTCCACTGCCCAGTCAAGACCAAGGCAACTGTTATTGTCCCGATTTGAAGCCACAAGCGTAGCCAGATCACATGCTCAGCAACCCTATGAATCAGAGGCTGAATCTCTAGCCTCTGTACATCTTCTTCTGGTCTTTGAAGAGACCTTGCAGCCAATGGATCGAGGCCAGGAGGTGGCGGCAGTCCTTTTTCGCTAGTACCAACGGTGCACACGAAATGCCCTTCATACTCTTACGAGCTGCGGTAAGCTGGTTGCAGTATTTGGGCTGGGTAGCGCCATTGCTTGCACAAACCCAATGATTGCAAAAGCTGTGCTTGCAAGCTTGAACATCTTGAATGTAGCTGGAGTAAAGAACTGCGGCGTGCAGGAGGGAACACAGAAGCTGGTTCCTCGGTCGAATATTGGAGCGTTCGAAGGATAGCAGCTGATATGGAAAAGTGCAAGAGAGGACTGCGAAAAGGCTGAAGGATGACAAACTCAAGGGAGGGTTTCAAGCCTATATAAGTGTTCGAATGCCACCGCAGGAGCAAATTCAAGCTTTCAACGGATCCCATCACCTAGAACGCGAGATGTAATTATGATCTCATCCCATTCCACTCAGATACTAGCTAGTCTTTGTAGTCTGAGGGTTCCCTACAAACTGTGCATGAATAATGCCAATCCGCTACCACATGCATGATTGATGTGGCTTCGTCATGCGGAAGAAAGACGCAAGCTTCGGCCATGCTCGAGCGTCCCAGTTACCAAACCATCAAACCTAGGCTGAGATCTTTGGTGCTGCCACGCTGTGTTTCCCGCGGGTCGCCATCATGCTAGTGGAGAAGATGGGGCCTCGGAGAATGGAGATGCAACGCTGATCTATTCGCTATGCGGAAAGGTACAGAGGAAGCTGGTAGCAGGGATGATGAGCAAGAGTGTAGATTGGAATATCTGAGCTACTATGGGAATCTCTGTACGGGGCGTCAATGTCAAGTCTTGTACCTTGGCTGCCCATGAGGAGCCAGGTTTATCATCAAATTGGGAACGTTGGCAGCCAGGAATCGAGTCAATGTTAGAGCATTGAAATAGAAAGGGTTATGGAATGTGGGCATGTTTGACATAGAAGCTGCGAGGCTGTATCCGTTCGGCTCTGGCAGGCTGCTGCAGCAGCAGTTGCGGCAATGAGAGTAGCCCGATCATTGCTTTTCATGCAGCCTTCGTGATGAACGCGGATCACTGGCGAAGGGTGCATATGGTCGGTGCAATCCACGTGAATCTTAATCTTTGAACGGCATTAGCAAAGTGTTTTTTTTTGTAATTTCGGAGCCTCCGAGAGAAAATGAAAATGCGTGTCGATACGCAGAATGAGGGTCATATATCTAACATTAGGTGTCCCGTCTTCCCTGAACCTTTCGTGCCATCAAGAGCCTTTCACTGCCCGTCAATGGCGTCTGAATTGAGATTGATCTGTTTCTCCTCGTACCGCCGTAGCAGCTCCCATGCATGCACTGCCCAAATTCTCTTCCCGTGCTCATGTCCCCCTTCGCCCCCCTCACTCAAACCTGCAATATCTGCTCCACGCTTAGACGAAAATAGAAGAAAGGAGTGTTTACGGCCGTTGTAAGAAAGCAAGACGGAGTGAGGTCTGCATGCGAATCATGGTCTTCTCCGGTAGGGTACTGACATGCCCAGCGTCAGGACTTGCATTTTTTGATCGCAACGCAACGGTAGTGGTAGTGTTCCAGGGTCAAAGACCTCGATTTGCTGGTGGCTTGTTCTAGTAGAGAGTGTAATTGCGAAGACTTTGAGCAAAGCGAGGATGAGGTGGATTGTCTCATGTTGTTTCTGGGGTCTCTCGTCCTCCTTTTTCTTGTTCTGCCCTGCATTGCTCCAGATACTTGAAGACTCTGAAGCGTCTGTTTTGCTTTGCTATCATCGGTGGTGTTCTTCCCTTGTGATCCCTGAAATTGAGAGAAGCTCCAGCATTGACCAATATCTTTACTTTGTCATACTCACCGTATTCAGCGGCCTCACACAGTGGGGAGTGTTTCAGCATCGGTCCGCCATCGGGCAATGCACCGGCAGCAAGCAGTATTTGAACCGCCAGCTCGTTGCAATAACGGACTGCCACCACCAAAAGAGTCTCGCCATTGGGGGCGGCGACATCGGGCTCCACTCCACGCCCTATCAGGGCTTTTAGTAGGTCGATATCATCCCCTAAAACTGCATTGCGAAGCCTTGCAATATCAAGCCATTTCTCTGGAGTGCTTTTTAATCCACAGAATTCCGAGAGTTTTTGAAGAAATTTCACATCTCCAAGACTCGCGGCAATCCTAAACAAGTCTTCAGTGACTTTCAAACCGCTGCTAAGCCGTAATGGCGTCGGAGATGAGCATTTGACTTTGATACCTCCGTTCATTAAAAGTATCTCTGGCACGCCTTCTGTCGTATCTGCTTGGAGGCCTTGCTGGAGTAGCAGGTCGAAGAGAATACCCGCATTGTGCACATTGGCTACAATAGCTCTCATGGTTTCTTCCCCAATCTCGACACTGTCCACGTCGTCCAGCAGGGATTTGAATGTGGTATAATCATTACTTCTGGCTGCTGCATTAATCAGGTCTTCTTGAACTGGAGACCTGGGATATCGATTCCAGAAGAATCGGAAAAGGGTCACCGGCCCGCGTTCCGCAGCCAATCGGAGTACGTCAGCCGTAACAGGAACATGCAAAGACTTCTCCGCCACAGCACGTAGAACATTTCTTTGAACATCGTCAGAGTTACTCAATGCACTAATCAAAACCTCTTTCGTAATCTGCACAGGATCGGTCCTGTCGAGCAAGAGCTTGACCGTGCCGAGCACTGCTCTGTGGACGCACTTTGCCAAAAGACTCTCTGTCATACTGATCCGACCAAAAGTTTCTTCTAACACCTGAATCACTTCGGTCCCCTTGCCGTCATTTCCTACTGCCTCGACCAGAACGTTTTCTGGAAACTCAGTAATCTCGGCTCTCGCCAGCAGCAACCTCACAAGCTCATCACCACAGGACCCATTCGCAGCAGCCGTTTTGAGGAGACCCCCCGGGATTCGCTTGATCTCCGATCGTTCCAATATTTCCAGTACAAGGTCAACGTTGGAATATTGCGCCGCGCAGATAAGAACATCCTCAGTCAAATCGGCCGCTCTATCTTGCTCTAATAACAATTGCATAACTTGAGATCCTTGCTTGCAGTTGCGGGCTGCAGCCATGAGAACAGGCTCGCTGATATCGGCTTCACCTCTTCGCTCTAGAAACATTTGGATCAATTCCATTCCGCTATGTTCATCGCCAGCTGCAACCAAGAGCATGTCCTCGGTGATCTGCACTTCACTCGATCGCTCCAGGAACATTTTTACTATGCCTAGCCGGTCGGCGGATGGGTTGGAAGTCGCAGCCAAGAGCATGTCCTCGGTGATTTGCACTTCACTCGATCGCTCCAGGAACATTTTTACTATGCCTAGCCAGGCGGAGGATGGGTTGGAAGTCGCAGCCAAGAGCATGTCCTGAGAGACCCTTACATCTTTCGCGCGATCTAGCAGCTGCCTCATACGCTTATACTCCCAAATCTCTCTTGCTAGTTGGTGAATCAATCCAGGCATCTCATTAGCAATGGTAGTATCGTCAACATGATCCAGAAATAAACTCAGCACGGCGTTGCCATGGACATAATTAAGTGCCGCTAGTTTCAGCCTCTTCATGTTGATGCTGGATTCATAGCCTTGTTCGAGTAGCACTTGCCATAGCTGTGCGTCACAGTAGGACGCTGCCACATCCAACACAGTGTCTGTGACCTTTCCTCCATGTCGTAGCATCAAATGGAAGATTGTTCCGCCTGTCTTTGCAGCTTCGATCATGACTTCTTCTGTGGTGTTGCCAGCGCCGCCCCTTTTCAGCATTGCCTCTACAACACGCTCACCGCTCCATGCTGCAGCGAACGCCATCACGCTCGGAGTAAGACCAGATTCTGCCACTCTGTCCAAGAGAATGACTAGCTTCTCCAGATATGCGTCGGTTCCCGGTTTTGAAGCCTCAAAATTGCTTTGTAGCGTCCAAAATTGAAAAGCATACGTTCCGTAATTACGGGCTTCGCTGCCCTGGCTACCAGCAGTCTGAAATTAACTTGACTGGCGTATTCTAGAGCGAGTTCAAGTAGTCTTTCCGTGATTGCCAAGCCAGGGTACCTCTCCAAAAGCATGGTCAACTTCCCATCGTCCCGGTCATTAGCAATGGCAGTAATTATACGATTGGTGATTATGTTATCAGGAGCCTCATCTAGTAGCGAAGCTAGTCTTTCCTTTTCCGAAGCGCGTACCGCATGGAAAAGCACTGGCTCAGTCATTACCCAATCTTTTCTGTCTTCTCTAATGATATCAAAAGCTTCATGGTGCGCAGCCAATGCCGCCAAAATTAGACCTTGATCCTTCGTTTCGTCACCCAGTCCTTGGTGTCTTACGCAAAGCGTAATTATCTCACTAAAGCCGAAATGGGCTGCGACAAGAAATGATTTAGAGAGAGAATCGGAACAGCAGGTAAGAGATTCTTGGAGCCTTGAGTGGTGCTTCGGCTTTCCACCCAGGTATCATGCGGTTACAGTGCCATTGTACCCAAGCGTTTAGCGGCGAGCCAGATCCTAGCTTGTCTGAGAGGAAAAAACGGAAGATCCGCCCGAACTGAGTGTCGTCCGACCTGTTGCGCTGTGGAATTTGTTGACAGTATTCGGTCCAGAAGGTGTTGGCGTACCTAAGAAATTCCGCACACGATGACGATTCTGTATTACCTGAACTCCCACGGAGACGGATACAGTGTAGATCGCTCATCAATTGCTCTGCGACTGGGCAATTTGAATACGCAACCATTTGCAGCAGGCAGCACTCGGCGGCGAGAGTGTAACACGAGACTTCCGCGAATGCCGGCATTTTTTCAAGAAATTCACGAACAGAGAGATGGGCGAAGCGAAATATGTCCAGACCTTCGTCATATACGACAAAGTTATTGCAGAGTTCGAGAAGACTGTCCACGGAAATGTCTCCTTCAAAGGTCTTCAGGTTCGCTGCCACCGCCACCAGAAATTCTGAAGCATGCATCTCCTCTCGGGCGCAAAGTAGCCATTTCAGGGCGTTGTCGATGATTGACCGACAAACTTCGCCTGGGCGCGAGATCAAGTTGTTGTAGGCCTCGACGTACAGCTGCTCCAATTTTGGGGGAAGCCTTCCCAATTGTGCCCGGATATCTTCATCACGTATCAGCGGTCGGAGGACGCCGAGTTGGAGGCTTGCCCATCGGAACATGCCGTCAGCGCCCTTGCAAACTTGGTCAATAATCAACGCTGTCATTTCTTCTTTCGCTCGACTGTTGCGTAAGAGCTGTCCCTTGTTCACAAGTTTCTGTGCCTCTGTCTTGACATAAGCTTCGATGTCAGCTGTGTTTTTGTCAGAAGAGATATCCAGATTTGGATAGCGCCGGAGAGTGCAGACGATATCCTGATCATCACGGCTGGAGACAAAAATCTTGACTAAGCCTACTGACTCCTTCAGGATATGTTCAAATGCATCAAGAAGGCTTTGCCGCATTTCGGCGTCGCATTCGTCAAGAGCATCCACAACAATTATGGTCATGGTCATACTGTGGTCCTCGATCAGCCTGATGATCAGATCCCGGCTGTCATCTAGTCCGAGACCGTTGGACTTGAATCCTTCGCCTTGTCTTTTGTACTTCTCGATCACCGGACTAAGAAGGGGTGCATCGGGCGGGACACATGATAGCTGCCTAAGGATACTGGCAAGAACCGTGTCCGGTTTTGAGCGTTCGGGCTCGGCCGCGCTCCGAGTGCAGTAGAAATAGACGGGGAGAGCGCTCTGGCTGGCTTCAAACCTCTTTATCATGTCCTCGACGACAAGCGAACTATTTACCAACATACAGTCAGTACCACGCCTCTTTGATACATATACAGAACCCCTGGTATTCTGGACTTACACTAGGGTACTCTTGCCGGAGCCTTGCTTTCCGTGAAGCCAGAGCAAAGACGAAGCGCTTTGCTCATACCATTTAATGTACTGTGGGTCCTGCAGCAGCCATTGACCTGATCCTGGAAGAGCTTGTTTCTTGATCTGCTGGTGATGCTCCAAGTAAGGCTGAGACGATAACCAGCGTAATATCTCCACACGCTCTGTGTCTACACAAAACGTCAGTCAACATGGGCCATACGTTGACATAGAGGTTTTTACGCTTTAAATGATCTTGGAGACTGTCGAGCTGGGGACTCATTCGGCGAATCGGACTGTCGATGGACTGCAGAAGCTCCCGAAGCTTCGCATGCATTTCCTGGTGGTCTGGCAAGGATTAGGTATCAAGTCTACAGAAAATCTGGCATGTCTTCTCACCGATTGACAACGACACAAGCGTGTTACTAATGTCGCTGCTGCCTGTATAGTATCGTATTAGCAGTCTTCCGACCCGGATAACTTGAACTTACGCTCTGCATCTACTAAACTTGCCTCATGGTCCACATTCGCTGTATGCTTATCAATGTTGCGAAGTAATTCCTCAAAATCACTTTGAGACGTGAGCGCGGCTTTGAACATGCGTTCTGCGATTGTACTTAGCCACAGTATGGGAATTTTCGTGGGGAAAAGACCCACTTGGCGTATGCTCCTCAAAGTATCTTTTTGCTTTGGCAAGATAGATCAAGATAGCAGCATACAGCCTTACGAGCGCATCTTTGAGCCTTTTCATGGCGCGAGAAGCTGTGCTATTATACGGCAGGTATATTTGCTCGAACGTAGCATAGCGCGAGATACTTCGAGCCATTGTTTCGGCGCCTTCCACAATGAAGGCAAAGTTGGTGATATCGCTTACGGCAAGCTGGTCTGGCTTTTAGCTTGGTGAATAAAGGGAGGTGATATGCATACCTGTAACAAAAAGCGTATACCAGCCCACGGCAGTGCAGCGTGTACAGGATCATACTGAATCACGATATCTCCGATTTCTTTGAAACGATCAATCCAGACAACAATCTTGGTGAAGAGATCTCGAAGAATAACAGTCTGGCCATCACCGGGTCGATGAAATCGCCACCGTTTCTCGATGGATTTCTCCCTCGCACTGATGACAAGTTGCCCCAGGTCGGACAGGACCTCCAATTTGTGTTGGCCATCGAAAGTAACCAAATTTCTATCCCCTTCATTTAGTGTCTTTAGCGCGGCCGCCCAGAGGTCGCTGCTATCCTTGCTCATGATGGTTTCACGCGACCAGAAGCCGGAAAGTTCTGGTGGGGATGAGCTGAAGTCAGATCAACCATCAGTGCGGGGTAGATGCATGAGGCTGACTGAGTTACGTTGCAGGAATCTGTCGGCTATTTGGCGCACCATCCAATTACAGGCCTGGGAAAACACGCAAGGTTTCGTGTACACAACAGAAGTGATTTTACAATACCATTTTATAGACAGTATCAGTTTGGGCAAAAAGGTTGCTGAGCATTCAAGGAACGACAGCAATACTGAGAATCCGTCTTAAGAAGGCAGGCAAGGAGCCGAGACTCTTGAACTTCCACCACATCCACGTTCGTTGCCCGTCCTGGGTACGGCTTGCGATGACGAAACATTGTCATTGCATTGAGACAGGAGTGGCGATGTGAGGATCGTCAATGATAGAATGATTACGTCGTGATCACGGAACTTCCGGGCTTGTATCTCCACAGGCGCGTTACCGTCCGTCATCTGTCTTGAAGGCACCTACACTCTGATAGCCCACCAAAATCTGTACGAATTCAACCGCCGACAGAGGTCATTATATAGGTGACGGCGTTGCTGCGGGCTGATGCTCTTCCCTTTCTAAATTGTCTTCCAATTCAAAACAGGGCACGCAACAGAATAAAGTCATTCCGAAAAGTACGAACCGTTGACGTTCCTCGCTTCTAGCGAGCAATTCGGGTGAGCAGAGTCACAGAACCCCAGCAGTAACCTTGGACATGGCTGCCGTGACGGGCATAAAGGGAAGCGGTGCGCCTATGACCGGAATTCTACAACCTCGCTTTCCTCCTCGATCCACTCTCCACTTGCCTCTATCCTAGACAATTGTCAACGCCTGCTCTCTGTGTGCTTGAGGTACTACTGGTGTATCAATTTGTTCAAGTTACGTTAGTGAAGTCTCTCTCGATTGTGCGAGTGGTGACAACATGCCTTGTAGATGCGAAGTATGGCTTTTGTGTTCAGGTTCCTATCTACTTACATCTCCCTGATTTGCTGATAGATTTCGATGGGAACGGGCATAGAACTCGGAGGCTAACACATGCCCAATATGTGCGATGTATGAAGTGTCGAATATGCGAGCTCATCGATAACCATATCCCCAATGTCCAAGCATTTGGCTAAGCCGTGTTCCATCATTCTTGTTCTAACTCGCATCAACGCCTTTCCAAGTAGATTCTGACCCCATTCCTGTCTATTTGTTTCAGCATGGTTTGCGAGAAACCCAACACCACACCCCAGATTACATCCGACGACGCCTGGAAAAATTCAGTGCGCTCCCTATCTGTTATCGCATTCTCACAATCGCACCTCAACGAGCTCTCTATTCCCCGTTTTCAACAATTTATTCCTTGAAGACTCATCTCTCGAATTCATGAAATTGTGCCAATTTCCGTCTTCAACGATCTTCTCCCTATTCATGTACCACAAAGCTTTATGATATCCTTTCACTCGCCTTCCTAGAGTCTGGTGCTCGGCTGGACACTCGGTGGCCATGATTAGTGCCGCCGTTTCTGTGTCTTTAAAAAGCATGGCTCTGTGGTATATCATGTGTTGCTCGGTACACACAATGGTCCCGGAAGACTCGGAGACCGGAGATGGTGCCGTGAATACTGAAGGATACCACTGGCAGAGGAAATCATAAGGCTCTTCGCTATGAAAACAGAAGAATACGGGCTCATCTGTTAAAGGCAAAGGCGTTGACATGATTTGAGCAATGACTTGAGAAAATGGCCCGCAAAGAGGTAAATGTGAAGCGCGATCGCTGTTTCGCTCTGCGATACTTGAGGATGCCAGGAACCAGGCATGCTGGTGAGATCGTTCTCTACATATGTTCACCTCTACGTACACCCCCATATACGGTCCGATATCCCGGAGTCCGACCTTTCTTCGCGCCCAAACGCGCGCGCAGGGGGCGAAACGTCCAGATCGACTCACTGCGGGTTTTCAGTTTGATCCGCTGCGGAACGTAATTGACGCATATATTAGCGTAAGGTACCCGTACGTGGAGCATCGCGGTTAGAGTTCTCGAATATTTCCTATTACTCCATGCTTCTTAGGCCTAAAATCGTTGCTGAATATGTGAACTCCCGTCATTTTTGGAAGCATTCATAATAGGAGCGCCTCCAAGCATCAGGCTTTTTTGCGCTGCATCGATTGGAAGTCTGGAAGACGCAGCTGCAGCCGAAACCTTTCCAGGTGGACGCGTCCAATGCCGTCTTGCGAGGAAAGCTTTCAGGCTGTAACCGTTCGAGCGGCACTCGCCTCTTGCCATATGAGTAGGCTCTCCGGGCCGGCCGGCTAAGATACTCTTTTCACGTTTCGAGCAAATGGTCGGGTGCTAGAAGTCCTCATCAACTTAAATCTTGGAGTTGTGGTGAGCGTGCGGAGGTCGGCACCGAAAGTCCTGCACATGCCACGACACTTGCGCTAAGATCTCGAATAGGAAACGTAGAAGACAAGCTAGAATCAGATCGGCCACAGCAGCCGTTCCACGTACCCTCGACCTCTGTTTTAAAATATCAATCCACCGAACTTCCTCGCTAATATGTCACTCCACATTCATCTTATATATACTGCTATCGAGCTTTATGTGATCTGAATAGCGTGTAGGCGAAGCCGAGGCCCCTCGAACGACGTATGAATGATTGTTATCTCTTATCATAAATAGGAAAACGATCACCGCCCACAAGCCGATCGGTTTTCAAGCCTCCCTTGATCAAAAATCCTCTCTCATCTCCTTCGACACACCGTACAACCACTACGAGTGTCTACAAGTTCGAGAATTACTAGGCCCTTCTCGCTTAATCAGGCGATAAGTTAATAAGCGATTTAACGTGTATAATATTATGAGAGAAAGTACGTTCTTCTATCGATAATTATAATTCTAAGCTATTTACGAGTATAATTTGAGGAAGTAGTAGAAGATTATTGGTCACTATCGAACACCGTACCTCAGAGTCCCGGATCGCCGGCCTCTAGTATGTCACCATTACAATCTTGTTGACGTACCTTCCGTCCAATTGCAGCACCAAATTATCCGCAACCCACTTCCCCGTGTCCTCCCTGGAGATGGTATACCCAATAGCCTTGGACTCCCGCCCAGTCTTGGGATCCTCGATGCCAACCCGGATCTCCTTACTTGTCTCACCGCCGACCAGCAAGCTGGCGCGGATGATCGTGTAGGCCTCTCCGCTTTCCACCAAACGGTCTTCCATGGCCTTCTTGTCTTCGTGGGGGACCTTCAACATAACGTGGTACATTGGAATCATGGCAAGGGGGATGTCGCGACCGAAGCGAGACATGCCTGTCGTGCTGCCTACAACAATATGCGGCCTTCCGGTAGCACCGCCGCTTCGCAGCTGGGCGAGGGCCTCGAGGATGGTGGTCATGCCTTTTCTGCAGACCTCCTCGTCGTCTATCGTCATTTTGGAGAGGATGAATTTACCGCCGATGGTGGAGATGATTTCTTCGACGAGCTTCCCTTTCTCGGCCACCAGGCACTTTGAGACGGCAGCGATATCGTGCGCATTACCCTGGATGACCTGGAGGTTGGGGGTTGTCTCGGGTGGGAAGATGGTCGTAAGCTTGGATGGGATACGGCAGAGGGCGATGCACCGGTGGCCTGCGGCGAGGGTGTGCTTAAGTGTCGAGAGGCCTACACCGGTACTGGCGCCGAGAAATGTAACGGTCTTGCAGTGAGTGGCCATTGTGGTGGTTGGTCGATGGTGCTTTGGCGATGCAGGGATAGAATTGCTATGTAAGTTGTTGTGCACGAGGCTGGAAGTAAGATGGCAGAGGCAAGTTATTGTTGTAGAACTGAGCTATGCTGATGATGTCTGTGATGCCCTTGAAAACAGCCAGGACTGATGGGGTTTATCTACAACATAAGTGTCTTGCCCATGACTCAGCACGCAATTGTCTCGGTATTTTCTCGCGCACATTGACTCGGGGGCATTTTCAATTGCGCTATGTTGATGATGTCTGTAATGATCATGGGATATGGAAAAACAGTCGAGCTAATCGCATCATCCAATAACAACCAGCACTGATGGATTTCATCTACAACATAATGTCTTGCCCATGACCCAGCACAGCGGTTGTCTCGGTGTTTTCTCGCGTACATTGACCGTTCGTTAGTACGATTAGCTCAGACGAGGTTGCCACTAGTCCCTCAGACCTGCCAAGGCCCCTCGAGCTACCCAACATCACTAAGCCCCTTCGGATTAGCCTGCTCACGGAGGCTGGAGGCTCCGTAGTACCCTAAGCGGAAGGCACTAACCCGAAGGGGGTCAACGAGCTTGGCACCCTGAGGCTCAAGGCAGCAAAAAGAGACGAGCGTCAGCTTCCTCACAACATCAGATAGGCGTCAAGAGCATGAACAAGATGACTACCAGTCGGCCAGAATAACGGCGCTCATTATTTGACTGCAGTATGTCGCAGGTGCTGGCTGTGACAGGATCGGTGGCAACCTCGCGAGAGAGTGCGATTGCGGGCGCCTCGGCTTTGGGCTCCGAGAAAAACGCGACCTCGCCCGCGTCTGCTAGGATTCCATCATCAGCACCTGCGCTGGCGCCGAAGTTGCGCAGCTGCCTTCTATGCCGCACTCGCAAGGTTCGCTGTGACAGGCAGTCGCCGTGCTCTAAATGCCGCCGGGCAAATATTGCCTGTGTCTTTCCATCGACCGACCGCCCGCCAAGATGGGCTCGCCGCCTAGAGCGCCTCACCAACAATGCCGTAGCATCAAATGCGCCCGCACCGCAGGACGCCGACCCGGGCGTCGCTAGGGTCATGGACAGACTGCGGAATCTCGAGTACCTTGTCAAGGAGCTGAGCGGCCAGCTGGAACAGGCACATGCAGCGGCTAGCTCGGGCGGTGGTGGCTCATCTGGAGCCAACTCTCCTAGGAGCTCTACCCAGGATCGTGACGCAGAGCACCAGAGGGACGCGCCATCCGCCACGAATACGAGCAGTGTGCAGAAGCAGTTTGGCAGGCTGGTTCACCAGGATGCCAGCCGCAGCCGCTATGTGAGCAGCGGCTTCTGGTCTCGGGTCAACGACGAGGTATGTCGGCCTGTTGTAGTCACGCTGTCATTTTGACCGGATGGCCCGCTCACTTTCGCTGCAGCTCGATGGGCTGAAGATGGACACCCGCGGCCTGGCAGGAGATGAGTCCGACAGCTCAGAGGATGATGCATCGCCTGGAAAGACACCGTCCGCTCAGGAACTTGAGCGAACACCTTCGGAACGCCATGCATTCCTGTTTCGACACAACCTAAGTCCCCCGGCTCCCGACCTCCGCGAGTTTCACCCACTACCGTCACAGATCCCATTTCTCCTAGATATGTTCTCTGAAAACGTGAACTTTTTCATCCAGATCGTCCATATCCCAACCGTTACAAAGATGGTCCGCGATTTGCGCGGCAGTGGAATGACACGCTGCACGCCAGCCAATGAAGCCTTGATGTTCTCGATCTACTACGCCGCTGTAACTTCCATGGAGGAGGACGATGTGAGTTCTCCTTGATTTGTAATGCCGTGGCTCAAGCAGACATGACTGAGGACGGCATTGACATTTTTCCTGGGCAGATCGTGACCAACTTTGGCTCCACCAAAACCGACCTCACTCTCAAGTATCGTCTTGGCCTGGAGCATGCCCTTGCGAAGGCCGATTTCCTGAACGTCCCCGACATAGTTCTAGTTCAGGCGTTTGCTCTTTTTCTCAGTCTCGTACGCCGACACGACAGTCCGAGGTTCGTGTGGATGATGACTGGGCTTGTCATCAGGATGGCCCAATACCTTGGGTTGCAGCGAGATGGGACCCATTTCGAGCACCTAACTCCTTTTGAGATTGAGATGCGACGGAAGGTTTGGTGGGCCGTGTGCATGCTGGATGTGAGAGCATCAGAGGATCAAGGGACGGACCTGACTATCGCGAGCGGCAGCTTTGACACGCGAATCCCCTTGAATATCAATGATGTAGACATCGATCCCGAGATAAAACAGATGCCCACAGAGCGCGCTGGCGTGACCGATATGTCATTTGCTCGCATATTCTTCGGGATAGGCGATATCATGAGGCAGATGATGGCCCCCAGTGTAAGGGATGGTGTAGCAGGTCTGGAAGACCAAAGCCGTCTCTTGAACGAGATCTACCAGAAGTTCGAACAGGGTTATTGTCAGTATACGACAGAGTCAGGGAATATTGCCTATTGGGTCGGAGTCACCATCGCGCGGCTTGTCATGGCCAAGATGACGCTCATCATTTTTCTCCCTGTTCTTTTCTCTTCCCCAAGCGAACACATCTCGGACGAGGTAAGAACCAAGTTGCTGGTCTCGGCGATTGAAGTCGCAGAGTACAACCATGCGCTAAACGCCGAACAAGCATGTCGACAATGGCGCTGGGTTTATCAAACCTATACCCATTGGCATGCCATTGTATACCTCATGATCGAGATCTCCCGACGCCCTTGGTCGCCTACCGTCGAGAGGGCCTGGGTCGCACTTCACAGCAGCTGGCTGATTCCAGCCCAAGCCCCCATGGACAAGAAACCGCGCATCTGGGTTCCGCTTCGAAAGTTGATGGAAAAAGCCAGCAAGCATCGCGACGCCGAGCTCAACCGGCTGCGGGCCGATCAACAGGCCGCCGCTAGGCTAGAGATGGAGGACCAGAAAATTCCATTGCCGTCAAGCTCTGGGCCTTTTCCAACCGGGTCTAACGTCGATATCTTTCGCAGGCGGTGGCGCCAGCTCTTAGCCATACCAGAGGGACCCGGAGACGGCACACAGACATCTGGAATATCCGGCGCAGGGCTTGCCGACCCATCAATGCATACAACCTATACAAGTCAACCGACTGCGAGGTCCCCTCTCGCTCATAGCCCAGGCGTTTTTAGCTCCAATATGACCTTTGAGCCAACGCATCTTGGTACAAGTGGACAGCAGGTCGGCCAAAATCTGGAGAGTACCAATATCAGAGACCTAGATCCGGCGATTACGACGAACGCTGCCAGCGAATTGGCCTCCGGACAGACTGTTGGGCCACCATACAATTCCATTCCCACGGTCCCCACGGACCGGTCCGATGGCCTGACCATGAGACCTGATTTTGTCCCTCAGCTGTGGGCTGATGCTGACCTCTCAGTGGATGATTTTTCCAACTTAGACTTGGATTCCTTCGATGCTAATATGGACTTGGATGGTGAGGTGAACTGGTACAATTGGGTTGAATCTGCCAAGGGTACTGAGTGGGATGCATAGCCCAGTGGCAACGGCCGGACCTAGCTCGCTCTAGAGCCCTGGCATCGAACAGTGGTATATGAGCAATGTTGGATCATCGGCGTTGTAGCACATGCCTAGGAATGGTGCTCCATTCGACCAGATCACAAGCACCCTTGGCGGGGTCATTCAGTTCAACTAAGTTTACCGAGTCGTATTGTGTCCTCTTAGCTGACAGACCGAATACAACTAACGTTGGGAACGCGCGACCAATGTTGAACGCGGTGGCCTTGATCACCCGATTTAGTGCTAACGGAATCTGTTTCTAGTAATGTCGCAACTAAGAATGTATACCAGTCACTTGTGTTCTACAAAAGGTGGTCAAGCTTGGGCTCCTGACAGTTTGATCTTTCCCCGACCAGGTACAGGAAGAAGAGGCTAAACACCAACAATGGCGAGCGGCGGTCGAACCTTGTCTGGAGCTGGTTTGGCTTTGAACTAATATAGCGAAGAAAAAAAATTGTGGAACGAATGTATGATTCGAGATCCTGCGACTTCTACGATCATGGAGACACAGAGCATGGTGAAAAGACAATGGATAACATGTCCATATCCTAGTGGATACACACTCTGGAAAGGTATCTAGGCTAACCCATGGAGAGTGGGCGAAGATTCGGTAAAAGAGATGTCGTGGACTAACTGTTGGTTCCAGACCAGGAACAGAGCACAGATATGAGATCACAGACAATCCAAGCTCCACTAAGACCACTCGGATTGATAGAGACTATAGGTAAAAGTTGCACACAGTATCCATTCCGACATAAGATCAGCAGCAGCAAGCCTCCGGCGTAATCTAAATGGGAATGGGGTTCAAAGACTTTACCATCTCCGTATATCGCTTCTGCCCTCCGCCTCCGACTTAGGTACCTGCACCTATTCCCGCTTCACTTCTCCAATCATACCTTTAGCTCCAGCTCCGACTCCATCGTTGATACCTTCAAAGCCTGCATCGCGGCGCCTACGCCTACCGTGCTGCTATTGTGGTTTCCCCAGCCCGCGCCTCCTTGACCTCCATCACCACATACAATAGAATCTCGATCGCCGCGAACGAAATCGTCCTTCATTAATCCCCAAGTCGTGTGTCAGCTGATAAGAGTGCAGTACATTATTCGAGGACGCCGTCGTTCTGAGTTAATTATTTAACCAAGACGCAGTGCAGCAGGTCGACAATACCGCTGACCGCAGGAGTTATAAGCACTGAAAACCTCGATCCTCGGCCCCAATCTCGATCGAAGCGCGAAGCGAGACACACATAGCGCGAGATCTATGGAGAAGAGGGTCGGATAATGTGTTACTCCAGGGCGCAAGTAAGGAGAACCCAGCGAGGAAAATTCGATTGATATTTTGTTAAATGACGCCTTACGCGATTAGACAGTAGCGTTACCGCCTTGCCATGTTTGATAATTCACGTAGACCTCACTGCGCCAATATCCCCGATAACGGCCCCTCCTGAAGGGTTGCCTGGAAAATGTGCTTGAAGGGGATTTGGAGATGCACCTGGTGCCAGCCCAGCTTGGGTCTCCCAAAGTTCAATTCTTAGGTGACAAAAATTTATTTTTTTTGGTTTAAATATTTTTTTTAAATATTTTTTTTGGTTTTAGGATTTAAATTATTTGGGTATATTTAGATATTGGTTTTTGGAGCTGGGTTAGTTTACTTAAAAAAAAAAAAAAAACTGGGAGTCGTGATTAGTTCTGGCGCCCGTAAAACGCGTCCTACGTTAAAATATTGTCTATTTTTTTTGTGCTCCTAAATAGCGGGAGGAGCAACCCTAACCCTACTTTCGGAAGGCAGCCCTGGAGTGGCGTAGCGCGAGCGTAAAGCAGCGGGCAATCTAGACCTGATTCATTCGTAGAGTAGATTAAGGTATGGCTTGGCAACGTTAAGCAACCTCCGGCTGGAGCGTTCACCAGCAGCTCGAGACCCTCGGCCCTTTCTCCCCCTTCAACAAGATGATACTACGATCATGACAAAGAGGCTCCTCTCCACTTCCCTCAGAGCCCTAAGCCATGAGAACCCATTGGTACCTTCCCCTCTGCCCCGAGAAACCTTCCTCACCTGACGCTCCATCCCAGGGCCTCCCACGCACCGGCGCGCCCCCCGAGCTCCCCCGCCGCCAGCGCGGCCTGCCCGAAAAACGCAACATACGCGATGTCCGCAAGGTGATAGCCGTCTCGTCCGCGAAAGGCGGGGTGGGGAAATCGACAATCGCCGTCAATCTCGCGTTGGCGTTCGCCAGACGTGGCCATCGCAGCGGGGTGCTGGATACGGATATTTTCGGCCCGAGTATACCCACGCTGTTGAATCTGAGAGGGGAGCCGAGGCTGAGTGCTAGTATGTTCGCTCTGGGTTTGAGTGAAAGAAGGAAGGAAGGGGGGGAAGGGGGCTAATATGATATGGCTTGGTGTCGCAGACGATCAATTGATCCCGCTCTCGAATTATGGCGTCAAATCCATGTCAATGGGCTACCTCGTCGACGAAAAAGCACCGGTCGTGTGGCGCGGTCTCATGGTCATGAAAGCCTTGCAACAGCTCCTGCACGAAGTCGAATGGGGCGGTCTGGACATACTGGTCTTGGACCTGCCGCCAGGGACGGGGGATACGCAACTGACGATCACCCAGCAGATCAAGCTCGATGGCGCCGTCATCGTGTCGACGCCGCAAGATATCGCTCTCAAAGATGCCGTGAAGGGGATTTCCATGTTCCGGAAGGTCTCGGTGCCGATCTTGGGCATGGTGCAGAATATGTCCGTCTTCAGTTGCCCGAATTGCGGTCATAGTACGCATATTTTTGGTTCGGAGGGTGTTGCGAGGACGTGCGAGAGTCATGATATTGAGCTATTAGGAGACATACCGCTTGATGCGAGGATATGTGATGATGCAGATCGAGGGAAGCCTACTGTAGTTGCAGAGCCTGAAAGTGCAAGGGGCGCGGCGTTCATGGGCATTGCGGACATTATTGGAAGGAAGATAGATCTCTAATGTTCCTTTTTGCTTGGTAAGGCACCAAGAGAGAAATCCAGGACTCCGGATACAGCAATGTTGTTATCCCATCAAGGTATCATCGCTCCGAGCTATGCTACAACTCAAGCCGTGCTATGCAAAAGTGCTAAACATCAAGCCACATTCCGAACCTGCTCTCGTTCTGTTGCGATGTCACCTTACTTTTTCTGTTCCTCTCAAGATGCAGGACTCGTACCCAATGCCTCATCGGTGACTCCTGTTCCTGCCCTTGCTAAAGGACTCCCTCTTCTGGCGGCATCAGCGTTCCCTTGACGCAGACCAGCTCGACCGTCATGCCACCTCTTAGGCGCAGCATAGCGTCCTCCAGGATTGGATGGTGATTTCTCTGGCGTGCCACTTCTCGATCGGTTCTTCAGCAGTAGAGGGGGAGTTTGTGGTGTTGACTCTCTTGGCGTCGAAGGGGAGCGTCCTCCTTGCGATGGGTACGTCCAATTCCTGGTGTCGTACCCTTCATCTTCATACCTTGGACTTTGAAAGCGCGCCTCGCTTTCATAACCTCGTTCGCTTCCGTGTTCTCCCTCTCCGTCCGACTGAAGGGTTCCTTCACGGCCATGGTACTGGTATTCTTCACCCCTTCGCTTGATAGGGCTTTCATCATATGGATCGAAACCGACACGTCGTCGTGCTTCCTCTCGAAGACGCTTACGCTCTTGTATGTCATTACTCGCGGCACCAGTAGAGGCTGACTCGCTGAGGAAAAAGGTAAGAAGTTCATCGGGAATAGACAGATGAGGTGTTTGCTGGAATTGTTGGAGGGATAGAAGTCGAAGAAGCGTCTCCAATAAAGAAAGCGAGGTTCGAATCGGTGGAAGCGTAGGCCGGGGTTGCTGCCGAATCTGTGGAGTTGGTGGCTGAGGTGACGGAGAGGATGTGGGTGGAGTGTTCACTGAGAGGCGAGATAAAGCAGACGTCATTTTTGGGTCCAATGAAGGAGCGCGAGAGGATGGGGCGGGTCTCAAAGAGGATGTGTCGACTTCGGACTCAGTATCGGAGTCTTCTGCTTCGGTGTAGACTTCGAATGCTATCCATTCGGGATCGAGATCAGATGGAAGACGCCAGAGATCTGGAAGGCGGGTAACTTGCTGGTCTTGCGATAGTGTTGATGCCGCTGGCGAGGATTGCAGTCCACACTGGGGTGAAGTAACCAGTGCTTTACTGCTGTCATGACTGTTCGTTGCCGGGGATTGGTTAAAGCTATTGGTGTCTGCCTCGTCGAAGCCTTGCCCGTCTTCATTATTATCTTGGTTCATCATCCTTCTTGGTGGAATAGCATTTGGATCTCTCTTCAACAGGAGCACCGGGCTGTTGGTTTCGCCTTCACTTCCGATGTTTAGGATCTTACCCGTATCTGCGTAAAAGATTTTGGACAGCTCGTGTATTGGGACAGCTTCTCGTATACCAGCCGAAGGTACGTCCCCGTACGAGCCGGGTTGCGGCTCGCCATCCTCGAAAGTGTGGACGCGATCATCATCCAAGTCTTCAACAATGACAAGCTGATAAGCGTATTCATCTGTTTTAACCTCACCATCCATTTGTGGGGGAAAGTAGTCCGAGCGTTCCGATTCCTTGAAGTCGGATGTCCCATCGCCCCCACTGGTATGCTTTGGAGAATTTGCCGTTCGATTGGCTCCAGGTAGGTCATAGAGTGCGTCGATCGACACTCGCATGAGCCTGACATCCGCCTTGTGAATGACCTCTTTCCACGTACTCTCTCGCACCTCTTCTTCATTTTGTGGTCGAAGGTGACCTAGGAAGAGCATGTACATTGACAAGGTGAAGGTAGGACCGATCTGAACATAGCTGGAAGACGATACACCGTATTGCGAGTCTCCTGCCGTCAAAAAGGTGCTAGCCTGTAGTAAGCGGGACGGAGAGACGGTAGAGGGCAAGTTTGAGGAAAGGCTGGCACCAGAAGCTGTGATGGCAAGATTGATGAGTGGGACTGCATCCTCGATGCGACTCAGTAGCTTGCGGATAGCTTGGACTATTCGCTTCAACTCTTGTTCGTGTTGAGCCTTGTCTTGAGCTTTGGAGACTTTCCTTGGTACCAGTTCCTCGGCATTGGCTGCGGATGCGAGACGTTGGCCGAGAGCTTGGATCTCCCATCGAAGGGACTTAGTGAGGGAGACAGCAGATTCCAGAGATGTATTTCCCCTAGCAGAGCTGGTATAACATATCAGTCATTACTTTAAACAAAGATCTCTAGGGTCTTACGTACATCAATTCTATCATATCAATCGCAGGCGATATGATCTACGAGGAAATAATTAAGAAATGTCTCCTTTCTCTCATTGGGGATAGAAGAGGGAGCTGAGCAACCAGACAACAGGCACAGATATCGACAGATAGAGGAAAAAGCGTGATTGATACGAGAATCATCATGGTACGGGAAAAGGGGACAAACCCGGATCTTGCTGTTCAAACGCTCTTGCAGTTCTTGAAGCTCCTCTTTCTCGTTGCCCTCAATAGTCTATTATCGAATGGTCAGGATAAGTTATGTCATAGTCAACGAGATCAAGAGAGCGTAGAGACCTTTAGGAGCCTGGACGACTGCCTGATTGCATAACCAGCAGTTATTGTGAGCCCAGATCTGCAATAGGATCAGCGTTGGTCCTGAGAGTGGCCCCTGCATTTATGGACCTTATGGCATAGTTCATAGCTTGCTGTGTCACCTATGAATCTTGTTAGACCCTTTTCAGCATTCTTCCTTAAAGCCACCCATCCTACCTTCCCCAGGAATATATCCATGGTTTCTGCGATGGTTTCGTGTATAATAGTGAGTCATGAGCACTTTTTGTTCGACCAAAAGCTATCCGGATCAGTATTTTGGATGACGACGGGATCAGTGCTAATCGTCAGCAGGGATATCGGAATGTTGTTGAATGAGTGAATCAACACGAGTCAAGATGACTCTGCCAAGAGTCAACAATAGCCGGGAGCGCTAACAGCCCTACGATAGCCGAGCCGTCAGCGCGCGGATCTGACTCTCACATTTTTATGGGTTGAAGATCAGAAGTTTTGGCAGTACACAAGAGACCCTCAAGTCCAGAGATCGTTCCAACCTACATATAACTACCTCAATAACTTGTCGGACCTCGTATTCGAGACCAAGACAACCAAGACATTCAGACAGACAAATCATCGCACAAAGCAGGCCGCAGCCCCCACTTTGAGGCACTGTGCACACTCAAAACCTTACACCCCCACCATCATGTCGGGTCTCGAATCGTGGGAGGACGACCCAGCGGCACAAGATGACAACCTCTCCAGGCAAACGCAGCAAAACCTGAATATCAACGGCCAGGCCGGCCGACCCACCGGCTTCACTCCAAATGCGAACACTTTCCAGCCAGGTGCTCAATCTTTTCAGCCTGGTCAACAATATCAACAATACGGAGGCTATGGTCAACAACAGCAGTATGGGCAAATTTACAATCAACAGCAACAATACGGCGGAGCATACCCGCAATACGGGCAACAAAGTTACAATCAGTATAGCCCGGGCTACGGTCAGCAATCAAGCTTCAACCAGGGCTATGGTGGACAGCAGCAACAGCAACAAACTCCTCAGCAACAAAGAGTACCTATAATAGCAAAGAGGCCATCAGCGGCAGATTCGGCATCCTCGCCTGCAGCCCCTCCACCAACACCCGCTCAATCCTCAGGACCACCCGTGGTCAAGACACTCTCAATTGGCGGGGAAACCCCGGGTGCTACAGCGACAAAGCCAAAGGTTCTGTCCATCGGTGTCCCAACACCCGCTCCCTCAGCAGCCAAGGATGCTTCGGCCGAAGATGGAGCAAAGGTCGCAGCGGCCAAGGCAATTGAAAAGACCGAGAAGTCGGCAGCAGGCACCAGTGGAACAACTTCACCTTCTCCATCCTCAGGGCGATCCAGTCCCACAGCTGCGGAAGCTCGAGAAGCGAAGAGGGAGGCAGATGCAGTGGCGAAAGAGCAAGCTGCAGAGGTAGAGGAGGAGATCTTGGAAGATGTGTACGGAAAAGAGCATGTGAATTTGATTTTCATCGGGCATGTTGATGCAGGAAAGTCAACACTGGGAGGCAGTATTTTGTACGCAACGGGCATGGTAGACGAAAGGACAATGGACAAATACAAGCGAGAAGCCAAGGAAGCTGGTCGAGAGACATGGTATCTATCATGGGCATTAGATCTAACGAAAGAGGAGCGGTCGAAAGGAAAGACCGTTGAAGTGGGTAGAGGCTTCTTTGAAACCGAGAAACGACGATACACCATCCTCGACGCGCCAGGACACAAGACATTCGTTCCTAATATGATCGCAGGAGCATCACAAGCCGACGTTGGCATTCTCGTCATCTCAGCAAGGAAAGGAGAGTACGAAACGGGTTTCGAGAAAGGAGGCCAGACACGAGAACACGCCATCCTGGCCAAAACCCAAGGCGTCAACAAATTAATCGTTGTGGTCAACAAGATGGATGACCCAACCGTCGAGTGGAGCCATGAACGTTATAAGGAATGCACGGAGAAGCTCCTGAATTTCCTCAGCCGCCAAGTCGGCTACGGCAAAAAAGATGTCACCTTCATGCCAATCTCGGCCCAAACTACGGTTGGAATCAAAGACCGATTACCTAAAGATCTTGCACCATGGTATGATGGTCCATCGCTCCTGGAATGTCTCGATAACTTCAAGACACTCGAACGAAAAGTGAAGGCGCCCTTCATGATGCCTATTAACGCCAAATACAAAGACATGGGCACTCTTATTGAAGGCAAAATCGAAGCTGGTCAGATTAAAAAGGGTAATAGTTATCTGATGATGGTATGTGCATTTCGAAATGATCACCGCTTAGTCGCAATTGATATCTGAGTCATAGTTTTTCGCGAGCAAGCCCCTCTCCTTTACCCCTTAGACATGTCTTAGAACGCGAAAGTTTGCCTTGAAGGAGCCATGCTGACTTCAAATGCTGGCAGCCCAATCGTGATGACATCACCATCTCTGCACTATACGGTGAGACAGAAGATGAGATTCCAAGCGCTACTTGTGGTGACCAAGTACGGATACGTATTAGGGGCGTTGAGGAAGAAGACATTTTACCCGGCTTCGTGCTTTGCGCGCCACAACGACCTGTCCACTGCGTTTCGGCCTTTGAGGCGCAGATCGCTTTGCTTGACTTAAAGAGCATTTTAAGCGCCGGTTTCAACTGCGTATTGCACGTGCATTCCGCCATCGAGGAGGTTACATTTGCAGCGCTTCTGCACAAGCTTGAGAAGGGCACAGGTAGAAAAAGCAAGAAACCGCCGGCGTTCGGAAAGCAGGGCATGAGTATCATTGCTAGGTTAGAGATCATTGGTGGTGCCGGAAGGGTGTGTGTGGAAAAGTAAGCTACTTTTCGCCGTTGACCCCTATTCTGGAGAATTACGCTCTTGAGACCTGTCGCGTAATTCAAAAGATGCCTTCGGATGGAAACGCTGACTCCGAAAATCGATAGGTATGAAGATTACGCACAGATGGGAAGGTATGTATATTTCGGAGTGAACGTTCCTATTGCGGAGCACTTTTTCGAGTCGCAAGACGTGTCCCTGGAGCCAATAGGACCTAAAAGCCCTTCAAGCTATCTCATTGTTCCGGTCTCTGCTTTGAAGAAGGAATGCTGATTTTCTATAGATTCACACTAAGAGACCAAGGACAGACGATTGCAATTGGAAAGATCACAAAGCTCATCACAGATCCTGCAGCAGTTTAAATGCATGAAAGGTGGCTCAATTGGTAGAACTGTTAACTTGTCCAGTCATGAAGTTTAAACATGGACAACAAGATCATGATGGAGTAGACTTGCGCTGTATCAAGCTGCACTACAAAACCTTGGTGATTGTCTTGATATCTAACTAGACCTTGAATTGATATGCCATTATTTGCATGGATTTTGGCGCAAACATGGTCCATGTGATCTTTCAAAAGTGCCAAAAAAGTAACTCATCCTCTTAGCAGACTGCCAGAAAACGTGGCAGGCTTGGGCATTCACCGCCTCTAAATTCATAAAACCGGCGGGCTTCAAGCCATGCCATTTGACTACATACGCACATAAGTACCCTGGAAAAAAGCTTTGAATGCACGGTTGACCCAATAGATAAAGGAACTAAAATTGTTCTAGTGGTAGGTTCTACTGAAAGCTTGCCTGCCGCAACATGAAGATTAAGGCACTTGTATTATTAAGATGAAAGCGCTGTAAGTACCCTTTTTTCTTTCTAAATGACAGCGGAAGAAAGAGTGGTCTTTACTCCAGATGCTCATACTTACATCATCTGACGAAGTTTCCCAAGCCAAGGCGGTTGAAAGAGATTTCATAGACCAGTGTAGAAGTACCCAGCTGCCAAACAATGCCACTGATGCTGCACTGCCTCTATCCTTGGTCTCAGATATTTGAGGGACAAGCATTCCAAGCCTTGGAAGGCCGGGAGGCTTGAAAGGGCAGATTTCCGGTGTGCGTTCTAGACCTGAGACCTGAATGCAGGTAACTGCAATGGTAAATGTCCTCTACCATCCGTCAAAGATTGCTTGTCTGCAAGCATTTCTGTCCTAGACCCACGGAGGGAACCGCAGGAACGCAGAAGCTGCTCAGTATCTTGAGACGGTCACTTTTACTAGGATGTCTGCTGTTTCGTGAAGTCAAGTCGTTGTCGTGGATATGTATGGAGGTATGTCCGGTGTAAGCTTGCCTTCCTAGCAATCGGATAGGCCAGTCCCTATTTTCTTCACCCACGAGATATAATGTTGGCTCTTGAAGGACCCAGATACTTGCATACTTTGACCTTGCCGTTGGGGTGCATCGATCATCATAGAGGCCCTCCTCACAGCTTCGCTTGTCCTTGAAAGCAACTATCCACACACGTCATCCGCAGCGAAACCTCATCGCATCTAGGATGGGTTCAATGCGGTAAGCGAGCTCGCAAGCTCAGTTTTGGTTTGCTGTAGAGGTTGTTGAAGAATGCCAACGACTATTCCGATAGTCCGCAGCTGGCCCGAATGGAGTCTGTCACGAAAAGATGGCTCGTTGAGACGTTAGTTATTCCAGAAATATCCTACTACCGACTCTTCGACGGGGCACTGAGACAGGAGCAATTGAATGCCACCATTCTTTCAGTGCTCGATAATTTCCTCTGCCCATCAGCTCCTGGCATCGTCAAAGTCATCGATCTTCCAGCCCCAAATATCGAGGACGAGAAAAGCCAAAATGATGGGCGTGATTGGATTGATCGCTGAGTATGTTGACCTTCGGCTGAGCTGTTGGGGGGACGTCAACTTAGATGGCTAGAGTGGACCCCTGTAACGACATATGACGACTTTTTCATAAATTTCTTAATATAGATCCTTCCGCCTTCGTCGCATGTCGATCGTGGGGTATCCTTCTCCCTGGTCAATACATCCACCCTATCCATAAGTGTTCACCCATGAGGAGTATACTTCCTCATGCCGCTGTGTTGCCCATCTCATTCAGCAACCTTCTAAGGGCATACGGGAAATTTACGGGCATGAGTTCAATCGTTACTACTTCCTCGATCCCTTTCTACCCCCCTTGCAATTGCCAATATTCTGCAGACCTACCTCGCCATCGCTTACCCCCGTCCTCGCCAACTTCTTCACTTCCCCTACGATCCCAATGAGTCCTCAAAACCACCGATGAGATACTTGAAAAGTCAGGCGTACTCTCCTAACCCTTGAAACCAGGGACACAAAGTCTTCTGATCTCGGCAGCCGCAACAAATCGTGACCCTTATCCTAGTACCCTCTTAAACAGCACAGCAACGAAGAATTACCCCTTCCGTCGAAAAATGCAGCAACATCCTATCCGGCGTAATCTAAGCCGTCACCAATCCTAATTCCAATATCCCAAAAAAGATCCTCGCTGACGACCGCTCGTCATCTCTTGGAGATTGGAGAGTTAACTTTCACACATTGCAATGTTCGTTCGAAAACGAACACCGTCTTGATCCCCACCCGTGTCCTTTCCGCCATCGGCAACATCAATTCCCCCCGAGATCGCTTCGATGAGTAGGACATTTGACGTATTCGTGCTTCTCAGCGGCCGTGATATGCTTCGAGATCTGATCCTTACGAACTTTTAGCACGAAATGAAAGATCTGACCTGCTCGATAGCTGAATGGTTTGATCTGAATAAGGGCAGACGATGTGAGAGCTTCAGTCTCGACTTGAGACAGGGCATAGGTCAATGCGACCGTTGCTGCTAGGGTATGAAAGTGTAACGCCATGATGGAAGTAACGGGAGGGTGAAAAGGAGGGGAGGAGGGAGATGTAAACGATACAGTCAACCAATGGGCAACAGTGAGGTTTTTATGATTGAATGACTTCGGTTCAAGGCCACAAAGACAGTTTGCAAGAGAGGCTAAAAGAATTCTTGTACATTTTCAGACGAAGGTCTGTGTAGTCTAGAACTATGCCTTGCTGGTGTCGGAAAAGGTATCGGAACGGTGCTACATTACTCTGTTCAATTACGGGCTTAATGGTGGGTCATGGGCCTCGACATTACCCATGGAGGGTATAAGCTAGTAGTGGATGTTGGTTCGTAAGACGGGCACCCGTTCTCTCTATGGGAGTCGAGTATTGACCATTGACATGCAGCATTTTGTTTCATTTTCAAGTCGGACTGATCAACTTAGATACATAGTCTAGACATTCTTTTCGTTATCTTTCGGCCTGCCGTGGCTGCCTGGATCACCGTGATGCCGGTTTTCTTGAGGTGATCCAAATTCAGGGTCGGGAAACGTCCACGTTGGAGCAAATAGACCAACGAGAGAAAGTCAATCAACGCACCACATCCTTCCCCCTTCCAACCTCCACCCCTCCTCCACATGTCTGAACCAAGTAACAACACATACCCACATATCCAACGCCTCTCCACCCTCACCTAACCACTTGAGCGCTGCACCCGCCAGCCCTGGCTCATCCGCGAGCAGTTTGCTCGTCATCTCCTTACACTTAGCCTTCATTTTACGGATTCTCTTCTCGCTCACCTGCTGGGCTACCTCAAGCCCTTTAGAGTCTTCGAGCTCCCAGCTACGGAGTTCCTGCATGAGCCGTTCAGCAGCATCATACACGATGACTGCCTCCGGGGTTAAGGGGGTGAGAATCACAACCTCGCCTAAACTTGCATACACTACGTCTTCTTTTTCCTCAGTGATGGTGACGAGTCTACCTCCTCGGAGCGTATCCTCGAAGAACGTCGGAGACTTGTCTGAAGGTTTTTCTGCTAGAACGACGGCTAGATCGCCCTTGGCTAGGCGGTCCACGAATGATGTTTGCATGATCTCCGAGGCGGATTGGCCGATTTCTATTTCCGTGGGTGTTGAGTTATAGACAAGTTGGCACCAGATGCCGCGTGTTTGGTCTTTGAAGATAAAGCGTACCTGCCGCATCTCGAGAAGGATGTCCCAAATAGGAGAAGGGGATGGGCCTGAGTATGGACGAAATCTATAACTGTGATAATCGGCCATTAGCCCCTCGGAAGTGGGCTTGCCTTGGGGGCCTCGCCATCGAAGGGATCGAGTATGCTCGTTATGAAAGCGCTCGCCGGGAGGTAAGAGGGTGGATGGAGCCCATCGATAGCCGCGGCGTTTGAGTTTGAAACCGTCGAGAAATATCATCTTGCGTGGGAGTGAGCCGTTGTTGGCTGCAGCTAGAAGGTCCCATGCCTTGCACATTCTGTTTTCACCGGACAGAGGGAGAATTTCAGACACATCAAAACTCATGAGCGAGGCTATGCAGATAGATTCATCCGCAGCAACGGTGGTGTTCCGCTGTGAGAGCGCTCGATTGAGAAGCCAAAGCTGAGGAAGGCCATTTGGGGAGTAATACCAGCTCAAAGTCAGTGGCTTAGAATCTAGCCAAAAGTCTTGCACCAGCCTCCTGTAGTTTAGGTTTTCGTCGTGTATTTTCTTAAGGCGATTGAACATGGGCTCTAGACGAGGAGGTCCATCTTTGAATTGAACCCATGGGTTGCTGGCGAGTGGGCTTTCTTGCAACGTCCATAGCCTACGCATCCATCCAGATGTCAAATACCTGGGGTGGAGCTCTGCTGCACCTAGGTCTTGACTATTGTAGCTGTACAAACTTGAGTCGAGGATCAGTGTCTTGTTTGCTTCTGCATAAATGCGCCTCATTTGCAACAACGCTAGCTTTTTCCCTTCAGGGTCGACCGGGCAACAGAGTGTGTCTAGCCAGAAAAAAGGTTGTTTGCCAGCTTCAGCAAACAGGTCGAGCATTCTAGCAAGATGTGCTAGTTGGCAATGAGGGAGCGAATTGGTCCCATCATTACCCAGTCCGTCCGACCAGACGTGCGATATCGCCACATAATGTGTCGTGTCTGTCCCGGAACTGGATAACTTAAGGATAACTTTGCTCGGCTCATTATCGTTAACAGTGAATTGAAGGAGGGGTACTGTTCCTGAGCGGTAGATGTCCACGACAGGCTGCTGATCGATGGAGATGGGTTTGCGTTCGCATTTAGTTTCATTGGTACAAGCCTCAGAATGACGCATCTTGTACTGGGACAGGCTAAGAGAATGTGCAAAACAACACTTGGAAGTGCAAACTCGATGGTTAGCCATACTCGGTGGCTTTTTCATCTTGCTGAAGAAATACAGTAATTGAATGCTTGTAAATTTGTTGGTCAGCCGTGTAATGTCGTTAGGACACCAATTGGCTGCCACCATCGCTGCTTTCATCTCGTCTGAATAAAAATCACGGGTGAATGGTCTTTTGCAGCGCATAGCGTCTGGAAAGGTACCTAGATGGGCTAGATCTATGGCATTTCCTAGAAGTTCTGCAAGTGAAGCAATCGAATTTCTGACAGCATGATTAAAGTCTGGTGCTGCAACTGGTAAGACCCTTGTAGTAAAATCAATGCATTGGACGGCGTGGAGGTAGGTTTCCTTTTACGTTGGCTTGTCCAGTGTTCTTACCAACTCGAAGCGTTGTTCTGTCAAGGACTGGAGCTGCATCGTTGAGATGACCGGGCTGCCATCTCGTTTCGATTTTGACACAAATCTCTCATGATCAAATAGCCCCGCAAGAAGCTCGGCAAGTAGGCCAAAACATAGCCAAGTCTGGAAGAAGCTTTCGAGATCGCGCGTTGGTGTAGGAAAGAGCGCCTCGTGATACTCGTAGGGTGCTTCACGTGTCATCCAGGGTCTACCTTTGTGTCGAGGGTATTCAAGAAATGGTATGGTGGTATCGTAGGGCTCATTGCAAAGGTATGGGACCTCGCTCAACGGTAGAATGGGATCTGATGGGAGAGGTAGATGATCCATGTCGGCTAGTAGCGCTCAAGTAGAGGACAGATTGACTCGACAACCTCCCCTGAATGTTGCTGGGCCTGATCATCGCTAAACACTGTCTTCGTTTCGCGTCTCCACTCAAATACCATGGCCGTAGAGAGTATACTAAGGAGTAATTGTCATCACCTCGATAAGAGGGAGTCGTACAGTACTCTATTTTCCCGCGTTGGATCACCTTGCCAATGCAAAGAGGGCGGTAGCCATAGCTTGGGCTACAACGACGATAAATACAGCTCCGAGACGGCGACGACGGCTAAAAGGGGAGGCTGTCGAAATTTGGCCCCCAGGCTTCCCAGCCACCGTGTTTCTCAGCCACCTAATTTTATACTGTATGTAAGACCTGGCCCCGGAGAGGTCTGGAGAAATCAATCCAACTGTTCTACACAGCACATACCTGATATTCTAACAGAGGCGCCACGATGTGACCGGAGTCGAGCGGAACAGAGTGGGAGATGTTGCGACAGCAACCGGTTCTTAGGGTCTCGCTACTGCAAGCCTCCTGCAAGTAATCGAAAGCAACATTTATAATCTGTCGGAAAATTCATGGATAGCTAATCAATTCATACATAAACGAGCAACACATGAGGAAAATCTAGTCAGCTCACGAGTTGACAACATTTACATATCCACAAGAGCAGCCCCTCATCCTCTCCCAATTAGATTGGGTATGACAGAATCGGTTGTTTCACATTGAGAACGGCGCTAAAGTTGACATACCTTCACTGAAGAACTGAACTTTTTCATACCTGCATGGCGCCTTTGAACTTTCGCAATGTCTAGAGAGGAGTGAGTATGGATTTTGACGAATGGACGCCACAAGATGGAGATAAAGGTAGGCTGTCTTGTAAGGTACATTGTCTCAGTGTGAGCGCCTCTTCTGCTGCACACTATTGGCCTTCTTTTGGTGCTGGGGAGAATCATGTGGCACGCAGGCATCTCCTCTTCATAAAACATTTACTCCAGTACGGCCACCTCCATGCCTAGTTCGTCATCAGCCTGCACCTGCTCATTCACCACATCCCTCCACCTTCCCATCTCAAACATACCGCTCTCCGTAAACCAATCCTCTATCTTCAGCAGGACGGTAACGTTGTCCACGTATGTGCCGATGACCTCCCCGAGAACCCTTCCTGTCGGCACCACTTCGACACGACTCGTCGCATCATCTTGTTTGACGGACTGCCCGATAGTGACTTCGTGGGCCCTACTACCCAGCCGAACGTCTGAATTCTCATCCGAGCTGAGTGAAGAGCAAGTTTGGTATGAGGAGAGGCCAACCAAAATGATCGATCCTGCTGAGTCTATCGGTCGAACGAACTCGAAGAGCTGGCCTATATGCAGAGGAGTCGAGACGTCGTCGATGTCGAGGGGGCTGGCGATGAAGTGAAGTGTGTTGGGGAGCGCGAATAGTTTTAAAGGACTCATCAGCGAGAGGAGGATGGGTGCATGTCTGCGGAACTTCCTCAACGGAATCGTTTGTCGACGAGGTTGCGATTGGGGGACTAGTGGCAGGAGGATCTGCGCAGATACTCTGGAAGAAGGGAATAGAGTCTATGAAGAGGAACACGATCAGCCCGAGGGCAATGACGGGGATTGAAAAGACGATGACACAAGCGACGGCTATGATGTTGAGGATCCAGAGACACCACTGAAAGGCTGCCTCGACTATGCTTGTGACGATCGAGATTGTCCATTGCCAGAGGTTTCCGACCAAGAGAGTATGCGATGGTGTCGATGTATGCAAGCGTGGTGTAGGAGCGCGAGACCACGAGGTAGGGACACGGTCTTCCATGCTGATGCTGATGCCAAAACAAGTCAGTCTTTTGGGAGGAAAACAGCTTGAAGTAGTATGAAGAGAGAATCATTACCCTCTTGAGTGATGTGAACAAGGTCTGGTTGTTATTTTGTTAAGAGCCGGTCAGGAAAGACAACACCAAGGAGAAAACCTCTGTAGACGACGAAATTGCTTTACGAATCAATTTGCAGATGCACGGCTTGTCGGGTGGGAGGCCGATAAGAGATTTTAAGCAACAAGATGACGAGCGAGACGGCCCCTTGCTTGCTGGAGTGCATAAATTAGGTATGTGGGAAATGTATGATGTCAAAGCTAGTATTACCCAAATGTATGTATATGAAAAGTGGTCAACAAGTCAAGTGTTCTATGTCGTACTGTACGCCAAAGTAAAGTTCCACCGTTGCCGCCGGGCTCTTCTCATAGTGCCCCAAAGCATTCATACTTGCTCCTGATGAAAAAGAAATGTCTACATCCACCAAGCTATATCCCAAAAAAAAGGTATGCGAAGTATGCCATAATGATACAACTCCGAAGAGGATCTCTGATGTCGTTGAAAATGCCTCGTAGATTCAAAATGATTCCGTCCGACTGACAATCAGACTGTTGAACTCGCTGGCGCAAGCGTCATGCTTGAGGGAACAGCTCTTCATCCTGTTATTTGCCATCCAAAGTGGCGCCGCCACGAGTTCCATTGCTCAAGAGGCTTCCTTGAGGGACATGTGCGCAGCGCGCTTTGGAAAAGAAGTGGTACTGTTTGCTGATGCGGAAAAGTTGCCTCGCATGAAGTCGTTGGGGTTGAACCCATAGGCTTCAAGCTGGCTGATGACGGTGTTGATGTCGCTGGCATTATTTCGCTTGGAGATGCTCGACTGGGAACTGTTACCCGAGGGAACGAAGCCGTGTGCTTCCAGTCTGCTGATGACCAGGTTGATGTCCGGCAAGGTACGCTTTTCCAAGGCTGATTCGAAACCGGAAGCATCGCGCTTCGAGGCTGTGCCGTCGGTCGCACTGACCGGGACAAAGCCATGCTGCTCGAGCAAGTTGATGACAAGGGGGATGCTGGGAACAGATCGCTTCTCGACAAGCGAGTCAAGGCTAAGGGCATCGCGCTTCGAGATCGTGGCGTTTGCGTTGGGGACGAACCCGGCCTGCTCGAGGTTGGCGATGTACGAATCGATGATGGCGCTCATGGAGCTGTTTTGGAGTACGTCTATCGAGGAGTTGAAGGTAGGAGGATTGTTTCCGCGAGCCATCAGTGATGCTAAGCCTGCTGCATGTTCTGCAGGCAGATTGGCCATAATAGATGCGATGGCTTCCGATGACATCCGTTAGCTTTCGGAAAATATCATACGGCATGGAAGAATATATTTCTAGCATACCAGGTGACGCCAAAGGCACAGCAGCCGCATTGAGGCTGAAGAAGGTCAGACCCAAGGCCGCGAATGAGAGGTAGAGCATGGTGTCGATGGGTACGGGCTGACTAAGACTTGAAAGTTGTCTAAGGAGGAGTCGAGGCTGGAGTTGAACGGCCGCTGGAATGGTATCTGGAGCGTGCCGAGGAAAAATATCTCGAGGCAGCGAGTCCTACTTATGCAGCGCATGGTCGGTCCAGCCCTTTGAGCGAGAAATCCCAACAACATAGGCTTGAGCCGAAAGGTCATGGATAACTCGTGGCAAGTCTTGCTGCACAAAGAACCAATGCCTGCAAAAGGCATAGACCATTAAGCTCCACGTGTTCGTCAGGCGGTCTGGAACACGCTAGGATACTTAGAACAGGAGCCTTTTTATTATGGCGCAGACATTGGGGTCAACATGGCACATGGCCACACCCAGGCATCCAAAAGAGTAAACAAATTCTGCAGCCACGGTGCAGAAGACAATGAGGGCGAAAACAACAGTCTACCGGAAGTGGCATAGGCATTTCTGGTGTGGAGGCTGAAGCCGAGTAATGACAAAATATCATATCCGCAAGGGGCAGAAGTCGCTCCAGAACACAACCAATTCGCCCTTAGTTGGTAATTCTTTGTCTAAAGTCATTCCAGAAAACGGTGGAAGCTTTATTGTGGGCTTTCTGCCACGAGGCGAAGGCGTTGAACAAAGAGTGTGGGGCAGCCGACGGCCGATTTGGCAGATCAAAAACAAGCATAGTAATCCGAAAGTCCATTTCAAGATACCGCCGCAGATCTGACACCGCGCGGTCTTACGTTATGATTGAAACGCTTGAACATTTATAGAGGAAAACGAGACGAGCACAGAGTGCACGCTGTATACCAAGCCCGGGTCATATGCGATGTTCATTGAAAATCAGGGCCTAAGGTCATAATACCACAGCCATGTTCGGACCAGCCGTCTGACCACATGAAGGTTCCATCCGGCTCTGAGTTGTGGAAGTATTGGCATGGAGGCGGGCCACGAGGAGTACTCGCTGACCAGTCGACAAGAGAGTGTGTCGCAAACAGTTGCTGACGGCTGTTCGCAAGCCTGAAGCATGTTGTGAACCATCAGAGATTCAGTCACTGATTGTTAGTGGAGGATTCCCGAATGCTTAGAGGCATCATAGAGTTCTGTGCGCTTGTCGGGCCTTTGCGCCACCGTGCCATCCCTTCGATGCTTGTTACCACGCAAGTAGCGAAGTGTCGCATATCGGGAGGGTGTAGGTATGAGAGCATGCTAGTTAGATTTTATGGCGCAGGGCAGATACTTGCTCAGTCAAAACCCTCTCCAATGTCTCCGTTCCCAAATAGTCGAATATCTACTTGCTAGCCTCATGAATTTTCAATGGCCTTTTTGAAAACGATGCTGTCCATAATCTTGCTATACCTTTTCCACTGTACGGTAGTCAAATCGGTGTCCATCCGTCCGTCGAATCTTTCCCAAGATCTGAGCGCACCCAAAGATTTTACTTTCACTGACCCAAGTATACCCGAACCTGGAAATACTTCCCTGGCGAATACCATTCCACTTCCAATCAACGACCCACATATTTCCTTCGCTATTGTCAAGGGAACAGCAAAGCTCCCCATGAAAGCATGCCTGATGGTGGCTCTCGAAGCCCTGGTGGAACTGTCCTTCGAATACTTCACGGAACCCTACGGGAGTGGGATCTTTGTATCCTCTGACTACCCAGAAGTCATCATTGTGACCCAAGTGTTCAAGGGACCAGGGCCAATCTTCCAAACCAAGCACGCCGCTCGCGGCTTGGTAGATTTAATCACCCTTATGTTGAGACAGAGTAGTTATAGTAACTCGAGCATTATCATGCGCTGGAGTGATTTCGGAATGTCTGCGCTATGGGCCAGTGTGGCGTTCGCTGTAGGGGACCATGTCGCGACTCAGGGACCCTCGCGAGTGGCTCCAAGGATGGAGACGCTACCACAAGGACCGTACCTAGCTAACTTCAGCAATAACAATAATGGCACCGAGGTCGTCTTTGTCAACAACGACGACGATGAACTTCTGGTCTTCGCCGAATACGTTGGAGGCGACTTGGCTATCCCTGACGTCTTTATCACTCTCTACTCCTCTGTGTTTTACATAGCTCAATTTCCGACCACAGATGCCATGGTGCCCTTCGGGATCACACCCGAAAATTCCAACGCCGGGCTGCAGTACATTCTGCTAGATCCACCACCAAGATCTACGTTTGTTTTTCAGAACGGCTGGGCTGCTAGATCGCTGCAGAAGCTTTCGAAATATATGTTCGAGCAAAGGAAGTTCAATGAGATCAAGTTCATTAGCGGGTGGGATAAGACGCTGTTTAGTGTCGGGTCTTTGAAGAAGAAAACCATGTCAGGAGCGCGTGTGGATGTTGAGAGAGCGTAACGGAGTGTCGTTTGCCTATGAGAGACCGTCTCTATCATTCTAAACAACCGCATAGGGTTCATTTTGTCCCCACCAGCCCCGTCTCTGATGCGTAACGCGCCTGTCAAGACTGTTATCCCGAACTGTTACCACTACCCACGATAGGGACCCCCCCTTGAGCCTTGCCTGAAAGAACACCATGCTCAAGCCATCCTTATTCGACCTTGTGTCTGTATTGCCCATTTGAAGCTTCAAACACTCCCGCGCCAGCTCAAAGCCCCAGTACCTCATCCAGATATTGACAGGTAATCCAAGCCAGTCATCGGAGGTATCTAGGATAGCGGTGCCGCCCGTCCAATCATCCAAATTCGCACTGCGACCTTCTCGAATCCTCTGGCTGAGACGTTGCAGGCGGCTGACAACCTCGTTTCCAACCGATACGTGCCAGCTTCCAGAGAATTCGAAAGAGACGTTCCACGTCTTGCGGTGGGGAGTGGGACTGGCCAAAGCATCGACATGTTCAAGCTCTGGGCGTATATCCGGACTTGAAACGGGAGGACACCGTTATCGATTCTGATGTTGACATTTTGTGTTGCGTCTGCAACTTCCTGACTCGGCTTCTGGTAACCAATCGCGCTGACGAATCCTAGATTAATTCGACAGATCCCCTCTTTGGCAATCGACATTTTCCGTTCCTGCTTCATTACTCCGGAGGAACGCATGAATCTGGGATGGCCGGAGATAAGTTGGTGAAAGCTTCGAGCCGGTAAGGAACACTAGAGCATCTCGCCTGTTTATGAATGAAGGGAGTTCTGTCTGTGGGTTTCACTCGCCACGAAGCGGCGTATAATGGCAAGGTTAGGCATAGCACCACAAATACAAGAAGCTCTCGCTGGATGGCCATAACTTCTACAGCGATGATGTTGCCTCAAGACTCCTGCACAGCCCGGTCGACGTGTATTCACCGGGTTAAAGTCGAAGGAAACGGCTATCAGGCTGTCGGACCTCCACAAGTATTTGATTGGAGCACGTGTGGACGCAACCGTGTCAATTTCGGGCATATCGGTCGGCCGTCTCAGAGATTAGCTGATGCTATTCACAGGCCTGGTGGGCCGTCCATGTGGATAAATCATGTCATCAACGTCAATTTCGTGAGCTGATGCACCTTGATCTTTTCATCTAGCGCTGGAAAGCGCGCATCAGCAAATGCATCAACGTAATCCCAGAGATCTAATCGTCTAGCATGTTGCATGCTGAGTCGGAGTCACCCGCGAGCCCGTTCAAATGGTTTCATCCAATCATTCCAACATGTGCCTTTGACGTGTCGAGAAATGCCCCGAGTGCCGCTTCAAGCGAGAAGGGAGTGAGCTTCGAATGCATGGTAAACCCTGCAGCTGAGTATCAACGAATGAAAATACCAAGCTCTTCGGCCAAGCTCTTCGGCAGCGGGTACTGGTACGCGGCGCTCGTCTTACTCTTCAGATCCCTCGAGATAATGTACTGATATGCAAGGCGCACTCGGGACACTGCAAGTATGTCCCGAGTCTGGTCTAGAACGAAGACAGCTCAACCTACCTATGACCATTCCGTTGAGATAAGTCTGGCAAGTCCGTCATGCAACAACATATGATACCTGGGGGCCAGACACTAGAAGCTACAACGGTGAGGCGTAGGAATAAGGTGGACCCTCTAAAAGCCGTCTAAGCTTGCTTAGCGTCCAAAGGCCCGCTATCTCCTCCCCCGAGGCTCGAGCTAAACTACCCTACACTCGTGCAACCAGCCAGCCATGACACCAAGCATTATTAATAGTATAAAGTGGGGGATCATCTCCCTCGGAAAGCTGCGACTTCTTGCTCATCCACCTTTGAGCGTCCATCAACCCTACCAAATCGACCACTGCTCCTTCGGCAAATCTTCACGATGAAGTTCCTAGGTAGTTCAGAAAAAGCCATCGACGACTCTTCCCCAGAGCGTGACGAGGCTGCAATTCATGGCACACCGTTGGAAGACCACCAGAAAAGCCGCTGGGAGCGCAGTTGGCCTACTATTGCCTGCGGGGCTGGACTCTTCTCTGATGGCTATCTCAACGGGTAAGAACCCCATATGTGCTCTTTGCGTCGCCCCTACTCACCTTTGCTGTCCGGCAATATAGGGTCATTGGCCAAGTGAACACTATATTGAAAGCGTTGTATAAGAAGCAGTACTCGAACTCTCCCGCGCAGAGTAATGTCAATTCGATAGCTTTTGCCGGTACTGTCGTCGGCCAGCTATTCTTCGGATGGATGAGCGATCACGTCTCGCGCAAGTGGGCTTTGATGACCTCGACAGTCATACTCTTTATATTTGCGGCTCTGAGTGCAGGGTCCTATGGTGGTGGCTCTATCAATGGCATGCTTCAGGCTCTCACAGCTTGGCGATTCCTCCTTGGTATCGGTATCGGGTGCGTCACTCTACTCGCGGATTGTACCTGTGGCTGACAGAAATGCAGCGGTGAATACCCCGCCGGCAGTGTAGCCTGCGCGGAGAGCACTGGGGAACTGAAAGAGGGGCATAGGAACAGATGGTTCATCATGTTCACCAATGTCCAGATCGATATCGGATTCGTGGCTTCCTCGTTCGTACCTATGATTGTGGTACTGGCTTGCACGGACAATCATCTACGCGCAGCATGGAGAATATGCCTCGGACTCGGCGTCATTCCCCCACTCAGTCTCATCTATTTACGGTTGAAACTTCAAGAGCCGGAGGAGTTCAATCGCGAAACCATGAAGAACACACACACACCATGGTGGTTGGTGATTAAGTATGTCCAACTTACGCGATACATCCCCTCATTTGATCGAATGCTGACTATGCGCAGGTTTTACTGGGCCCGCCTTCTAGTGGTATCCATGATCTGGTTCATCTACGACTTCTTGACCTACTCGTTCTCCATCTACTCATCAGCCTGGCTACTAGTCATCCTCGGAGACTCGGCACCTATCTGGAAATCATTCGGCTGGGATACAGTTATCAACCTCTTCTATTTGCCCGGCGCAATCGGCGGTGCTTTCCTAAGTGACATTCTCGGCCCTAGGCTTGCACTGGGCTCATTTGTCTTGGCTCAGGGTATCGTAGGCTTTATCATGTCAGGCTGCTATCCCTACCTTGACAAATCTAGCACAGTAGGTGGCTTCGTCGTCGTCTACGGCATCTTCCTTTCCCTCGGTGAAGCAGGACCCGGTGACAACATTGGCCTGGTTGCATCCAAGACCAGTGCCACAGCAATCCGTGGCCAGTACTATGCTATCGCCGCTGCAATGGGGAAGATCGGCGCTTTCGTTGGAACCTACGTCTTCCCAGTCATTCAGAACAACGCTCCAGGTGGCGCGGATAGCAACCGAGGTGGCCAAGATCCCTTCTTTGTGAGCAGCGCTCTTTGCATATTCAGCGCTGGTTTGGCATTCTTTCTTCTGCCGCATATCGGGCAGGATACGATCACGAGTGAGGATCTGAAGTTCAGGGCTTATCTCGAGGATAATGGATGGGATACTAGGCAGATGGGCACGAAGGAGTATCAGATGAATAGCAGCTCAACTGTGGATGAGATTGGTCAATCGGCAGGAGAGAAGGTTTAAGGCTTTTATTGGGAATATCATGACGGAGAGCTGGAGAATTTGATGACTGGTTGGGATTCCAATGTACCGGCGAACAAGATATCCCAAATTGAGTTTGAATTGACCTATTTTTCGGAGAACAACCAGTCACCTCCAAGATTGATGATGTTTTCCCTACATGTATGCAACATAGTCAGAAGCCCGGACATAAGACATCGAGTTTTACCGCTCGCTCTTGCTCTTAACTTACGCGACGTAATATGAACCTTCATGATATACAGACAGTCACTCATTAACCCCCGCCAAGTATTTGACCATCTCAGGTTTCCTGCTTTGAGAACACACCGACCAAACAAACCCATCACCCCTCACCACCCAAACGCACTCTCCACAAACCCCTCACGCAAAATGGACAACCTCCCCACCACATACGCCGGCAAGAACCCCCCCCCCCCTCCCCCCTCCAAACCCCACTAACACCCCCCCCGACCCCATCCCCATCGCCATAATCGGCGGCACAGGCCTCTCCTCCCTCCCCTCCCCCCCCTTCCACCCCCTCGCCCTCATCCCCCCCACCCCAACCCCCTGGGGTCTCCCCTCCTCCCCCATCGCCATCCTCCGCTACACCCCCCCGGCACCCTCCTCCACCTCCCCGCCCCCGTCAACAGCGCCATCGCAACCGACGATCGTCGCCTTCCTCGCGCGCCACGGCGCGCACCACCAGTATGCGCCGCACGAGATACCGAACCGGGCGAACGTGGCGGCGTTGAAGAAGTTGGGGGTCAGGGCCGCGGTGGGGTTCAGCGCGGTGGGGAGTCTGAGGGAGGAGGTGAGGCCGAGGGATTTTTTGGTGGCGGGGGGGGTGGTGGATTGGACTAAGGGGGTGAGTTTGTTGTTGATTCCTGGCGGGGAGATAGATGGGTGGGTGGATCGGTGGGGTTGGGATCATGAGGATGGGTGAAGAGGGGGGTGGATGGGGGAGGGAAAGGAAGGAAAGAGGCCGTGCACTGGCCATGAAGCTGACGAGGGAGTTCTCGTGACAGGTGCGGCCGTGGACGTTTTTCGAAAATGGCATGGTGGGCCATGTCAGCATGGCGGATCCATTCGATGCGCCGCTGTCCAAAGCTGTCCATGATGCTATAAGCCGGCCTGGGGTATTGGAAGGCGAGGATGTCACAGCGCATAGTGCTGGGACGGTCATCTGCATTGGTAAGAGCTGCCGCTACCCTACCTATCTACGTCTGCTAGAGAGAGAGAGAGAGATGGATGCATGCTTAAAACATTTTACATGAGGCAGAAGGGCCTCAATTCTCCACCCGCTCCGAATCCCTCCTCTACCGCTCCCTCCCCACCCAGCCTCCCATCTCCGTCATCAACATGTCCGCCGTGCCCGAGTGCAAACTCTTCCGCGAAGCCGAAATCGCATACGCCCTCGTCTGCATGAGCACCGACTACGACAGCTGGCACGGCACGAATGAGGGGGTGTCGGTCGAGATGGTCATGGGTCACATGGTGGCGAACGGGGCGAATGCGAAGAGGGCGGTGGCGGCTGTGTTGGAGGAGTTGAGTAAGGAGGATGTTAAAGGGGTGGTGGGGGAGAGGTGGACGATGGCGAGTAGAGGGGGCGTTATGGGGCTGCACAAGAGGGATGGGAGGGGGGTGGAGGCGGTGGGGAGGTTGAGGTGGTTGTTTGGGGAGAAGTGGGTTGATGGTGGCGAGTAAGGAGGCTACGTACGTACGTACGTCCTTGGCATGATGAACGGGATGCATGAGCAGCAAGCGATATAGAGCGTATAACATATGCATTGAGCTAAACCGGATCAGTCAAATACGACCTTCTTCCCCTGGAACGGCACCGCCTTCTTCTGTTCCTTGGCCTTCCTCGCCGCCTCCCATGATGGATGCAAGGGGCCTTCAGCAGCAGCAGCCGCAGCAGATGGCTTTGCTTTCCTGGCCACGATCGGATCGCTGTTAGCACCCGTACTCTTAGCGAACCTCCCACCACCCCTGCTACCTCCCCTCCCAGCAGCATCTAACCCCCTTCCAAACCCACCCCTCCCTCTCCCCCTCTTTCCCCTCTCATCCAACCCCTGCGCACCCTTTCTGGCATCCCACCCTTGATCCCTATCCTGCGCCTGTTTCTTCACATGGTTGGCGTTCTTGCCGAACTTCTTTTCCCATAATGCTCGTCGTGCCTGTTGGCCCATTCTGTTCTTGCGTACTTCTATGTTGGCGGCGGAGGAGTCGTTGTCGGAGGAGGCGGAGTCGCTGCCGGACCAGTAGCCACCGAGGGAGAGGGAAGGGAGGAAAGTTGTTGAGATTGGAGGGGCGGTGGCGGGTCTGGCGTGTTTGGGTTTGAGAGGCGGATTGATGGCTGTGGGGTGTTCGTCTTCTGGGGCGTCGTCGTCTTCGTCCGAAGATTCTTCCGCTTCTGTTGGATCCTCCTCCTCTGTGATACTCATGTCGTCCAATTTGTCGCGATCGTGGTCCTGGTTTTCAACATCTTCCTCGCCCAAGTCCTCGTCCGATGATCCGGCAAGCCGTGAAGTGTACATATCAAAGTCGACATCCTTCTCATCATCATCCTGAAAACCATGGTCCTCTTCTATTTCCAAGCTCTCGGGAGAGGAGAAGCCACTCCACTCGTCCTCATTTTGAGCACCGGTAATTGACAGAATTGATCCCTCTCTTTTCGGGACCGCAGGCCCATTCGTATCATTAGCCTGAGAGCCATTCACGTAATCCTTGGCCCGAAGTCGTTTCTTGCTATCTGGCCCGAGCTCTTCAATACCGAGCACAGCTCGAATGCCTTTCAGCGCCTCCGTCATAGCAGCCTGCACAGGGCCTGACTTGAACAATCTCGCCTGCACATTGGCACTAGCCGTCTCTTGCGGCTTCTTCGAGTTGTCGATCGTAACTTGCACATGGTGTGGGAACGCAGGCGCAGAGGCTATCGACTTGATCTTCAGCAACGATTTGTAAAGATGTATTTCCGCCGTAGAAACCAAATCCAGGTTCTTCAAAGCAGCCACCTCGGCTTCCAAGCGCGCTGTGTCTGTGGCATTGCCCTCTGTTTTGGCGGTCTTCTGCCGCCGTCCCAGCTTCTGACGCTCGAATCCTCGGGCTACTTTTAGTGATCGAAAGAGTGACCTTTTGCTCTGGTCGAGCAGACCGTCGAGTTGCAGTCGCTGTAGACGCAGCGCTTTGGCTGTTGTGCCACTGTTGCTGACTTCGGAGCTGCTGATCTCGTCGTGTTTGCGTTTTGACATTGTCGAGAGAGGAATGTGGGAAGCTGGAGTGAGGGAGGGGACCTCGTATTTCGTATCCGAGGTTGGTGGCTTCAGCCCTACAAAGTATTGATTTCTGGCGGCCTTCCTCCAGGTCTAGAGTATCTCTTATTGGTTTCGCGGTGTGGCTTCAGTACTTTGTTTGTGATAAGACTCTGAAAGTCGAACGTTGAAGTTCTGTATCTGTTTCGTTTGTAAATGTGGGTATGCAGTGATGTCTCATCTCATCAACGCAACAAAGGCTGCACTTGTGTTCCTCTCCGCAGCTGGTTTTTATGCCACTTGGTATATCCTTCTCAATAATGGCACTACTGACTACATGGCTCACCTCCGAGACGTCGGTCCTCGACTGCTGCCAGGGACGAAAGAGCCAATAAAGACTGTTTATACCGGTGTTCCTGCGATTGATCACCAGCTGACTGTTCTGGCGCTGTTCTTCTGGGAGAACGTCGACGGATCTAATCCGGCGGGCTCCTTGTTCTGCTTTCATTTCGCTACGCAGGTAGCTTGTGGATGGGGTCTGCTTATGATTGAAGGATTGAGGCATGGAAATAGATGGACTATTATATCCTTGTAGGTACAATGGGACCCAAGAACTACGACGATGCTGATAGGAAGAAGCATAGGGACATGGGGCGTCTTTGTGCAGAACGCCGCATATGCTGTCATCATACCTTACTGGTGCATCGCCTATCTCTCGACATCGCGTATAGTCTCTTCGAGACGTGTATCTGAATATCTGGTCGATGTGCCGAATCTTGCAGGTATCGCTATTTCGATGGTTTTAGGCTATGTCCTGCCGACCATTTTGATGTCGCTGCCTGCTCCTTCGATCATCGATTATGACCTCAAGCAGTGGCTCATGACTTTCTGGCAATTCTTTCCTGTTTGGGTCTCCGTGGTGCAGGGAGTTGTGCCATATCTGCTGCCAAAACCCGGAGAAGCAAGCAGAGTATCTGATATCCACATGTTGATGTCGATGAGGATTCTGTACGCCGGTCTTATCACCACGGCGGGAATCGGTCAAGCCTCTACCATGACTTTTTTGGCAACATCGAAGTTCTTCCCCGAGCTCTTCACTCCTGAGTTCGTCGGCGTATTCAATCCTTCTAATGTCTTTCTGCCAGCAACGATATCCCCGTCTACGAAGGTGCCGTCAATAGGAGCCGGAGCATTTCTCTTGCTTCAGTATGACCACCTCATTGGATCGACGTCCATGGCCCTGTGGAGCACAGTGCTGTTTGTTAATACGTACAGGAATGGGGCGACCTACCAAAGTGTGGGATTGATGATTGTTGGAGGCATTATAATGATGGCTTTGACGGGTCCATTGGGCTATGCAACGGCCTGTATTTGGGCGAGGGATGAGCTGATCATTGCTGAAGCTGAAGCTGATGGTAAGAAGATGCAATGACGGCTCTCCGCGTTAGGAAACGAGCAATGGTTTATGATCAAACGATTGTGAGAGTCTGCACATGATATTGCCTTACTCGAGCGTATCGGGTCGGCCTTTCGGAAGCATTGCTCGAAGTTACCTCTATATACAAAACCCGCTTTGAAAGGGGGCCACGCCTCACAAACGGGCCAGAACGCGAATAAAAGCCGCTTCTTGGAATCACTTCTTTGGCTCTTCTTTCTTCTCCTCCGGTTTTGGAGTGGGTAGTTGAAACTACCAAGAGTATTAGCAACACGACGCAGTGTGCGTGCAGAGTGGTCAAGAGGTTTTAGTGTAGACGTACCTCTTCTGGCTTCCTGTCTTTGCCTGGGCCAACTTGCTATAGGTTCTGTCAGTGACCACTCCGGTGTCTCCGATGCCAAGGTTATGCTTACCTCCCAGGCTTTTGAGTATTAGCATGGGCAACATAAGGTTTTGGCGTAGAGATCTTACCTGCTGTTCCTCCCTCAAAATTTCGGAATGCTTGCGTCAATTCCAATGGTTCCACTACAATCCTCTTTTTCTCTTCATCATAACGGATCTCTGTATAGCCCGTCAATGGGAAGTCTTTCCTCAATGGATGTCCGTCGAATCCATAATCAGTCATAATTCTCCGTAAATCCGGATGCCCCACAAAGAACACCCCAAACAGATCATACACCTCCCTCTCATACCAATTGGCTCCATCGTAAAGTGATGTTATGCTCGGCACCGGTGTAGCTTCATCAGCGTATGTCTTGACCCTAATCCTAGAATTGTGCCTGACACTGAGGAGGTTGTAGACAACCTCAAATCTATTGCTCCTTGTGGGGTAGTCCACAGCGGTTATGTCCGCCACCATCGTGTATTCGGCTGCGGTATGGTATTTGAGGAAGGATATGACGGGAATGACGCCGGTCGGCGGAATGTATATAGTAAGCTCGTCCTTCCATACGGAGAATTGCTGGATGTATTTAGGCATGCAAGAGAGAAGGTATTGGCCATAGGTGTGGAGGCTGGCTGCTTTCTCTTGGAACTTGTCGGTTGGGTTCACAACTGGCGCATGAAGCTTGCCCCCAGCTGTCAAAGTATATCAGCATAGCCTCAGTATCAATTCAGAGCATCTAACACTTACGAGGCCGCTGAGCATGGCGCAGATTTGGCAGCTCATCTTGATTAGCTACCTCCTTAGCTCGAATTGCGGTACATGTGAATTGACGGGTCTTGGATAGTTGTGGGGGTTGCTTAGCAAATATTCGAGCAACGTTTTTGACGGATGTTGCAGCACTCAGTCTCACGGCCATTGTTGTTGAACTGTCAACGGGTTGAGACAGGCTTGCAAACGGAGGTGGTACACTGGTGATGCGATTCTCATGCAGGTGACCCAATCGGGTTTAGCGCGTGGATTAGCACTAGCGCTGTATGCTGAAGTTGCAACTTTGACCTTGCCTCACTTCTTCTACATCTTCAACAATTTCACTCCCTTCATTGTTTACAGCACGGTGCTCAGGAGTCTTTCAATATTACTTTAATGACATCTTCATACCGGTTCACTTCTTTAATCCCTCATTCTCCACCTCACGCATTGCGCACCCCTTGCCCTGCCCTTTCACAATGGCAGGTCGTGTTCAACAAGACGCCTTCATTGATGACTCTGACGAATCATGGTTAGTCCTGCTTCTATATTCCGATCCACCAAGCTTGAGGACAATCAGCTGATGGTTCCACACCTAGTCCTCTGTGCGTGGAGGAGTTTGACCTGTCAGACAAAAATTTCAGGCCATGCCCATGCGGCTACCAAGTATGTTGTAGATTATTCATCTCCCCAACTTACAAACTCGGCTCCTGGAGCTACACATCGCGATTATTGTACTGACTGCCTTGTTACTCCAGGTATGCCAATTCTGCTACAACAACATCAAGAATCACATGAATGGCCTGTGCCCCGCATGTCGAAGACCTTATGATGACCAAAGCATCGAATGGAAGATTGTCAGTCCCGAAGAGTAGGCCTATTTCTATCTCTCAAACAGGTTCATCAACTGACCATCTCCTCTCCAGACAGAAGGCCGACATTGCGCTACAAGCCAGGAAGAAAGCCATGGCACGGAAGAAAGAAACTGAGCAGAGACAAGTGGAAACGCTCAACCGAAAAAACCTTGCAGGCATAAGAGTGGTCCAGAAAAACCTCGTATATGTCGTTGGCCTCAGCCAGAAAAGCAGCGAGGAAGAGTTTTTACGGACACTGAGAGGCTCTCAATACTTTGGGCAATATGGCAAGATCACGAAAATAGTTGTCAGCAAAGCAAAAGAGGGGCAGAACAACGCCAACAACAATAATAACTCAATTGGTGTCTACGTTACTTTCGAAAATAGAGAGGATGCTGCAAAGTGTATTGCTGCAGTGGACGGCTCACAGAATTCGGAACGAACGCTGAGGTGAGTGAATACCTTTACTGATTGTGGAGGCAACCTCAATTCTAACTCGAAATCAGAGCTCAATACGGCACGACCAAATACTGCTCTGCCTTCCTACGCAGTGAGACTTGTGGCAATCGAAACTGCACATTCCTTCACGAGACTGGCGAAGATAACGACAGTTTCAGCCGAGCGGATCTTTCATCCATGAACGCTCTGTCCACACAGCGACCAGCTCAGCAGGCGTCAGCAAGACCTAATCAACAACCACCGCAGGCACAGCCTCCACCTCAGCAAGCCCCACAGAGCATCTCCGCAGCGTCCCAAGCAGTCGCTCGTGATGAAGCCATGAGTCGAAGTGATAGTGGTGACGGATCTGCTCTTCCTTCATCGGCGAGCTGGGCTGCGAAGAATGCGCAGAATGAGAGCACCAGATCGAGCAAGCCTGCGAGCGTGGCTGCTTCCAGTCCAGTCATCACAAATCCAAGCGTCCCGGTGCAATCTGCAGAGACACGACAAGTCCCGTCCGAGCCTCCGCCTCCTGATCCGATTTCGAACAATCCACCCCAAACGCTTACCGTGCGGCCTGCTCCTCTTCGGCCAAGTTACACCCTGGAGCCTGCGATGAAGACCTTGGTGAATTCCTCGTTCAAGTTCACTTTCGACCGTTCAATCTACAGTGAGGATGACCTCAAGGAGATTGATGCTTACCCTCCATTATTCGATGACCATGGAGGACTCGTGCGCTACCGCATGGCAAAAGAACAAGAGCTGGAACGTCAAAAGCAAGAAGAGGAGCGGAACGTGATAGGCGCAATGTCTGCTACAGAAGACGAGGAGGCTCCAGCAAGTGGAAGCTTACAACTAGGAGGGGAGCCAGAGACTCAAGACGAGCCGAATGATAACTCTGGACGTATAAGTGCTCAGCAACGAAGTGTGATACAGCCGCCTTTTGGATCTTCAAGCAGCTTCTCTTTTGGAGGAACCAACTTTCCAGGCAGTAACGCAGCCAGCCTTGCTCGGACCCTTACCCCTCAACAGCAGCATCAGCTTTCTCTATTACGCTCACAAAGCCGCAATCAGCAGAGCCCCGTAAACAACGGCCAGTATCAACCAGGGTATACCGGCAACACTAGTCTACACCATCATCAACAATCCAACCCTTTCCAGGTGCAAAACCAAGCTTTCAATACTGCGCAAGGGCACGGAAGACAAGCCTCGCGTTACACATTCGCAAACGACTCCGCATCAGCATCAACAACAGTGAAACCAGCAGCGAATCCCCAGCTGATGGCCCAACAAGCTGCCATGATGCCTGGAAACCAGAATAAGCACTTTCAAAACCAGCAACTCCAATCAAATGTTCACGGCAACCATTTCTATAGCGGTGTTCAAGGTCCACCTCCAGGCCTCAAATCTAGCGGCACACCACCCATCAGCGGAGGCGGAATGTTCGGCCAAGGACATGGCTTTGCTAGTGCCATGGGCGGCAGTGCTGGTTTCGGCGGCAACATTGGCGGAAAGAACACCAACGACGACCTTATGCGTGAATTGCTACGGACTCGGAACGGAAGTATCAATGGACAAGGGTCTGACATTGGAAAGCGTGAGTTCAAACTTCCTTTTACTCAACAGCCCATGATTTCCGATGCCCCTGCCTCAAGCCTTCTTAGCTCGCTGTATGGGTCTCAAATTGGTGGCCATTACGGTTATCAAGACCATCACCTCCAAAAGCAGAAGAAGAAGGGGAAGAAGCACAGACATGCTAACACTTCCTCCTCTGGGGGAGGTGGTATAGTTGATCTTGCGGACCCGAGTATCTTACAAGCTAGAATGCACCACGGCGCTGCAGGGCAGGGGCAATTTGGCGCCCAAGGTCAAGGTGGGTACAATCCGAACAGTATGCTATACGGAGGAGGCTACGGCGGCCGGTGGCAACTGTGATCAAGGTCTTTATTTTCGACCCGAGGTCCTTTTCTGGACTTTTATTCATTGATGATGGCGCAATCTTCCTTTCGTGGTCATTTAGCGAGCATGGGCCCGAAGACAAAAGAAAGAGGAGATCATGGCGTCTCGGGAGTGGCATCAAAGCCACTGGCATGATCTGGGAGAGCATCTACCAGGGACCCGCTCTTTTCCCTTCAAGGCATCACAGCAGGGCTGCGGTTGGTTACATGATACCACTACACCGTCATTCTCATCGTGGCCAGCGTCATGTATGTAAGCATCCCTTCCTTGACCTGATATCAGGCAGGAAAATATCAGTCTATTTTCTCACACAATCTTTGCCACTTAGAACCTTCCTTTTCCTAATGCCATGATGAGACCGGCGGTCGCAGCCTGTGTGAATCGGCGTTATAATTCCTTTAAAGTACATAGAGCGTGGCTCGATAAGTGCTTGGGGCCTATGCTCGCTTTTGCGGGAGGACTTTGTCTTTTCAATCTGTCATTAACCACTATTCGCTCATCAATCTGAAGATATTTTGCTGACTGTTGTCTGTCTAGACTCATCAAACTTTTCCTCTCGGCAGGACTCAATTCAACCAATCAATCGTCCGCTCACGGACTCCTCATTCACTACACCTATAGTAACTTCTTTGTCAAGCAAGCCTGCCGTTAAGATCACTCCAACCCATACGCCAGTCAATCCAGGACTATCACTACCTCAAGACTTCCCGCCCTTGGTTGCTCCGCAACCTCCACCCCCCGCACCTCCTCGCCCTCAACGCAAAGTCACAACCAGTGCAGCTATCAAGCCAGTCATCCCTGTTCTTCCAAATCCTTCTTCCAAACCCACATCCATGCAAAAAGACCCGCAACAGAGCGAGCAAGCCGGCAGTACCGAGCCCGGTATTCATTCAGTGCCCGAAGCCAGTGTGAAATCCAAGCCAAAGGAAGACGCAGCATCCTTGGGCATGCCCGAGGCCAAGACTGCACCGAAACCAAGTAAAACCTCGCCTGCTAACTCTTCCAAGCCCGCGGACAAGAAATCGCGGCCTAGCAAGCTCGATATTGCTGCAGCCAAGGATGCAACGAAGAAGAATAAAAATGCGACAGACATTGCAGGAGTAGTAAGCGGCCCCGGGCCTTCTCAGCCCCCTACTCCTGCCACAGCTGTTTCACAGGCATCTGCTTCATCTGCGACGCGCCCAAACCAATTTCGACCAACCCGTGTACCTCCTTTGCCAAAGGCCGAAACACGACCAGCTTCGCCTGCAATGGCTCCTACGATTACGAGTAAGCAGCCATCGCGACGGCCCAGTATCACTTCCATCGACCGGCCTGGGACACCAGCGAGCGAGAAGTTCTGGGACAACATGTCGTTTGCCTCTACAACATTGTCTCGAGCTAATTCGCCTCCTCCAAGTAAGGTCGGATCAGCACCTGTGAGGCAAGTCACAAAGAGTCAGCAAAAGAAAGAGAGACAAGCACGTGCAAAGCAGGCGGAAGAAGCCTCCAAAGTCGAGGAGATTCCTGCCAAGGTTGAGGAGCCAATGCAGGCACCTATTATTGGAAGAAAGAAGAAGGCAAAGAAAGAAAAGACGCAGGGTAGTGCAGACTCTACGCCTACCGTCACACGGCCGACATCTCCTGTGCCCAAAGAAGAAGAAGCAGTGGAGGAAAAAGCGGAGCCGGTCACACCAATTAGAGAGGGCAAGAAGACAGCCTCCAAGATTGCAGCAGACATGAAAGAGCCGGACACACCGTCAAGTCCCGCCACTCCGGCTTCAAATGATCCGCAAAAAGCCTCACTCACAGCTGCATCAATCTTTGCCAGTCTATTGAAATCCGGTGAGCTCAGTTCCACCGTGTCCGAGCTTTTCAAGAGTGTCCCCGGACTCAATTACCGTTTCGAAGGCCTTGAGCTAGATCTAGCTGTTGCGGATGATTCAATGGTTTCGGACAGCCAGATGCACTCTCTGGACCAAGGCGAGGCAATCACTATCCAAAAAAGCCCAACCAACCATGTGGTCGTGCTCCCGGACCGCAGCGCTCTGCGTGGCTTGACTGCCGCCCAAGCAGCGCGCTATCTTGAATTGAGAAAGCAAGCTTTGGCGAACGGTGATGTACCGTCTAATCAAGCTCTCGCCGGTCTCGTCCCTGTTCTTCCACAAGTTAGTCTGCCTGTTGCACGGTTTACATCTCGGGCTTCTTCGGAAGACCAGAAGCTGCCCAACCATTTTGCTGCTCCTGCGCCAGGACCTACACCTCTTTCTGCGCAAATGCAGAAGTATGGCGCTATGGAGGGGTCTAGAGATGAGAGTTTCCTGAAGAGAATTCCAAGCGTTAGCGTTGAGAGGGCTGAGCAGGATTTGTCGCTTAGTAGGAAGGAAACGGAGGTTGTGGAGAAGAAGCTGAACGCGTTGTTGAAGAAAAACAGAAGGTTATTGTTTGGGAGTGCTCACTAGGAGCCAAGAATGTTGTTGGAGATGGCTTCGTTGCAGGGAATATGTAAGGCTTCGTGCGAAGCTTTTGAAGAGATGGAAAATGAGCCCGATAAGGGAAATATAACATTGTACCGCAATTTGGACTGGGCTGAAAGGAAACCGACGTTTCTTGCGAATGGTATCAGCATTGGTAGGCTGATAGGAGCTCGGCATATTGAGCTACAAAGAGCTTGGATCTTCAGTGGCCGTAAAGCCTGTTTTGAGAAGGAACGTCTTGTGATTGGTATCATTCAGCATCGATGGACATGATAGGGAGGAGCTTGGCTGTTGAGCTCGGCGTACAAAGCGCTTGTATTGTCGGGTGCTGAGCCCTAGGTGTATTTGTATTTCTAGCAAGCATTAGGTAGACAGTTCGCTTGATGCGACAGGAAGCAAGCACTTCGCTTTTTGTGTATCTGTGCTGATTGATGGTTACCTTACCCTGGTTGGAGGGTGGAGGAAGAGAGAGCGTGCTGCTGCTTCTTCTCTAACACATTTCCCGTTAGAGGATTCAACTACGCCGCTCGTGTAGAGTAGCAGACAGTCTCCAGAGTAGCCAGCAACTCGTCCCGTCACACATTCCCTGAACGGAGAGATTGTTGTCTTCAGAGGAAGTGGAAAGTGGAGGGCAAGGTGATTCGGTAACTGGTGTTTTTTCCCTGATAGATAGGCAATCAGACGGTATGTCACTTCTTCAAGCATAGATTAATGGTAGATGGATTTCTATGGTGGAATGAAATGAGAAAGACTTGCGGTTTCCATATAACCTCCCACCATCCCCTCCTGCATCTAATGTAAAACCCAGATCCTCAAATATCCCATGCAGCTTCGTTACTGGCAAGGATCTTTTGGTCAGATCGCACTCCCACGAATCTGCCTGGTATACCCCAGAAGCCAATCATGCGCCAATGACAGCTCCATACTTGACCATCTGCTCAACCTTGCCTTTATCTCTCTGATCACCGTTTTCTGATTCGAAACCAGGCAGTGGCCATGGCTGGGGATACTTGATGCCGGCGGGTGAAAGTGTTGCAGACGCCAGCGCCGATGTGGCCCGTTGTCCTGTTTGGTGACTGACGGAGGATCTTTGCCGTTGTGAGGATCCAGTAAGATCGCACAGCCCACGGAGCACCCGTCACTAAGCTCTCCGATGTACGCGTTCTTGAAGCCTTCTGCCCTCGGGAGGAACATGGTGGTTTGCAGTTGAAAAAGTAGCTTGTCTCGCTTTGATGGAGGCGACTGGTCGGCCACAGTCGGAGGCGTGGGCGTGTATTTTGGATCAAGAAATGGTAGATCGAAGTGCGCTATTCAACAATTTACGTGTCTCGCAGTCTTCAAATTATTTGCGGTGGGAGGGGCCAATCCACCCAAGGATTTCCATCAAGTCCTTCCTCGCATATCACTGGTCATGGGCAAGAAATAGCTCCTATGCCATACGAAGTAGCCTACAAGTCGAGGTTTCGAGGAAGAACCTTCAGGGTTGGAGTCGACTCCGGAGTCAGGACACCGATGCAGCCAAACTAGCGCGCGTTGCCCAGCAAGGAGTGAGATACGAACCATCTGTAAAGCTTCAATCTGGACCGTTTCAAGCCTCTAAACCAACAGTTTGTACCATCGGGAGCCTCGATCGCAAGCTTGTTGATGAGGAGTTCTTGTCCCTTCTCGGCCAACGTTACATTTCTACGGAGCACGGAACGAGGACCAAGTGCAGAAAACGCAGAGTCAGGAGGTTCGCAGATTCAGTCCTCGTCGTGAAAAACGTTGAGCTGACGAAAACGCTTCCATGTAGAACCATGTTTGGAAAGCTTGCCCTCAAGAGACGCATCGGCGACTGGGACTGGAAAACCGATCCCTCATGGCTTAAGTCTAGTCGGGCTTCTGCCGGTCCCAAGAGGTGCTTAGAACTACTTTCGACGAGAGCTGTACGACGCTGGTAATATCGAAGCATCACCAACGGCCTAACATTGGTGTTTCCCAGACCTTCAACAAAAGTCGAACCAAAGCTTTGCCTCGCTCTCAATTTCCGCACCCCGTCTTCACCGCCGCGGCATTCAGAGCGCACCACGTCGCCGCAGCGTCGTTTGTATTCTTTCGCGTCTTTGTCTACGACAGGTGTCCAGTACCGCCGGCCCTTTTTGAGGACGTTGGAAGATAGAGGGAAGAGACAGGAGGCACTGGACGGCGGAGAGGAAGAACCGACGGAGAAGCTGACGGCGATGGGAGCTGCAGCTGGGGTGGTTGATGGCACGCTTCACCCCCAAGTCTGACGCTTGGCCTCAGCTGAAGAGCGTCGGAAGTCGCTTTCCTTCCCCCGAAGATGATCGCCATGGGCGTGGGCACCATCTGCATGCGCGCCATGGGCTTCAGTGCTACTGGAAGATTCTTCCAACGTGGAGGGATTTCTAGAGCTAAACGGTCACCAGAAGCTGCGCAGTAACATGCGCGCTATAAGATGCTCGGTGAAATCGTGGAGTATATCTAATGATGCACCCAGGCAACTCTGCTAGAACGATGTAATTTTATACCGAGAGGTGTCCAGTCCGGAAACTGTCAAGGGTCCTATTTAGCACGCGATGCAGCAAGATCCCTGAGTAGGTTTCCGTTATCACTTTTCATTGTGTATTTCTTGTAGCAGTTAGGCGTTCGTCGGGAAGAACACTGACCTAGTCTTTTACGCTTGTGCCACAGAGACTAGGGGATGTAGGCAAGGAGCGGTGGCTGGGATACGAAAGGGTTGTATCGATGAGAGTTGGACTAGCTACCATACTATCAATGGACTGCGCGACTTGTCTCTCCAGTCGCAATAATGTAGACCGTATAGCCAGGGTACATTGCAGATGCGAGCCATTCTCAGCGAGGATTATTACCCATCCCTGTCATCGAGCTCCTGTTCAGCACATTTCCTGGGAGATTTTCGTCAAGGCCCATACCCCACCATGTACCCTACTCAATGCACGTGATGAGTGTGTCAGACAATCAAACACCGGCCAAATCTATCAATGCCTTTGCCTCCCTCTCGGCTCTGAAGATCGAGCTTGGCGAGAAGCTACTAGATTAACGTGTCGTCGGCGCTGTTTTTCTCGCGTCCTAGACACAGCACAACTTCCTTCGCGTCCTCTGATAATGGCTTCCAACGGATCTTTTGCACGGCAAATGCCGTATTTTTCAACTGTCCTTGGGCATGAGACAGTACTACCGCGTCGCATGTCTCCTTTAGGGCTGCCAGTAACGACCTATGGTCGTCGTAGTCTGCGAGGTATGCACGGTGTTCCGCAAGCACGCTGTTGTAGTCCGGGACACACTCGCTCGTGGATTTGCAGCTTCGACGGACGAGATCGAATGTAGCGTCAGAGGTGTAGCATAGTCGAACTCGTAGACTAATGTGCTCCGTGTTCTCGTAGCGTTCCAATATATCATGCTCGATTGTGGGCCATTCGACAGGGAATTCTATGATACGATCGTATGGCTCATACTCGATTATCCTATATGCAATAGCGATGTCCTTGACATGCGAATAGAAATGTTCAATCAACTCAGTAAGGATGTGGTTCGGCTCATTTAAGCAAGCCCAGAGTGGGGGATGGTCCATGTTCTCACACTCCAGGCACTTCATATGAACCGTATTCTTGGAGTAGAGTATGGGTAGCGTCTCGGTGTAGACCTGCTTGCTTGTCCTGAGTATCTCTGCGTAGACGATGTTGGCGTTGTATGTGAAGTTGGTGCGGTGCGCTGGGCAGAAGTCGCATGTGGCGCGATATAGGTCGATGTTTTGGACCATCAACTCGTTGTAGACCAGAAGGCGAATCTCGACAGGTAGCTCTATGAACCGGTGAAAAGTGCTAGACAGGGTTGTCAGCCCCGTCCGTTCTTGGAGTTGCATTAGAGTTTTCGGGACAGTGAGATCTGTCACAGTCGGTTAATTCGGCCAGAACTTGTTGCGCTTGAAGTTCGGGAGCCCATACTGTTCAATGTCAATTTTGGTTTATTGGTCGTGACTGCTGATGGTACACTCGAAGAACGTAAGAGAAAGCGTTCTATCTCTAGAAGATATACTATCGAATCTAATTTAAATTATATCGAAGTATAACTTATAAATATTATCGAAGAAGAGTTAATTATAATCTTTATCTTTATTATTAATTTATAGAATTTTATAAAAAGCGCTATCGAAACTTCTAATACTTAATATAATAAATTAAAAACTCTAGTAGAGAGTTTTCGAACTACTAATTATAATATTAAGATATTTTAATAATAAAATAAATAACTTAATTAGAATATCGCTTATACTAAGATAAAGATATTAATAATTACTATTTAGCTAAGTAATAGTAATAATTAATTATTTTATAAGCGAGAAATTAATAATAGACTTCGAGGTTTATATAATAGATATCGTATTAATATTATAAAACTTATTAAAGAAAATAAGAAATTTAAGTAAGACTTAAAGCGTAAAGAGTAATAGCTAAAGAAGTAATAATCTTATATATTAGCTAATTTAAAAAACTTCGATAAGAAAGATATAAAGATTATATTTTATTAGTCGAGTATTCTTATTAATAATATCTATCGAAACTTATACTATATCTCTATTACGAATCGCGTAGAGAATATAGAATTAAATAAACGATATCTCGATATCTCGAATTTTTATAATATTAATAATCGAAATAAGTAGAATAGCTAGCGTTAATATCTTAAAGCGAAGTTTAGATAAAGCGCTATAATCTTTCTTATTAAACTTAAGAAAATCGATTATATATAAGATTATTATAAGTTTACTACTTATAATATTATTAAAATAAGAGTAAATAAAGATATCTTAGATTTATATTAAATTATTTAAGAAATAATTAATAAATTAGATAATATATTCGAAATATATAATAAGATTATTAAATCGAATATTAAGATATTTAATTCTAAATTTAATATAGAAGTAATAGATAAGAAGAAATCGTTTAAGAACTTCTACGTACGATTCTCTATAGCTATCGCTCTCTTAAGATTTACTAATATTTATAAGATATTTAATCTAAAACGATTAATCTCTATATATCTAAGATATCGAATTTTAGAATAGTCTTCTAGCACTTTTCGAGAATTAATTATTTTTCTATAAGTACTAAATATAAATCTTCGAGCTATTAATAATATATTAGATTTAAAAAGTAAGAAAGAGATTAATAAAACTAATAAGAACTTTATCCCCTTAAATAATTAACGTAATACTTTCTTTACTAAAAGAAATAATAATATTACTATCGAAAATTCTAATATATAAGAATATAAGTATCTTAAGCTATTAATAGATAGAATTCGAAAAGAAGATAGATATTTTAAGTATCTAAAGATTAGATATCGTTTTAGCGATAATAGTATTCTATATAAGAATATAGATTTATTAATAAAAGAATAAGTTAATATAATTCTAAAAGCCGTCGACGTTAAGAAGAATATCTTTATTAAATTATTATAAGAATTAAAAAATTAAATATCTCTAGTTAAGTCGTCGTTAGAGATCTAAAAGTCTTATATATAAGAATTAAAGAGTTAGAAATAGAAAGAATACTCGCTTTTATCTCTCTATCCGCGTATATTATTATTATCGAAACCTCTTTATAAAATAAACGTTAATTAGACTTTTATAGAAAAATTATTATATTAATAAAATAGATTAAGATTAATTATCTCTTAAATATTAAAGCTTTAATATTAAGCTTTATAAATATATCTTTTATTAAAGTAAATAAGTTATTTAAAGTAGTATTAATATAATTCTATAGATTATAACTAGTTAATAATAAATCTATTTTTATTTTTAATATTATATATATAGTCTTAATAAAACTTATCTTAGAAGATTATATAGAAGAACTTTAATACTTAATTATCTTATTAAAATAATTTAATATTATTCTAGAAATATTATAACTAGAATAGTATAACTCTTATATATTCTTTAGATTTAGAATTATTATATTTAATTTAGATTATTATATATTTAACTATTTATTATATAATAAATCTATTACTATTTAGAGTAATAATAAATTTTTAAAAAAGAATTTAAATTATATAGTAAAGATTATATTTAAAAAAAAGAATATAATAGAGATCTTTATCTATATCTTTATTAAGATAATTAAGAAATTAGAGAATTAAGTTATTATTATATAGCTTTAAGACTTTAAATAACTTTTTAACTTTATTAATAAGAAAGCGAAGTTTATTATTAATATCGCCGCTATTATAATAAAAGATTATAAAAAATTCTTTTATAAGTTAAGAAAGAAACCTTTAATTATAAAATAGCTATAAAAATAAGTTTTTATAGTATATTATAAATAGTTAGATATTTAGAATTTTATTAAAACTAATAAACTTCTTACTTATCGCTTTATCGACTATAAAATATATCTTAAAAAAGAAGTTATTTTATTATCGAAAAGAGTTTATAGACTCTTTAAAGACTAGATATTAGTTATAAAGAAATATATTAATAAGATATTAGAAAAAGACTATATTAGATTAAGTACTTCTCTTTACGTAATATTTATTCTAATTATAAAGAAATTCGATAGAGAACTTAGACTATATATAAACTATAGAGCTTTTAATATACTTATTATCTCTAATTAAAATACTCTCTTATTAATTAAAAAGATTTTCGCTAAATTATACGCGGCGAAGATATATAATAAATTCGATATTATAGTCGCTTTTAACGAAATTAGAGTAAAAAAGAATTATAAGAAAAAAATCGTATTTCTTACTCGATATAGTCTATTCGAATATATAATAATATCTTTCGAGTTATATAATACCTCTATTACTTTTTAAATATTTATTAATAATATCTTACGCGAATATCTAAATATATTCTATATTATCTATTTAGACGATATTCTTATCTATAATAATATTAAAGATAAGTATATTTAATATATAGAAAAGATATTAAAGAAACTTTAATAAGCTAGCCTTTATCTTAATATTAATAAATATAACTTTTATATTATTAGAGTTAAATATCTAGAATTAATTATTATTATAAAAGAAGTAGAAATAAATATAAAGAAAATTAAGATTATTACTTAATAAAAGAAATTTAGATATATTAAAGATATATAAGTATTTCTAAAATTCGCTAATTTCTATTAAAAGTTTATTACGAAGTATTCTAAAATCGTTATATCTCTAATAAATCTTACTTATACTTAATAGAAGAAAGACTTTATCTATTTATAGACTTAAGAATACTCTAAATAACTCGCTTTCGAAATACTTAAGAAAGCTTTTACTACTATCTCTATACTTATTTATTTTAATTTAAATAAAAAGACTTAACTAGAAATAAACGCGTCTAATTTTATAATTATTATTATTTTATTATAAGAAGATAAAGATAAAGTACTTAGATCTATAATATTTCTCTTTAAAAAGATATCTTCTATAGAGTATAACTATAATATTTATAATAAGAAACTTATAATTATAATATAGATCTTCGAGAAATAATATTCTAAGCTAGCTAATACCTCTATCGAGAATCTTATTAAAGTTATTTTAGATTATAAGAACTTATAATACTTTATATTTTTTAAATAACTTAACTTTCGTTAAGTAAGATAGATAAAGTTTTTATTTAAATTTAACTTTTATATTATTTATCGTTTAGAGAAAATAAAGTATTAAATCTAATAGTCTTATTTAATAAGTAAAAGATCTATCTAAAAATAAGAATAATAATTATACTTATTATTAATATTATATAATTCTTAAAAATAATAATCTTAACGAAGATATTAAGAATATTATATATCTTATTATTATACTTCTAAATAATATAAGAGAAAGTATTATCTCTCTAGCTATAATATTATATAAATTTAGCGAATAAAATAATATTAATAATAAGAAGTCTAATAAAGAATTATTATTAAGGGCCTCGATAGAGACTTCTTAAGAGGAGTTTATAGAAGAATTGAGAGAAGTCTCTACTATTAATACTTCTAAGTTATTATATTAAATAAAAAACGCTTATAATTATAATAATATCGCTTAAAAAATTATTTAATTAAAGATATCTAAATAGAGAAAGTTATTATTTAAAATAATTAAGAATAATCTTAAGCTAAAATTAAGTAATTATTATCTTTATAATAGATTATTATATATTAATAATAGATTATATATATCGAATATTCTCGAATTACGAATTAAAATTATTAGAGATATTTATAACTCTTTACTCGAAGGCTATATTAATAGATTATTAATCTATAATAAAATAAGTAGACTTTACTATTAAATAAGAATAACGAATTTCGTTACTCGCTATATTAAGAGCTATTATATTTATAAAAGATCTAAAACTTATAAAGAGAATAAGTAAGATTTACTTAAATTTCTTTTTATTTCCGAATAATACTAATAAGATATTTTTATTAACTTTATTATATTATTATCTATTTATCTTAGATATAGATATCTTTATTAATATATTATAATAATTATAAATAGACTTAATAAGAAGAAGAAATTCGTTTTTTAACTCTCTAAAAGTAAAGATAGTAGTTTAAATCTTTATCGAATTTATATAGCGAGAGAAAGAATATTTATTTATTATTATCTTCGATCGAGGTATCTAGTTTATAATATATTTCTAGAGAAGACTATATAAAAGAATTAGAATTAAATCTAAACTCTTTATTATATTTTATCTTAAAATTAATAAATAGATAGAGAACGCTAACGCTATTTTAAAGTAATATCTTAAAGTTTATATTAATTATAATTAAGATAATTAAATAAATCTATTATTAATAATAGAGTTCGAAGCTAACTTCGATAAGAACGCCTTATTAGATATATTATTATTTCTTCTTATTAAAGAATATATTCTCTACTTAAAAATAGAATTCTTAACTTCTTAAGAATTAATTCGCTAATTAAAGAGCAAAGAGAGATATTAAATTGGCACAGGCAGAGTTCGAGGATTGTTACGGAGGGTGAGAGGTACAGTCCCTATGTTTTTGCTTTGTGGCCCGGGAGCTTAGTCCTACTAACATTAGACTATTTCAATCCACGATAATGCTGTCGATGAGACCTCTCGGTAGACCCACTTGGGTTCGGTCACAATTCCGAATGCCCTTTGAGCTGGAGTTGAGATTTTGGGATATAAGTTACTGCTGATCCTGCAAATTTTAAGATAGCCGGTTCCAGACACGGCACACCATCTCGCTCTTTGTTGAATCTACTCTGATCAAGTCACAGGGGTCTCAAGCGATAGAAAGTCTTCGACTTTTCGACGGTGGGTTCAGTCTACCCAAAGAATATGGGAAGGTAAGTTCTTTCATTTCAGTAAGCTCTGCTTTGCCCCCCATGTCTGTACGCGCGCCTTCTTTTTCCATACGCGACTGCCGCTCAGCTTTGGCATTTTCTCTTTAGGCGGCGTTGGCTGTACGTACAGTAGGCCAATGGAGCGGATGTGGGATGATGATGCCGCCATTAACACCACAAGCGCAATGCGCACTACACACTACACACTTAGCGCGTGAAGATACATTGCGAAAGCTTGCGCATTTAATGACTTCCAGACCTTTCTTAAGAACACCGCGCACGACAGTTTCCTTGATACCATCTCGTTCAAAAAAATTCTGTCTCTCCGAGGCTACGAAGCCAACATAAAAGATTCAATCAGAATGAACCTGTTATCACACTTTTCGGTTATCCTTCTCTCCCTCCTTGTTACAATAACTTCCACCCAATCCACCAATCTCACCACCCCTTCAAATACCGCCAACTTCGAATGTACTCCTCTGCGCGTCTTCGCCCTTCGCCTCGGTCTTTCTCAGTGCGTAGGCTCCGAGTGAACAATCCCCTCAAATACGCAATACTGACTGCAAAATCCGAATCCAGAAATTGCGCCGCAGCCATCCTCGCTCTCCCCCAAGCCACTCAGCCCGTATCCTTCTACCACGCTGGCCGCGATGATATAGGTCGTCTCCCCACTACGAGGTCCCATGGAGACTGCATGGTGACAGTCGATCTGATCGATTCGAGCGAGCTCAGCACGTGGACTTCCATCGGCTTGGTCGCGACTCTGCTGATGAGTGCCTGTGCTGATATTTCGTTGAATAGAGTCTATACTGGAGGGTTTGCGAAGGCGGGCAACGGAAGGGGGATTGCGGTCACTTTGCAGAGATTTGAGGAAGGTCTAGGGGCGGGGAATGCTAGTGGTTTGCTTACTGAGTAGGAAAAAAGGGTGTATCAAGCAAGCTGCCGAGTCTTAAAAATGCCATTTCCTCGGAGTCATTGCGCCTTGGTGTGAGTGATCCTCTTTGTCATGCCTTAACGAAACATTGCATACTTGAAGACTTTGAAGAGAAAATACCTCCCCACACAAATGAAGTCCATAAACCGCTTGTAAGCAAGAAAGATGAATTCACAAAAAAGACGGGAAGAAATGTCCGAATGGATTATGGGGACCGCAAAGACATCAGGAATCATGAGTGCTGACATCGACTTACATGACTCCTTCATCAATTCTTATGTGACGAAGGCCGTAGCAAAGCATCCCCTCATGAATGGCGGCGACAACTCTGCCCTATACTTTGCCCTCAAATCCAGCACTGAAGAAGCAACGAGCTCTTGTACAACATTTAATCACACCCGCGCAGCTATTCAATGCTGCCTACGACTTTGATCCTCTCCCAAATCAGCCTCTACAAGGCGGGAACCAGTTGCAGAAGCTTGTCTCTCTCTTTCCCCCCCTCTCTCCTTTTTCCTTTTTTGTTTTTATAGCTCTCAATTAAGTCCACTGGGAAAGCTAAACGGTACCACAAGGCTCAAGATCGAAACCGCATTCAGAGCTCTTCTTGTCGTGAACGTACCAGAGCGAGTCATGGCATTATGTGACCGAGAGATTTACGCTAAGGAAGGAAATATGTACAGTGGTAGCAGGTATGTAGATATATGGCAGGTGCCAAGGCGCCAGTCAAGTGGCCACTTGGCACACTCCTAACGCTTCCAATGTCAGAGATCCCATATGATGGCATCAGCATAAGTTTTGCAGCTAGAGATCCATGCATTAGCATTGATACAGATAGGCATCCCTCGGATCAAGCCAAGCGTTCGGAATTCTGTTTGACGAACAACGGCAAGCTCCGCAGCTTTGCAAGCTTTGGCTGGGTCATTTAGAATGGAGGCACCCAATTCCTGGAGTAAAGATTGGACGTTTTTCGTGCCATTGATGTGGATTGTAGTGGGGGTCATCATCGCTGGTTCGCATTCGCCTCGGAATGGCTGAGCGGTGGCTAGCATTCGACGAGAGAGACTTCATTACTGGTATAAATGATGGGTCACTGGCCTATCGTCTCCTTGGAGTCGCAAACTGCGTCTCAGTCAATAAGACCGTACCTCTAGGAAGTTCGGACGGCGAGCCTAGTCCGGGGCACATGCGCGAATTGGCGCACGCGCTGAGGCTCCAGGGACGTGAATATTCCTTCTTAAATCTTGTCAGCTGGTGCGGATTAATACACCCTTGAAGAAGTCGATGTATTTACCCAAAACACGACTGACCCTTTTTCCGTTGCGTCCGGCGCTGTGGGTGTTGTCTCGCTCGGCTTAACCGTCTGTCAAGGACTTCTGCAATACTACAGCTCGTGGAGGCATGCTCAGAAAGATGTCGACGCAATGTGCGCTTCATTGAAAGGACTTACCAAGACTTTCCGGCTAGTCAAAATTACGATAAAGGATCGTAAGTTCAATCAACCAGTCATCGATCGAGTTACTGCAAGCATAGATCTGTGCGAGACTGGCGTTGATGAGCTCGATGCAAAGCTACTAAACGTCAAAATGATTCCAGTCAAAGGGAATGGAGACCAGATTCACGGGCAAAACTGTCGAGCACTCTACCCCTTCAGAGAGAGCACGCCCTTGAAGTTACGAGAGATGATTTCCGATCTTCGAGACAGCTGAGTCTTGCTATCAGTACACTTCAACTGTGAGTTATCTTCATCCCAGAGCTCAAGCCCTCTTCTACATATGTTCCCGACCAGATATTCGGAGGGTCTCTAACAACTTGGACCCTCAGTGATGTGTCAGCGATATCCTTGCAGAAGATAGATGCCATTGATGGGAATCTAGCGTCTCTCATGGGTAGTTCCAGTACCCTTAGAGATGGACTCGCCATAGTACAACTCAGCCAGGCTGGTAAAGCTTCCAACCTACATTGACCAAGACTATCCCTAGTTTACACGTTTATCTCAAGAACATGACGAGCAATCGAGACGCCGAAGACAGCTTATCGTTATTCAATGGTTATCGCCTTTGCATTTCGGAGACAACCGAAAAGACACTCTTAACAGACGGCAAAAAGCAACCGGGAATTAGCTACTATGTGACACCCGTTTCACGGACTGGTTGGGAGGAAATACGAGAACGTTGTGGTGTCCAAGAATGCGTGAGATTTTCCTACCGATCTGCTTGCACAATAAATACGACGCTAACAACAATGTCAAGCCGGCGCAGGTATAACTGTCATCGCGTATAAGATCCGCCTGCGTATTCAACGTACGACATCATTGGCTAATTACGACACTCATACATCTATTATCATCGATCATCTCCAGCAAACGATGAAGCCGTCTGATGTTGCAGTCGTGACGTTATGACTTGATTCTACTTCTTCATTCCATATAGTTGGTTTTTACCAGGGAGATCCTTCATGGAGGGACATAGGAGCTCGTATGAAGAAGAACATACTGCTCGCTTATGCGGCGCAGAATTGGGGCAACCATGCGCGTAAAGCCTCGAGCCATGATACAATCACCGATGAGCTTATTGTTGACTTCCTCGGCCGTGGAGCCAATTTGGCATTCTCGACAGAAGTAATTCGCTATTTCTTGCTTGACGCGGCCTCCCCAACGGACGGCGCTGCTTTGAACTTTGCTGCTTGTTTTGATTTGGAGAAGACGGTTCTGACGCTAAGGACACAACGTCAAAGCAGAGGATTTCTGCGGATGGGCGGCATTGCACGTAGCAGCTGGAACGGAGCATGAAGACATAGTGCAACTACTGCTGGAGAAAGGATTAGATATCAAGGCAAAAGGCAGATGTGGGGATACCGCACTGCACTGCGCGGCTGACGCTGAACGTGAACTGTTATGGAGGGTAAGACAGAAAATACCGAAGTGGTCTGCGAGCAGAACACCACTGTTCTAGCTTGGGAAATGAAGTCTTCTTTTCTTTTCTGGTCTTACCGGAGCTCTCTCAAGAGATCAAGCGACGGAAGTTTTGGAACAGGCGGAGAGAAACGCCACCATTGACAGTTTAGGATCCATCTCGCAACGCTGACTCAAGCCCTCCGCCTTCAAAGCATTACGAATTCTGTTTTCCACATTCAATGATCAGTCGCACATAAGAAATCGAAATTCACTCGCATCTCCACTGTCCACCTCCGTAGCCACCAACCCATCAACTCTATCCCCTACGTCATCCTCCCAACCCACCCTCTCGCAACCCCAGCCAACTTCCTCTACCCCCGCCGGACCCTCCGCCCACTTCTTGCAAGGCACCGACCGCGAATGACGATGACGGCGGTTCCCAGGCTCATCGCTCCACACCCACTCGCACCCACACTCCAGGAACCTAAATCCGCAAGCCCAGACCGCAGGTCCCTTTCCGTCACGATTCGGGTGTTCCCAGAAGGTGAAGTCCCAACAATGACACAGAGGCTCCGACTCAATTCCATTCTTTGGCGAACGGTGCGAAAGCCGCAGACGGGTATGGGATAGGATTTTGCGACGCGGGTGATGACTGTGAAGGTCTTCGTCAATCAGGTGGGTTTGATTAGAGTCGAATGGCTGGATGAGGGTGTAGAGATGGCGGGTTGTGAATTCGAGACATAGGAGGGGGAGAGGGTCGAGGTTGGCGATGATGCATTCGTGGAGCTCGGTTGGGAGAGTGGGGAGGGTTGCTGCTGACGCTATGGGGTGGGGAGCGAGAGGGTCGCGGATTGTGAGATTCTTGTTGGATTGTGGAGTTGTTGGTATCTAAGTACCTTTGCCATGACGCTAAGCGAGGTGTTGAGGATGAAACTTACCTTCTCGATGTCAGCACTAGGTGACTGGATTTAAGTCATAAATTGTTGCACACGAACACCTGTCCGGCCTTCCAAGATCTCGTCATTTCCCACCATCTCGCGGTGTCACAGGAGTCTCGTGAGTTTCACGACGTTTATTCCTGGGTGAAGACGACAGATGTGTCAAAGGAAGCAAAGGGTTACGACCCTCAGTTCCTGCTACGATAACACCACAAGAAAAATTCCATATGATACCAGCGCGTGACAGTGAGCAGGTTCAGGGCAAAGCCGAGATGGTCTTTTCCTTATCAAGTGGACTCCAAGTGAGTCTCAGCGCAGTAAATAGATAACAATCCTCGGACAATTACCCTCATACAATTGTGCGCGGATTGCTAGACTTGAAGTATCTAACTGACCGCTTACCGCTGGCTGAGCTACTCCAAGACTGATCGATTCCCGGGCTCCAACACCAAAGATGATGCGGGAGCCCAGGTCGATCTAGGCCGTGATACGACCAGTCTAACATATGCCGGCTCTTCTACAAGAGAGCCCGACTCTTGATACCAGATATATTCTTGGACACAGACATTCCATCTCCGACAGAAGCGATCACGGTTGACGGAGTTTTGTACTCCAGCTGAAATCCAGGCTCGGGCGCGTTCTTTTCTCTCGGAAGCATTTTGACTGCCAATCTGTCCTCGGCTTCGCCAAACTTGGAGCCGAAGTATCGGTCGACCTCGAAGTGCCAGAGTATACTACCACTGTGACCGCGGTCAGTTCTGTCGTACACACTTCAAAATGGCGTGAAAGCTCACCTGCAAAAACATTCAATGCCACGAATGTATCGCGAGACAAGATCATCGGTCTTTGGATCGAACTTTGGCACGCGTTTTCGGGCTTCGAAGTAGTGGTCGATGGCCGACTGGATCATGACGAATACAAATTGAATGGCCGACTGCACGTCAAGTTTCTTCTCTACAGCGACAACCGCGACAAGATTTTGGTAGTCCTTGATCAGGGGTTATTAGCGCCATCCATTGGTAAAATGCTTAAGGAAGTCAGCGATATCTCTTACCCCAGCAGCTTGTTCTTTGTTGAAACTGTACATATCCTAAAGCTACAAGCATGAGTAGTCTCCCGAAACAATCACGGTTTACATTTAGGCCAACTCACGTTCGTCCATGACGCTATATCATTGATAGTGTCCCGGAGTTCTTGTACTGCTGCATGGTAGAATGCTTCGTGGGGGACTTCTATCTCGAGAGTATACTCGACACCAGCAAGGGCTGGCTATCGAACAAGGCGTCGTTAGCCAGATCAAGAAACTTTCGGAATACTCTAGTACCTCAACTGCTGAAGTCGCTCGCCGCATTGCAACAAATTCCTCCATGCTGGGAACTCGCCACTGCTCTCGATTGTGCACTAATTTCTCTGTGCCCCGGGCGTATCGACGGACAGCGTCTATAAAACGCTTTTGCATAGTCGGGGTCGATGTGGTACGGAAACGAGCCCAGAATCTGTAGTGAAACACTCAGTGTCCGAAGTCCAAGCAAAACGAGCCATTGGATTCACATACGCACGAAATGCTGCAACGACGGTCAACTCCGCCTGTGTCTCTGACGTTTCAGGAGTATCGAATATGGATAGAACTACATTGTTGATCTCCTTTGCACCACGTGTATCGTCCATGAGGTTGTCCTCTGGGACATCAAACAGATCATCCCATGCGAAGAGTATTACGATCCATTCGGAGATGGTGCTTAACCGCTCTTTGTCTCCAACTGGATAGCACATGGCGGCGGTTAAGTAGAAGGTACGGACTTCATTCCATTTCCCTGGTGACATCCTCTTGAGACTAGTATCTGGTGGTCAATCTAGCATTTTGAGAGCATGGCACGGTGTTCTCACCTTGCGAACCAGTCTTGCAAATAAGACGCGACTTGATCACCATCCGCATGTGTTCCAGTTGCCAATTGAGATATGGCCTGACGAACATCAGGTAGATATAGAGTGGCCATGACGAAAATTCTATGAACATCCAGCCACCCTTGTTTTCTGATTTCTGTGTAAAAGACAGCGACCTCGTGCAGATGTGCTGTAGGGGTTTTTGACTCGAGAGAAAGTCTTGCTCTTTGTACAATAACTCGCGATGGAGTGGCTAACACACATGAATGGCGTTGACGGGTGCGCCTCGATTGTCATGATTGGGCAAGTTGACTCAGCTCTACCAGTTTATAAAGACTGATTGGATCTCGAACACAAGCCATCTCGATGCTGCATGTGTTTTATTATGACATGTTGCGTCAACTTTAAAAGGGGCGGGTCTCAATAAGCATACTGCATTACCTGCTTATAAATCAGCCACGTCTTGTCTTATACGTGGAGCAGGGTCTTGATCATCTTACACTTGTAAGCACACCGCATTATCTGAGATCTAGCAACGCATTGTTATTCATCGAAGGTACACTCTTAGGCTGTTTAGAATCAACTTTTATGCAGAATGCTTCCTCATCATCAGCCACATTTTGTACGTGGAGCTGGGTATCAACAAGCGCACACTTGTAAGCAGACCTATTCACCATGTCAAGCAGAGTTGTTGACCTCTGGGCTCAACTTTGGCAGAATAGAAAGTGAGCGACACAGCCGTACTAGAGACGGATACTTTCGAGCCCTTGACCACAGTCCCGTCCGTGATGATGTCGATAGGTAGATTACCATGCCTGCCGTACCTGGAATTCGTGGCCCGCGCCGCTATTATTAGTCTTCTCGCTGTTCTCATCATCGGCGTTAGAAGGGTGTATTTCCATCCGTTGAGCAAGTTTCCTGGACCTCGTATCGCAGCTTTGACAACTTGGTATGACTTTTATTTTGATGTAGTCAAAGGAGGAATTGGCATCAAACGTTGGCCGGACCTGCATAAACAATATGGTACGTCGAAGTTCGTTCACAACGACCACACTGCCGATTACCGAGTCCCTAGGTCCTATCATCAGAGTGGCCCCAGATCTTCTCCACGTCGATGATCCTGAGTTCTTCCGAGAGTGAGCCCTCAAGACACATGCTATCATACCTTTCCAGCGTTGCCTAACACCTTTCAAAAGGGTCCATGGCCCTCAAGGGAAGTTTCTCAAGTCCGAATACTTCTATGGTACTGTAGGAGCGCCGAACGCTCTATTGAGCATTCGCGATCCCCATGAGCACAAGATAAGACGTGCGATCGTCAATCCTCTCTTCTCGCAAAAATCGGTCAACGCACTCGCAAGTATGGTGCAAGACAAACTTGAACAAGCCATACACCTTGTAAGAAGGCATCATCTCGAAGGGAAACCGGTCGACATCCAGAGGTTGTATCGATGCATATCGGTATGATCCTAATTGGATTGTTACATTTTTACAGATCCGAATCTGTATTCAGGGTGCCTCCAGCTGACTGGAAGCAGGCGGATATCATCACAACCTCAATGTTTGGATACTCTCAGGATCTCATCCACTTCGGCGACGGTACTCACCCTCCCTTGTTGACCTGCCTGGACGGCTTCTTGTGTCATGTCCACCTCATGACACACTTTCCGTTCCTCGTAAATCTTGCCCAGAAGCTTCCAGCTATCATAAGCAAGAGGATACTCCCGGGATATGTTGATTTCCGCAAAGTATGTCCAATCGAATTTCCCGCGACCGCAGATAAGGCCTAACAATCGCATTACGCAAGGACTGCGGTCATTGGATCGAAAAAATCATGGAGCGACGAGAGAAAGGGAGGTACACGGATGACAACGACCGAACCGTCATGTTCGACCTCTTACTTGAGTCCAATAATGAAAAGGATTTCCAGCGTCTAAGTTTGGAGCAGCTCATCGATGAGGCTTTGATTTTTATCACCGCGGGAACTGACACAACAGCTTACGCACTCTCGTGTGCAACCTTTCGTATTTTGCACACGCCCGGGGTGTTGGTCAAGCTTCAAGAGGAGCTAGGGCGAGTGCCTCTAGGTAAGGAAGAAAGGTTTGAGTGGAAGTATGTTCAGAATCTGCCTTATATGGTAAGTGCATAGTTCTGGAATCTTAGTCTTTCGCGCCCATTAATGTCAGCAATTGGACATGTATAGACAGCCGTCGTCAAAGAAACCCTTCGCATCTCAACTCCTGCAATAGGCCCGTTACCTAGGGTCGTACCTCCTGATGGCGCCCGTATTCAAGGCAATCTCATCCCCGGTGGTGTAAGTCCATCTCTTTTCTTGGTGGTCGTCAAGCAAGCATTCACGTGAAACGGCACTGTTCCTCTTTGCAATGACTTGCATGGTGCATCACCAAGCATTGCAGAACCAGCAACATGGCAAAATTGGCTTGACGAAGAGCCTGGTAGAGTAATTGGCAGATTCAACTCTCTTTCGGTTCTCCGGATCTGGCCATCCTGACTACTCGCTGTAAGTTTAATGATTACACTGACTCTAAAACTCGTTAGACAATCATCCTGAGCACTCTCATAACCATCCACGAAGATCCACACCTTTTCGCCTCACCACAGCGATTCCTCCCGGAGCGCTGGCTTGGCGACAAGGGCATGGAGCTGGAAAGATGGTTCGTGCCGTTTTCCAAAGGCTCGAGGCAATGCGTTGGTAAAAAGTATGTGCATTCCAAAACAAATCACAATAATGCAAGACCGACTGATGTGTCCTGCGTTTTCATTAGCCTTGCCTATATGGAGCTGTATCTCACGCTTGCGAATTTCTTCGGGAGGTTTGAGATGGAACTATTCGAGACTGATGAAAAGAGCATGGAATGGCTAGATCATGGAGCTGCTTTGAACGCATCGAGTGTCAAGGTCAGGGCAAAACCATTGGTTGTTTAATGGAGCCGTCTTCCTGTGTTATCAATTTTATGGCCTACGGCATATCCAGAATCTGAAGTAAAGTAGTATTGCATTGGCCGATCGTGATGCCAGCAGGATCTGCCACACCTGCTGCACGCCGATGACAGCCGCCGAGGAGAAAGATTTTTCATCATATGCGAAATCTGGCCTCTTCATTGAGATGAAAGTCTCGTGTAGTCATTGACTAGCTGAGGAAATTCGTCATAAGTGGGTTCGTAGAATAAGTTGGTTTCGGGAGGAAGATAGGAAAACACTTCGGCCAAAAGCTCGTCTGGCAGCATGGAGATATAGCATTTGCCCAAAACGTCAAGTGGTAGTCTAGAAGATTGTGGCATGAGACAAAGCGTTCGTCGCGAATAAAGGCCAAGATGTGACTGTCTCAGAAGTTGTGGCATGTTCATAGATGACGGAGAAAATTTTACAACAAGGTGCTGACCGAGTTCAAGTAAGGCTGTGATGATACACAATGTGGGGCCTACTGCTCAGCTCTTATGAAACCTTGCGGATCCGTTAGCATGGCATCCAGAAGAACGAGAGGATCTTAGACTCATACCTACTTCTACGCAGAGTCAGCACATTGCCGATGCCACTGGCATGCGAGTGGTACCTTATTTTCGGAGATGCTAATGGATAAACCTCGGCTGTTGATGATTAGCCGAGGCGCAAAGAATCTTGAACTTTTGGTAATATCAACATCCCACCACCAAAATTGATTTTTACAGTCATCACCATGGACACCCAGAAGTTCTTAGGCCTCTTCGAGGAAATCCTTGCACGTGAGCTGAATGTTTTGCCCCTTCTGGTTCCACTTATACTAATTCCAACCAGCGGATACAAATCGAGTGAAAAAAGCGACAGCGACTCTCCGCACGGATTACTATCCACTGCCCGAGTCACTCACAATTCTCCTGCAGTTGATACTCTCAGACCAAGCTTCTCCACTTCGACAGCTAGCTGCCACCCAGGCCCGAACCCTCGTACCAAAGCATTGGAAAAGTTTGTCCGCCGCTCAAAAATCTCAATTTCGCCAGCAACTTTTGCAGGGCACGCTACAAGAAGAGGAGCAGCTAGTCAGACATGCGGCCTCCCGAGTCATCACTGCTATTGCGAAGATAGATCTGGAGAATGGGGAGTGGCAGGATGTCTTCAATGTCTTGCTACGAGCTGCGAATAATCCCAGCGTACGGCAACGAGAAGTGGGAACCTACCTTCTCTTCACATGTCTGGAATCCATGGGGGAAACGCTTATGCATCGATTCCAAGATGTTTTGACCACCTTCTCCAAGACGATACGTAAGTGATCCCCCTTCCCATACCAAGCAACGAGCTGACAACCATTTAGGCGACCCGGAGAGCGCAGAAGTACGGATCAACACCATGCTGGCAATGAGCAGACTCGCAATAGTCTTGGACACAGATAACGATGAGCCATCACTTCGATTGCTGCAAGAAGCCATACCTCAAATGGTGGCTGTGCTCAAGCAGGCTGTCAGCGACGGCGATGAAGACCGTACTACCCAAGCATTTGAGGTCTTCCAAACCTTGCTCGGGTGCGATTCCTCGGTTCTCAACAAGCATTTTGGCGACCTTGTCCAGTTCATGATCAACCTCGCAGCACAGCGAACGCTGGATGAAGATGCCAGAACTCAAGCGCTGAGCTTCTTGATGCAGTGCATTAGGTACCGCAAATTGAAGATGCAGGCTCTGAAAGTTGGAGAACAGATCACACTGAAATGCCTGGAGATAGCATGCGAGCTTGGCGATGCATCTGCAGATGACGAGGACGTTACCACCCCACGGTCAGCGCTTGGACTACTCGACGAGATGGCCGCGAGTCTACCACCCAACCAGGTGGTAGTTCCCCTACTACACGCTCTCGGCCAATACGTCAACAGCCCGGACCCTGACAGGAGACAAGCTGGCATCATGGCATTGGGGATGTGCGTTGAGGGAGCTCCCGAATTCATTAACACTCAGTTGAAAGAGATTCTTCCCTTGATCATGCGATTGATTGACGACAGCGATCCAAGGGTGCGACGTGCGGCAATGGAAGGTGTGATGCGATTGGCCGAAGAGCTTCCAGAGGAACTTGGAAAAGAGCACAAGAATTTAATGCCGACCCTAGTCAAGCAGATGGACATTGCAATGAGAAACCTGAGCGGCCCAGACGACAAGCAAAATCTGGACATCATTAAGACAAGTGTCACTTGCATAGACGTTGTCGTTGAAGGCTTGGATTCGGAAGACATCAAACCGTATCTGTCTGAGCTAATGCTCCGGCTGAGCAAACTCTTCTCGAGTGACATCTTCAAAATTAAAATTGCAGCCATCTCAGCGACAGGCGCCATCGCTGCCTGCGCCAAAGAGGCATTTCTACCATATTTTGAACAGACGATGGACTCATTATCTGCATACGTTGAAATCAAAGACAGCGCAGAGGAACTCGACCTACGCTCTTCAACATGTGATGCCATGGCCAGCATGGCACTGGCTATAGGGCCGAAGCCCTTTCAGCGTTATGTCCAGCCTCTCATGCAGGCAACAGACGAAGGGTTGCACCTTGATCATCCCCAGCTAAAAGAGACGAGCTTCCTCTTTTGGGCCATGATGGCGAAAGTCTACAAAGGCGAGTTCAAACCTTTCTTAGAAGGTGTACTGAAGGCGCTGTTCGAGAGCCTAGAGACCGAGGAGTCTGAGCTTGAAGTCGATCTTGGTGACGAAGCGGAAGATCTAGCAGGTAAAGAGATCACGATTGGTGGGAAGAAGATCAAAATATCTGCCTTGACCGAAGACGACATCATAGCGGCTGATGACATTGAAGACCTTGACGACGAAGCTGCAGCTGCCGGAAGCGATGACGATTGGGATGACTTGGATGTCGTGACCGCAGTTGCCCAGGAGAAGGAGGTCGCCGTCGAGGTGCTGGGAGACATATTGACTCACACGACTCAAAGCTATATCCCGTACATGGAGAAAACCATCGAAATTGTTGTTCCTTTGCTGGAGCATTCCTATGAAGGTGTCCAGAAAGCTGCCATCAGTACCCTGTTCCGAGCATACACTGCCGTCTGGGAACTTCAGCCAGATGCGATGAAGAACGACACTCCTGGTCTGCCCATGGATCCTGAACCCAGCCCACAGATCAAGAAGCTGGGAGAGATTATTATGACGGGTACTCTGGCCATATGGCAAGAAGAGGAGGACAGGTACGTTGAGACGTGCTTTTCGGATGTGATTTGTTCTTTCTTCCCATTGAAATGATGACACATTTCTCGTTAATCCCAGCTCACTCAGAGGCATCAATGCATTGCTGAGAAAACGAATTTGCTTCTGATCATTCCATATACACTGCACTCCCCCTCTCTCAGAGCTTGGTATTTTCAGCAAATGACTGACTTCCCTCAAACAGAGCCACTGTGACCGAAATCAATCGCTCCCTTGCCGCCACTCTCAAAGTCACAGGCCCCTCCTTGATCGCCGACACCGCCGCGCTCAAGAATGTCACCGAGATCCTAGTTGCAATTCTCACCAAAGCTCACGCTTGCCAGAAAGATTTCGGCGACGAAGAAGACCTGAGCTCTCTCGACGGGACATCCGAATCTGATTGGGTCACCATCGATACCGCTCTTGACGTCGTCATCGGCATTGCGAACGCTCTCGGCGAGACATTTGGCCAGTTATGGAAGATCTTCGAGAAGCCCGTCCTGGCATTTGCCAGCGGCAGCGAAGGCTACGAGCGAAGCACCTCCGTGGGCACGATTGCTGAATGCATCAAGGCAATGGGCACCTCAGTCACTCCGTTTACTAGCCATTTGCTCAAGCTACTGCTCCACCGTATGAGCGACGAGGACAGCGAGGCCAAGTCCAACGCTGCCTATGGTATCGGCTTGCTGCAGGAGGGCTCGAAGAACGACAAGGAGATCCTGAAGGCTTTCCCCACTATCCTCAGCAAGCTAGAGCCCTTACTGCAGACGGATGAGGCCCGAGCCAAGGACAATGCGGCCGGGTGCGTGAGCCGTATGATCATGCGACATCCTTCAAATATGCCAGTGGAACAAGTCCTACCCGCACTCTTAGAAATTCTCCCATTGAAGAACGACTTCGACGAGAACGTACCTGTCTACGACATGGTCGTCAAGCTCTGTAAGCCATCCACCCCCCTTCCTCTTTCCTATCACCCCACTCCTCCCTGTAGCAAGCCTGAATAAAACACTGACACGTCTTCCAACAGACCAAGAATCCAACTCAACAATGATCTCCCTAACCCCAACCCTCCTCCCCATCCTCGCCGAAGTCATGGCGCCCAAACCCCCGGGCCAGCTCAAAGACGCCACGCGCGAGAAACTGACCGAGCTGGTCAAATTCCTCGCTACGAAGCAGCCGGCGGAAGTGAGGAAGTATGAGAGTCTTGCTGCTTTGGTGTAGAGAGGGTGGTGGAGGGATGGGATGTGAAGTGAAATAGGTCGTTGGATGTAAATTTGCTTGGGATAGGTGACGTGATTGGTGGTGCCTGGATATGAAATGGGCGATGGGTCGATGAAATGAGATGAGATGAGACGGATGAGCTATGAGAGCCATGATGATGAGGGTTTTCTTCTCGAAGGTGTCGAACGATGCATATAGACACCGTGCTTTCTTGTAGATAGACTTCAGCAGATGGAATGATTATTGACTCTTACAATCTTTATCGACTCCCTCTTCACATATCGACATGAGAGCAATAATTCGAAGCCGCGAATCGCAGGACGTTGTATTCACATACAAAATGACCTATATGTCAAAACCTCTGTATATATACCTTCAAACAACATATTCCATCACCATCATCAGCCATCCACCCACCCTCCTTTTCTCCCTTTAGCCTAAAAACAACACTGCCCCCCATCCACCACCAAATCCGCCCCATTCACATACCCCCCGGCCTGCGAGCAAAGCAACACCACCACCCCCGTCAACTCCTCCGGCACGCCCATCCTGCCCATCGGGTTCCGCTCCCCCCACGTCCTCCGCGCCTCCTCCAGTCCCGACCCCTCATTCAACACCGTATCCATATACCCCGGGCTCACGCTGTTGACGCGGATGCCGTGCACGGCCCACTCGGCCGCGAGGGAGTACTTCAGCGACAGCAGGGCCGCTTTGGAGGCGTTGTACGCGGCCTGGGGTTGCGGGTAGTTGGTTCGGTGGGCGGAGATGGAGGCGAGGAAGAGGATGCTGCCGCCGGTGTTTTGGGCGATCATTTGGCTGGGTCGGAGGTGAGCTGGGAGCTGGGGTGGAGAAGGGTGAAGAATGAGTGAGGGAGAGAGGGGGGGGGGGTTACCGAGCAGCAGCTTGCGCGGAGAGAAAGGAGCCGGTGGTGTTGATTTCCAGTCTTGATTTCCACTCCGAGGGCGCCATGTCGATCGCGTGCGTGCATCCCACGACGCCGGCGAAACAGCATAGTATATCCACGCTTCCGAGCTCCGAAACCGTGAGCTTGACGGCCGACGCCAATTGCTCTGCGTTTGTGGCATCCACTTTGATCGACAACACCCTCGCGTTTGGGAAGTCTGCCTTCAGCGCCTGGATTTCCTGGGCCGATTTCGAGTGATCCAGATCAAATAGCGCCAGACCGGAGAGGCCGTGTTCGAGTAAAGCACGAGCGTTCACGAGGGCGAGGGTTCCGGCGCCTCCTGTGACTGTTGCTCACCCGATTGCAATATTAGCGGTGAGGGGACTTTGGGGAGAGTTCGGGGGGTTAGGGACAGTACCCTCGAGACATGTGTCGACGTACAGATGGCGTTGCCTTCGACGGCGAAGCGTTTGATTGCTCGACCTTCGGAGGTGAGGTAGTGGGGCATTGGCGGGGGAGGACCGGTCATTGAGGAGGTGTCGCCGGTTGAGAGGGTCATATGGGGGATGGATCGAGCGCGGAGGTCATCTTGGGTGGTGTTTGATGGTGAGGGCATTGTATGTGTTGGCGAAAGGTTGGTGGAGGGAGCCGCCTTTTGTAAGTATGGTAGCTGTACGTGAGTAGTAGGGGTATATATTTTGTACAGAGAGCAATGGCAAAGATATATACGGCATCGGAGGAGTGGAGGGTGGAGTGGCTTTCTTTAAGGACGCCGAAAGAAGAGGCAACTTTGCCGAGATCTGATATTGGCTGAGAAAAAGTGGCAGCGGTGACTATTTACATACCCTCCAACTGCATATCAAGGGCCCAATTAGGAAGCTGCCACTTGCATCAAAGTAACATTCACTCGTACTGTTTTCGCAGCATAATGCCCTGGATTGTGCACATTCGGAAAGAGATTGTGTGAGGCTGCCAATGTGTCTAAATGTGTGCTCAAGTGGCCATGTCCTTGACCCGCTTCTGTGCTAAGAGAGCTGATAAGTTCGAGTCATAAGCCGCCGTTGCAATCATCATGCTTTTCCGTCCTGCTTTTGTGAGCCATAAAAGGACCGCTAATTAGAGCAATCCGAGAGCCTCCCATCAAGCTATTCATGCTTTTTGTTCCTGCATCTGAGAGCTATTTTCACCATCTTTCAAGCCTGTAACAAAGGAAATCACCCGGTAGGTCGTGCTGATGTGAAGCTCTAATGCCCATATGTCAAGCCTGCAACAAAGAAACTATCCCGTGGAACGTGCTAGTCTCAAGCACTTATCCCTATTCATCAAGCCTGCAACAGAGGAAGTCGTCCATGGAACGTGCTGATTTGAAGCGCTTCTGCCCATCTGTCGTGCCCAGAACAAATGGAATTATCAGACGGACTGCGGTGTCAGGCGGGCTAAAACGCACCGACTTACTCCTCATCAGATAGGTTAGTATGTCCTTCGTCCACCTGAACACCGGGAGGAGTCCTATGCCATCTGCCTTTCGCGAGCTGTCCCTGCTGATTGCGTTCCACTATAGACACCTCGGTCTCAGTCCAGCAGCAGTACTCTTCGGGGCAAAAGGTCGCCAGCCACAACCGTTCCATGAAATGACCAGTCTCAGGGTCAATATGCACCATATCTCCTTCAAAGAGATCCGCCAGCATCTTCTGGTAGGTCTTCTTTGGGTGTCGATGAATAGTCTCACGCCTCACAGCAAAGATTGCACCAGGCTGAAAGCCGACTGACATAGGCGGTCCGTCATGGCCGTAATTGTCGAAGAAATCTTTGAGATACTGGGCCGGGGTCTGGGGAGCTTTCTTGCCTATGAATTCGAGGTTTTCCCCCAGCCACTTCTGCCAGCATGGGTAATCCTTCCAAGGAATTCCATCCCAGAGATCGAACAGCTCCAGGTCACGTTGGGTGCCGAAGGTAGTGATTTGGCCCACCTTAGTCCCGAGCGCGTTGTCCATCATCTCCAAGGCGGTCATGCCAGTGTGGTCAAAAGCTTTGCCTTGTGTGAAGACGGTAACGTCCTTGAGCTCATCGTAGTACTTGCAGATGTAGTAGAGGTAGGTTTGTCCTTCGCGGCCGTTGTTGTGGAGCTCCTCGAATGCGAAGTCAGGGGCGTTCTTCGGGCCGCCTTTTGAGTAAATCTTGCAGTAGGCGATGACATCCTTGAGCCAGTACAGTTTCTCACTGTAATGTGCGACAACAAATTCGATGCTCGGAGATGAAAGAGTTGTGCTTGATGAGGCTTTGGTCAGTGCTGGAGAGATGTCTGTTGGAGACGACGTTGGTGAGGATGACTCTGGTGTGAACAATGTCGCCGAGGCCGGTGCCGGTGAAGCAGTCTTCGATAAGTCTAAAGACATCTTGATCGCTGGGATGACGGTGGTAGGACTGGAGGATTGGCACGGTGATACACCGGTTTGTCGATTGTCTGAACAGAAACCTGGGTGCGGTGTCAGAGGCTGATAGATTGCAGTAAGAAGACAGCCTAGTCTGTTGCTCTTAGTGGATTTATGGTGACAGTTCGGAAGAGAACAGAAGGATTACAAACCTGTGACTGGCTTTCTATAATAGTAATGGGAGGGAGGGTTTGGATAGTTTTCTGGACGATTATTGAACAAGTTCAGTCTCAAAGTAAGGTTGCCAAGCATAAAACCTGATCAAGTCAGACGTGAAGGCACCCTAAAAGCCGATGATCAGCGGACAATGAGACTGCCGACGTCATTACAAGTGAGCAAATCGGAGGTTACATCTGCAATCTTTGGGGTAGAAAGCCTCTGCACTGGATACGACATCCGGTGATGTCGCTGCTCCTGCTCCGACAATCTCACATATCTCTCGGTAGGAATACCTTCATTTATAGGGACCATTTATTCATTATATTCTGCACTGCTAGGTAGTGGCCTGACAACCAGAGGCTTTAGTCCGCAGTTGAGGGGAGGGGAAGATTGCTTCGATCCGGAGGGTAATTTCCCCCTACCTGGCCGGATATCACCTTGCGGCCGCCGAACCTCGGCACCAAGAGAGCGACCCATACTTGAGGCTGACCTGGAAAGTCTCGGTCACAATTCAACTCCCCATTCACGCTCTGGCCTACATTCGACGCAGTTTTTCTGAGCCAAACATCGTGCACAGCTGCTTAGACTTGAAGCACAGATACGGATATCATCTTTGACGTCAAGTCGTTGGCTCCAGCCATTTCCCCACCCTGAGCGTATGAAGTAGTATCCATACGGAGCCCGCGCCATGCATTTCGGACAGCCATCGAGGTCGTTTACGTAGTAGATATGTCTTTTGATTTGCGGATACTCATAGTCTAGCAACAAAGCTGAAGGACGGGTCAATTCAACGCTTCTGGTGGATCATCTTCAAGGATTTTGATCGAAACCTACAAGTGAAGCAAACCACATTGCTATCATGATAGTACTTGTAATAGTCTCGGCCGGTGCCGATGGTGATATATACATGGTGTACATTGGACTGATGGATCAAGGCTCTCCTGAAGAACTCATCTGTGGTTACGCTGCTGTGTATCAGCGCCGCCGCCGCATATAAGGTCAACTGACGAGTGGGAGTTGTGCAGAGAGAGGGGTTTGAGGAGGAGGAGGATAAAACGTACGCCAGACATCTTCCACCCGGGTAGCAACGAGACTCGCTTCCAGCGAGAGCGATGCGAATCTTCGGCCTTTCTCTGATTGGAGCCATCTCAAAAGAAACCGCCTTCGGGATCCGTAAAGTGTCCAACGTCTTGAAGAAGGGGAGTGCCTTTCAAGATTGAGCAACGGAAGTGGTGAAGGAAGCACACTGATGGTTATGCTTCGAGCCTCGCAGCATGGCCTCAAAATCTAGCCTAATCAACAACAGACGGTGAACAATAGCTCAATATGCAATGTTGCATTCGGCTCCAAACTCAGAAAGGCCTTCGGCCAGCCTTGTGCACAATTGATTGCAGTCAAATGCGAAACTGATTGCCTGAAATCGCGCCTTCCAAGTAGCCTTGTAAACAATTGGTCACAAATAAAGGCTCAGTGTGCAACTTTCTATCCGTGTCTCGAACTACTCGGTCTTGCCAGGCATCAATCCATTTCAACGACTGTAACCAAAGCTAGATCCGTTGGCAAGCAGGAAGGAGGATCTCGCAAAGGCGGCCGCCCTCAATGACAGCCTTGCAGACCAGATAAAGCTGCAGCTCACCAGATGCATGCCAATGAGTCACTGGGCTGCTTTATCTCTGGAGATAATCTCACTTTACTGGGGACCAAGAAGTAGAATTCTACCAACTGAACACTTCTGGCGAACGTCTGGGGTTCACTAAGCTTGTCAGTACACAGGATAAGATAACGCTGGCAACGGACGATTTTATGATAAGCCTGTAGAGTACCTGTAAGGTAATGAGTCATTTCCGATGAAGACTGGCCTGCATACCTATACTTTCAAGTAGTCTGCGTTGCAAAGGCTGTCGATCCAGCTCGAGCTAACCTCGGCGCACCCTCAGAACCCTCATACATTCGACATCTCTGTTCATTATTGTCGGGAGAACAGCATCTGCCTCCGGACTGGGTTCCGATTCTCTCCCGCTGTGCATCAAGCTCGATCCCACGCCTGACAGCACCGAGGTCTGCCAGCCACGTGTTGGATCAACCACCCAATTCGCATGAGGTATTAAAACTGGCCCAAGACAGTCCTGAGACAGTTTAATTCATGCAATCTACACATCACTCAACCTGAATCTTGACATGAGTAGGTGAACCTCGAGCAGAGGGAGCCCGGGCTGAGGATCAGTTCCTCGGTCTGGCCTGTACAACCATTCAGAGTATAGGAGTGTCTCCCTACAATTAGAAGTCCCACACAGAAAATAGGCGAAAAAGTTCCAGGCATGTCGCCAGAAGGAGCAAATGATCCCGAGCAGAGGAAGTCTTCGACGGGAAGGACCCTCATTCTGGCCTGTACGGCCATAGAAGATGAAGGGAGCATCTCGTGTCAGGTCTCGGAGGAGTCCCTGACAGATGACTTGAGGGAATTGGAGATGCCCGGACAGAAGGAGTCTTTGTTGGGGAAGGACCCACAGTTGGCCTGTATGGCCATAGAAGACAGCGGGAGCGTGGCTCCGTGCATCATGAGTGGCATCATAGATCATCCAAGCCACCATCTACCCTCCCCAAGAACTCTCCTCTCCCCCCATTCAATAGCTCATCAACATCAACCCCACCAGCGGTAAGATACCTCTCACTAACTCCGACGTTGACTCTCTGGCCCAAAAGCCCCTTTAGCTCCCCTCTGAGCGCCCCCAATTCGCCTTTCGTCAAGCTCCTAGCCTCCTTCTCCTTCTTCTTCCTTCCCTGACCCCTTCCTTTTTTGCTCGCTTCTCCAGCCGCAAACTCCTCGCTGTCATAGTCAACACCTAGGTCCTCGGCGGCAGTCTTCAGCCAGTTGTCTTCATGACCTTTCTTCTCTTTAGCAAGGGTTGCGTCGGAAATTTTCTTGCTAAGTATCACACGAGGTTTTAAGCGTGAGACGACACGGGTGTCAAGGTCAAGCGTTCGCATGAAGAATTTTTTGCGGTCACTGTCATGCTCGCTCGCTTTGCGCGCGTGGACTTTAGCAATGAGTCGACGCATACCCTGGACTTCTTCAGGCGAGCACAACACGATGCTCGAGCCCGAATTCTCTGCGCGGGCGGTTCTTCCAGAGCGATGAACATACATGTCGGCTGCTCGAGGCAGGTGGTAATGGAGGACAAGCTGAACGGAAGGGATATCAAGTCCTCTGGCTGCAACATCCGTCGCTATCAGTATAGAGGATGGCGATGAGGCGGATGAAAAGCGCTCTACGGAGCGGAGCCGGGCTTTCTGGGGCATCTGGGAGTGAAGAGCGTAGGCGGGGAGACTGAGATTTTGGAGAAACGGTGTAAGACGACGGACAGACGTTATCGAGTTGGCGAAGATAAGCGTCCGCGTGTGTGGGTGGAGAAGTAACGTCGAGTATAGATAAAGGTCCTGCGGGTCCTTGTTAAAGAGAGAAGCAGTATTGGACTACTGTACAGACCTTTTCTGTCCCAGCACACTCGACAATTCCTTCTTTGAGGCCTGTCGCCATTTGCGAGATGGGGTTGACATCAATGAACTTGGGCTTCTGGTCTCGAAAGTTGAGCTTTTTCAGTAAATATTCGAGGGATTCTCGTTTGCCCATCAGATCGCCACCTTTTGGTTTTCCCTTCCCTGCCAGTTTCTGCTGCAAGTCTTTCTGAAACGTGGCAGAGAAGACTAGCGTCTGTCTTTGCTGCTTCCAATCAATTGTTTCCGAATCGCGTTCGTCTTCGCCATTTGTTGCTTCATTTGTTCGGTCTAAAACACTAAGGATCTCTTCCACCTCTTTGAAGTGGCCTTCGCTCAGCAGCCGATCGGCTTCATCCACAATTAGAAACTTGATTCTACGTAAAGAATCTATCAGGTCCTGACTTCCACTAATGACTTCCCACAAGCGACCAGGGGTCCCAACGATAATATCAGCGTGGGCAATCTGACGCTGTTGCTTATGCACAGACAGACCTCCAGTCAGGGTCGCTATAGAAAGCTGTGCAGAGCCGGGATCCAAACATAAATCTGTGAGATGTGCAGACAACTGATGCGCAAGTTCTCTGGTGGGTGAAAGAACCAGGGCCAGAGGGCTTTGCTGCCGTCCCTTGCCTTCCGCTTCTGCATATGGTACTTTACTACGAATAGTCTCAAGGTAGTGCTCGTAGATAGGTATTCCGAATGCTAGCGTCTTGCCGGATCCGGTCGGTGCTTTGCCTATAACGTCGTGGCCACCCAAAATTTCTGGTATAGCGGACCGTTGTATCGCAGTCGGCTGCAAGAACTTCATGCGGGCGAGAGACGAGATTGTCCGAGAAGACAGATTTAATGGTTCCCACGCAGACACTAGGACCGTTAGTAACAGAAGAAATTCTGAATCATCCGTTTCCGCTCACCATCGCCTTCCTCGTTATCTGCTATATCACGACCCTCGTCTGCTGTGCCCAACGCCTCGAAGGTATTTTTTGATGCCTTGGGCTGAGACGTGGCCTCCTTCTTTTGCTTTTTGTCCTGCTTCCGACGCTTCTTCTCAACCCTGCTAGTATCTTTCTCCCTTGGGACCTTGCCCTTGGACCTCCGTGGGTCCACATGTGTTTCCGATTCCTCTTCGTCAAAGCCTTCCCATTCTTTCTCATCTATTCCTACAGTAGTATCTGGAATCTTAGGTTCCTTACTCCTTCTACTTGCGAAATTGTTGGACAGAAGCTGCCTTGAGTGGTCAGTATACCGCAAAACAAGGTCCGCAAAGGCCATGCTTACACACCTTGTATTCCACCTTTCCAAGAGTTGGATCCTTCACAACGTCGACGTCTGAGAGCTCTTCCAAGCCAAAAAAGCCTTCGGCATCCTCTAAACGGTCAACAGTCACCTGATTCCATGGAAGCTTGTCAAGGACAATGGCTCCACCACTCGAACCTTCTTGCGAGCCGTCGTTCTCGAGATCGATTCGTTGTCTTTTTTTAGCCTTAAATGAAGCCAGATCACGGCGCCTCTTCTTTTCGATCGGCGTCATACCGGGTGCTTGCTGAATCGTATTGGCGGGGGAAACGCAAACATAGGACTCATGTGACAAAACTAAATTTTGTCGAGATGCGCCGGGTAGGAAGGGTGAAAAGAACTACAATTTTCAAACCACCCCCACTCAACTTCGCCCCGCCCTCCCGTTTATGACGCTTCCCAGCAATGGGCAAATCCTCCAAAGACAAACGTGACGCCTACTACCGCCTTGCCAAAGAACAAGGCTGGCGCGCCCGTTCCGCCTTCAAGCTAATCCAGCTCGACGAGCAATTCGACCTTTTTTCTGGTGTTACCCGTGTTGTTGACCTTTGCGCTGCTCCCGGAAGCTGGAGCCAGGTGCTGTCGAGGGTCTTGATTAAGGGAGAAAGCTTTGGGAGGAGGGCGTGGGACGAGAAGCAGAAGAGGGAAGGTGAGGCTCTGCCAGGCGGAGTTGAGGAGAAAGAAGGGGATGGGCATCGAGATGGGGAAGAGGAAAAGCAAGTGAAACTGGGCGAGCTGAGGCCGAGGAAGGATGTCAAAATCGTGGCGGTGGATCTACAACCGATGGCTAGCCTGGAAGGAATCACGAGCTTGAAAGGGGACATCACTACCCCGTCTACAGTCACAAGGATACTACAAGCCTTGGACCCAGACACATATGTCAATGATGCTGAAGACTCAGGAAGCCATCCGGTTGACCTCGTGCTCAGCGATGGCGCGCCAGATGTCACAGGCTTGCATGATTTGGACATCTACATACAATCCCAGTTACTGTATTCGGCACTCAATCTCGCGCTGAGGATATTGAAACCGGGAGGGAAATTCGTGGCTAAAGTCTTCCGAGGAAAGGATGTGGACTTGATATATGCGCAGCTGAGATGCTTCTTTACAAGCGTACATTGTGCGAAGCCGAGGAGCTCGAGGGCGAGCAGTTTGGAAGCCTTTGTAGTTTGCGAGGGATTCAATATACCAAAGGGATACAAAGTTGATCCTAAGCGGCCGGTTGGACTTGGCGCTCAGGTTCCTGTGCCAAAGAAGAAGCAGAAAGACATACAGTCTTTCGATGGTGGTGGTCAAAGACGGACTGTCCGAGAGGACGGAGTCAGTGTGCTAGACTTGGAGTCTGACGAAGAAGAGGATAAGAATCGATGGATCGCTCCATTCGTCGCTTGCGGAGATCTCTCAGCCTGGGATGCCGATGCCACGTATCACTTACCGAAAGACAGAGTCAGTCTAGATCCTGTTCAGCCTCCCACTGCTCCTCCGTATAAGAGGGCTTTAGAGCTGCGGAGGCAGCAAGGTGGGCTGTATGGGAAGACTAGCAAATGAGGCGCCAAGGTATTCTCTCCCTCTGACGTTAAGGGCAAGCAAGTAGATGAAATATCGTCCTCGAGACGCTGAGTCCGGAAGGCCAAACGCCAAAGGAAGCGACTGTAGGTGGGTGGTGAACAGCCTCCCACAATTGTTTAGTAGGTATCTGCAGAAATTGGCATAAGAGCTGATGGGTCTCTAGATGGTTAGTGTAGGTGTCTCGACTCGCAGTAGAGCTTTGAAAAATCCTGATTCATTGAAAACTAAAAATGTCTATCTGTGCCAGTTAAACCTTTCCCCAAACCCATTCTCCCTGCACTAAGCACATCCTTTACACATATCCGCCTGATCACTGTACGTCTCGATATAATTCCAAAATTCCCACACTTTGGGTACCACCTTATTTTTTCCCTCGCAAAGAAGACCCATACCAACATCGCTTGAACCAATACATGTCGTTGCCGTCGCGAGGTTGATCTTGTGCTCATAATCCGATACAAGCGTATCCTGCATATACCCTTCCGTTCTCGCCGGAACAGTCTGACACATCCGCTGACACTCAGCCACCAACGGCGTCGCGTCCATCTTAATTGTACCAATCGCCGAGGGATGAGCATGCACCATCCTTTTCTGCCCATTCCAGTAATAATTATCTTTCCCATGCATGGCCTCGGCGCAAAACTCATTCCCATCATCTGTGGACCAACATTGTTTTCTCTCCTCCTCCATCCAGCTAAGGCATTTCGGCGCTAGGAGATAGCGCTCGTCATCGAATCTGTTTAGATTATTATTGAGGGATTCCAATTCGCCGCTCGCACACGTCATGTTGAAGGCGTAGCTTTTGTTCTGGTGGTAATTGTAGTAATCGTAACCGAAGTAGCTGCCGTAGAATTGACCGTAGACTGCAGGCAGGTCTCTGGAGGGCGTGTCGATGCAGTAGCACTTCGAGAGGCGGAAGATGTCGCCTTCGAACTCGCCGTCGGCACGATGCTCGGGTTTGTCCTTGTTCCATGGGTCGAAGGGTGGGTTGGCTGTTGTGCGCTTCGCCAGAGCGTGAGTTGAGATGCCAGGTGCTACAGGGTCGAGGTGGGTTGTGGTGTTTTGCGAGCTTTGGTGAATCGGTAGGCCGGCGGTGAGGCTCGCAAGCAAGAGAGCGAGAAAGGTGAGAATGGGAGACATTTTCGAAAATGTAATTGTAGTTGTTTGTTGACCCTTTAGATGTTGCTTGGTGGGAGTGACAGCGGTCCAAGGTATTTGGATACTTTCTGAAAGTCAGATGGGATGATGATGGGAGATGTATAAGGTGAAGGAAAGGTCTGAGGTTCTAAGGAACTCAAGTAGCCAGTTTTCGATATTCCATTTTTTTTATTGGAATATATCTCAGCCTGACTCATTTGGCTTGAAAATTCGAAGCTTGGCTTGGTGACTCTTTTGCACAACTTGGCATTTGAGAGCTTGGCGACAGGATATTTAGAAATTTTTCGAGATTTCTGTACGCAAATAATGACCTTGTGCGTGATATAGAGTTTGTACATCCTGCGATACGTCTGGACCATGAGATCTTTCGAGGGCTGCCCTCCTTGCTGCTTTGTTCAAATCCACAGTCAAGATGCACTCACTTCGCAGCATCCGGAAGGTGCCCATTAAGCAATCCTAAGAAGATTTGACCTGCCCAAAAGACTTGGGTCGTCAACAATAAAACAGTCGCGTTCAGACAAAGTTTTCAATAACAAGAGAAGCGATAGCATAGACACTTATAGGAACTACAAAGACACCGGAAGAACTCAATCTCCCAAGACTAAAAAGAAGTGAGGGCGTCTGGAATTTGCAAGCGCCGGCGTCGCAATGCATTCTTCAAGGGCTGTAAGACTGGTGTGGGGACGACAGGGAGGTGTCGAATTTGAGGATGAGAAGCAGAGGAACGTGTAAGCCCAGCTCAGCTATACCACATTGGACAGAGACTTTATGACTTTTCCGATCAAAACTGCGAGGCAATTTCTAATTGACGACGCCGAACCTCTAAATTTGAGGAAAGGAGAGTACTAGCTCGCAAGTAACCTTGTGCACGATTAACAGGCAAAGAGATAATTCAAAGCATAGTACATTGTCAGTGTGATTGGCTCTTCACTATAGTACCTACTCAAAGTGATACTGTTCTATAATCATTCTATTGGTTTGTGTCCAATCGCTCTGAATCGTCGGTCTGATATCTCAATAACACGCTAGCCATCTTGAACATTGGCGGCTTGGCATAGATTATGGCGCTACCAAAAATTGTAACCTCACCAAGCTCACCTTGTTTCCTAGCAAACTGTTCGACATTGATCTCGCAAACACCCTTTCTCATTCACACACGCAGTCCTGTGATCGTCCGTCTTTAAGCACCCTCCCCTGTTGGCCTGCCTGTTAGCGACAACATTATCGCCTCAATTTCGCTCTGCTATCCACAACTCCATCCCCTACAACTAATACAAGATCTTGATGGCTTCCGTGAGTTTCTGTCTCCACCTACCACCCATGCTGTGTCTTGCATGCGTGACAAGAGTTAGGTGAGACCAGACTGCTGACTACACGATTAGCCACGCCCATACTACAATCAAGGTCATCTTCCTAATGGTGCCAACAACGCCGCGAATATGAGCTCGGCAGGTGGCCAAGGATCCAATTTTCTTCCAAACAACGGCCGTATTGTCCAGAGTGGAGCAACACGCATTTTGTGCGTTGCTGATGTTCGAGGTACAACTCAGTTGCTCCTTGTAAGCTCCCTGGTTCTGACCTCAACACAGGCAATCTGAAATCGTTGAACGACCTGGCCCAGCAAGCAAAAGCAAATTACATCATCCATACTGGCGATTTCGGCTTTTATGACGAAGACTCACTGCAGCGCATTGCTGATAAGTATGCCTTCCTGGCCGTTATCGAGTTGCACACATGGGCACACGACTGACTGGTTTCCTCAGAACCCTCAAGCATGTCGCTCAATACTCACCATTACTTTCCGAAAATACAAAGCGTGTAATACAAGCTTCTCAGCCCCAGAATTACGATGTCAAACAACGCTTTTCTCCTCATGAGCTTCAGCTCTCCGAACTATCCATGTTCATCGACAAGAAGCTCAAGTTGGATGTTCCCGTCTACACAGTATGGGGCGCTTGCGAAGACGTCCGTGTACTGGAAAAGTTTAGATCCGGAGAGTACAAAGTGGACAATCTGCACATTATTGATGAGGCAAATTCAAGACTTCTCGAAGTTGGCGGAGTGAAGCTGCGACTGCTTGGGCTGGGTGGCGCAGTGGTCATGCATAAGCTGTTCGACAACGGAGAGGGACGTACGACAATTGCCGGAGGGCAAGGCACTATGTGGACTACGCTGTTGCAAATGGGAGAGCTGGTGGATACAGCGAATCGTGTCTATGACCCTACAGAGACTAGAGTCTTTGTCACACATGCTTCACCAGCACGGGAGGGCCTGCTGAACCAGCTCTCCGTCACCCTCAAAGCCGACTTCTCAGTATCCGCTGGGCTTCATTTCCGATATGGTAGCTCATACAATGAGTTCAGCGTCAACCCTACTCTGGACCACTACCGTGGGAAGCTTGCTGCCTCAAAAGCATCTTTCAATGACGTTTGGGAGACGGTCAAGAGCGAGGTAGAACCAGCTGTATCACAAAATGAGGCCCAAAAACAGCTACTCGACAATGCTCTAGACATCGTCACAAAAATGCCTACAGTGGCAAATGGAGGTAATCCATTCAGCCAAGCTCTACCTGGGCAAGGTACAGGTGGCCAGGTGGATGAGAGTGCTTTCAAGAATATGTGGAACTTTAATCTGGCTGACGCAGCGTTCGGATACTTGGTATTGGAGATTGAGGCCGGAAGAATCGGCACTGAAATGAGAGCGCAAGGTTTCAACTTTGCACATCGCGGTAGTGGAGGGCCAAAGCAGGGTGCCACACAACCCGTTCAATCACCAGCTCAAGCTGGACCGACCAACGCTGTCATGCAAGGCATGGGACCACCCATCAACCGTGCTCCTGTCGCCCCATCGTCCCAGTCTAGTCAGCAATTCAGTCAAGCTCAACAACCCGGTCAGCAACCCAGAAGTCAACAGCCACCCACGCAGCCGAAGCAGGCCCCTGCTCAACAACAACAACCGCAACCGCAGCAACAAAATAGGGGCCCGCCGAGCCAAGCTCGTCCTTCGCCAACCCCAGCCACGCCTGCCCAAAACCAAGTGAAGCCAGCTACACCCCAACCTACGACTAGCACGACTAACGCTGCTCCTTCTGCTGTTCCATCTGCTGCTCCTTCTGCTGCTCCTTCTGCTGCTCCAAGCTCAGAGAAGCATGCTCCATCAACACAACCTTCCACGCAGGCACCGGAACAGGTCAATGGCGCAACACCGGGTTGGAATAGCACATCAGCCGATCTCCCTTCTACTAGCACGCCATCGACCAAGCCTGCCAACAAGCCAGCTTCGCCAGCTGTCGAGAAGAAGCCAAGCACAGGTTTGTTCATCCACAACATGGAGAGCGAGCAAGCTGTCCGCGACATCTTCCCCGATGAAGACAAATCCAAGATTCTGAAGATTGAAAATTATGGCAAGACGAATCACGTAGTTCATTTCGCGAATCACGAAGATGCACTCGCAGCGTTGAATCGTCAACCGGCAGAATTCAAACTGAAGAACGCTCCACAAGCACAGCCAGGCCAACCCCGGAAGCCGAACATCAAATGGTACGATGATCGAGGACCAAAGCCCAAGTTCCGAGAGAACCAAGGCGGCCAAGGAGCGGGTACTTGGCAGGGAAGCAATCGATCAGCATCTGGGTCTGGTCCTAGACCTGGATACCAGAGCGATCGCAATGCTAGTGATAGCGAAGGTGGTCGAGGACGTGGAGGATTCCAAGGTCGCGGTCGTGCCCGAGGGAGCGAGCGAGGCGGTAGAGGAGGCCGTGGCGGACGAGGTGGGGGGAACAACAAGTCAGGTGGAGACGAGAACTCAACGCCAGCAGCACCGGCTGCTCAAGACTCGAAGCCCGCAACGACGCCTGCGGCTGCGGCTGCAGCCCCCTCCGGCGGTGCGTCTTGACTTGTCTTTGTTCGAACCTTTCCTCAGCAGAGTATGGCGCGCTCGAAACGATCAAATTTCTTTCGGAGAAGACACAGCGCACCGGCTCGGAACGTGCTCTCGATGTTTTACAATTACTTAACCGGCGACCTTTAGAACTCGACACTTTCGTCGAGCAGAGGAGGCGGCTGAAGATAGAAGGCAGGGGGGTTTGCAGGAGCTCTACATGGTTCATTTCATCCATACAGGCGCTGAAGATCTTCTGAGCGAATCGGTCAATGAGCATGATTAGCATTCATGTATCATGTCAATTAGCAATGTAGTCTAGCTTCGAAAAAGTAATTGCTGGTATTTGATACCCGACAGCACATCCAGGGGGTTTGTGGTTGAATTAATTCCGACTTTATGAGGGGACGATTTCCTCAGCGCAAAGAATTGCACATATTTGTGTATACGAAATATTAAATCAAGGCTCTCGTCGTTGAATCATGAAAGTGGGTAGAACATATCTTACTTTATCTTTTACGACCTGAGAGGCAGGGCGAAAGTCAAGAGCTTTCCCCAGATTCCGCTAAATTACTGAGGCTAACTCAGACTGGCGTAGCTGGTGATCTTCAGGCGCCGAATTGCAGCCTGAATGATGTTATGTATGACGGGAGGTTTGCGTGCTAAAAATCAACAAGACCTTGCTCGCTGCTCTGTTCTTTCTTTAACTACAGATTTTCTACGGAAAAACACTCCTCTCTCAATCTAACGTCTACAAACTACCTTGTATCTACACAAGATTTCTTTCTGTTGAGTCCAGGAATCCCACGTTCGCATATCTACTGCTGCCTGCCTTCACTACCGACCGCTTCTCGATGCCGTTTCCAGAAGATTTTGTACCTATCATCTCATCAGCAGATCTATCCTAAGACTCACGGTTGCCGTCCGTACACCTACAAGGGTCAAGTGCCCTGTGAACGCGATAATGGTTGCGCCGTCCAGTCCCAAGTTGCACAAGATGCTACTCCGCTTTGCCACTCTTGCCGTCTTATGTCTCAGAGTGCTTGGGAGTGAAGGGAATTGGACTGTGAAACATGAGGAGGGCAGATGTGCGTTGAGGGGACAATGTGGAAAGAAGTCATTCTTCGGTGGCGAATTGCCGTGTCCGGACAATGGTTTGGCGGAGGAACCCGACGAGAATACAAGGACGAAGCTCGTTGCGATATGTGGAGATGACTGGAGTGAAGGAGACGTTTGTTGTGACGAAGCGCAGGTGACATCAGACCACGGAAGGACTCAACACTCAGATGAGAGACTGACTTCAGATTAGGTCGACAACCTGAGAAGCAACCTCAAACGCGCCGAAGGAATAATAGCAGGTTGCCCGGCGTGCAAAACAAACTTCTTCAACCTCTTCTGCACATTTACCTGCTCCCCAGACCAGTCGCTCTTTGTCAACGTTACAGATTTCGAGGAAAAGTCTGGAAAACTTCTTGTAACGGAACTGGATAACCTATGGTCAGACAATTACGGCAAGGGCTTCTACGATAGTTGCAAAGATGTCAAGTTTCCTGGCGGTAACGTCATGGGTTTCATTGGCGGCAACGCCAAGAATTACACTTCGTTCCTCAAGTTTCTTGGAGATGTCAAGCCGTTTGGGAGCCCGTTTCAGATCAACTTCCCTAGGCCTTCGAGTAAGCCATTTGAGGACATGGCTGCAGCAGACCCAATCCCGAAAGCGTGCAATGACACAGACGAGGCATATCGATGCGCCTGCACTGACTGCGAAGCATCGTGCCCTGAGCTGGCAAAGGTCACGGAGCAAGAGTATTGCCATGTCGGAGCTCTTCCATGCCTCTCTTTTGCTGTGATCATAGTCTACTGTGTCTTTCTGCTGCTTCTGGTCACAGCAGTCTCTGGGCACGTTGCGTATCAGAAACACAACCAACGGAAAAGCGAAAGATTACAGCTGTTGCAAGATGCCGCCCTGAGCGATGATGAGGACGAAGGGGAAATGGTTCACAATGCTGGCATGATAGACCGACCGCAAAAACAGTACAGATTCAACACTATCTGCGATAGCGCCTTCAGCCATCTTGGAAGGAAGTGCGCCCGGTATCCTCTGATCACTATAGGCGTCAGTGTTCTTGTTGTCGTCGTACTGAGCATTGGATGGGTCAATTTCGAAGTGGAGACAAATCCGGTCAGGCTATGGGTCAGCCCGTCATCTGCTGCCGCGAAAGAGAAGGCGTTCTTTGACGAGAGCTTTGGACCTTTCTATCGAGCAGAGCAAGCATTCGTTGTCAATGATACTCACTCATCCGGTCCTGGACCCGTCTTGAGTTACGATACCTTGGCGTGGTGGTTCGACGTCGAGGCTCGAGTCCAGCGCAGGATGTCTCCCGAAGAGGGTGTCGCGTTCAGCGATGTATGCTTCAACCCCACTGGAGCGGCTTGTGTTGTACAGTCATTGACAGGTTACTTTGGGGGCTCTTTCTCGAGCGTAGACCCGGAGACCTGGCAGGAAGATCTCAGGCATTGCGTCGATCAGCCGGTAGAATGTCTTCCTGATTTCCAACAACCACTCGACAAAGATCTCATTCTTGGCGGCTATGAGAAGAACGGTGATGTTCTAGGCGCCGAAGCCATGATCGTCACCTGGGTTGTCAACAATCACGAAGAAGGGTCCAAGGCAGAGAAGCGTGCATTGGATTGGGAACAAGGACTCATCAGCGTCCTCAAAGATGCGCAGGGAGAAGCCAAGGACAGGGGACTGCGGCTTTCATTCTCCACTGAGAGGAGTCTCGAAGAGGAGCTGAACAAGTCAACCAACACAGATGCCAAGATCGTCGTGATAAGTTACATCATTATGTTTCTCTACGCTTCGTTGGCTCTGGGATCTACGACATTGTCTGTCAGATCCATTCTACACAATCCTGCGAACGCGCTAGTAGCATCCAAGTTCACCCTTGGTGTCATCGGCATTGTCATTGTACTGATGTCAGTCTCTGCTTCCGTTGGCTTATTTTCGGCTTGCGGTATCAAGGTCACTCTGATCATTGCTGAGGTCATTCCTTTCCTGGTGCTCGCCGTTGGGGTAGACAACATATTCCTCATCGTTCACGAATTCGAAAGGGTCAATGTCAGCCATCCTGACGATGAAGTGGAGACTCGGATTGCCAAAGCACTCGGCCGCATGGGACCCAGTATTCTGCTTTCTGCTTCCACAGAGACAATCGCATTCGCGCTCGGGGCTGCAGTCGGAATGCCTGCAGTCAAAAACTTCGCAGTCTACGCAGCTGGTGCCGTGCTGATCAACGCGCTGCTACAAATCACCATGTTCGTCTCAGTGCTAGCTTTGAACCAGCGAAGAGTTGAGAACAGTCGAGCAGATTGCTTTCCATGCATTAAAGTCAAGCGAGCAGATGTGGGTAATGCTCATGGCGCCGGTGCGTATGGCTATGACGATGAAGGTCCTCTGCAGAAATTCATCCGCAAAGTCTATGCACCGTCGCTTCTTGATCGAAAAGTCAAAGTTGCTGTCGTCGTTCTTTTCCTCGGCCTTTTCACTGCAGGCTTAGCTCTCATACCAGAGGTTGCCCTTGGTTTGGACCAGCGCATCGCCTTCCCACGAGGCTCCTACCTGATCCCCTACTTCAATGATCTGGATGCTTACTTCAATACCGGTCCTCCTGTCTACTTCGTCCTACACGACTCCTCCGTCACAGACCGCCCTGAGCAACGTTCCATCTGCGGCCGCTTCTCTACCTGCGAGTCTTACTCTCTGACCAACGTCCTGGAACAAGAGTCCAAGCGCCCCAACATATCTTACATCTCTGGCTCCACTGCCAGCTGGATCGACGACTTCTTCACCTGGCTCAACCCGGTCAACGATGCCTGCTGCATAGAGCACGGCAAAACGTGCTTCGAAGGCCGTGATCCACCATGGAACATGACCCTCTACGGCATGCCCGAAGGCGAAGAGTTCATCCACTACCTGACCAAATGGCAGCACTCCCCCACGAACGAAGAATGTCCGTTTGGCGGCGCAGCACCATACAGCACTGCCCTCGTTATCGAACCATCGACGCACCCTCCTTCCGTACCAGCCTCCCATTTTCGAACCTCTCATACGCCCCTCCGATCTCAATCCGACTTCATTGACGCTTACGCCTCCGCCCGCCGTATCGCATCTGGCATATCCGAAGATCAGAACATCAGCGTCTTCCCCTACTCCAAGTTTTACATCTTCTTTGACCAATACACTTCTATAATCCGGCTTACAGGCACCCTACTCGGCTCCGCCCTCGCCATCATCTTCGTGCTCTCCTCCGCGCTTCTTGGCTCCGTAGCCACAGGCCTAGTCATTACCATCACAGTAGCCATGATTGTCGTCGACGTGATTGGCTGCATGGCCCTGTTCTCCGTCTCTCTCAACGCCATCTCCCTTGTCAACCTCGTCATCTGTGTCGGCATCGGCGTCGAGTTCTGCGCTCATATTGCCCGTGCCTTCACCTACCCTTCAAAGAGTGTCATGGAGAAAGCGAAATCAAAATACAGGGGCAGGGATTTGAGAGCTTGGGCCGCATTGACGAATGTGGGCGGGAGCGTATTTAGCGGTATCACGGTTACAAAGTTCCTCGGGGTGTTTGTGCTGGCATTTACGCGGAGTAAGATCTTTGAGATTTATTATTTTAGGATCTGGTTGGCTTTGGTGGTGTTGGCTGCATTGCATAGTTTGGTGTGGTTGCCGGTTGCGCTGAGCCTGGTTGGCGGTGACGGTAAGATCTCAGACTATTACAAGATTGGGAGATGAGCGCTGATCAAGGCTTAGGCTACGTGGATCCCGAGAGTGACGGGAGCTTAGAGGACGACTTGGCGGCGAGGAGATATAGGGCACTGTTGCCAGAGGATGACTATGACTCGGACGATTACTGAACCGTGAAAGGAGTAAAGCATACGGATTACTGCATGGCGAGCATGAGCATCAATGTACAAACAAGCACAGCATGAAGGAATAGCATTGATGGGCGTAGTCAGATGAGTCCAAGCATCTGTTGTATACTCTTAGCCATCCAGTCCACCTACACAGCGGAAAATATATTAGGAAATCTTGAAGCGTTCGTATAACATTACGGTCAGCCTATCTCAAGTCTATTCAACGGATTGACCATGCAAAACCTGCAGATTGGGTATCCTACCTTAAAAACAATCCTATGCAACAACACCGACGGGAAACCGGACAAGTTAAAAATCCCCAGCCTCTACACCTTCCCGTTCCCACCTTTCGTCTCACCATTATCCTTCCCCTTCCTCCTCTTCACATGAAACGCCTGCTTCAACCGCTTCAACTTCGCCCACCTCTCCTTATCCCTTTCATCCCTCACACCCAACTCCTCCCTCGTCGCCGACGAATGCGCCAGGCTCGCGACCTCGCTGCCCAGCCCATCCACAGCCCTCGCGGTGCCCGGTGCCTTATCTTCATCCTCGTGCCGCCTGTGGATCGCGCTCGCGTTGACGGCGCGCAGCAGGGCTTCCCAGCCCGCGAGGCCGTCGAGGGAGGTCCGTCGGGACGTTGCGCCGTTTTGGGAGAGGGGGCTGATCCAGGGGCAGTAGTCGCGGTGCTCGCCTACGACGTCGAGCCGATCCATGCTGGAGTGGGATGGAGATTCCGAGGAGGGTTTGAAGAGCCAGAGACCTAGGCGGCGGAAACAGGCGGTGCAGGTTGCGAGGCCGACGACGTGGCCTTCTTCTGCTCGCCAGCCGAAGAGGGCGAGGGCGAGAGCGGAGGTGTTGATGGGGGAAAGAGATGTGGTGGTGTTGGGAGGGGGGTTTGGAGGACTTGATGGAGTGGGGGAGGGTGGATCTGGAGACGGCGGGTGCAGGAGAGGCGCTAACTTCTGTGAAAGCGAGGAAAGATCGAAGCCTTCAGGCGTGGAGGGATCGGGTGGAAGTTCGGAAGCTACGGCGACCAGAGATATGTAGCGTTGCCGTAGGTCATCTGTTGCTGTTTTATGGTGCGCGAGAGGGAGGCGTTGAATGGTATCTGTGAGCTTCATTAGTCCGATTGCCAGAGCAGTCAAGAAGGCGTGACGCATACCATCGCAGCCCTTCCTCCGCCACAAGCATCCCCCATCATGAGAAGTAACCACCATCTCCGCGTACTTCTCCACCAACTGCTCCTGCGCCTTTTCCCTCCACTCATCCTCGTCTTCCTCTTCGTCCGACGGGCGCTTCTCGGTGTCTTGCGTCTCTCCACTATCGTGCTTCTCTTCCCTACTACTTTCCAACGTGATCACAACCTCTCTTCCACAGCCCCCAACACACTCAACCCTCTCCTTCCCCACACACGACCAACCCCGCTTCGCCCACTGCACCTCATTGATCCTCTCCGGCTTCCCCATCCATTTATCCACGTGTCTATACGTCTTCAGTCGCTCGAGAAATTGTGCGCGATCCCACGGCGCAAAATTGGGTGTCTTGCGCTCCTCGTTCATTGTGACTATTGGACTAGGTTGCTTAGCTGTCGCTGCAGCCGCGCGCAGATTCGGTGATTGAGAGGCGAGGATACGTGTACTAGGAGGAACATATGCAGAAGCAGGGCGCACGATGCGAGGTTTTTTCGCGGGAGGATCCATTGTGGCGGGGAGAGTGGTGGTGGATGCATTGTAATTGTCATGATTCGACTTTGTGGCTAGTGACGTGCTGGACGCGTTGGAGATGGAGTCGAGGATCTTGTGAAATTTGCGCTTTGTGGTACTTAAAGCGGTGCCTGTAGGCATGTCGGAAATTATATGGTGACATGCAAAGCTCAGATATGGAGGGTGAAGTAGGGATCTGTGGGTAGATGCTTGTTCAGTTGTTCTCCACATCAATAGATCTTCAGCGGCAGGGTCGCTTAACGCGCTAAAGTTGGACGTGTCTGGCCTTCATTGTTTAGCTTCATCGTTGTGCATCATGAGTAAAGTAGGTCATTTGTTCAAGTTTCGGTCCATTCATTGAGTTTTGATATTCACATATGAGAGCGATAGAATCGAAGTCAAGGCTGTATTCAAAGTTCCTGCTGGTTTTCTTGGCCTTACCACTCATAATCCTGGCTCTGTGCAAAGTACCCGTCATTTCTTCTCGTCTTGCTCTCCTCTCCCAACATTTCCCTCCCTTCATACATCTCAGGCCCTTCTCATCATCACCCATCATGTCATATCAAAGAGAACTACACATTGCCCAATTAGCCGTTCAACGCGCTACCCTTCTCACCCAGCGAGTTTTCCATGAAAAAGCCAAAGGCACCCTCTCGAAAGATGACAAATCCCCAGTCACAATCGGCGATTTCGGCGCCCAAGCATTGATCATCCATGCCATCAAGAGCAACTTCCCCAACGATGAGATCGTCGGCGAAGAAGAAGCTAGCCCGTTACGAGAGAACAAGAACCTCTCCAGCCAGATATGGGACCTAGTAAAGAACACCAGCTTAGAGGATCAAAGTTCGGAGAGTGAACTCGGTGGTCCAGTTGAAAGCGAGGAACAGATGCTGCAAACCATTGACGCCGGCAACAGCGCTGGCGGTGCGCATGGCAGGATATGGGCTTTGGATCCCATCGACGGCACCATGGGCTTTCTACGAGGCGGCCAGTACGCCGTCTGCTTAGCACTGATCGAAGACGGCGACGTCAAAGTCGGCGTCCTCGGCTGCCCCAACCTCCCAATCGACAACGCCGCACCCCTGTCCGCAGACGTGGGAGACGAAAGCGGCGCCGGCCGCGGCGTCCTCTTCGCCGCCGTCGCCGGCTCCGGCGCAACGAGCCGACCGCTCGGCCCCGGCGCTTTACAGACGAGCCAACCCATCCACATGAAATCCGTCCCCGACATAACCCACGCCACGTTCTGCGAAAGCGTCGAAGCGAGCCACTCAGCGCATGGCGACCAAGCCGCGATCGCGAACAAGCTGGGCATCACGAGGGAGAGCGTACGGATGGATTCGCAAGCCAAGTACGGCTCGATCGCGTGGGGAGCCGGGGATTTGTACCTGCGGCTGCCGGTGCGGAAGGATTACCAGGAGAAGATATGGGACCATGCTGCGGGGGATGTCATCGTGAGGGAGGCGGGAGGGGCGGTGACGGACGCGGAGGGGAAGCGCTTGGATTTCTCAAAGGGGAGGACGTTGGAGGAGAACAAGGGTGTCGTGGCCGCGCCGGGGGCGGTGCATGCTCAGGTGCTGGAAGCGGTAAAGAGCGTGTTGGGCTCGAAGACGTAGATGACGTTGATCCTACTGCTTGCCTCAACACTTTTATCCGACGTAGGCATGCATGCTCGCGCACCTGGACCAATGTTACTGGTTCCGAGAACTCGTATAACGGGCGATAGACAAGGAAGGATTACTGAATCAAAGGTTACTTGCTATCGTGCTAGCTATCGAAGTTCGTCTAGCTACACTGCTCTAAAGTCATGAAGCTTTCATCGTGAACCTAAATACGAAGAAACAGCATGCAGCATGGAAAAATTCATGCGGACAGCGCCGTTTTGGTATCTTTCTCGGGGCCCGAAGGTGTCACCAAGACGCCAGAAAACGTTCCTCATCCTTGTTGTTAATGGAGGGTGCCTGCAGACTGTTAAGCCGTCACGAGAACATTTTGAGGGAATTTGACGGCTCCTCGCGCGCAGGACCCAAGATAAGGTCGACGTCTTTCTCGTCAATCATCGCGCCCTTTCCTGAGCACTTGGCTTTAGACTTGAGCTGCGAGCATAGATCATCCATGTCGGCCTCCCCTTTCTGCACTTTCTCTGAGGATTGGAGGCGATCCCTGAAGCGCGAAGAAGTTAGCACGCTGATGACTATCGCAGCAAGGACGCAGTGCACGAACCAAAGCTTGTCGCAAGCCAAAAATTGCTTCCTGTCATCTTCAGGCCCCAATTCGCTAGGGCTAGCGTTTTTCTGGATTTCAATTTCCTGCATCAAATCCTTCTTCGGTGGCGCCTCGCCAGTATAGTAAGGAGTGCCGAAGTCTTGCAACGGGAACGCGTCGTTAAAGAAGTCGCCGAAAGCATTGTTGTTCAGAATATTATCCTGAGGATCTCTGTAGTCGCCAAAAAGGACTGGATCGAATGCTCCGCCATTCTGCTGCGCCATCCAGTCGATCCCATTGATATCGGCAGCTGGTGACTTGGCCACATTTGAAGAAGCTACAGAAGAGTTAGACGGGGTTTACGAGAGCGCTCGAATGATTGTTTACCTTTGTTTTGAGCCTTGCCCTCCTCGTTGATGGTATCAAGTCCTCCTTCACTTGACTTACGATTATCAGGCGAGTCGGCCGATGACTCTGGCGTAGTACCGCATGATGAGTCGAGAGCACCATGTGACATTGACGATGTAGGAGACCCAGTAATGGAAGTAGAGGAGTTGTTTCGGAGGGTGGAAATCTGGGCGTGTCCATTCACACTACCGACACTGTCTTGCTTAGCCGTGCTAGGCGTAGAACTAGCTTTGCCCGTTGTGTAAGACAGATAATCTGCTGAATTGTTACGGCTGGCGTTCTCCAGTACCGACGGATCGAACAATCCATTAAGATCAGCGTAATCTTTGTTAATGAAGCCGTTATTGGAGACCTGGCTTGGTCTGGACTGCCCTAAAGGAGTGGAGAACATTCCATTGAAGCTTGGTGGTGACTTGCTCGCGGCTGATGACTGTTTTCTGACATTACCCGAAGGTGTTGTGCTTGAAGCAGAAGCTGAACGTTGGCCCATCTGCGTAGGGGAAGTAGTTTTAGCAATCGAGCCATTACTCATGAAGGAGCCTGGAAGATCTCCGAACTTGGGAAAGTTAAAATGAAAGTCACTGCCATTCCCATAGCTATGCGACTGGGTGGCGGATAGCGGAGGAGAGTAGCCAGCCGCTGTAGTGTTCAAGGACATCCTCTTGCGATACTCCTTCAGCTCCATGCTCATCTTTTCTACTTGTGTGCGGAGGCGTCCATTCTCATGATTTGTAGCCTCGGAAGCTTTCTCGAGGTCTTCGACTTTGGTCTCCAAATCCTTCAGGTGACGTTCTTTGCGCTCGCGGAAAGCTCTTTGGGCAGCTCTGTTTTGCGCCTTGCGTTTCTGCCAGGCAGAATGTTAGTAGTGGAGTTGGTGCACATAGCCTGAATGAGCATACCGTCGTCGGCTCTCCAGTCAATGGCTTTCGCCCTGGCTTCTTCGCGGACTTATCATCTCCCTCGCGTCTCTTGCTAGTCCCCTCCTCGTCGTCCTCATCATCCATGGAAGCCTTTCTCTTATCGTGGTGTTCGCCATCGACATGTGATTCCGTGCCAGGCAGGTCACCGAAAAGCTGGTCAGTACTATTGTCCCAGTCGAAGTTCCCATCATCAAGTTCGTAGTCTAGGAAGGGGCTTTCGTCGAAGCTGCCGAGCTGGCCTGAGCCTGGCGTCTCCTGCAGTGGGGAAGTGAACATATTTGGTCCATTCGCCATGTGGTCGTTAGTACGTTGTAGCTGCTTTGGGTCGCTGTTTGATCGCGTGGTGCCTGAGGTACCGTTGCGCGAGATCTGAGACGAGCTTTCAATCGGGTTGTTGGAAGACAAAGCGGTGCGAAGTAAATCCTCCTGGTGAGGCGTCAATGTGAGATCTGGACCGTATGCTGTACCATTCATGATAGTTCAAGACGTCAATTCCGGCGGACAGTACAGATTGATGATCTTCGTCCTCTGGAGATGGCGGCTAATGGATGTTACGATATTTTATGGAGTATGCGGAAACAGTTCGGAGCCAAGACCGAGGACCCCACCGGATTGATTACTGATGTGAGGGATCTGGTGCGACAACTGGCCAGTAGACAATGAGTAGTCTCTCACTTTTCCAAAGAGAAATCAGTATGGAGAGCTCTGGCTTGGTCGAAGCAGTGAAGGAGTAGTGATGCCTGACACTGTATGACGGAGATGAACATTCAGGAAGAAATTCGAAAAGCGGTGGTGGTGTCTGTAAGATAAGGGTCTGCGGAGTGGTGGATCTTGAATGCAGGACCAATCGAGCTCCTCGTACCTGGAAAAGGTATGGTGGTGTGACAGGCAGACACGACAGGAAATGATAGTGTTGCAAGCCAACGAAATGTAACCGGAGACGGGATGATAGAAGTCCCTAGACGTTGAACTGTTCAAGCACTAGAGTATGGTGACGACAATAAGCTCGGTGCTCTTGGTGCTCACCCTTGTTAACGGGTTGTGCTGTAGCCTGTCTTGCTCAGACTCGTCCCGAACCCTTTTTTCTTTTTGCTTCTGTAGCGGTCTGAATAAGTCTGGGCCTCGAGCGAAGGATGAATGGACCCAATCAATTCTTGTAGCCTGTTTACTCCTCAAGCTTGGCGAACGTTGATTTCTCAGCGAGTCAGCAATTCGGTCTTGCCAAGGCCAGCTTCTCGGTAAAAGGTTCTACCGATATCCCGGTCAAGCCTTGGCAACCCGGTGGTGAAAGCCTTCCCTAGCTGACCAATGACTTCAATGACTTCACAACGACTACCATCAGTCCCCTGCGAATATCTCTCGACACCGAGTAACAACCATCACTACCGAGGCTGAACGTTCCTGCGAGCCATCCACCTGCGCAGCTTGCTCGGATCTTGAACTAAGGACATTATGAGCAATGAAGTTGCCTCTCTGGAAGCCGAGATTAAAGAGTACAAGCTACAGGTTAGCTCGCCGATCCTCCCCATGCATCATGATATACTGATACCTTAAACCTTGACAGCTCGAGACCGTTCAATCAGGTTTACAAGCCGACCCAGACAATGCGGATCTGCAAGGACTCAAGACAGAGCTTGAAGAAGTCATTTCCCTCACCGAAAGCGCGATCGCAGAGCTAAAGCCAGCTTCAGCACCAGCACCGACCAAGAAGCCATCGTCACCACCAATTAAGGAAAAGTGGTCGAAGGAGAACCATCCGGCCTTCCAAGCGGGCTACCGCAAGCCAGCTGCGCCTCAGAGTCCTGTTGAAGAACCTCAAGCACCTACTACGTTCTCCGTGAATGACAATATCCTAGCGAAGTGGAAGTCGGGGGACAAGGCCTTTTACCCTGCCAGGATTACATCTATCACCGGCTCATCGAGCAAGCCAGTCTACATCGTTACCTTCAAGAACTACACCACAACCGAAACTCTGTCCGCTCACGACATCAAACCGATCTCAAGCGACTCGAAGAAGCGAAAGGCTGATGGTCCTCCAGGGAACCCCACCACGCCATCAATACCCACCAGCAGCAATGTCATATCGGCAGCAGCGAACATTGACCCCACACTCGCCAGTCAGGCAAAGAAAGAACCAAGTAAGGTCAGCGATGGACCGGTACGGCCAGCGAAGGTCCCACGCAAGGTCAAAGCAAATAAGGAGCTGGAAGCAGGCAAGAACAAATGGCAGGACTTTACCACGAAGGGAAAAACTGGAAAGGTCGCGAAGAAGGAGAGTATGTTCAGGACGCCCGAAGGTGTCAATGCGAGAGTTGGCTTCACTGGGTCAGGCCAGCAGATGAGGAAGGATCCTGGTCGAAGTCGACACATCTACCAGCAGGCAGGGGATGAGGAAGGGTGAAAAGGGTTTTAAATAAGGCTTGCATACTTAGTAAATGGTGGTTGTGTGCCCAAGCTGACTAGACTTTGTACGGCCGGTTCTAGTGCAGAGACCACACCGACGTGTGTGGCATGATCATATTGAATGATTGTTTTCCATGCTGGACGGTTCTGGTTTGCCCACACCTTTGTTTTGTGTGCGAGCTAAATTATGGTGAAAAACAGGGGCTCTAGCGCGCAATTCATCAGATCTCTGGTAGGAACTCATAAGTTTCCTTGCCCCCTTGACCGAGTTCCCTCTCCATACCCAAAATCATCGCGCCAACTTATATTTGAATTTTCTTCCACCTGCCAAAGTTATGCCGATCAGATCTGCGGTTACTACATGGGAGTAGTTGCTACGCTCGCTCAAATGGCTGCTTCAATTGTTGCTGCACTCCGAACTGTCACTCATAGTCAATGGCATGACCTCATTCAATGTACCTGGGTCCCTCATCTCATTTCCCTCGCCAAGGCCCGGCTTTTTGCGTTGTATCTGATATTGTTCTAGACCGTGAGATCATGTTTTGCCATTCAAGGAGGGTCAACCACCCAAGATCTCATCCAAATCCCTCCAACAATCATTCTGAAACCTTTCTTTGCAGGAATGAGATCAAGCTGTGTCTTACTTGCTCTTGCCGAGGTCGACATATAGATTCCCCTGATTATCTGTATAGAAGTCAATGACTTGTGTTTCACCTACAGAGTTCTTCCCCAATCGACTCCCACATTCCTCGCTGGCGATGTCGAATACACATAGAAATGATTGCTACCTAGGCCTGCCAGAGGGTGTACCGTTTTTTCCGCTCATGTTGATGCTTCGAAACGCGATGTTCACCACGCATTCATGATCATCTATACAAATAATCGGTCAGCTCCTTGTGAGGCCTATTTCTATGACAGAGATGCATCATCTCAAAAGACAAGGAAAATCACAAGGCAACCTCCACCCCCAACCCCGGAAAAGTGCCAGACATTATCATTTCAAATTAAGGAACCTGAGGATTCATTGCCTTCGAAAGCTACTAGATTGCATCCACTATATTTGTGGTATTGAAACACAACTGAGACATTTCAGGACGGCTTACGCTACAGTGACATTGCACGTGCGGTATAAAGCTGTGAACCTCGATCAAAGGTTGTCGTCGCTCTCGGTATTTGACTTCCTCATCAGTGCAAACTTCGAGAGCATGCTCAAGAATCAAAAGCCTTGTTCATTGCTTCGATGTCGCATGCTGAGATTATGTATGATCCCACCCGCATTCACAGCGTCGAAACCCACGCGCCTCCGAACCGTCTCTCCAACGGCGAAGTTGACCTCTCGAGGCGGCTCGTGCGCCGCGATTTCCTCCGGATTTGAGCGACAAACCAATAATATGTTTCCCCAATCGCATGTGTTTGTCAATGCTTGAACCTTGAGCTGAAAATTGAAGCGATTATGCGCACCGCTAAGGTCACATCGATCTCGAAGTTGACACCAGAGATGATTCTCAGGATGCGGATTTCAGTCATTGTCAGCCGAGGCCATTTTCAATCAAAACCCTCGTCCTTTCACCCACTGGGAACTTTACGCATTCTACTTTGTGCCAATTCGGCCAAACTTTCTTTTCCTTCCAGACTCTTTAGCCTTCCTAAATTGATATTACTCCGCAACTATCGGGCTCGGTTCATCAGAACAGTCATTGTTCCATAGACCAGCTCCGTGATCTGCTCGTGACAGCAAGATCGGCGCAAATATCACCTGGATATGCCTTGTATCCAACCTGGTCATCTTTAATAAATCGATGTCTGCGGCTGCCTGCCAGAAGATTTATCTCGGCGGCACTCATTGTGCTAAGCGTTGACAAACTGTATGAGCAGAGACGCTGGGAAAAGCTCGAGACTGAATGTTCACTTGTAAACATTCACGCTCGTTTTGTTGGGATGCCAGTGAAGGCTTCTCCATTCACACCACCAGCGGTGAATTTGAGGTTTCCGCATTCTCCTTCTCACCCAGTGATCTTCTTTCTACTTTCCTACACACACATTCTATTTGCCCACGAAAGATGCACAAGCAACATGTTTCAAGCTTGTAAGACGCAACCAAGTCAATGTCTTTGTCCCCTAAGTGCAGCTTATGTTCTACATGTTAGCCATTCTCGTACTCAGCGATGTGAATTCCGCAGCTATTTGACACAATTCTCCAAGTCCTCAATACTATATATGTAAATATTCCCAATCTTCCAACTTGATTTCACAGACCCGAAAACTCTGCTTCTTCAAGCCCATAACCAAGACACCGCCAGGGAACTGATCGAGGGAGTCAAAGGCAGCGAGATCGAAGTAAGAGACAGATTCTTCCTTCGATTTCGCACCCACCTGCCTGACGCGATGACTGACCCAGTCATCACAAGCCTTCCCTTTCTTCAATCTGTCTGAGCATATCAAGGCTGTTTTACCATGATCTCCTTTCACTCCAGTACATTGGTCAGCTTCATATGTCGAGAACTCTTAGCTCAGCATCGAATCGCCACGAAACTTATCAGGGGAGCTACCAAACTTACGCCTTTCCTGCAAGAGCAAGTCAAGGAGGATCGCCGACGATGCATTTGTGGTGTCTGTTAGGCATCCAGTATCCTCCTCCTCACCGTATCACGATCCCTCCAGTTTACCATTTCCTACCATGGACATCCTACCATTCCTCCTATCGTTCCTCGCTCCCGCATTCTCCGTCCTTGGTGACTGACTGATGAATATGGCCGCCATGTACATGCTGACGGACGGCCTGTTGCCCTCCATTGCGGTCATCAAGGGCTTGAGTATGTTGATTGGCGCGTCCGGAAGTCGACGTCTTCGGCTACTGGGAGCTCACGGACGCGTCACTACCGGGGATGCGACCCATACGACCCGTCAACCTACATCAGCAGAAGCTACAACAGCAGGAGCAGTTGACGATGACCAGTGGTTTGATGGCGAAAAATCGTACCCATCACTGGCAGAGGACCCGAATGACACTCAAATGGTTCGTGATCAGACCAAATATCTCGCATGGTTAGCCAAGATCTCCGCTATTCCAGAATGCCGCATCATAGATCTTGCAAGGCAAGGCTCAACATCTCTCACATACGCGTACACAGCTCTCCTTCGAGGACTTGCGAATTCTTTCCCGTCGCCTCTTGATGTCACTGATTATCTTCTGCAACTTCACCTCTTGCTACATCAGTCTTTGCGAATCATTCGCATCCATTTCATACATATCGACATTTTGCAAGGCAAAACACGTGAGGAAACAGGTTTCACAAAAACAACAATAATAACAACAGTAAGTGCACAGTCGCTCCGCAGGCGCGACTGCTGACTCCTGACTGTTTCTGCCACCATCGCTCCGCATGCGCAACTGCTAACAAGTCCTAGTGTCTTATTTACCTTATAGAACTTGCTTCTGCCGAGGCGATGATATCTGTGTTCGTGATGAGTTTACCCCCTATGACAATTCCAAGGCCGGAAGGCGCGGCATTGGCCGCTGTGTTGAGATCCCTCTGCACCTTCAGGCGCAGGTAAGGAAATCGATACGGCGCCATCGCCGCGTTGGATGGTCTCGACGAATGTCTCGTCGACGGGCTAAACTTGACAAGGAGATCACCCAGTGGCGTAAAGCACAGGAGCACACGGTAGCGACGGCTTCGGCTGCTCCTGCCATGATTGCAGATCTTCAACGCCAGCTTGTGGCGGCAAATGAGCGCGTTGGGGAATTGGAGGAGGAGCTTGAGAGCCTCCGTCGGCACGTGGCGGAAGTTAACGGCTATCAACTCGAAGACTACGCCTCGACCACCTCCTCGTTGGCGCAATGGGCCGATGAATTCGACTCGGAGTCTGACGTTGAGACGGCGGAGGATTCTTGAGTGGCGACCTTCTTTCGGTAGCAGCGCTGGTGTTGAAGCACAGAGAGCTGGAGCTCGAGTGTGGAGAGTGCAGCAGCCTAAACTGACGAATTTTTGGAGATCACATTCGATTGACTAGGTGCCTGCACAAGCGAAGCAACATCAAAGGCAACGCAGGCGCGGGTCTGGACTTAGCTGAGACGATGAGGTTGGTTGATATCTGAAAAGCCTTCAGATAGGACGCACTTCCCTTTTTGCTCAAGACTGTGGTCACCAGAAAGCTTTGCAATATCCTTCCGAGACCTTGCCATTCCGAATGTGGAGCATCATAGGCACGAGATAAAATCAAATCGAGACATGGTGCTAACTTCGCAATAGCTGGAGATTTAATCCTGATCCCTGTCTCCTGAACAAAGGCCTTTTGCTCCTTACGAGATAGATCCTTGACAGTTTCCCGTTGCCTTGTCGTTCCCCAAACGGTGTTGAGGACTTTAGGGGCTACATGCCCCTTATTGAACCTCATGGGGCCGAAAAGTGGTGGAGTCCAGAATCTCTGCGTGAGATGAATTTCAAAGAGGATGAGAATCCATACGATGTACCTGATGATCACCCTGCTGCGAAGCTTCAAATCACTACGAAAGCTGTGAAGGAATGGATCTTTGCCCTACGCGTGGATCCTGTAACTAAGGGTGTGCGTTTGGCTAAGATGTGGAAGCGGATTTTGCTACGTCGGACATTCTCCAGTCAAGTGCCTTTCAACGATGGTAGGAAGATCTCAGACCAGCTTCCCCGAGTTCAAGGAGCACTGATCAACTGTACCCATACACCTACGGAGCAAACGGTGTATCAAAAAATGGAAGATGCTCTCACTGGGAAACTCATTGTCGCTGGGTCTGGGTCTACTAACCAGCGCAAAACCAAGTGGTCTTTAGGCATCCACCGGCAACTATCTCTGTTATCCATGTGGTCCGGCCTCCCTCAATTGGACAATGACTTCAATCTAAAGGCAACCAACATGAAGGCCACTTTAGAAAGGAAGAGCTTCTATATGGATTTCCAAGGGCCAGGAGGTTGAGGTCGGTGAACGAAACGACGGTTACAAGACGCAGCTCGAAAAGTACATGGAAGCCAGGCACAACGCCCCAGAAGCCGAGAAACATATCCTGCGGACCAGGCGGGAGGTGATTCAGCATGCAAGAGTTTTGTGGTTTCTCACAAACGCCTTTGTCACCGAAAAAAAAAAAGCCGCTATCTGAAGAATGAATCAAGGAAACGCACAAGATTTTGTGTACAAACATCTCCCATCCAAAGTACGATACGTCTTGGGAAGAATATGCGGATATATACCGCAACGATGTACGGCAGCCAGAACGTGGTGACAAACGCTCAACTGACACTGACAAGATCTGTCTCGGATTTGAACTTGGAGTTGCGGCTCTGACCCTCTTTTTGATCAAAGATGGTGTTCGGTGTGGTATCGGGAGTGGTCGTCGCCCGCAAATGCACCTCGGAATTGAGAATATGTGAGCTATCAATGCACATGACAAACTCCTCACAGCTGTTGACCCACCCAGAAGAACCGTGAGCACCGAGAAACCCTCCCGGGTCTGCAAGAAACGCAGGTTTCGGCGTCAAAGGAAAAGGACGGAAGACCGCATATGCGCAATCTGACATCTTCACAGCCCGTCATGGACACGATACGTCCTCGGCCGAGCTAGATCCTCTCCCCGTACCCCCCACCGTCGATGGTGCTCTTCGCGGTGTTTCCTCGTGGTTGGTAACGATGAAAGTCCTTCTGGAAAAGAACACCCAACTCCTCCATGGATGCAAGTGGGAGAATATCGAACCAGTGCACAATTTCTACGAAGAAGACGGGTATGTAAGCGCGATAGTAAGCTGTTCTCTCACTGCCCTTGTTCTCATCACTAAATTTGTTGCTTCTCAGGCTGACACGAGCCACACAGCGGGGGAGAAGTGCGCGTGACATCGAGATTGGCATTCTGGGCTAAGAAGAGGCTACAGATCAACGAATCACGGAAACTCCTGACTTATGCCTTGGTACACGAGACTTTTAACTCTTGCCCCATCGATCCTTGCCGCTCAATCTGATCCCGCCCCCCCCGTGAGTGGAAGAGATGCTAGATGATTGAGAGGTTGCGCTGACATGTGCTAAGGCCCCGCCTGCATGCGCTGCGTGCGTGCCCTCGCGGGTAACCCTCGCGCGACCTGCGCCGCTCCGCCTGCTGGCTCGCGCCGGCGTAAGTGCGAGCGGTGCTCCCGCGGGGGTCACCTCTGCGTGGCCGATCCGCTCCCCCCGCCTCCAAGCAGCTGTCTTTGCTACGGCCGCCTCTGGCGGTGATGTCCGCGGCGCCTTGCGCGCCTGGGAGGGTACGAGAAATCCTGACTGGCATGTGCGAGGGTATATAGCTGACATGAGTAGCTGCTGGGCGCTCCGCCCGCCTCGCCGCCCGCTCCGCCGCCGCCCCTGCCCCCGCCGCTGCCGCTGCTGCTGCCCCTACTGCTGGGCCCCCCCGCCTTTTAGCGGTTTTTCTTGGTAAGAGGTTGCTTTTTAGTATAAGAGGATAGGTAGGCTAATGCTAGGCAGTGTTAGTTATAAGTGCGGCCCTTATAACCACTGTTTTCTTTATGATGCTTAGCGCTTCGGCGCGTTAGAATATATATATGTGAATGTGTGTGAGCCTGCGGGCTTTTTAGTCGTTTTTACTAGGCCTTCTAGCCACAATTATTCGCCTACTTGAGCCCTCTGCTGCTACTATTTCCGTAGTCTACCTCGCTTCTTAATTCCCTTTAAAGATTACGCCTTTGGCTTTATCTTAGGTGCTAGTTTATATAACTCCTTTACTCGCTCGAAGTCCTTGATTACGCCTTCAGCATTTTCGAGGTACTCCATTGGCTCCCACGAAGCTTCGTAAGGTGGGGAGTCTTTCCAGTCAATAAGGTACTCAGTCCCACCCTAGGCTGAGCGTCTGTTTCCTGGCCTGCATCAAAAATCGACACTCGATGTCGCCCAAGCGTCCGACCGGAATTGGGTCCCGTTGGTCGACATCCGCATATTCGATGTCTCCAAACAAATTTAAATCCGAGATGCCGAGTCTGGGCCTGTCCCTTTCTCAGGGGGGACCTTTGCACTTCAACGATTTGATTTGATAACGACTTACGACTTTCACCACCTTCTATGAACGTTCATCCCCAGCTCTCAACGGTCTAATCCGCTCTGCCAAGGCCTCTTTTCCGGCTTTGGTCAAAGCCGTACATTCTCTGGCACCCCTTTGCTTGCTATCGGCTCTCGTGGTAAATAAAGACGAGGGCGTCTTGGTTTTCCTTTTGCTTCTGAGAGCTGAGGAAGGAACAGGCGAGTGCTGGCGAAGCACCATTGCTACCTACACTGCCCCTGCAGACTTAGACTTATTAGCAAGCTACACTCTACACAACACTGAAAGCCAGTCCAATTTGTTCCAATATAGTGCCTGTGCATACTTAGAGTCTTTCAACGCTGACCCTGTGATTTGCGGAATACTCCACCACTTCGGGCCACTGAGGAAATGTCTCTTGGGTCGTTACCATATATCAGGTCAAACGAACACATACAGTCAAAGGCCACCCAAACTTTACCCACTCTTCGAACCTCTCAAAGACGGAGGATTCGAGCCTACCGAAATGAGGCATGCACTCCCTATCTGAAGGTTTGACTGAAATCAAATCGATGATTCAAGAAAGACAGAAATGCTTCTCCGGGAGAGCGGACAGCCTGATGCCCAACACTCGCTCACCGGTCACGCCATGGTCCAAGGTGGCAAAAACCTCCAAATTGGAAAAGAAAGCCTGCTTTGGAATGCGCACGGACCGATGACTACGGGGCAACTCTATTGAACGACGTCACGAACAGGGAGCATGAGTTGGTCAAATCAAAGACGCCCATGATGAGGGATGGACCAGGACGGACAAGCTAGACCAGGAATGCGATACGTACTTACGAACCGCGACGGATATCCTCCGTCATTTCCAGAGGACATTCGAATCAATCAAGCCGAGGAGCGAGGACGCCGGATGGCTGGTTGATCACGTGGATCAAGGGAAATTGACATCGGTCCCGAAGAGGAATTCTCAAAAGAATCTGATCGGAGCGAATAGAATATGACTAAGGGAAAAGGGCAGCAAAGCTGGCAGATCATAGAGCAGTGGATTCTGAAGCCAAACATCGAGACGTTGCCAAATTCGCAGACCGCATTGTAAGCTGGGGCAGGGCATGCAATGGTCCTGACCGTCCATCCACACACTTGAACCGGTCCAGGTCCGTTCGTACTGTCTGTCCTGATAGTCCCATAAGGTAAGTATCAGGGGCAAAAACCGAAAACTGTGCTGACTAAGATATTCTCACATTTTGCTCTCGGTCAGCCTTTACTGCTACTCAAGATTGCCGCCATCATACTCAAATATTCCCAAGTAGACTGTCGAATCATAGTTCAAACCGGGACCACTAGTCCAGACCGTCCGTCCCAACACCTGAACCGGGCCGGACTACTGGTCCATTGGACCATAAGGGACCGATAGTCCGCTTCAATGGTACGGACCATTGGGCACCTTGCAGTGGAGAACGAGGACGACAATGTAACATGTTGATCATAATGCATCAAAGAACAACACCACGCTCCCAAAAGATCAAGTATACCAACTCGGCTCCGGCACCTCCCCCAAAAGCACATACCTCCCCAACTCCATCTCCTTGTACGCGACCGGATCATGCAACGAATGCGTCCTGACATCCCTCCAGAAGCGATCCAGCCCCACCTTCCCGGCCGTCGCCCTCGCGCCCGTCGTTTCAAACACCCCCCCCGTGACCCTCAGGGCCGTATCGGTCGCCACGACCTTGACGCTCGCGACCCACTCCGCGACCTCTCCCCTCTGCGCCGCCGTGATGTCTCTCTTCGCGCCGTGGTGGGTGTAGATGTCGGAGATTTTGGCGCCGGCGAGGTCGGCGAGGGCTTCGGCGGCGCGGAGGTGCGCGAAGAAGGAGCCGTAGCGCGCGAGGATGTAGGGTTCGGATGTGGCGGAGGGGGCGGGGGAGGGGGTGTAGGGCCACGGGCGGGTGTGTTTGGTTGTGTAGGTGGAGGCGAAGGAGAGGGCGCCGAGTGCGATGCCGATGTAGAAGTTGGAGAAGACGAGTTGGATGCTGGTGAGGTTCAGTCAGGATGGCTTGGCTGGTCAATTCCGTGGAGATAGGATGGAAGGACGTACGTTGGCAGAAGCAGCGTGGCCCACGGGATAGTCAGGATGCTCTCAATAGGTTCCTTGGTGGTGGGATCCCAGCCTAGGGCATCTGTCCACGGGACTCGGACGTTATCGATCTTGACGCTGCCAGACTCGGTGAGACGAAGGCCGATGTTGTCCCAGTTGTGAGAGAAGACGATTGCTGGTTGGTTCGTAAGAGCCAGGGTGAAAATATGTTTGTCTGTGCCTTCATAGACCTATTGCTGTCAGTCTCGATCAATTCTCCAACCCGTGAAGTAGTGATAGCGACATACCCCTTCAAGGACCGTCAAATCAGACACCACACCACCAGTGTTGAAGTGCTTGAATCCACTGAAGATGATGTGATCGCCATCATCCGTGATCGTTTGGTCGTTATCCCTCGGATTAACCGCACCACCAACGAAGTAGTTATTCTCAATAATCAACTTCTGCGTCCGAGCCTTCTGTTCGTCCGTACCAACGACATTAGCCGTCCAGCTCCAGAGCAAATGGTAGCCGAGAAGCATGCCAACGGAGCCATCAGCTTTAGCAATTTCACGGATAACTTTGTAAGCTACATCCCACCCCTGCCCACCACCGCCGTACTCCTGAGGACCTAGGACCTTGGTAAGACCTGAAGATTTGAGCAGGGTTACTTCGGCTATGGGGCATTTATTCTCCTTCTCGCGATGGGCAGCATCTTCTGCTAAGATGGCGGACACGCGTGCAGCACGTTGGAGCCACTCGTCAGGCTTGGATGGCAATTGCGAGTCAGCAAAGGTTCGATGGTGGGCATCGTAGACAGTAGGGTCAGTCGCCGGGCGCGAAGGCGGTAACGGTGCTAGAGATCCCATGGTTATCTTGTTGGACGTTTTCGATGCTCGTAGTGATGTGAGGAGTCGAGCTGTTGGAGAATCTGGTAACCATTCCTCGAGACACTGGGGACAGACAAAGGCCGGCATTTGGTGGTACTATGGGGAAGCACGCCATCTCGTTGATATGCACGAAGAATTGCATCCACCTATGAATGGCGTGCTCTTTCACATAGTTGTACTTCTTCCTGGACGTTTCACTAGTAACAATCATAATCGAACCGATCGCACCTTGGCAGATGCGGAGATCGTCGTTCGTTGGGGTTTTTAAGCACGCAATTCTCCGCGTATGCACACCCTGCATAAGTATTTGGGATATTTGGTCTGATCCCTGGGGTCGCATACGAGGCCTGGACAAGTCTAGGTCTTTCGCCATTGCACGTAGTAAACAATGGATCGAAGATCTTCACATAGTTTTGCGGCTACGATGCCAAAAGTTTCATCGGAGGCGTACATCAAGAAGTACGACGGCCACGAAGACAGAAGAGCCCAGCGTAAAACCTTACCCAATCATTGTAATGTACGTCGGCTTAACGGCATGAGCTGCGGCTCAATCCGTCTAGAACCCTGAGCCCGTGTATGGCACTACGTTGGGATGCAGGGTCTTTCTTGCACAGATCATCCTTTGATCCAATCTCGACCTAATGGTCTGGAAATTATTGGGATTGTGGCCAGATCAATGTGTCCACTTCTCGAGATCAATCTTGAGTTTTCTTCGCCGAGAAAAACCTGCTTGTATCTCCCATCGGAAACGAAAAGAACATGGCCTCTTGACACATCAGATTTGCGACCGTATAGTAACCCAGAAGCCCACTGAGGAAGGCGAATGCCCCTGCTGTCTTCTTGAGTCCTAATGCTGTACCCGCATGCCCGTCGGCCGTTGCGAAATAGGAGGCAGCAACCAATGTGAACGCCATCTGCACTGTGAAAAATATGCCAATGTAAACCAGATTTCTAGGGACACCTTAGCACGAACATCATTGTAGCGGGATCCTTTCCGGGGCAGACTCACAGGGGCAAAGATCCAAGCAAGAAGAAAAAGTTCCAGACAGCCCACACTGCCAAGGTCAGCATTTGCAGACTTTGGGTATGACTTCAATTACTGAGCACAAAAAACCCCAGCCCATTGTTATACCCTGCCGTATCTGTTCCATAGGCTGCCTGAACTCCAAACAAAGGCGTAATGATAGCGCCAAAGCCACCATAGAAAAATCCGAAAGCGGAAAGAACGGTATACGCATACGTGTTCCCCAGGACAAGTTCCCACTGCGCTGATATGACCATGCCGATGCCTTTTTCGTGATCGGTCAGTATACTGAGTGACTCCGGAAGCTGAAAGCAAGAAAACAGACCTGCGACAAAGAAGAAGTTGCCGATGAAAACGTTGGTGATCGTGAGGCCTCTGAACTCCATCAAAGCCAATGCCAACGTCGTCAAAGTCGTGGAAAAGGCACCAATGGCTAGAGCAGTCTGATCACATATATTAGTTGATCAGTCACGGGCCAGAGAGAAGGTGTGTCCTGACCGGGCTTCCAAGCTGTGCTTTTAAAGTCACCGGGACTGGCACAAGGTATGTCGTTCCGCTGTGTGAGGACGATACACTCATTTCGCCGGCGGCAAGGGCGTCCCATTTCCCTTCATGTTGCGGACTTCGGTTTGCAATGTCTTCGAGCTGGTGAATTCGGTTTTCGTGGGCCATGATGAACGCGCAATGCCACGGCTCTGCGAACAGGATTGGCAAGTACAATTTGCAAAATGTATCAAAGCTCGTAAGTGGACGTCAGTTAGTGGGTGTTTGTCCATAGTAAAGCTCCCATTTTTAGGCAGGTGAACATTGCGACGGGACTAGCGTCTGAGGAGGAGGTCGAAGATCTGCAGACACCATCTGCAGCCAAACGATCACGCCTTCATTGCGCCATAAGACATGATTTAGATAAACGAAATAAGCGATGTCAGCCCAATGAGAGGGGAGCCACTTCGGAATTTGTTGTCTGGAACAATCACCCCACGCAGCTGCAGGTCACGCAATGCACGGCCCCGCAATTTTTACACGAAGAAGTGTCTTTGACAGCAGTAAAGAAGAACTGACGACTTAGTCTAGACCCTTGCGCGTGTGATAACAGGAAAACACAACGTCACAGTAGAATAAATCTTAGCCATTGCAACACCTGCTCTCCTCCACTGTTCATGAACCGTACTAATGCCTTCAATTCTGCGCGAAGAGAACGGCAACACAGAGCTACAGACGAACGGAGACGGAAATGCACCCAAGACCAATGGTCACTTAACCGGAAATCATGAGGATGCGTTTCGGCATCTGCCAAAGCCTCAGCAAGACATATTGCAGTTGCATGGGCCTCGACAGAGATATTGCTTAGAGAAGGCGGGTGAGATACCAGAACTTAGATCAGATCGAGAAATCTTGGTACAAGTAAGGAGAATATCTAGAATTCGAGAGGATATCTGACCTCCAAAGGTCGTAGCAATTGGCTTGAATCCGGTGGTAGGTGCTGCCTCCGCGAGTACGCGTTACAGTCGATACTGACTGCCACGTCAGGATTGGAAGGGCCCGTACCTATTAACCACCGATTATTTTCGTTGCCCAAGACTGATGCATGATGCAGCGATTACGATTTCGGACTCCCTTCGTTTCCCTGGGTCAACGGACGGGACTTTGCAGGTATCGTCGTCAAAACTTCCAATGGGAGCTCTAGGATCGAAACTGGCGATGTAGTACGTTATCAAAAATCGAACTAGGATCCTAGCGGCAGCTGAAGCATGAACAGGTGTTCGGGCCATCCACAGATTATCGAGACGTCCGTAAAGCCGCCTATCAGGAATACTTGGTAACGACGGACTTCAATGTCGCAAGATTGCCGGCGGAGCTGCCGGTAAACACAGGCGCAGCTATCGGAGTTGCCTTTGTAAGCGCGCTATTGGCACTAGGTGTCTCTCTGGGGTTGGATTTCTCCAGCGTCACGGGAGCATCCAAAGGCCCTGATCTGCTTAGTCTTCTCCGAAAGTCGGACCGAGATGAGATACCAGAAGACGTCCGAGAAGAATGTGTGGACGGCATCAAGGACACGGAACGTCCGCAGAAAGGGGACTGGTTTGCTATTTGGGGAGGTATGTTCACTGCCCCCGTTGTGGGATCTATTCTGATGAGACAGCGTCATCGAGCACCGGGTCAATGGCACTCCAGCTTGCCAAATTGACAGGGTTGAGAGTCATATGTGTGGCGGATGTTGTCAGGCATGGATCTCGACTCATCGATTTGGGCGCAGATGTCCTTGTTGACAGGCAAAACCCCTCGCGAGCCATTGAGATCATCCGTAGTGTGACGAAAGGCAAATTACGCTTTGCTCTGGACACTGTTGGCAAGGAAACGGCAACACAGCTCCAAGAAAGCCTTCAGAACCCCAAAGGAGACAGACAAGCGCATTTGGTCGGCTTGACCGGGCTGCCCAAAGTGAGGCTTTCAGGTGTTAAATACCATAGCGTACCCATCAAAGTCTTCCATAGTGTGCCAGCTTTGGGGGAAACCGCCATGCGCTGGTTGGAGCAGCTTCTGGTGGCAAAAGGCCTGGAACCTCCGGATATTGCTCTTGCAGATGGGGGCTTGGAGGGCATCAATGAAGCCCTCGATAGATTGAGAAATGGGACGGTATCTGCAAAGCGCATTGTTGTCCCGATTGGGCAGAAATCAACAACGGAATCAGATGGACATACTGTGAAGAATGGGGTGAAACAGGAGGCTGAAGGGAAATTTGACAACCTCGATTATGCGGACAAGCTGAACGCAGACCCTCAGCGTATCAGATTTGCGCAAGTGCTTTCCTGCAACAGCCCGAATCATGCTGATCGTGTGTACATATAGATACTGGGTACCAAACGTCTCGGGAGGTTTGGTTATTTCCAAGATCGAACAACGGACTGGATGGTCGTTCGAACAGAACGTGGAATACGCCAAGACCGCGGAGAGAGTGGGCTTCGAGTACGCTTTGACCCAGATCAGATTCATGGCGGGTTACGGAGCTGGCATGTTTCCTTTTTCTTGTTGGATATGCATCAGAAGCTGACGGTCTTGCAAGAGAACCAACACGAATCCGTCTCGTTTTCCCAGGCGCTACTCCACTTCACAGAACGTCTCACCGTGATGGCAGCCTTGCTTCCGGGGCCTTGGAATCCAGCCATCGCCGCAAAACAGATTGCTAGCATCGACAATTACTGCAAGGGACGCATTGCCGTCAACGTGGTGTCCGGATGGTTCAAGCAGGAGTTCACGTCAATAGGCCAATGGTGGCTTGATCACGGCGAGAGATACCGGCGAAGCCGAGAGTTCATAGCGTGCTTGAAGGGCATCTGGACACAAGATCAATTCACCTTCAAAGGCGATTTCTACCAGTTTCACGATTATCCTCTCAAGCCGAAGCCAATTGCAAGGCCAGGCCGACCATATCCTGAGATTTTCCAAGGTGGAAATTCCATGGACGCAAGAGAGAATGCTGCCGCCGTATCCGACTACTACTTTATGAATGGCAACACCCTAGAGGGCTTCCAGACCCAGATTGCAGATGTCAAGGAACGCGCGGAGAAGCACGGCCGAGCTGGCGGGGTCAAATTCGCCTTGAATGGATTCGTCATTGCTCGAGAGACGGAGGAAGAAGCAATCAAAGTGCTGCAAGAGATCCAAGGCAAGGCGAACAAGGAGGCTGTCGAGGCCTTTGCGGACGCGGTGCAAAACGCTGGTGCCTCAACAGCCAACAAGACAGGCATGTGGGCGAATTCCAAATTCGAGGATCTTGTGCAATACAACGATGGCTTCAAGACCAAGCTTATCGGCACCCCGGAGCACATCGCGGACCGCATCTTGCTCCTCAAGTCCCTCGGTATCAATATTCTATTGGTTGCTTTCCTTCACTATGATGACGAGATCCAGCAATTTGGAGAGCAAGTCCTGCCACTTGTCCGGAAGCTAGAGGCCGAGGGCCGTGGGAAGGATGAGGCATTCGAGATTTCGCTGACCGGCGATGTGTATAGGGAGAAGAAGGACAAGCAGTAACTAGGATTTTCTAGATGATTGGCAGCGTAATTAGCAGTCTTCGTGTAGTCTCCTTACATGCTTTCAGGCATTGTTCCCATACGCCTGACAGGATTCACAATTGTGATGGTCATATTAGCACATTAAGCGCAACCGTATGCGTGGTTGATAAGATCTTCCTGTAGCTACTTTGACGGAGCATTGGCACCGTCGTCAAGTACGCAGGTAGAGTAGACCCCTGGACGCCAAGATTTCTGTGCCAAGACTTCGTATAGGAAACGTAGAAGAGACGCTAGAATCGGATCGGCCAGAGCCGTTTCGCGCACCCTCGACGCAAGCGCTGCATTAATCTGTGCAAAAAAAACTTCAAAATCATCTATCTTCAGAATCTTTGCAAACCCTACCCAATTGGCATCATGAGGGACGTTGGATCTTTCAACCTCATGGAATGACAAAAATGCTGTTGTGAAGAAAAATGGAGTCCTGTTGGCAGGCTCGCAATGCAATGAGATGCTCGGCAAATCTACAACACAACCCATTGTCGGACACGAAACTCAATTCGGGGTACTATGAGACCTAACAGGAGTGAACGAGTGTTGTCATTGCGCAGGTCTCCATTGCATACCCTGTCCCTAGTTGATAAGGGATGCTGTCCTCTCTTGCACATACTAATGATACTATCATCTTCATACTGTGTATCCTGTACCTCCCACACAGATTATCATCATTATGCGTCTCACCCGCCTTCTACTTCTCCGTCTATCGATAACAGCGGGCTTGTTGGCACAATCTATGACAAGAGCATCCACTGATGGCCTTCCGCCTCCACTCAATCCAAGTTGGATACCGGCTTCAGAAGCCACTCTTCAACCGTGGCCCACAGACACAGATGCACCGCCGCAGGTATCCCAGGAATCTACCGGACCAGAAGAGCCCGTTACAGCTCAAGCATGGCTTTCACTCTAAGTGCATGAAAGCTGTAATAAACCCCAGAAAAGCATGCTCATAGATGCATGGTCTGGCGCGGTGCTTCTTGATCATGCTCAGCAGAAATATGTACCAGGTGGCGCTTTTTCCGCGGCAATGCAAGGCTATTTTGGGGCAAACTTCGAGTATACCGGGCCCTGGTTTACAGACTATAAGGCACGCATCGGCGGTAACCTGGAGAGACGACACAAGGTTGATACCGACCAAGCTCCCGCGAGCACTTACGTCTACCTCTCTTGCGAAGACTACTGGTTCAAATGTGTACAGTACCCTGGGCTACTCGGATACTTACCGCCGTGGATCCTGGACGAACCATTACATAGTCATGTGTGATAACTTCTACCGAAGGACTCGCCTGTCTCGACGAGCCCACTGAAAATCACCTAGATGTCTTTGGTTGCCTTTGCTGACAGTTTCCGTTTCGTTTATTATGTTTATTTCCGGCGCTGTGCGTTCTCTCCCAGCGGAGTTTGACCAGCTGACAAGCTAAAATGTCTGTCCTGTATGCTAATCGATCGATCGCATGCGTTCGGGATTGACCGAAGCTCAATTTGACAGTCCTGACGACGCCTAACGGAGAGATTCATGACTAGGCCTGGCAGATCGCCATTAATGCAACCAGCCAGGACCCAGCATGGTCTGGAGCTCCAAATTCTGGATGTATGTGGGGATAATCTGGAGATCATGCATGATCAGAGTCTCAGACATCTACTCGGGAACGGATGATGATGCGTTCGAGGGTGATGATTGCGTGCCCAGCTCTTGAGCTGCTGAATTGTTGACTAGAGAAGACGACAAGCCACAAAGGCCTCGAAGCTCTCAATGCTGTCACTAGAAGATGAGCTATACAGGCAGGCATCTCATGGCGCAACGCCAGGATAGCTACTTGTTGCACCACACCTCTGGAAAATGCAGCCTGCCGGCAGAGCCGTCCAGGTCCAATATCTGGGTGTGGCATCAAGCCAGAAGCACACTTTCTGCCTCTTCCAATACGGGCCACATTCTAAACTGCCGGGCCAACAACTCGAGTTAACTAGCCTCGGGCAAGGGTAGGTACGTTTCAAGAGTCATACCAGACGCAACGCAAATACCCTCGTCTTGTTGTGTCTGAGGCTACCCATTCATCTGGACAGCATGCCTGGCATTTCTCGAGCTCTGTCAAGGTGTCCAATGGCACTCCATTGCATATTTTTCTTAATTCCATTTAGTCGCGTAAGCCTTTCTTCTGAGCCGGATGAATGGCGGAGTTCGATTTTCCTACCTTAGCTTAGCGTGTCATTTCGAAGTCGAAGCACGCCATCCTGGTTTTGACGCCGCATCAGCTGCACATGCAAGCTGCGCCCAGATTGCACCATTTCATGCATGCCCTTCCAGATTGAGCTCGATCATCGAATCTGATCTTGTCTGCGCGCACAAATGCCGTTCCTACCGACGCCTGAACACGCTCTTCGGGAATGAACGCATATCCTTTTTCTCTTTCGTCCGATATGGCGCGCCCTGCCGAGGTAGGATACACTAATCGATGTACTTCGATCGTCATCAAGCTCTTCTCCATTGGACAGACGTATCTTCATTGTGTAAACAAAGAAGCTCTTGCCCACCCTCTCGCCTGGAATTTCACATTACGTATCATTTTCATGGATGTGTGTTATTTCTCATCAAAGCCTCCTCGTCAGCAGCTCTAGAAGCGACTGGTGACTCTGACTGAATTGAAATTACAAGATTGCGTGTAGGTTCGGCCACTTCAAGGGTGCACATAATTGGTAAGAATGGCTAAGTCATGGGGACCTTAGCGAGACTTTCCATTGGCCGCCAGCCCAGTGGTATGAATTATCAAGGTTACATAAAATCAAGCGCGTGATTATGCTGTGAAAAGCTCGTCACGGAAGTTGAGACCACCATGATCGTCAAGCAGTCCGCAAAAGGTATAAGAACACTCCTTCAGCATGGAGCTCACAGAACTTCGTCTTGATCACACAGTATCTTGTCTACTTGCTTCTCGACGTCATGAGGTTTACATCCGCCATCCTGGGTCTTGCCCTGACGACCAAAACATTAGCTCTCTGCCCTTATGCAGAGCGAGCCCTTCAGGACCCCGATTTCTTGAAACAACATCTCAAGGAGCGAGATGCGCCGAAAGCAGAGAAACAACATGATAAGAGACAGAGCGGGCCAGGGAACATTCCATTTACCACCTTTAACGAGAACCAATTGATCAACGTCACCGGTGAATACGCTTGGGTTGCCCCGGGACCCAATGACATCCGTGGTCCCTGCCCTGGCCTCAACGCCCTTGCCAACCATGGCTACTTTCCCCACAGCGGGGTTGTTCCCCTTTCCGTCGGTGCAAGTGCCACCGAGACAGTATACGGTCAGTCTTCTGACTCAAGCAGCTGCTACATAGTTCTGATCATGGTCAGGTCTCGCTGCGGACTTTGGGATTCCCTTGACGGTCTATGCTACACTTGTTGACGGAGATGTTGTGTAAGTGACCCAGTCTTCTGTACCCCTACTTAAACACCGAATGCTAAGACAACAGCAGTGGGGATACATGGAGTATTGGGGGTAAGCAGCCGCAGACGGTGACCTCGCCTATCCTTGGGGCGGGCGATGGTCTGTCCGGAAGCCACAATAAGTATGAGAGCGATGCGAGTCCCACACGTGGCGGTAGGTTTTGGATCCAGATGTCGAGAGACGCCTATTTTCTACTGCTAATTATTGACACAGATTATTACCTTTACGATGGAGATGTCTCAGTAGGCAACGAATGTATCTATTCTCCAAGTTCTTTGCTGACGAGGAGTCTTACAGAGCGTGAAGGTTCCAAAATTCCAAGCATTGTACGACCTGCAAAACACTGCCGCAGTCCCCAACTATGACCTTGACACGCTGTAAGTTCAACGTCGTTTCGACTCCGCGTTCTATCAAAGCGCTAAATTATGTATAGCATACAACATCGAAAGTACACTTTCGACAACTCTTTGACCACGAACCCTTATTTCTTCTTCGCGCCCTTCGCAGGCGTAGCAGTGGCAAATGCCGCCCACACTTTCATTCGTACGTTACCTCTTAGCTTGATCATCACAATGCATGCTCATTGGCAATAGCGGCCTTGATGTCAAACCACTCTGCAGAGTACCCGAATGGTATACTGGACACAGAAACCCTTAAATCCTTCTTCGCAATCACCGAAGCAGCCAACGGCACGTTGTCATGGACTCCCGGCTACGAGCGTATCCCAGACAACTGGTAATATCCCATGCCCCGAGCACCAACGCAACTGCTGACCAAACTCCAGGTACCGCCGCCCCCTCGGCGCTGTTAATGAATACAGCCCAGTCTCATTCGCCCAAGACCTCGTGCAGATTGCCGCCGTCGTCCCCGAAGCCGTCTCAGTGGGCGGTAACACCGGCGAAGTAAACACCTTCACGGGCGTCGACCTCGGCAATATCACCGGCGGCGCCTACCAAACCTCTGACCTCACAAACCCGACCAAGTTTGTCTGCTTCTTCTACCAGCTGACCCTGGCAATCGTGCCGGATTTTCTGAGGAGCGAGGCTCTTGGCAGTGCGCTTGCTGGGGCGTTGAATCTGTTGCAGACGGAGATTTCACCTTTTGTGGATCCAAGTTGTGCTACAATCGGTGGGTTGATCCTCGGGGACAAGATGCATTAGGTGATCGGTATGCTAACGTGCAATCGTCTAGCGAACTACAATGACGCCTTCGCCGCACAGTTCCCCGGTGCTGCTGTTGGCCAGCCCTGATAGGATGTCCAATCAGCAGCCATGAGGGGTGGACTGACAAGGAGGACGAGCTAGTCAATGATGTCGCTTTTCTCACTTCCTTGCTTGAACATCCTTTTTTCTAGCTACAGGGGCTACTTTTGTGTTTCAATCTGAGGTAATGAAACGTCAGGGTAATAGCACACGTTCCTTATTCTGCATTGAAGATTTTTTAGTCGAACCTGTTCGTCGTCTCTACGATGCTACGTTTCGGCTTATGCGCAATAATGTTATGGAAAGTAACACAATGAAAAACATTTGCCCGCGGAAAACTGCATATAATGATGCGTGTAGCATCTCAGAGGACCATCATCTATCCTTTTCATAGGTTTGGACAAGTCAAACCAATGACCGAGCATGGCTGCCTTTTATCGACCTACTACTGGCACTAGGGAGGTATCCCATGCAGGGTGTAAAGTTCAAGGGCTCAGCCTTGCGTGTCAAGACATTTTACCCCCCAGGTGCCAGTCGATGGGATAGCTATGACAGTCCAGACGCAAGGTAGTCAGCTCCGCATGGACTCTGGAATCAGCAGACAGTCGTCGAATAGGCTTCCCAGAATATTCTTTGTGGGAAACGGAAGCACCAAGAAGGGTGATGGTCCGGGAGCCAAGCGTCAGCCACAGCGAAAAGTGACAGTTGAACCGATATTGCATCAAGTCTCCTCAGTCAGAACTTTTGGTCAACAAGGTAAAGGAGGCACACCGGCACGGGAATCCCGTCTCTAACCCTTGGGGGCAGCTTCCCCGCCCGTCTCGCTCCTTGCATCAATATCCCCTCCACAAGGCGGTTTGGACCTCGAAAGCTTACTTCGCGGATATATCAAGAGGTTTCCTGCGTCGGTCTTGGGGCGTTAGCCCGTGGTGTATCCTCCATCGATCTCGAATGCGAGTCTCAAGCTCACACATAGATAGACCCAATCAATCCTACCAAGTCCCACAGCACCAAAGCTCGTTCAGAGCTCGACGGGCGAGCATCGCGGTTCGAAGCAACCTGGCCGAGATCCAGCAAGGCGTACCATCATCGGTAGGGCCTTCGCCATCCCGAACAACCACACTGGGCAAATTAAACTGCCAAACGGCGTCTCCAGTCACACGAGCTAGTGCCCGTCAAAGACACTCTGTATCATGGTACTGATGCTCGTAGTTCCTTGAGAGTCATAATTGTTGGAGCCGGATGCGCTAGCCTGTTTACCAGCTCTCATATTCGATCCTTTGAAGAAAACGTGCGGTCTCGAGGTCAAACATGAGATTCCTGGATCAAACGCTGAAGAGATACTTGGAGGCAGGCTCATTATTTCAAGGATGTTCAGAACCCGGGAGCCCACGATTATTACGACGTGGGTGCGATGCGAGTCCCGGAGATCGACATCATCAAACGGTAATTCCCAGTCTTTCTAGGACTGTGCCGTCACACGATTGTCAGACTTACAATAGCACGTTTGACTTGTTCGGAAAAGTTTTGCGGCATGAGGAGAATTTATGAATGCTCGACCCCTGAACGAGGCGATTTGATTCGGTATTTCCTCAAGGGAAATGATACGCCGTTGCTTTACAACGGTGTTCACGTTGTCCCAATGGGTGAGGATGGACCGAGTGGCCCAGTGGTAAAACATCTGGCATTACTGGAGTCCCTAAGGAGTATGTCCTGTGGTGTCAGAAAAGCATTGAGGACCCTACTAATAGAGAATGCCAGATACCCAGATAACACCCCTGAATCTCTCCTTGACGAGAAGGTCATCTCATTTACCGAGACTGCTATCAAAGATCTTATCGAAGGATAGAAAAAGCCGATGAGTTTGAGCGACAAATACAGCGTTCGCCAGCATCTCCAGGAGAAGTTTGTCTCCATTCTGGAGCAAATGACCAAATCACTTACATAGCCAAAGGTATAATTACGATACCATTGAATGGCTGGAGACGTACAGCCAGTAAGACTGCCTCGGTGTGAGTGAAGAAAACTCTGTTCGTGCGAATGAAAGCGGCAACCGCCGGTATGACCAAGCTTTGAGCGAAACGGTACTCGAGGATCTCGACTTCAACAACAAGAAGGATTGGTGGTGTGTCCAGGGCGGCGCACAAGAAGTAGCTCATAGAATGCGCAGAAAGCTTGAGCGGAAAAACTGCATTCTTTCCAAAAGAAGGTCACAGGCATGAATTGGGCCAAGGACGAGAAAGGAGATCTATTCGTGGATGTTACTATCAACGGTGAGGACTCGCCACGTCATCACGACGCTATATTCAACGCGGCCCCGCTTGGTGCCATGCAACGGGTGGATCTTTCGGGCCTCAATCTCAACCGGGGCACGAACCAAGCTATCCGCTCCCTCGGTCACGGAGCATCATGCAAAGTAGGCATTCGATTCAAGATCATCTTGTGGATCAAGCACTCAGGCAACGATGCAAAAACGGATCTCCCACTGCGCATTTGTGTCCACCCATCCTACAACCCGCACGATCACAACCCCAACGACGACACTGAAAAACCCAGCATCCTGCCATGCTCCCACACAAGGTCACAAGAAGCCCAGCGGGCAGCGTCGCCGATCAATCGCTCACGGATCTCTCCAGAACGAAGAGGAGCCGACGACACTCTTGATCGACAACCTCGCCAAACTGCACTCCGAGGACCGACGACCACCAAATCATCTCCGACGCCTACGGAAGACGCCACGCGTACGACCGGTACGCCGATGCCGGCACCGCGGGCGCGATCGCGTACTTCGGTCCCCAGCCTTTCCGCAACGTGTACCCGTGGATCACGCGCAGCAGTGGGCCGCACATGATCGTTGGGAAAGCGGCCTCGACACGTTGGAACCTGCCGTGCGAGGCGGCTTCCAATCCCTCTCTGCGCATTCGGCCAACAGCCCAGCGGCCCACGGGGCACTGCAGTTGTACTCTCTTACACAGATTCTTTTCGGAAGGGAAACGCAATGGTCGATGTGCGCTTAGCCTGGATATCGGCCAGCGTTGTTTTGCGATGTCTTCTCGTGCTTCCGAATCCTCCGATCCAATTTTGGGGCAGCCATGAGGCTATCCGCCCGTGCCGGGACCGAAGTCGATGCAACATTCGATCTTGTCGCGACCGGCGCCGCAATGTGAGTTATTTCCGTGGGATTGAGACCAATAATGCTGGTCAGAGTGGCAGCCCGAGCATATGGGAGGTAGAGAGCAATGTGCCATGGTCGTGGTCGCCCTTGCAGTTGAGATCTGCGCCAGTGCTAGACTGTGACCTGGAGAGGGACGCTGCGAATGCGTGGATTCGAAAGGGATATCTGGTTGACTTTCAATGTCAGGAGGACGGGTTACCACTTCCCATCAGGGGTGATGATTTTAAGCTCCAGACTTGTATGTGTCGGCGAGAAAATGGTAGAGCTGGGTGGGAAGTCTATAAGTTCAATGAGCTGCTGGAGGAGGGCTGCCTTATCTGCTGTCACAACACGGCCGGGCTCATTAATGGAATTGTGTGAAAATAGGTAAGGATGGCAGGGATTTGATGGTTAGACAAGCAAAGGATAGGTATGTACTTGTACGTCTTACTGGTGTGGTCGGTGCTCATATCACAAGTCAAAATCCTAAGAGAAAAGTCGAGAATAAGATGCAGCGCCTCATATTTTCGGTAAGCAGCTGGGACGAGTGACGCCTTCTCCGCCCTCACAGCATAGCTAGGCTCACCAACGATTACATGATGTACTCAGTGAACCTGATGAGCAGGCGGACCAACGCAGCAAAGGCATAAACTGCCATATATGTTCAATTACGTAGTGACACTCTTCTAGTGATGTGGATATATGACCCGAAGGATGCTAAGACCCCACGAGCGAGAACGCATGTTGGCAATGCCAATGTCAGTGGTCAAGCACGATGGGTACGAAAGTCACCCACCTATGGCCATGATCATCTGCTCTACCCAGAGCCCAAAGCCCAAAGGCCTGATGACTTTCGATGTTGATGTTGTAAAGGAAAGGCGGAGATTTCCGGAGATTGGTGGTTTAAGGAGTCACAAGGTCCACAGAGCCCATCGCTAGCAAACTTCACAGAGGTTACAACCCTTAGCTGTAGTGATGGTTGGTGGTAAATTACAGCTCGTGATACCACAGAAGGTGGACTGATGAGGCGGAAATGCCGTCGGCGTGTAGACTGAGAAGCAGTCATGGTATCCATCTACCGTGTTCACGTATTGGACTAACTAGAGCAGCATTCAGGCCGGACCCACGTTGACATCAAGGCCGAGAAGCACATCACCTTTTGGTTCCACTTGTTGATATGACTAGGACATGAAGGCTACCATCGCATTAATGCAGTCGGCCTACTCGACCTCCCAGAGCAACCATTGAGATAGTCGCATGCGACTAATATTATATAGGACAAAAATGGATTTGTGTCAACATTTGGACGGGGAAACAGTCGTAAATGCCATCTTTCATGGCTCTCTGTTAAGGCCAATCAGAGTAACGGTCAAATTTTCAGGTCAAAAACATGACCGGGCGGCAGTCCACTCACTGATCTGACTCGAGCATGCAAACAACCGTCCCTTTGGACCAAGCAACCTACTTGGAACCCTCGGAACAGCCATCAAAAATCTCACTGAGGCAGTCGCAGGTAGAAAAAATGGCGATGAGTATGGCTAGCTTGTTGGTAGGTGACTAGATGGAAACCTTTTAGACGGAATGAACGGAAATGCCTGCATGATGGTTGAACCAATGCAATCGTCAGGAAGCCTTTCCCGTACCACGGCCCTATCAGCAATCGGCGTTGCCGTGTACGCTCATTCCTCAGCCGTGTCCCCGTGGTACTCTCCCTGCAGATCAGACGGCAATAGGAAATGCTTTGCGAAAGGACAGAGGTGGCTCGAAGTCCACTGCTTGCGGAGATAGTATAGAGTCTATATTCTTGACTGTTATTGTGACATTACGCTGGTCTTTTGACTCCTTTCCGAGCAAAGGTAAGATATAGTGCAAATTGAAGGTCTATTGTAAGAAAAATATTTTCGAATCTCGGCAGCGTGCATTGAAAGTCGCAACAAAAATAAGATCAGCTCTTACATAGAAACATTAATTATCATTGTACATTAGAAATTCGTATTTAGAAGCGCTCGGTATCCGCTGATACCCACACCGCTGATCGACAGTCTGATGACTGTTCATAGGCCTTTCGGCCGCGAACACCGCCACTTTCGTATCTTCGGAGAGGCCATTGCATCCAACGCAAGGCTGGTCAATCACAAAAGAAGCATTTGATGCGAGGGGAAGGAATGCACTTGAACCCCAAATTTGTCAAAAATGGTCAGGATATCAGTCGGAAATAATGCGTGATTTGATTGGTTGCGCAACGAGGCATTTTCTTGCAAGTCTAAAAGTCAACGAAAAAGGCACGGACTGCGCCCACTGATCAACCTTTTCTCCATGTAGGTAATTGGAACTCGGAAGACGGTTTCACGGAGCGGCCTCGTGGGTAAGACAGGGTTCATTGGGGGGGCTCACAGGGTCTCCATAGGGTTCATTCAGGGGTGATAAGATTATCTTCTTAGTACCTAGTCGTCGTCCTGAGGGTCCATCTCCTGTTGGCGGTCTTGCTGCTCCACACCGAGCATGCTTTACACTCTAGGAGAATTTTTAGAAAAACGGCCTTTCCCGCTGGCGCTGCACACTGCGACAAAGGGCAAATCTTGTCGAATTTTCATCAAACAACTTTGATGAAATATTTTTGGGGGTCTGGCGGATAATGGTAGGATGCAGGCGATCGCTAATGGTATGAGATGAAAATTTACAAGTCTATTTTGATAGAGTAGATCAGCAGCCAGGAATCGTCAGGCATATCATATTCATGCTATCGTGCCCTCCCACGACATGTATCCTTGCCAGATGCCAAGTATGCCACGAGGCGAGCCCTGCATTCAAGGTTCTATCCCGCTATCCGCAGCCTTGGTGTCCTCCATATAAACCCCACCACAATCCACAATCCACACTCCACTCTCCTCTACCTTCTTCTCTTACATATTCAGCAAGAGCAAGGGCGTCAGTTCTTCACCACTTTGGCTGCATTTCCAGTCGCAAGACTTGGGCGCCATATGTGGTAAGGCGAGCCACGGCCCTTGTGCTGCACCCTTGACCGCTTCCTTAGATTCACTATTTAATTCTCCCGTCGAACATCCTTCTCTCATTCTTCATCCCTCTACACCTTCATCTCCACCTCTACAACATCACCTCGACAGCTCCTACCTTGCCCGATCACAACGGGCACCACCGCCTCCTCTTCATCGCGCTAAAGCCCCGCGCTTGCCCCCACCCACCAACTTTACCCCCACCAACAGCCTGATCCCACGATTGCACCGCCGCTCACTTTTGCTGGCCATGTTGATTGACGGCGAGAAGTACGCTTGCGAAGCATGTGTAAGAGGCCACCGAGTCAGCACCTGTCAGCACTCGGGTAAGCTTTCGAGCTCTCCCTCTCTCTGTGAGGGCCTAGTCATGGGCGCTTGCTGACAGCGGCCTAAGACCGTCAACTTACACATATCAACAAGAAGGGTCGCCCTGTCTCACAATGCCCACACTGCAGAGGTCTCCGCAAGGCTCGTGCCTCACACGTACAGTGCGAATGTGGAGCCAAACCACACAGCAAAGACGAATGCAACGAGAACGAAGGCTTAGGCGAGTTCCAATCAGACACAGCGTCTGATCCTGGTGCACAAGACCACAAAACATGCTGCTGTAGCCATGGAGCACGATGCACGTGCGCTATCAAGAAGGAATACCTGGATCCTGTGCCGGAAATCGATATGCCTGTTCTGTCACCAAGGAGATCTACAAGCTCTCGAAAGCCCCGTCTGCTCAAAGCCGACTCGGACAACTGTTTGACCGTCTTCACGAATGGACATCATAAACCCGTACACAAACACAACGATTCGGCCCACAAATGCGGATTACCCTACAAGATCCCGATCCCCCACAGCGTACCTGGCAATGACCCAGCTCGCCGCTCGACGGATAGCTTGCCGCTGATCAGGAAGAAAGAGGAGGCTCATTCTCAGCTACACGATTCGATTTCGAGCGCCCAGCAAGACGTAAGACGGGTCAGGTCCGAACATGGATCCCCGGAGCGAAGCACTGCCCGATTCCGGGACAGCAATGGTGACCTACCACCTTTGGATCTATCTTATGCTGGATACGAGAGTATTCAGGGCCAGTACCCCGAAGACTATTCACAATCGCCAAGAGCTTTCGAAAACTACTACTCCACATCTCATGAAGAGCTGCCGGCACTGTCGGCTGGTATGAACATGCCTGCAGTGGACTGGTCGGCCGTGGACCTGCCGTTGGATGGGGCCTACTCCGCAGCATACAGCCAGCCGCCATCATACGCGAGCTTTGAACACAGCAATGTCGGTCAGCCAGGTTTAACCACGTCATCCTCGGGCGAGCTCTCTGAGGTCGATGATTACATCTCCCACAACCCTCGTGGTCAATCCCTCAGGCCCGAACTTGCATCTACGTCGGCCGAAGAGCTCAAATATAACCCTATGGATTCTTCATCAGCAGAATCGCTCAGCTACAACCCTACAAGCTCTTCGTCTTATCCTACAAGTTCTTCATCCTTTCCAAACCCGTCGCATACATCGTTGCTGTCTTCAAACAACCTCAACGAACGCGACATTAATTTCATCGGGACCACGGCCTCTCCTACCGAGTTTGAAGAACCGACTGCCGGTATGCCCTTGCGATCCGAGGCCTTTGCAAAACACGGCTTCACAGTGCATGACGCTCAGAAAATGGCACATCCAGAAACCCCTACTGAAGCAATGGGAGGGCTGAAATTGCCACCGCAAGTGGATGACAGAGACCACGTATGGGCTAAGCATTTTGACTCGTCTGAAGACTCTCTGGTACCAGAATGCAAAGTGGAGGATGATTGGGAGCAATAACATCCATAGCGAGGCGGGATGCCTGTTGACGATGAAACTACGAATTATGATGGTCGATTGCATTCGTGCTTATCTGTGTGTACAGACATTGGCATGCGTTGCTTGCATTGCGTAGGATACATGCTTAAAGGATTAGGATTAGAGACTTCGGCTTAAGCAAATATGAACGCATTCAGCCCATGAAACGGTCTAATCAGTCTCTGCCAGGAGATTGAATTCCATAATAAGTACGACAACCCGATAAGAATCAAGCTTGCACTACTCCTCCACTCTCACGCCACCAAACAGTCATCCATGACCGACCAACAAGAAGGGTATCTCTACTAAGTACTAAAACACTCATCCAACCACGCGATTCCATCCATCACCTGTAGCATTCTCGCAACACCCGCAGCCCATCGCAAGACCACCTGATATCCATCAACTCCGCTCCCTCCCAGTCCCCATCCGCTCCCACCCCCGGCGCGCACCTACGACCTCTTCGTCCCAGCCGTAATCCCACCCCCCTGATTCTTCTGCCGGTACGCCGAGTACCCAACATAGACCGCCACGAGTACGCCAATGATGACGATATTGCCTAAACCGCACGTGTCGCCCATTAGCACTCACGTCGCCTCTCTCTCTCTCTCTCTCTCTCTCTCTCTCTCTCTCTCCCGCACCGCGCCGCAACCGATGTCGGCTCTGCTTACCGAGCACGAATCCCACCAGCCCGCTCATGAGATCGAAGATGCTCGCGATCAGATCCCGGGCGAGGCCGAAGACGGACTGGACGGCGGAGAAGACGCTGCGGACGATGCCGGTGAGGATTTCGAAGAGGGAGGAGAGGAGGTTGGAGATGCCTGTCGTGACGGAGGACATGGTTGCGGTTTGCGGTGGGGATGTCTCGGGATGGATGGTGGTGCGGGAGGGGTGGTGTTGGTTCGATGGTTGGGTTGAGGGGTGGACGGATGGAGCGGAGGAGGTTGCAGGGAGGTTGAATGGAGGGAGGGAAAAATGTTTGTTTATTTACGAGCCCCGGATTCTTGGTTTGGGGGAAAGAGGCGGGATGACGGCGGCGCTAAAGGAAGGGTCCTTGGGCCGCGAGTTTTGGCCTTGGTTTGAGCGGGTCTCTTTTTCCTTCCCGGAATACCTAGCGCATGTTAGGATTTTACTATTGCTCTTTTGGCGTTTCGGTGGTGGAGAGAAGTACCAGTACTCTACTTGTAGGTATGATGAATTCACTCTTGATCATCTAACGGCTTTCGTCACTGAAAAGGCTGGATAATTCAGCGGCAGAATCCTTACTCTAAGGGTCTTCCTGAGTTGTAAGAGGTCCTTATTAATCTGTCACTTTCTTCCACTGACAGCCCTTCTGACAAAGAGCCCAGCGAATCATCGTTTTGTTGTCTGCGAAGTCTTCTGGAAAAAAAATGCGTTGGTTTTGATACAAAGCCTGACGTAAGCACACTAGCCGCTTTTGCGCGTGTGATCGCCGCCGCTACGGACTTTGAAAGTTCCCACCGCCGACGCTTCTACAATTGCGCTGTCCCTAGACTTGTTTATGGCGAAAGGAAAAACACCCAAGTCATGGGCAGAACAGCTGGCAGATCTAGAAAATCCTGCGCCAAAAGGTCAGTACGATTCCCTTCGTTCCGCCATGTCTAATGTGTTGCAGACCTTGATCCAGAGGACGATGCTGGGCAATTCGAGGAGGATAATGGCTCGGATTCAGCTGGCGACGACAAGCACATAGCTGAGGCTCGCGAACATTACATTGATGTCGGGTGAGATCTTAGCACCAACGTTAGCCGTTGAGTCTACTGACGGTCATTAGGGAGAGCAAAATTCGAAACCCAAACCGCATTGACTTAGGGCCTCAGTATACAGGTGCGAGCGTCAGTCGAGATGCTCTTCTCGAAGCGGAAGATGATGACAACCCATTCGGCAGCCATAGCGAGCAGGAGGAGTCCGAAAGTGCTGAATACGCGGACCCGGACGAAGACCTAGACAAGCAGCAATCGGATGCTGATGAAGAGATTGATAGCGATGAAGCGTTTGAGAGTGGGGATGAGGAAAAGTTCACAAAGTTCACATTTAGAGACAGTGGGACATGGAGAGCAGATGGGAAAGAGGATGGAGCAGATGATTTAGAAGATGGAGGTACTGAAGATGAAGACATGGAGGATGAAATCAACGGCCTAGAGAACGCTGTAGACGAGGAGGATGGTGACTCAGACGACGTCGAAATGGATGATGAGGACGGTACAGATGGTGACAGCGACGACACCAGCATCAGCGATGGCCCCCCAGAGCCGAAAGCAGACGATCGAGCAACTCTCCGCAAGATGATGGCCGAGGAGCAAAAGACAGTAGCAGCATCCCTCTCCGAAGCCGCAAAAGCAGACGTAACGAAAGGCCGAGCCGTCAAACACCAGCGTAACACCTTCGACTCTCTGCTCAATACACGTATCAAGCTTCAAAAAGCGCTCATAGCCACGAACTCCATGGACACCTCCGCTACTGGATCGAATGACCACCCTAAAGCCATTGAAGCGGCCGAAAAGGCCGCACTAAGGTTATGGGACACTCTCTCTGAGCTCCGCTCCTCACTCCAACCTTCCACCTCTGAGGTTCTTTCCTCCATCATCACGACTTCCTCGACCCATTCCAGACTCTCTTCAACCCTCTGGAAAAGGATGCAAGAATACGAAGCCGTCAACATCCCCAAGCGCCGCGCTACTCTAACCAAATGGTCTCAAAAGACCAATCCCACCACCGCCCTTCCACGCGCCAACAAATTCTCCCAAACACCCTCCCAACAACCCCTTACAAGCGTCCTGGATCAGCACCTTTCGGCCACAAATGCTGAAAAACTAGTGGCGAAGACGCAAGTACCACGAAGCTGTGCCCCCATCCAAGCCGCTTCCCGCACCCTGTCCGACCCGACCATCTACGATGACGCAGATTTTTACACGCTTCTGCTCCGCGAACTCGTGGATCAACGCATGACCGATGCCACCACCACCGGCGCTGCACCCCTTGCCGCCATCACTTCCGACGGGACGTTCTTGCCGAGCAGTAGACAATTCAAAATCAAGAAACCCGTCGATACAAAAGCGAGCAAGGGCCGGAAAATGCGCTATACAGTCCATGAGAAGCTGCAGAATTTCATGGCGCCGGAGGATTTAGGAAGCTGGGGGGAGAGGCAGAGGGGGGAGTTGTTTGGGAGTTTGTTTGGGAGGAATGTGCGGTTGGCTGAGGATGAGGCGGTTGATGCCGAGGAGATGGAGGGTGAGGACGAGGATGGGGCGGGAATGGAGGGTGGAGTTGGGTTGAAGTTGTTTGGGTAGTAAGCAGGTAATAAGGTAGAAAATGAAGGGCTCGTAGCCCAATGTCTGTACCCATTTTTTTCACGGTCTGGTCAAACTGTCAGAGAGCCAGGATCCGTGGCCTCGTGATCCGAGCCTACTCAACGTCGATTTCCAGAAAAAGGACCAGCGTCAACCCCACCTTCTATGCCCATCCAAACAAAACTATAAACCCAGCCGTCGTAAACGTCGAAAACACTAGTCCTCATCCCTCGTCCGCGTAACCATGCAGATCTAGCAAGACGTTTCACATGCTCGTGGCCCAAACGAAATGTCCGTTTTCGATTACGGTCAAGCTACAGTTGTTCGATAGCCATGGGCTCTGAGTTCAAAGGCGTCGTTACTGCACGCTTTATCAAGGATAAAGTAATGGAGGATTGTGGTGACTTAGGTTTGATTCGCTGTCGTTCAATGCCGAGCTACCATCCTCGCTGTGCGTACATGAGCCATGATTTTCCACGCAAGTCATACCAAGCCCAGCTCCCGGCCCCACTCACGCCTCCTCGAACCAACTGTCCTGACTCAGCTCCGGCGGTCCGACTTCGCTATCGTTCAACAGACTATCCGGCAACAACTGACTGTCCGTCAACCTGACTCCGTTCCATTCATATCCCGCCCACGGATCCAGCTTTCGACTCGCCAACGGCGAGCTCGACGGCGGCGGCATAGGTGGTGGCGATGATGGATGCGCTTGAGATGACGAGGGCAATTTTCGCGGTGACCGCTGAGTGACGGCCTGGGCTGACGATGTCATGTTACGAGGCGAAGGCTGTGTGACGTCTGCGGTGGTTGCCTGGGAGGATGGAATGGGTGCCTTGTAGAATTTTGGGGGGCTGGAGATTGGTGGGCGGATTAGTTGGGTGGGGACGGTCATGAGGCCGGATGAGGGCTGCTCGGCGGGCTTGGGGGAGGAGGAGGGAAGTGGTTCGAGATTCGAGTGCATGTAGTCGGCTGGGTTGTAAATGGTCCACCCTTTCTCGTATTGAGATTCGGTTTGGAGACCGCCTGGCTGCGTGTCGCGACGGAGGTCGGCGAAGAGCTGGGCAGAGACTCCTTCGGAGTCTGAGGGGCGCTCGCTGGGGTGTATGTGTGTGGTTGGTCCTGGAGGGTCCGAGCTAGTCAGATCAACGAACTCGACCCTTTTAGGTCTCTGCATCGGAAGCTGGTCTTCTACGTTCCTTTCCCTAGCTAGAGGAGATGGAGCATTTAGAGGGTCTGGCGATTCAGAAGCATTTCTCTGAATGGGGGCCAGCTCAGGCTCGTCTTCCGCAGGTTTCGAGGTAGGAGGCGTCGATTCAGGCGGTTGGTCCGAACTCTTTTGGGAAATATCCGTACTTGCGAGAGCAGCCTGTGTTTCTGGGCCAGCATTGAAGGCCTCAGGTTCTTCGTCATCGCCTTCTTCGTCTGTGGAATCGATGACCTCGTGTTTGGGCCTTGCTTGACTTGAGTTTTGGATTTCCTGGACTGGTCTTTGAGCTGCCCTCAGCCTTTGGTTGAAGTCATCAACGTGAATTGCGGATGCGTAGGAAGGTAGTCGAGGCTCTTCTTCCGTGATGTCTTCAGGCTCTGCGGTTGGACCAACGCGTTCGGTCATTATGCTAACTTTCAAGGATACCGGACTATCCTCGTCCTCAGTTTCCATGCTATCTGCCACCTCTAATCCCTTCGACCATCGAGCTCCCTTTACAGGTGACCTTATAGATAGATCAATATTGGTAGATTTTTCTTTCAGTGGTGACCTCGTATAATCTTGTAGAGATTGACGGCTTTGTGTAGAGAGGGGTGTGTCTGCTGGAGATTGTGACGAGGGGATCTCCTTCCTCCTCAGAGACATTGGAGTCTTTGGCGGTGGCATAGCAGTGGGCATTTTGTCTTTGAACAAGTGAGCTTTTGCTTCCCCTCCTGCGGACGGGAGATCATCCTGATTTTCCAGTTCTTGAATTGGAAGATCCTCCTTAGCAGCTTGTCGCTTCGCGCTTCTTGTCTCAATTCTGCGAGCCTGAGACTTCTCTGGAGTGACCTTCCGCCTTTTGTTTCTCGAGGGCGAAGCTACGTAGCTGTCCACCTCTTCATCATCTGTCTTCAGATCTTCATTTTCGAGCTCCGGGTGGTAATAATCTCGCAGAGCATCCATCTGCGTAATACTTTGCTGGCGCATGTTTGGAGCAGACCATGTTGGAAGTCTGTCCCTGATGGTACGATGGGGAGAAGGTCCTATCCGGCTTTGCTTGATATTTGGTACTGTCTTGTAAACTCGGCCTGTCGACTTCGGCTTCTTTGGGCGTCCACCCATCTTCGACTTGTGAATTAGACGAGTTGAGCTCAATCCGGTCCTATTTGGTTTGGTCGTGAGGTCTCGAGATTGACACGCGTCGGTAAAATCTCGGTCAAGTTGGCGCGGCGATGATGTCGACAAAGTTCAGGTACGCTCTACGCTCTACAATACCTTTCATTATGTGTTGATTGTCACGTCTGAATCGCTTTTGTCTTTGAAATTTATGGTCTTTGCAGATATGTTATCCGACAGGGTCTTTCTAAGTCGGTTCAACACACTGCAATCGTGTCTTAAAAGCTGAATAAGGTGTCGTTCTTGGTAATTCAGTGAGCCTCTAAGTGTTTTGTATCGGTCTGTCTTTCCTACTGAAAGAGGGAACCCATTATGGCTCGGAGTGCCGGAGCAGCCAAGTCAAAAGTTGCTGGAAAAGCAAACGCAAGGAATGCTGTGCCTGATGTCTACGGTGAGATGCTCGTTGAGGCTGTCTCCTCTACTCCTGCTCGACAGAGCGGATATGAGACACCGGTAAAGCGACGTCGTGTTGGAGGACGCATCGTCACACAAAGCGTGGACGACAATGCGCTTCAACAATCTGAACAGAGCGTAAGCACCGGGAACCAGAGGGGTATCGACGATCTCTTTGAAGAGCCTAACCCCAATCCACAGCATATAGAGCAGACTGAATCTGAAGATTCTGCGGACAGTGATGACAACTTCGAAGACGTGGACCTTGGAAGTAATATCAAGCAACACGACACTTCTGACCACGAGATGGAAGAGCCGGGGAAGCTCAATTTGGTGCTTGGTGGTGACAATCAGAAGACTCTAAGATCTGCGCAAGTCAGGCGGAAGCCTATTACATCCACCGAAAAGAAACTTCGACTCGAAATCCATAAGGTGCATCTCTGCAGTCTACTCGCTCACGTACATCTACGTAATCGCTGGTGCAATGACGAGAGTGTTCATTCCGTTCTGAAAAGCATGTTGGCAAAGAGGACCATTTCCTATCTGAATCCTGATGAAAGCAAATCCCAATTTCAAAGGTCTCGATCTTTCCTGGATGGCCTGACGCAAGCAAGTGATGCATTCAGAGCGGACTTCAAAATTACTGCGAGGGGCATGAGCAAGCCTGTGTGGGCGGATAGTCCAGAAACTCTAACGCTTCTACAGCCGCCGGAAGATATTGACCTGCCAATGCAAAGGTCTGATTTCCTTACTGCTGCTGGCAAACTCAAAGGGTCGCGGGATGTTGGAGCCCAATTCTTCTGCGCCATGCTACGCGCAGCTGGCGTGGATGCAAGATTGGTGTGCTCTATGTTGCCTCTGCCTTTCCAACCGGCACAGAAAATGGCTCTGCCTCAAGTCATGCACAACGCCTCGAGGTTGCCACATCACAGAAGCCGACAGACGACACCTGAACCGGATAGCGAAGCCGACGCTGGGAGCGATGGGTCTTTGATTGTAGAGGGGAGGGCTGGTTCTAATAGAGCCGAGATTCGATCGAGACTAGGACAGGTCAAACGTAGTGCTTCACCAGAAGCATCTTCGTCTAGAATGTCCTTCCAACCCAAAAGTGGGTAAGCTAATGCCCAAACCAATTTAACGATCTAATGAAAATAGAAGCGAACCAAAAGCCTATCCGTGAGTCAAAATATCCTGTTTACTGGGTAGAAGCTTTCAACGAAGCTGTGCAGAAATGGGTGCCGATTGACCCTCTTGTCACAAAGACTATTGCCAAGCCATCAAAATTTGAACCACCAGCAGGAGACCCAGGGAATAACATGAGTTATGTAATAGCTTTCGAAGACGACGGATCTGCTCGCGATGTGACGAGACGTTATGCCAAAGCCTACAATGCGAAGACTAGGCGGGAGAGGGTCGAAGTCACAAGAGACGGCGAGAAGTGGTGGCGAAGGGTGATGAGACTTTACAGAAGATCTCATGATATGGACCGGGATCAAGTCGAAGATGCAGAGCTGACGGCTAAGGAGGCTGCTGAACCTATGCCTAGGAATGTTCAAGATTTTAAGGACCATCCGTACTATGCTCTCGAAAGACATCTGAAAAGACATGAAGTAATACACCCAAAGCGAGAAGTGGGGAAGGTTGGTGCCGGGCGACCCGGGACTACCAATGCCTTGGAGCCAATCTATCGCCGTAGAGATGTCTATCAACTGAAGAGCGCGGACAAATGGTACAGGATGGGTCGGGAAATCAAGGTGCGCCCATCGGCCTTCAGTCCGTCTTTGTGTGCTGATTCGTGATCGATGCCAGCATGGCGAACAACCCCTCAAGCGCGTTGCAGTACGCCGGACTAAAGATTCAACTTTGGACCCTGCCGATATGGAAATGGCAGACGATGACAACCCTGGCACTGCCCTCTACGCTCCTCACCAGACATTACTTTACGTGGCACCACCCGTCGGTAATGGCCAAATACCAAAGAACTTGTACGGGAACCTCGATGTCTATGTCCCAAGTATGGTTCCTCCAGGTGGAACTCATATACCGCATCCAGAGACCGCTCGAGCGGCCAGGATCATTGGCATTGACTATGCCGATGCAGTTACTGGCTTCTCATTCAAGGGTAGACATGGGACTGCTGTTACGAGAGGAGCTGTAGTAGCTGCCGAATACCGGGAGGCAGTGGAAGAAGTTATCGAGGCTTTCGAGGATGAGCGAGCACAAGCTGAAGAGGAAAGGCGAAGTCTGACTGCGCTAAAGATGTGGAAGAGATTTTTGGCGGGTCTCAGGATCAGAGAAAGGATCGAAGGCTATGATATCGAAGGAGAGCGCGATACAGTTATGAAATACGAGATGGAGACAGTCGAAGACCAAGACCAAGACCAAGACGAAGGAGGCGGCTTCTTACCTGATCGAGATGCCGACGAACCCGCTCAACCCACCGCTAGGACAATGCCGACGCGAAACTTACCCAGTTTGTCAAACGACGGTGAGGGTGGGGGTTCTTGTGCGGCCGAGGATAAACAGGAAGAAATGGAGGCGCTGCACGCTTCTGATGAAGATGATGATGATGGTGGTGGTGGTGGCTTCCAATTAGACCATGATGACCAGGATGCCGAAGAAGCCATCCGAAAGATCAACGAAGGAGATCATGAAGACACAATCGGCGAAGAAACCGAGAAGACTGCAGGTCATATGTACGCGGAGAATGATGGTCAGGAAATACTAGATCAAGGTGGCGGCTTCTTGCCTAACGACGATGACACCAGAGATGAGACTCCGCCAACGAACTACTCAATCACCGGCGGTACGCTGGATAACCACAGCAGCATCGGTGCGCGTGTCAGCCCACAAAACTCAGAACACTTTGCGGAAGCGTTCCCAGACCTGCCAGCACGCGAGCTGGAGGAGGCCAAAACATTGCAACAGCTCTACGAATCGCAAGGTTCTGAGCATCTTCCGGTGTCCAAGGAGACTGTCACTGCCCCTGGACCGAGTAGATTACCTGACTCGCCGCCGATGCGAGAAAGGACCGGAGGAGTCGAGTGGGGGACCACTGTTCACCCAAGTGAGGCATACCCCAGCAATGAGCTAGTAGCAGAAAAAGATTCTGAATCTGATAACTCAGAAGAAGACAAGGGTTCACTGCTGTCTCACGATCCCGACGATGAGGATGCTGACCCGGAATGGCTTGCTTGAAACACTATAAAATTATCGGTTCCATTCAATGGGTCTTGTCTATGCAATGTTTGATGGGTCCACTCCAGCCAAGTTTCTAAGAGCCAGCCTGCTGCAGCCCCAATAAACGCTGGGCTTCTGATTGGTTTACATCTGTTGAAGATCGGGTACCATCCCCTTCAATTCAGCGCTCCACCCCGGCTTACTACCTCTTGCGTCGCCAGCTCGAAGCGCCTGTAGCCCTTAGCAATGCACAAAAGACAAAGAGGCGTAAACTGGAACAACACATTTGACGGGTTTACCGCTTGTGATTACCTCAGAAAATCAAACTGGTCACGTGTGAAGATACCGAGAAAACGTGGTTTGTCAGCTACATTTATTCTCTACCCGTCAGCAATTGCGAGCTTTGGATTCCGTAGAATGGCTTGTTTTTAAATGGTTCTCTGCTGGCGATTAAACTTTTTGCAAGTCTGTGACAGGTGTAGAGCGTTATCCAGATCCCCAAACTGGCCGTAAATAGACATATTGAGCTCGTCGGGCAGGCCTCTCAGCGTGTTCGCCATCGTGATTTGTGTACAAATCTACGGCAAATAGGATAGAATGAAGGTAGTACGTAGGGATCCCTAGGGTCTCTAAGAGCCCACCTCCTCAACATGCAATGTTTGCAATAGACCTGGGGTATTAAACCAGCAGACAATCCGGTTGGCCGGGCCTGACGCCTCATAATGACATATCGAATCGCTGACACCCGAAGAGAAAGCTGCAGGGGGTCGAGGATTCACAGCCAAAGCGAATCGAGTGTGAAATATATCATACTCCGCTGATTCTGTTATTGGCCCCAATGTTTTTGGGCTCGACTCACAACCGGTAAGATTGACTTAGAATAAGCCTTGGCTGAGCGTCGTCAGACGCGGCGCAATTTCCCTATAGTCAGCACCGGAGAGCAGACTACAAGGCAAAGAATAGACTTCATGATCTGCTTGGGCATTGCAGAAACCATAGTCGGCAGATGGCTCTGTTCGTCTCCTCCGCGCGAGATAACCGGTGGGACAAGCCCTGATGCCTTGCTTCGTTTTCTATACAGCTGGCCAAGGGAATGTGGCAGCTGGAAGTTGGAGCTGAAGCTACGTACCGTGATTATTGTAGAAGCAAATCATGTCATGAGAAAGAGAGTGCGCACTGATGGAAGCAATGGATGCATTGGGAGAAGCGAAAGTGGCGCGGATAGATGGAAACATCGGGTCCCTGGTACGGAGATCGAGCAGGTCCTCGTCTTGGTGTTTCCATCTTTAGCAGCAGCGGATCCTGCCTATTTCGCCTGCGTCACTCCTCCATCCTGTCTTCCTTCATCGTGGTCCTCTCCGCAGTCCTCCTCTCCTCTTTTACCCTCTCTTTGCGCATCTCGTGGATCTCATCCCAATATTGCATCCTCCACAAAAGGGGAGCCGAGACGAAGTCGAACGTGATCCCAACAACATGGGTCCTCTGCATTCATCAATCTGTCCTGGGAGGTCGTACAAAATGCCTTCACCATGGCGGACCGCTCGAAATTGAAAGTCCAGTCAAATCCAAGCTCATTGTGAGCACCACGCTTGAACATGTTGTGTTGTCGTGCATACATACCCTCATTCGGTTCTCCTCCAGCCCAGGAGCGATTCTCTATGTGGCCTACTAGTTTGTCGGGTCGAACCCTTTACGGATATACCGCACGTAAGGGTACCATCCTAGTGGACGATCGCCGGTGTCGTTTTCAATCCGAGACCACAGTCCTTGGAGGGGCGCAATCTTTCTCAACAGGAACATGTGAAGGAAATTATAACCTCAAGACCATCGAGCTGAGTGTCGAGATCGAGTGCACTGGTCTTACCACCTGCAAGGACCTCTTTCTTGATCCATAGGTTGTTCATCATCTCGGCCACGTTAGCGTCTTCTTGCTTGGGCCCTGTCGCCGAAGGCTCAAAGATGGAGGGTTTTGCAAACTGCAGGCATACGATGGCCATCGAATGCAAACACACAATTCTATGAAACAGAGCCTTGAAGTCGCCAACAAATCGGCTATTTTGGATGAATTGAACTCTGTTGGCATGGCTCGTCCTGATGCTGGCATCATCAAGGCTGGGCGGCACAATAGTGACCGCTTTTTCTCGAGTCATGCCTGAAGCGAAAGCTGCGCGGAAGCGGTCAATTCTTCGGATACTTTGTCATCAACGTAGAGTCCACGGAGAAGGCTAAAGCCCTTCCACCGTGCGAGGATTATTCGGATCTCCTCGTCGGTTGAGCTCTTTTCGTTGTCTTCAGTAAGGAGGCAAGTCTCCAACAATTTGAAACTAGGCTTCTGTGCGTCGCGAGGCAGCGTGGCAAGCTTTCGGTACCAATCTTCATGCAGTGTCAATAGTTTCGAAAGACAGAAGTCGTAACCTCAGACATGAGAGGCAGTCTATATTTCCTCCCGTGCTTTCTATTAGTTGCATCTTCCCGCTAGCATTTCTAAGGCCTGTCTTACAATGATTTGTTTTTCGATTCTCCTTCAATGGGTTTGAAACAGCCTGCGAAGGTCTCGGCAGACTTGCGAGAGGTGTATTCTATAGCGCCGTCCAAATCCTCGCAACTCCCGAAGATAGACACCTTGAGCTCCCGGGCAAAACTAATTGGATAGCTCGCCATACTGGCATGGAGTGTATAGCAAGGGTGGCTCAATGGGGTTCTGGGTCGGAAGAAAGGCTGGCCCCAAGCACATCTTTCTTGTTTCGGAAGACCCCAAGGCTGTGCATTGATTGCAGTGAATCATGGGTATCAAACAACAAAAAATGAAGGCCCGTTGTCCAAGACCTTAAGGCGACTGCTGATATGTTCGACATTTCCTCAATCACACTCTCCAAAGCTAAGGCGGTAAACAGACTAGGCCAGATGCCGTTGGATTCTGCACGTGCGAGGCTCTTTCCAGTCTACTTTGCATTCTATTGGTCAGTAAAGAGGATATCGGTAAAGGCATGGAACAAACATGGCCGTCCATGTGTTCAAATCCGATTTGCTATTGCTACAAGTTCCAGCGCTTGCTACATTCCACTTCTCGGGCTCATTGAAGGGTCAAATTTTGACATTGCTTGCCTGGGCATTTTTTAGCCGAATGAACATGTATTATAAAACTGAAAGTTTCGAAAACCGTACCCGAGCAGCTCGAAGCACTCACAAGGGTGTCTTACACAAAATGCCTCAGATTTGGTGCGCTAATCACCAAAGCCGTCACGCTGTCCGAAATCCGCCATTCTCGATTGACGAAGACTTGTTCACAGTGAATCCCTCGATGCTTTCAATAGTCAGGGATCCATAGGCCCACGGGATTCTTGCCCCCACTTCTTTGATACCCCAAATGATCTCAGACGGCCCATACCGTCCCAACAGCTTCCCCAGCGCATCAAAGGCAACCAACGCCACCGCGGTAGGCAGCCTGCCACGAAATGGGCCTTCGTTGATCGCGATGAGCCATTTTGTGTATGACGAGATGTCGATGGTAGATTGAGTCGCATGACGTGGCACGCAGCCAGGAACGGGATGTTCTCGCTTGATGTTGTCGACGAAATCTTGGAGGAAGTGCCGTAACTCAGTCACACTAACCATGGGCGAACTTTGGAATTTCCGGGCCTTGCCGATAAGTAGGTACACGTTCAGGAATAACAGACCAGGACCAAGTAAGGTAATCCTGAACGGTTGCTCCGGCCAAGGCGAATATGTCAGATCGGTAATTTCCTCTGGCGCCTTCAATGCAGGGTTAGTGATGTTGAGGGGAGCTGAGGCAAGACTAGAGTTTCGAAGGGAAAGTAAATTATGCGCAGCGGACGAAGGCATTATGAGAGCTAAAGTAGCTGCCATAAATATAAGCCTCCACATGTTGGTATGTACGTCTGTTTTGTTGGACTCGAGGCTGATGGAAATAGGTGATGTTCTCTAGAGGTCATTGCTGGTTCAAAGGAGATCAAGTGGTTGTATACATAGAAGGACATGCCCACATCGGCGCAAAAACAGACTGCAGACAATGATCAGGCACGGATTGCGGTCGGCAAGGGCCTCGATGTCGGCAGAACGCATGGTTTTCGCGTTTGCCGCTATATTTAAAGGCAACATATTAGCGCGGCTCAACGAACCAGCAAATCTTTACCTCTTGTCTGCCGAGCCTGCGTTATTCGAGTCTTGACCTTTTTGTACCCCATACGCGTCTGGCTTTGACCCCTGTGTGCGAGGTAAAGCAAAGGAATAGCCCCATCGGCGCCTCGGACAGAATGAATAGAAAACGGTCTGAGTGTTCCCTTCATTAAGGCTCCTTCTCTTTACATAAAGGATGCGAAACAAAAATTCAAAAAGACATATCAATGATCAGTCAGCATGGACTGACGGCACGTCTTATTTGAGCGTGGTTTGTGAAGATTCCTTTTCTGATGGTAGAAAACGCCGTTATGCTGGGTATCTTCTCCAAGCGCCATGCAAATGCACAATCTCGACACCATCCCAGATTCAGCTACTCCGAGTCGTACTCCACTAAAGCTGGTGGTCTTGTAACGTCAACGGGATCGTTAGATTTTGAGAATGTTCTTCGGTCCTCAACCTTCCGTTTCCTTTGGATCAGTGGGACCCCACCCAAGGCCTGCACATTGGGTTTGTCCATACTCAAGAACGGGTCCAGGGATACTCTGGTGTTATCAGCCAGCTCCTTGCGTAGAATATCCCTCCTTTTCTCCGCTTCCAATACAGTCTTCGTCGTCTTGATTTTTTTCGCCAAAGGCTTGTCCAATGTTCGGATATCTGCGAAAAGCGGTCTCGACTTGGCCTTGGCGATAGCCCCCTCACCTCCAGCTTCTCCGAATTCCACGAACCCAGCTCTTTTCCTGTCGTCCTCCGTCTCTTCCAGTAGATCCATCCCAAGACTCATCCTATCTTTCAATGATTCTGTTGCCTTCCCATTTTTCTCCCTTTCCTTCCTTCCGACTCTAAAACCCTTCCTCAACCTTTTATTCGCCTCCCCCGGATCATCCCAATCCCTACCCTTAGCATTGTACAGCTCTTCAATCCTGCTCTTGTCACTGACCGTCCTTTGCGTATCCTCCACCTTCCCCTCTAATCTGGCAAATGCATCGCCTTCCAATCTCGCTCTCTCTTCCTCTGTCGTTATCTTGATTTCACCCTCTTGAAATTTATCCTCCCCCGTATCCCTCTTCTTCGCCCCCTCCGTAACCACATAAGCTGTGTTCATCGGATCGGTCCTAATCTCAATCCATCCCCCGCATGCCACATGCTTCATGCGGAAGCTGAAAATTGGCGTAGTATGATAATTGCCCACTTTTTTCTTCTCGGCGTTGAAGCGGACGCCTTGACCGATGATAGTGGGTTTGGGACAGGTGGTGCACCAGATTGGGAAGGGCATTTCGAAACGCACTGTGAGGATGCCTTGATTGGCTTTGCGTGCACGGGAGCCGAGGGCATGCTTGCCGGCGAGCTTGTTGGCGGAGGTAGTGCCCTCGTGCTCTGGCGGGACGTAACGTCCCATATCTGGACAGGTCAGTGGGCCTTGAACGACGTTCGGGATGGGCAGACATACTGAAACCTTGCATTCCGGCAGTGGATGAGACCCAGCGGTCTCAAGAACGGCGAGCACAAGGACTTGCTGTCTCTGCTAAGGCTAGGGCCGAAACATGACAGTGAGGCAAGTGCGGACTTTGCTCTATTTGCGGCGGCCAATCCTCGGGTAAATCCCAACGTCAATCCAAAGAGGTCGCGCCAGACGTGATTGTCCCAAGCTTTCAGTCGTTGCGCCGAAGCTCGGACCTCGATAGCAACACAGGTGCCAGCTTGAAGACACTGGATGTAAGTTAAATTCTCTTACAACTAGATGGTCAGCTATCAAGGCTCACGACATTCACAGCATTGGTCCTAAGATCTCACTCGCAGCAATGTCTACTCCAGAGGAAGAGGAGCCTCCAGGGCGTGAGGGATTCGTTGCTTCGTTGACAAAGTTTGGTGAGGAGAGAGGGTATGTTTCGCTACGATTTACTTATGCTCCTCTCTGAACAGCCGCTGACCTCTGCAATTTCCACAGCATAAACGTAGACCTCCAAGCGCGTGTTAACACTAAGCACATCGACCTCTACAAGCTATGGAATGTGGTCAGATCAAGGGGAGGATATGATGCTGTCAGCGCCGAAAAGTTGGCGTGGAGGAAAGTGGGACTCGATTTCAATCTAGGCACTGCAAACGCAGCAGCGTATGCTTTTGCTCTGAAGACGACATATTACAAAAACCTTGCGTAGGTGTCGCTCTTTGCTGCACCAAAAAAAGCTCACATCTCGCAGGGCTTATGAGATCAAGACCCTGCATGGTCGAGAGCCTCCTCCGATTGAGATCCTCGAGAAGTTGACTGCAAAGGGCGGTGACATCCTTAGCCGTACAGTGGAGAACTTCAGACCTCCCCAGAGATCCAGCCTGATCAACGGCGACAGCGAGTCAGGAGGTGAAGAGTCGAAGACACCAAAAGACGAAAAGATGGACATTGACGAGCCTGGTAGTGTGGGACGGAGTACACGAGGTGAGTTGGTGATGAAGCTCATGGCGCATTGATCCACAGATTTATCAATAGCTCATGCGCATCATTTCAGGTCTTCGCCAAGCTCCACCTCAAAGGATCCCTTTTCAGCCGGATGTGTCATCCTCTAGACAGCTGCGTCACTCCTCCGGCCACGCTCCATCACCACAACCAGCAACCACGGCCCACACCGGCTATAATTACTCCGCATCCTCGAACCCGAACAGCGCCCAATTTGCTATTGCCAACTATGAGCCTCGTCCTCAAATGCCCTTGACTTTACGCCCGATCATGACTCCGAGCTATAACGCTGCCATGTTCGAGGAGCGCCAAAAGTTGGCACGAATGGCAAGGAAAGTCGAATTGGGGCTGATTTCGCCAAGTACTAAGGGCATGATGAAGCCTGGTGGTATGTCTTTCGCCTCCATTACTGTTTACCCTAAGCTGACGAATGGTGAAGCTGGCTTCGATGGTCCAAATATCTACGTCCGAACCCTTCAAGGACTGCGCTCACAGGTTCCTGAAGAACAGGACTACGCCCTGCACCACCTTGTCAAAATCTCTCATGAACGAGGAGACAAGTACAAGTTCGATGCTTTTCCTAATCTGGCCGAGGGTCTCATCGAGTACGTGCTTGGCATCAGCTCTCTTTTCTATGATGTCAAATGGGAGATCTGCTACTCCGACTACGAAGAGGGAATTAACGTCCTCGATGGAATAAGAGGCACCCCAGACATTTTGCAACGCATAAAATCCCTTAAGCGGGTCGACACCTCCGATGAAATGGAGTCGGAGGAATTCGGTCGCAAGCTCACTAAAGTCCTCGAAGCTGGTTTGACAATCAGAAATCTGTCCCTTCTCGAGGACAATGCTGTCTATCTATCGGAGATGCCCCAGCTTAGAGACTTCTTGTCGATAGCGCTCAATCTTCCAAGCTCTCCAGCCATCACAGAGCTGAAGCATTATGCGCTAGACATCTCGGAGCAAGTTACGAAGTATTGGCGGATGGACGCGTCAGACCCGCTGTACCGCTCCCTCCTAAACCAGGTAGATAACGGACACGACCGTGGCGCCATACTCACTGCTCTCCGCGCCATCAGCCGAATATCTATGAACCTTGACGACACGAATCTCCTTAAAGGTGTGCCCGTTTCGGTCATTAAGCGTATCTGCGAATGGACTCTACTGGATGACGAAGACTTTGTCAGTGCTTGCCTTGACTTCCTCTATCAATTCACCGCGGTACCTGAGAACGTCGGGGTCCTTCTGTCAAACTCAAATGAACTTTCCCTCCCATCTTTCCTTGGCCAGCTCACGCGATTACTTCAATACCATGCTCGAACAGAACGTAAGGAAGAAGTGGCCACCAAAGCTATAGCAGCTGCATCCGCAACAGAGATTCCCAACGTTCCTCAAGATCTAATGGACCAATTCCTCAAATCCGAGGAACCGGATCGCTCCAATCACTGGCTCAAAGCAGTGTTTGAGGAAGACGCCGAAAGCGACATTACACAGATAGCATTATGGCAGGCTTACCAAGCTCGGTTCGCAGAATACACATCTCCTACGACTCAGCTTCTACCGGCAGCGGAATTCATTAAGAATGTCAGCACCATCTTCGCTGGCGCCAATGCACAAGTCGTCAACGGCGTCAATCACAAGTTCATCATCAAAGGCATCCGACCTCGTCATGCTCCCATGGATCCGAAAGGTAGAGTGTATAGTCGATGTCTGTGGAAGGGCCCCAGCTCAAAGCCGTGCGCAGACTTCTTCCTGAAGCCAAAATATATGTTTGATCACCTTGTCTACGATCACCTTGGAATGGACCGACGAGCTGACGGCACCTGGGATTTCGAATCTACTACGCGTGCGAGTCAGCGTCCGAACGATTGCTACTGGTCGAATTGCCGACACTTCTCCACCAATGGCAGTAAAGTGCCGTCACCATATCGGCTGGGTATGCACATCAAGACCCACCTTCCAGATGTGTCGAATAAAGCGGTGCTCAGACAAAAAAACAATCGCACTCCCGCCAACCAAACAGCTCTGCCACCAAAGGAGACAAACGGCTACACGGTGTCTACAGGAACCCTGAAGGTTGATTCAGCACAGGGCAGGGAGGCCACTTACAACTGCCAAGTTTTTCAAAACACCGCTATCGATGAGCTTGGGAACGCAGCTGGGCTACCACTCACTAGTGTGCTGGTGTTGCGCAACTTGGCGAGGAACATTCCCAAAGCAGCTGTGCTGCTTGATACAATCAACCGTGACGCCTTTCGTATTGATTGCATGGAAAAGCTGTTTGGACCATTGAAGGATAGGTTGATCTTTGTGGTGGCTTATAACAAGCCTTTGGCTGGATATGTGTCTGATGTGATGGGGTTGCTTGAGAAGGGAAGTACACCTTGAAACAGGTCGACATGACATGGCGTTATGATGGAAAAGTGGTGCATTGATGAGATGTTACAAGATGATTAGGCGTAATCAGAGGATATGATACCACAAGGTGAGAGCATGTCTCATCACTATTGCAATGTTTTCCGCGGGCTTGGCGGGCCTTAAAAGTAAAACTTGCAAAGTCGAACATTCGCTTCTCAAAGAAAACAAATATTGCCATCATAATTACGGGTTGCACATCGCAAAACTGGCGCGTTGCATAGGTCATGGCCTTGGGATTGCTTTGCCACTGAACGGTCTGTAACCCATCTTCACCGGCACAAAGAGTGGCAGCGACCTCAGCGCCCGACATGGCTCCCTCATCAGTGTCCACAGCATCTACTGTATCGCATGGGCCTATTGCCCTACCCCTGTTTAAATTCTCACATTGCACAAGCCCCAATCCACTAGCCAGGATGATCTGGACCCATCTACCGCAGCGGAGCGACATGTTTACCGTATTCGATGTGATCCGAAAAGTTGGGGTCAGCATGGTTGTCTCAGTGACAAAAGTCTTGAAGCTCGTTCAAGGTGGTGAGCTCCTCGTAAGTATCTTTCCACGCACCCAATTGCCTATCGGTCTCTCCTAAATCCACTTTCAAGGAACAAGTCGAATTCCCTGACCTCCAAGACCAAGTTCGAATGGACGAAGAACGCGCTCTGTCCCAGCACATCTCGGACGACCATCTCCGCGTTCTGGTCATCGTCAAGAGACCATTGCTTGCACTACGTTATTCGCTACCTGATGGCCAGATACGCAAGATACAGATGAAATTCCTCCCGTCTTCTGGTTGCGATGTAGCGCTTGAGAATTTCAGAGCGGCTGGCTTGCCTATCAGGGACAAAGATTTGCCCCAGTTGCAAGGCCAGCAGCGTCCGCCGTCATCTCAGTCGCAGCCCCGATCCCAGGAGGGGCCTGATTCTTTGAACGCCGGTCAAGCTATTCACCAGCATTCATCCCAAGGCGTGTTCCCAGCCTCTTCGCAGCCACTTTCACAGGAGCATAATGGGCTTCGGGACGCAGGTTATGGTGGTAGCATACCCCCATCTGCGCAGCTGACAAAGGTCAACATCCGGCCAACGTCTGCTCCTGGCGGTGTGAATCAAGACGAGTTCAGCAGGCCTATCTCAGCTCCATCCTGGTCAAATCTGGATGCCTTTGGGTCTGCTACAACAGTAACCACTGTGCCGACGGTAGCTAAGCCAACAACGCAATCAGGTCTGCTACCAAGTCCGGTCTTCAACAGAACATATGAGCCATCTGGCAGCTTCCAAATTCGACCAATGAGCGCTCCAGAGCAGACACAGACTCAACGAGCTTCCACCAATACACCCACTCTCTCTCAGATGCTGCCACCCGAGCGGACTCTTCCCTTTCCCGAGAAGAGGATACATCCATTCAGGAGAGACGAAGCTGCATCACAGGAGGAGCCATCCCAAAAGAAACTTGCTGCTACCAAGATCAAGGCGAAAAGACAGACAAAGCCTCGAGCTCAGCCGGCCAAACCCAGAAAATCTAGGGCAAAGGTTGGAGCAACAACCCAATTTTCTGATCCATTGGCACTGAACTTACCCTCTCCTGACAGGCGAAAGCTCCTTCACCTAGTGCATCTCCGAGGGTTCCATCCCCAGAATTGCAGGCCGTACCACCGTCATCGGAACCGCCAGCGCTACCAAGCATGAACTCTCGCAAGCGTTCCTTGACAGATCGGTCCCCGAATCAACCCAACAAACGGCAAGCACAGACCAGGACCGAGACCGTGACAGAGACCATAACAGAGGCTCTTACAACTACCATTCCAGAGCAACCACTGCAAACGCAGCCACCCCAGATCACAGATCCAATCATCAACATCAGCAGCCACGGCCTGCTCGACTCCATCGACAACTTTATGCGAAAGTACCATGACCTTCCAGCGCCTAAACCACATCAGACAGCAAAGGAGCAACTAGCCGAGTATGCGGCGCAGAGCGACGAGGACAGGGCGAAAGCTGTCGACAACATGATTTGTGAATACATCAAGAATGAGGATTTTGGAAAGCTAATGGATGATGTTGAGGGATCTTGGAAGAGGATCGGGTTGGGGCTCTGAGGTGGCATGACTATAAAGAGGATCCGAACAAAGGAGGGAGAAATTATTGCTGGGATATAGATGCGGCTTGGCATATCGCTCTTAAAACAGTAAGGAGCTCTGAATTCTGCTGATATCGGCTTTTGGATCTTTGCTGCATCTTCTGCATCTGTGCCAGCTCTGCGCATATACCCGAATTTACGTAGCTTTGCATGATAGCGAATCTTAGCACTAGCACTTAATCGCATAGATGAATCGTACGATTAAATTCTCTAAGCTATGCAATCTCCCCGTTGAAACGCCATCGCTATCCCCAAACTACTCCTCCCCTCCTCACCCCAATGGCTTCACCCCCTTATGCACACACGCAATCCCGCCCATTAAATCCTCCCACCCTTTACCCTCCTCTCCACCGGGCAACAGAAATCCCGCCTCCTCAATCATACCCTTCCACTCCTCCTGCCCTGGAAACCTTTCAATACTCTCCACCAAGTACTGATAACTCTCGCGATCCCCTGCCACCAACTGCCCAATCAGCGGGATAGCACCGAAACTCCACCTCTTATAAACCGCCTCAAAAAGCCGATTATTCACCTTGCTGAATTCCAAACATGCGAAGACACCACCGGGTTTCAAGACGCGGAAAGCTTCGCGCAGGGCGAGGGCTTTGGAGGTGAAGTTGCGGATGCCAAAGGCGACGGTGTAGAGGTCGATGCTGTTATCGGAGATTGTGTGCAGGTTTTCGGCATTGGCTTCGAGCCAGCTGAGGCGGCCAGAGTGGTCGTGTCCGCCTTCTCTCGCGCGCCGTTTGCCTTCGGCCAGCATGTCTGGATTGATATCGCTGACGATAATCTTCGAAGCATGGTCTTTATTAACAACAGTACAATGCTCCAGCATCCTGAAGGCTATGTCCCCGGTTCCACCCGCAATGTCTAAAATTGTTTGGCCCCTCCCTTTTCCCTCCTCACAATCTCGTGTACCAGGGTTTATAGACCGCACGAAATAATCTTTCCAGAGTCTATGGGTACCGAGGGACATGAGATCATTCATGGTGTCGTAGGAGGAGGCGACGGACGTGAAAACGTTAGCGACACGTGATTGTTTTGAGGACGAGGGGACGGTTTGGAAGCCGAAGTGTGTAGTCGGTGTTGGGCCAGAGTGGTTTGCGGGCTCTTGGGATTGGGCGAGATAGCGGCAGCAGGAGAGGCAGCGGTAAGGAGGCTGAGGGTTGAGAAGGCGGTGGGTTAGGCGGGTGGAAGTACGGGATAGGGTTGGGGCCGACATGGTGGGTTGCGATTGAGGATTTTTTGCGAGGTGCTTGATAGAATTAGCCTATGTATGCATGATCCACAAACGGAAGGCTGATGCCAAGCTTTGATATGACGCTAGGAGACGGATAGATCCGCGATCAGCTTGTGGAGAAGCCGACGCCAACCGGTTTCAGTTCTCCGACTCCATCGCGGACAGCTGACCAAAAAAGGAGGAAATCTACTGTAGCTGTACTCTCACTACAAACATGATTGATCGATAGACAGTATCATGTCTCCAAGCCTTTCAAAAGCCACAATGCTGCTCCGCAATCCATTGAGAGCACAGATACTGCAGCGTGTCCCCAGAAGGCAGACAAGATGGAGCTCTTTGTCTCAAAGACCAGGCTCGGATCGGTATGACACTTGCAATAATTTCAGACGCATTGACTAAATATTGCGTAGAGTCCACTTCCCTGGTGCCGTCAGCAGCAAATTCACGACCAAGCTCTCCTTTGAGCACCCCTCCACACATCCCGCAATGCCTACCTACAGAGTCATGGACTCGGACGGCGTGGTGGTAGATGAATCTCGAAAACCTTCAGGGATTAGCAACGAGGAGATCGTGACCTGGTATCGAAACATGTTGACGGGTATGAGCTTCTGAAAGCATCGAGGCAATCGGCAGAGCGGAGTTTCTGACGGGGTAGCGTTAGCGTTTTAGTTAGCATTATGGATCTCATCATGTTTGATGCGCAAAGGCAAGGGAGATTGAGCTTCTATATGGTAGGATGTTTCAGTTTTCTGATGCAGTTTCGATGCTAAGCGGATTCAGGTGTCAGCAGGCGAAGAAGGCATCGCGATTGGATCAGCTTCTGCTCTAGTCCCAGAAGACGTCATATTCTGTCAATATAGAGAAACTGGCGTCTTCAAACAACGTGGCTTCGCGCTTTCTGACTTTATGAATCAGCTCTTCGCTAATTGCAAAGACGCTGGCAAAGGCCGCAATATGCCTGTCCATTATGGCAGTGGCAAGCTCAATATCGTGCGATGGCCCTTCTAGTTGAGATCAGAGCAACACTGACGCGGCCTTAGCATACTATATCTTCACCCTTAGCAACCCAGATTCCCCAAGCAGCTGGTGCAGCCTATGCCCTCAAAATCCAAGCCCTGCAAAACCCCGATGTACCTCCTCGAGTCGTAGCGTGCTACTTTGGCGAAGGGGCTGCCAGTGAAGGTGATTTTCACGCCGCGCTCAACATAGCAGCAACGCGATCCTGCCCGGTTGTCTTCATCTGCCGCAATAACGGATACGCGATCTCAACTTCAACGCTGGAGCAGTATCGTGGCGATGGTATTGCGAGCCGCGGTATAGGATACGGTATTGACACTATTCGCGTTGATGGAAACGACATCTTCGCGGTTCGAGAGGTCACTAAGGAAGCGCGGCGTATGGCGCTGGAAGACGGCGGCAAGCCTGTGCTTATAGAAGCGATGAGCTACCGCGTCTCACACCACAGCACCAGTGACGACAGTTTCGCTTACCGAGCCAAAGTAGAAGTCGAAGACTGGAAACGGCGAGACAACCCCATCACAAGGCTACGCAAGTGGATGCAGCACCAAGGCATGTGGGACGAGGAGAAAGAAAAGGAGGCGAGGAGCCAGATTAGGAAAGATGTGCTGAAGGCTTTCGCGGAAGCTGAGAAGGAAAAGAAGGGGCCGCTGAGGGATATGTTTACCGACGTGTATGAAGACTTGACTGAGGAAAGTAGGGGACATATGAAGGAACTGGGGAGGCTTTTGGATGATTATCCAGAGGAGTATGATGTAAATGAGTTCGAAGGTGGTAGGAAAGGATTATCCGAGCCGTGAAACTAAAGTGTACCTGACATTGCTGTTCTCCGACCTGATGTGATGCGCGCTGAGCTCTCTTGAGGGCGGATAATGCTCTGAGCCTAGCCACTTCCTGATCAAGGCAGACAAAAGAGCAAGAAAGCGTATACAGAGCAGCGTGAAGACAAGAGAAGGATAAGAACAAACAGAGAATGTCAGTAGTACATTGTTGCCTGACACTTATTCCGATACGACCACTCCTCAACACTTGATTCCAAGTCACTCCGTTGGATATTGAATTAGTATACACTTTCCGTCCTCCCGGGGGGACCTAGTTTGAGCTGCGGGATGAGTGGTGCGCCCATCGTCCCTGTGTTCTAGCTTGAGGGGAACCGATTGGTGGAAAAGGAGAAGGGTTCGAGGGTAGTGGAAAAGTTGGCCGGGGCTGCGGTTCGCTTGTTTCACGGATTGCCTTTGGGTTTCTACGGACTTTCCTTCACAGTAAAATCCTTTGCGGGGTTTTCGTAGGCCCTGCGCCGTTCGCGGATGAGGGCGTGAGTGTGCATGGTGGGTTTGGGCTTGGTGATGGTAGGGTTGTGTGTAGTTGACTTTGAAAAGGTGGTCTTGCTGGTGGTAAGTGGTATGGTATTTTGAACGGCTGAGAGAACAGAGTAACGGCTTGGGCCTATAAGGAGACATCGGAGAGTAAAAGCGTTATATGATCACATGCTAGAAGATGGGTGGCATCTTTGTGTCTTCTCAATTTTTGCTTTTCGCTTCATGTTGATCAACATAAGTAAGTTTGTTGTTCAATTCGCTTTGGGATCACAAGAGGATCTATTGTGACGATAGAGTAATACCGCTTGGGAAACAGAAGAACAACCCAATCTCAATTCATCAAAACTTTTGCTTCTTTGTTCTCTGGCATGTAGAGAGGAGCCAGCATGGATGACTGCTTTCGCAATTTTGTCGATAGAGCCAAAGTGGCCCAGTTCAATTCTTCTTTGGCTATCCAATTCCATCACCAGCGATTGAAAGAGACGTTGCGCAAGCCACTGTTGTTCATACTGGTAGAAAATTTCTTTTGATTTGGAGTTGGACGAAGTCGCGCTTTGTTGTGACACAGTACCTGGTACCTCGATCCCTCCTTCAGCATCAGACCCCCTATGCATCCACCTTCTCAAATGCCTTCACTCAACCTTTTAGTATATCTTGGTGTAGCTTGTTATTCCTGCCGAAAGTGCCGGTTTGCAGTACGCACCTCTTTGTCCTCTGAATCAGACACAACTGCACTGCTGTTTGCGGCAATAGAAGAAAGAGCATCGACTAGCTTTGAAGTCAGCAATGCCCCCAATGCGGTCATTGCCGGTCAAGGTCTTCCCCTTCTTGTTGGGGAAGATTGCTCAGGGTGAGAGACTCCATCTTGCACACTTTCGGCATACCCCCAGCAGCCAACTACTGCGAGATAGCAATGGCACCTAAGAAGAAAGCCGGCAAGGAGCCCACAGGCGAAGGTACCCCTGCGGCTAAGAAGCCAGCACAGAAGAAACCGACGCAAGTGGGCAAGAAATCCGGCGGTGCAGCCAAGAAGCCACCTCCAAAGAAGCCAGTGGGCAAAACCCCTGCTACGATCAAGAAGGAAACAAAGAAGAGATCCACCAAAGCCACAGGCAAGGCGGACACTGTGATCAAGGATGAAGAGATGCCTGACAAACCTGCTGGCAACACGCGCTCTGCGACCAAGAAAGGACTGAAGGGTGGACCCACCAAACCCGCGGGCAAGGCAGTCACCGCCACTGCCACTACCAAGAAACCTAAAAGGAAACCCCCCAAACCTGCAAGCAGGACCAGAGCTGCGACCGAAGAGCCAATCGCAGAGCCGGTCGATATCCCAAGCGAGGAGGACACACCAGCAGCGAGCCCGAAACGCAAGCGAAAAACCGAAGACACATGGACTGAAACCACCGACTTACCAGTCCCTAAATCGCCAAAACTAGATGAAGGTAGGTGCCTGTTGATGTCCACAAGCTGTAAGAAGCAACAGGAAGCAGTAGCAATTTCTGGCTGTGTGTATCGCTTTGAAAACCAGCCCCCGTGGTCAAGTTGATATGTCAATGCCGAAAGCTGCTTATTGAAGACTGGGTCTAGGCAGTAACGAGTAGGGACGATGGCTAACATTGCTCCAGGATCCTCTCTTAGCTCATCTAGGAAAAGCAGGGACATCTGGACGCTAGAGGAATTTGCTTCGGAGGGATGGGATACCGAGGACTTTGACAGCGAAATCTGTTGCATTCACACAGTAGACCTCTCCCGAATTCCATCTCCATTCGCCAACCTGGCAGATCGCACGGGAAGATTCATGCATATTATTGATAACCACACGCACCCAAGGGTGCGTCTTTTTTCCCACAGTATCCACAGCGAGGATACCGCGTCGCTTCTCCATAAGCTCCATGGACGTCTTGATGGAGCTTTCGGTGCGCTTTATAGCGAAACATCACGCCAGGAGTTCTTTACAGTGCGGTCGGACAGGCCCGAATTCTCGCTCGAGGTGAGAAAGGGAGATGCAACAATTGCGGGCATCTCTTTCGATATCCATATTCGCAAGAATGCCAGGACGGGCGAGATAGGCTATTTCGTTGTCAACAAAGAGTGGAATCATTTCCTCGTCAACGAGAAACAGATAGGCGCGAAGCTTGCGGCCGGACCTCTTCCTGACTTTGCAGTTATCCAGATTGATCGCTGGGTCATATTCTGGTGGCGTACACAAGCGGCCATGGACTATATACCAGAGGCGATGTCGCAGGTAAGCTCAATACAGAGTAAGTCCATGACCATCCAGTTGACGTGTTTTCCCAGGTGGCAAAAGAGGTAGAAGAAGGGGGGGCAACCAAGGAGCCATCACGTCCCCCTCCCAATGGCAAAGAACGAGAGGATACTACTGAAACGCCATCACCTCCCCCTTCCCGCGGCAAAAAAGGAGGTGATACTGCTAAGGAGCCACCACAGCCCTCAACGAGTGGCAGAGAGGGAGGAGAGACTGTTGGGGACCCACTGGGCGTGCTGACAGGTTGGGAAGAAGTCTTTCACTGGCGCCGAGTGGCTCACCAAGAGCAACAAGCCGCAGCCGGTGATGGCCATGCGTACTACCAAATCGACTCATCCTCAGGCATGACCATTGATGACGTCTTGTTCGCAGTGGCGACAGTTTGGGAGCCGCTCAGGAATCGAGGTACGCACTTTGCGTTTGCCGGCCTCGATGTCTTCGATCACTCTGTTCAACAAATGGATACACCGAATCGACTGCAAGGCTCTGGCGTGGTTGGCGGAGGAGATATATTTATCATGCCGCTATTGTTGTCTCCACCTGATACAGAGGACGTTGAGGAAGAATACACGGAAAGCCTGGAGAAAAAGGAACAAGAGACGAATGCAAAAGGGAAGGTGAAGAAAGGCAAGACCAAAGCCAGCGCCGAAGAACCATCCTTTGAACTTGGCCATTTCCTGCTTGCCGTAGCCGAAAAAGACTCCACGAAATCGAAGAAGGTCAATATAACGATATTTGACAGTCGAATTATCACCTTGGATAAAGATGTGATCCGTGGGAGAGCAACAGAACTTGCCTGTACTTGGCTGGGTACAAAAGTAGAAACTGAATTTGTTTTCAGAAAAGTTCCACAGCAAATAGGCAATTCCAACGCTTGTGGACTCTATGTGATCCTCAATGCATGGGCGATCATGCTCGACATTGGGCCAATAATCGAGAGGTCAAGCCGCCGCAAAGGATGTGGGACCGACACTGGATTCCTAAATTTTGGTCTAAATGTGGTCAATTTGGCTCTGGCCGGTTTTATGGACTCCAGGACAATTCGGGCGTTTCTGAATTGCTACGGCTACACGAAGGTGGAAGAGCCTCTCGATCAAGGAGACGCTATGAACAATACTGTCAAAGCGGTCAGGATGGATTCGGAGCGGTTGGAGCGCGCACTGCAGGCTGCTGAACTGCGTTCGCCATCGTCCTCAATAGCCTCCGCACATAGCCCCGGGTCTACTAACCTCAAAAAGGCTGTCTCTGAAAGTAAGCTTCAACAATTCATGAACCTGGCCCCTGATGCAACACTGGAGCAGGCAGAATCGTTTCTTGCGACTGCAACGGGAGACGTCGATAAGGCTCTCATGGACTTTACGAAGTATGAATCATCAAAGCCGGACGGGTCCGCTGGAGCAGAGGCCAGCTAGGGATGATCGTGGGGCTTTGGCTGTGAGAAGGTTGGCGTCGCGGTGTTGAAAGTCTGCCGGACCTTGGGATAAGGCTCCTTTTCGCATACATGTAATCAATGAAAGTTTCTCCTTTTCCGTTTAAGCCCACACGCAGAATCTGCGCTTTTGATATAGTCTTTGAATGTCCTTTCAGTGTCTAGGAGTGGGGAAACTGCCTTTTGGACATGGTGGGATACTTGTATCGCCTGCTGAAAATGTAGCAGTCGGCTAGGGACGCTGAGAAGACCTTGAGACATACCAAAATCCGAGGCCCACAGACCACATTGGGTAAGAAAGATGAAGGTCGTCGGAGGAGGCTTATAGCTATTTGCGACTGTCGGCCCGTTCAATGTTTCGCTATTGTAGGCGCCGCCGAATGAGGATTTAGTTTGGGCAAGGAGTTTAGTAACACTACCAGATGGTCTTATTTGTTTCATCATGGACCTGGCCGAAAGGTCAGCACAAAGTGTTTGACCCGGAATCATGACCCAGTACAATCCTTGCTGGGTTTTCGTAGGGCGAGGCATCAGAACTGCTATTCTCATCAACCAACCAGGCCAAATAAAGCGCGGGACACATTAGATCACTCGAAAAGGGCATCTAGGCATACAAAACAGAATGATTGACGCAAAACGTCATACTCGCAATGCATAGAGATACGACAAATCAATGTTTACCCAAGGCGTTCGTACGGCTCAGGCAACAACAATGGATTGGGAGGCGCTATGCAATGCACGACTCAACAGCGCCACCACACGAATGGCACGGTATGATCGCAGTGCACCCGGTAAGGATCAAGCATGCCACTCCCAAACACTGAGGACCAGATCATTTAATCTTCTTCGCCTTCAGCTTGATAGTCTCCCCATTCACGAAGATGCCCTTTCCTTTGTACGGCTCTGGTACCCTCCACTTCCTGATCTTCGCTGCGAACTGATTCACCACCTCTTTCTCCACCCCTTCCAACAGTATGCGCGTAGGCTGAGGTGTGCTAGCTTTCATACCGAGTGGAACACCGAGTTCGATAGGATGCGAATAGCCGACCTTCAAAGAAACGAAGAGCTGTCCAGGATATTCAGGCTGCACGGAGACTGCTGATGGTTCCACTGTTGCTCTGTAGCCAACCCCAACAAGCCGCAGAATAGCAGTATGGCCTTCTGATACCCCAAGTATGTGATTATTCAGGTATGCACGGGTTGTACCTGTAGAATGTCAGGAACCTGCAGAGAGGCCCATGAATGGCGTAGCAAAAGCCGACATACCCCACATCTCACGTTGCTTGCGTTGCTCCCTATCAAGTATCCTCAAAGAAGCTTTCCTTGTCTCTTTGTCGTGGTCAAGACTCATGTAGGGTGGGAGCTGCACGGACATCTTGCCTGCGCGCAAGTCAGTAGAGGGTCCTCCATCCGGGCTCAATTCGACGAACCTAAGGGGCCGATAATCTCCACCGTCTTCGGCAGCTCAGTCATAGTAACATCCTGTCTTCGTCTCGCAGGAACTTCAAGAAATCTGATATCGACTCCTTGGGGAAGTGACAAAGGCGCACTGCCAATTCGAGATGTGCATCTTGGAGTGCTAGAAAATAGTCTCGATGTAGATGCGGATGACAGAGCAGGGACGAGGAAATCTGGCAGCAGTATCGAAACATTCCTAGAGCTTGCCCGCAGGCAATTGGATCTTAGTATCATGACGTGATCATGTGGCTGCTGTAGTCATGGTGCTCGAATCTGAATGGAAGAAGTGAAGTAATAATTGCCAAGCCGCGCTAAGCGCAGCTCACTTCGTGCCAAAGTTGCAACTTCCTCATTTTGATCTACTTCCCTTTCTTAAGCATGCACTCTTTGGCGTTGATGGGTCAGTCCTGACCGGGGCTATTGGAGACTCATCACTGGAAATACGTGTGCATCGGCTTGGCTGTGCGCATTGTCTCTGTTGCTAAAATCTGGTGGGAACACCCAAAGCCCGGAGACAGACTTTCTACCATTGAGATAAATCACTTTGAGGACACTCGAAGGTGAATGCAGTATCCACACCGATGTAAGGGAAGACAACGGGAGTGAAGACACCTTCCCGCTTCCATCTTCGTTCATCTACGGATCCTCCATCTTCCTGTTCGGCTTCTTCGTGTGCATCTTCTCATCCTTTACACTTCCTTGACCGAAGACGTAGTCTGCAGCGATGGCGTCTACTTTGAAATGCAATTGCTGTTTGGCAATTGTCGTTGTCCTTCTGCTTCTTCTTCCTCGTTCAAAGGCCTTCGGATTTTCGAAGTCGAGGACCAGAGGTAAGTGCTTCATCCATTGAGCCGGAGTCAAGGCTAGCTACTGCTGGCTACTAGTAACTAACAGGCTACCAGTTGACTCGGCCAGTAAAGAACGTCGCCCATTTGCTCCGGATCAAGACCTCACAGCCCTCATCAGACATGAGCCTGTTGATCAGACCGGCATCTACACACACGCACTTCAGCTCCTCTCCTCGATGCAAAGTTCACCATCCTGCAACCGGCTTGCCGCATCTACATTGCTTGATTCATGTCATACCATTGATGATTGGAATCGGAATGCAGAAGACTCCCTTGAGGACATAAGATCGGTCTATGCCGCCCAATTGGCCATGTGCGAGATTGTGAGTGCTGGGTCAGCAGTCCCTCAGGCATGCAGATCGCTGGACGTTTCACGAGGAACAAATGTCCAGCAGACCAGCGGCTTCAAAAGCATTCGCAGTGATCAATTGGGCCTTTGCTTGCAGGCATTGGAATCAAAGCCCCAATGGTGGACAAGCTACAGCAACAGCAAGCAAAATGCAATGGTGATGTGTCAGGCCGCTCGTGTGGACATCGAGAAAGGTAGGCGCCCTCACCTCGATATCTGAGTACCACTGACCTGGTTCTAGATGAGCTCATTAAGCTGCATAAGTCAGCCGTGGAAATCAATGCGGATGCCAACGCTGCTTTGTTGAGAACTGCGAAAGAAGTCAATGATGGGTTGAATCAGCTTCAGAGTAACTTTGCGCTCGCCAAGCAGATGTTTCAGGACCAATTGATGCATGACATCGAAGTTTCATCCACCAAAACGGAGTCTTTCTTCGAGAAGCTGGTTAAAGGCATGGACACTGCTGTACAATCAACCCTCAGCAAGATGGCATCGACAGTGAGAGCCATGGATTTGAATGCGGCTAGTTTGAGCGAAGTGAGTCAGTATGGGAGAGGCAGATGTACGCCAAAGCGCCCTCACATCTGACTGACTTGCGACAGAATGTCCACAAAGCCAATGTCGATTCCGCGAACCTAGAGAAAAATATTGGAAGAGTCTTTCAACAGGTGGTAACGGGCAGCGCAGAGCTGGCTGCGACTCAGACCGAACAATGGGATCTCAGCCGTGTGCTGGCGGTGGAACTGCAGAGCTCTTTACAAAAATTGAAAGAAGGAGAGATCGGTCTATTGCTTGATGCGTTAGTGAGTATGCAGGGCCAATTAGTGAGTGAACCAAGGTCAGACTCCTGAGCGTGTCACCCCTGACACGTTCCAGCAAACCAGCAATGAGCTGGTGACCTTCATGTACCTGAGGCAGAATGAGCTCTACGAGGTAAACATCCTACCTGGCGAATCTTCCACCTTTGACTGACGGTCTCATAGCGCGTGCAAGATCTCGACCACTCGTTCACCGGACTCGAATCGAAAGCAGAGACACTTCATGCAGCTCAGACACGCCAGGCGGAGATGCAGGCGCATTTGCACAACCAAACGCGAATTGAGATGCTGGCTTCTCAGAGCTTGATTGTCAACGTAACTTCAAGTGCACGTGGTCTCCATGAAGCAGTAGATGATGCTGCCGCAAAAATAGCGAAGATGGCTTGGTTTGGCGCACTTCCCGGAGAACTTTTCAGACTGGGTTGGTTGGTGCTCGCAGTCGCTGTGCTGCACTGGTACAGTCCCAACCACGCGAAGTTCGTAGCGACAGTCATTGGTGAGTTCCCAGAGACCATGAAAGACTCAATGCTGATCAGAAGCCACAGGATTCATGATACTTGTGCACGCCTCTGGTATACTGAGCGACCTCAAGTCAATCCCTTCGGACTTGACATTCATCCACCATGCTTCGGGCTACAAAGTCCGTCTGTGGCTACTCATCAGACTTGCTGCAACGCTAGGTGTTATCGCCATAATCGCTGCTATTATCTACCAGCACACGAACGTTTTCAGAGCTTTGCGCTCCTCCATCGTTAGGAATAAGCCTTCTGACCTGGCGTTCATAGGATTGGAAGTTTCTGAGAGGCAGCACCGTCAGTGGAGCATCTAGACTGTCCAGTATTCTGACATTGTGGCATGCTAGAGGAAAAGAATAAAGGGCACAGCAGCATTAATTCGGGTCCTGGAAGGGTAATACAGGATCTGTCGAGGTTGGACCAAAATGCAGAGGCTACTTCACTATTACACCATCGGCAATGTTCAGCATCACTTCGATCTCTTAGCGAAGCATCTAGGATCTTATCGGGGTTGATCAGCATACACAGGACCGGCAGCATCTAATCGCTTCTACCAACTAAGTGCTCCATGGTTTACGAATTACGACAGCATTCACGACAGCATTCTGTCTTTGGCACCAGCAATATGCATATCCGGACACGGCATTCTACGGCTTCCGAAAACATCTTACGGCTGATGAGGGCAGGAAGATCTGGCCGGACTGGCACCCATTCTGGCTTGCGAGGGCGGTGGAAAATCTGCATCGGCATGCATTGTTCGCTTGCGTATTTTATTTGTGCTAGATACCCCATATGCGTAGCAAAGCAAAGCAATCTCGAAGCCTCACGTCTCACCATCGGCTTCGTTCGCAGTGAAATAACGCATAGATAAAGCATTGTCCCATGCAAGGTAGTTTCGTGCCTTCGGAGCCTGTGCCCGACTCGCGGCATCGGGACTCACTGAAGCATGAACGGACAGCCAACAGATAAGAACGTAGACGGGGGGCCAAATATCCCGGGCGAATCTCCGATTGAGCGCTCAGATGGGTCAGAAAGAGAGTAGAGTAGAGTAGACGGGTAGGCCGTGTCGGAAAAAAGGGCCGCACGACGAACGAACGACTTCCGACCTCAGGTCCGAAACTGCAGAGCTTTTTTGAAAAAAGTCCAGCCGGTGCTAAAGCCGGATGGATCTATTGGCGACTAGTGATGCCGTCATCTGTTCACGGGAGTATGTATGTATGTATGTATGAATGTATGTATGCGGCACGATAATTCGAAAATTAATGCACTGCGCGTGCGTGCGTGCGTGCGGAACGCCCCCAATGCGGCCTGCGTGACGGTATGCACCATGCGTGCGGAAACACCCCGATGCGGCATGTTTGACGGTATGCACCATGCGTGCAAAAACGCCAACCGCCAATCCACAGCCCGGCTAGTTCCTGAGGGCCTCGATGTCCACGACCTCCTTGACGGCCTCGGTGGTCAGCACGAGCGGGTGCTCTTCCTGCACGCACACGCTGTCTTCGATGCGGATGCCCATGCCGCGGAAAGGGGCCGGGTACGCTTCCGTGTTGGGGATGTAGAGGCCACTTTTGACGGGAAATTCGTCAGCCGGGGGTTGCGGGGATGGAAAGGGGGGGGGGGGACGGAGCTTACGGCTCGATGGTGACGCACTGCCTCGACTGCAGCTTCGTTTTTCGAGACTGGCCGGGAGTATCGTGGACGTCTAGGCCGATGTAGTGGCCTAGATGGTGGGGGAAGAGCGCGTCGAGAGCCTGATCGATAGGACGTCGCGTTAGCACTGGAAGGATTCTTGGAGACTTCATACGTAGGATGCATACGTTGCCGGACGTGTCAAAGCCCAGCTGCTTTAATTGATCTGTCAAAGTTGTCCCTGCAATGTTGTGCAACTCATCGAGGGAGACATTGGCGTTGGCGCGGCAGAGGGAGATGCACTGGCGCTGCGTGGTGAGGACGGCGTTGTAGAGGTCTTTTTGGGCGGGAGTGAAGGTGCCTGATACGGGCCATGTCCGTGTGATGTCTGTTATATAGCCGCCACATTCCTGGAGAGAGTTCAGGAAAGTTGGTATCAGTCAGTGAAGATGGAGAAGCCTACGCCACCTGCGTCTACTAGCACCATCTGGCCATCTCTGGACGAGAGTCAGCGTCGATGATGAGTGAGTAGGTACGGGGGGTTTACTTCAGGAGATGATCGTTCTGGGTGTAGTGAATAATGCTGGCGTTCTGGCGAGATCAGCGGCACAGTCAATGAACCAGCACGGGATGAATCTAACCTGACCACCTGCTACCACCGGTATGTAAGCCGAGCAGTCACACCCTCGCGTCCTGAATTGATAATCCAGATATGCAGCCAAGTCCTTCTCCTTCTTCCATGCTCGCCGCATGGCATCTGTGTATGCTCTTCCTGACGCTTGGCCCGCCTTCCGCATGTTCGCAATCTCGGCATCGCTCTTGAGGTTTCGGAATCCATTGAGAACGTCCTTCAGCGGCAGCGTGTTGCTAGACTTAGACTTGAGGACCTTTGCGAGACCTTCGGCTTTCGGCGATTGGTCATAGAGGAAACGGGAGAAAAAGGACTTATTCTTTGGCTCGGAGATGAGGTCGGTGTAGATCTTTGATGCTTCTTGGACAATGGGCGCCAGGAGGCTCGAGATTTGGTTGATGTCCCCGGTCTTTGAGCATTTTCAGCAACATTTCTTGTTCCCACTGCTTCCTTTCCATACCTCATCTGCATTGAAGACATCCAGGGCTGCCCGTGTCCCTGATCTCACACCATCCCATTGCTCGGCCTTTGCATCCTTCTCCCGCACGAAAAGGTGAAACGTGTGGTCATCCCCGTCAATGCTCTTCCCTGCTTGCGGTAAACACCCTATTCGTCTATACGTCCGTTCCCAGCCTACCTATAACTGCAACAGCTTCCGGTTCGTTGAAGCCTGTTTTCCTCAGCACTTGCCTTCCACCGCAATCAAGATTCTTACCCGTTAGATAGAAGAAGTTAGAGTCCTGATGAAACTCGTGGAAGACCGCGCCAGATCTGTACTTAATCTCCGAGGCAGCCAGGATGGCAATGGCATTCTTCGGAAGGTTTGCGGCAAGCTTTGAGCGGCGTTGGGCATATTCAAGTGCTGTGATTCCAGGAGTGACTGGGTAGAGATGGTGTTAGCCATGTCTGATGTAATAATGGTGCCTAAGCTTACGCTCTCCAGCTTTTAATAGATGTGGATGGGTCTCATGAAGAGGTTGACCGAATCGGAGCTCGACGGCGGAGACAGATGCATACCGTCGAAGCAGGGTAGACCATCTCGGTTGAAGCAGAAGCCGTCTCGTAATAGAAACCGCAAATGGCAAAAATGTTGGTGGCCTTGTACACTTGTTCAAGGTGTGAGCGCATGGGTGCATGCTTGACGGTTGTGTGTCGGAAGCATATGAATGATGGATATGAAGGTCAATTGGTAGAGCTTGACCGAGAGCCCCTATGAGGTTTAGGCTGAGCGTTTGGCTTTAGTCTCGGGTTCCCTCGGGGTGCGCGGAAATAGTTAATTAAAAGCGATAAAAATAAAACAAGGGAAAAGAGGGAAAAGGGAAAAGAGAAGAAAAAAAAGGTTCGGCAGGGTCCAAGGATTGATCCGGGGTGAGGGCTGAAAGGCTAAAGGCTAAAGGCTTTGCATATGTACTGCCATACTGTACCCTTATGCGGGCTGACAGCTCGGTACATAACCCGATATCCGCATAATCGATATCCGCTTCTTTTCAATATCCCCCCACATATGCATACGCATATGCACATGTCGCAAGCCTGCAAGCGCCATTCCACCTCGGATGAGATTAAGCATACTGTATACTGTAAGCCTGTAAATCGCTGTCCTCTGGGGCCCTGCTCTATCCATGTGTCCCCTATCTAACCCTAACCCTAACCCTAACCCCCCGCCCCCCCAAACTCCACAATAAATGCCTTTCGGCGGCCCTCCCCGGGGCCGACTGCGGCCGAGCTCTTCCCTCCCAACCTCGCTGGATTTTGTTCATCAGTAGAGATTCGAAAAGCATATGTTCAGTATATACACTGATGTGATCCCGGACGAGCTCGGTGCATGAAGTATGCCGAGGGGTCCCGTACACCCCTGCCGAGTCGCATCCACTCAGCATGTGCTCACCCACACCGGACGTTTACCCACCCCTACCGAGCTGCGATCCGCCCCAGGATCCTTAAAAAAACGTGGTAGGTACGCCGGATGGCTTTTTGTGCTGCCAGAGCAAGATGTCAAAATCACAGTGTGGCTGAAAGCTAGCTTGCTGCACTGGTGCTGGAGTTGACGGGATGCTTCATACATCTTGTTTGTCAGATATCAGTGCGAATGAGTGCGAGGGTGGACGGAACAGAAACAGAAATAGAAACGAACCGGGAGGGAGAAGGATGTAGATAAAATGTTTCTAATCGCAGCTATTTCCTCTATAGAGACAACCTTCTCGTCAAAAGGAATAGAGGTATCGTTGGTGAGCAAAAGTTCTTCCGATCTAACCATTCCCAAGCCCTGAAATCGCCTGCAATGCTTCCTCCCAGGTAGTCTAGTTATAAGTGAACGCTGCCAGTCCTCAGATACAAAGCTATGGTCAAGGTATGCTCACAGCATCCAAGACCAGAGCATCCATCCCCCTATCGCCGCTTCAAACAAACCCCAGCAACATACGATACCCTCCACCCCTTTGAGTGACACCGCATTGCTTTTCACTGGTACCGTATTGCCTTTTGCTGGTACCGTACTGCTTTTTGCCGTTGCTGTACTGCTTTTTGTTGATGCCGTACTGCTTTTTGTTGGCGCCGTACTGCTTTTTGTTGGCGTCGCAGTGCTTTTTGCTGGTGGCACCAAAGTTGTCTGAACGGTCAGGTCGATGCCGCTCGCCTCAAACGTTACATTCTTTCCATCCGTATGGAAAGCCTCGGTGCCAAATTGCGCAGTGCCAAGATAGGTTGAGTTAGCCATTTTGCCCCCATCCATGAGGTACTGGAAGAGCGGCAGAACATTCAGCTGCGAAAAGGACGTCATGTTCTTCGGAGCAACAAAGCTGAAAACCTCCTGGCCGGGTTGATTGTCCATCCCATCCACTTGGGTGTTTTGCCCAGCGAAAAGGGTGCTGAGGGAACGCAAAGGTGTTAGCGAGATGGTTCCAAAATGGAACAAGTGGGAGAATGAGTGCTTATTGAGGAGTCCATGACTTACTAGTTCTTACCATCTAGAATGGCACTACCAGCTGAGCCGCTCGCGTACCCTATGGGCTCCGTCTCGTCTAGGGCGGCAAACCAGATCATGACTTCAAACTTTGGATTCGTAACGTTGGTGGACTGATTCTTGTCAGGATCGAGGAAAAAGTCCAGAGTCACGTCGGCCTTTGCACCAATGGCGTCTAAGCCGTCGATATCAAAAGTGTTTGGATTTCCGGTCCCGCTCGGGTACATGGCCCAGTTTGCGCTGACTGTAATCCCTGAAATGTTCGAAAGCATCACAGGGAGGACGGCCGATCTCGACTTGACATTGGCATAAGAGTGCACACGTGTATCTGAGGCATAAGTATCATTTGCCCCCCAAATCCAGGTGGTCGAGAAGGCAGTTCCATCCTTTTCATCTTTTACCTACGAGACCTTAGAGATTCCCTTTGATAAGACCTGGGCTGGAAAGATGATACCGTTGTGCACTGCGATCCTGAATCGTCGGCACCCCAGGCGTCGTTTTGGACTATGGGTTCTTATTAGATTGTGTCTGGTAGTGTTGGAAGCGCAGACTTTGGACTTGCTCATGTACTGTCCTGAAGTACTGGTCAAATTCTGATACTGGCCACACAAGACGGCTTGCGCGGCCGTTAGTTGTACTGATGAAGTAAAAGCGACGACGAGAAAGATGACATTGTAGAGAGAGCTCTTTACTAAAGACATATCTAGAGAAACGTTGAGAGATCTGAAAAGTAAAATTACAAGATGACACGAAGGGTGTCCCTTGGCAGAGGGAGCAGTTTGAATGATGGATCTTAATCAGTACGGGAGGTAGAAAATTCTATAGCCTTCTGCGAGACGCCGTCGTTGTATCCCCATCGTGGGAAGATGGGTGGTCAATGATAAAATCCAGTATCGCATCTGGAAAGCAAGATAGTGCACTGTCATGCACTATCATGCACTATCATGCACCCTCATGCACCCTCATGCACCAACACGATAGTGATTAGTGACCACATCTCGCATCTAGAAACCCTAATCCGAGCATTGCCGTGCATAGTAGTGGGTACGTCTCGCATCTAGAAATCCCAGCCTGAGCATTGTCGCGCATAATATTGGGTTTATCTCGCATCTCTATTCAGCGATACTCTTGTTTTTCTGGGGTGGCCCCCCACGTACGTCGTGCGTCGTACGCGCCCAAAGGCTGGCCCGGAGACTTTATCGAAAAACCTAAAGGGCTTTTTAAAAGGAATCGAACTGTCCGATTTGCTGCTTCATCATAGAATTGACTTACCAACTCTCAGGTTATCAGCGAGATTTTGATTCCACGTAGCTGATCGCTGCCCGGGACTGTGTTACCAACGGAGGCTTAAAATTTACCGACACCTGTGAGCCAACGTCTATCTCGGTGGCATCGTCAGACCCCTTCCTGGGCTAATAGGCCTTGATTTTCTTTGTTAATGTTGATTGTGTCAACGATCCTGTAGCGATAAGATGTTGGTAACACGTGATACGGGATCCAGATCAGACTAGCAACTTAGAGGTATCACCATGTGTACAGAGTCCTCGGTCGAGCCTACTGCACACGGTGGAAAGAACTGGCGTAGTTGATAGTTTGGACGTGGGGGTTGTCGACAATTCATTTGTCGCAACAGTCGATACGTACTTTCGGCTTCCTTAACAAGTTGAAGGTTCGTAGCTAGCAACATGTACGATGAGCACATCAAAGTCAACGAGACCTACAGCCAGTTCGGAGCCTTCAACTGTTAATCCTACAACCGCTTTCGGATTTGCCCCCTGAAACGTGCAGGCCGCCAAAGTTACATCATGAGAAGTAGATTTGTTGAGGAACAATATAGATTCTCATAGTCTAGAAAAGGTCAGGGCGTTCTAGCTCTCATCGCTTGATTATATCCAGAGACATATCCCGAGGGACAACATAACCAGCTAGACAGCTTCTTTTGGTTGTCTCATTTCCTTACCAAATTTCTCTTCTTTGGGCTCTGCAACACCAGCCTCGCCTACCTACGACTGCCACCATACTCTGGGTGCCTTGCTAGGTGTGGCTTTGGTGGTGATCAGGCTTCCCGGTCAAGTTCGACAAACAAAGAGTCGAGCAATCCAACAATCGCGACCGCTGGTATCTTACATATTTAATCTCACGGTCCAAGATGGCAACGATATACGTACCTTCCCAAGAGGGGTCGACTCCGTTGTCGGAAATCTCTATCTGCAAGGAGGAGGCCAGCGCAGAACCAAGCATCCATGCCGTCGAACCAACTTATACCATCGAATCAACTTATGCCGTCGAAAAGATTGGGGAAATGGACAACGCCGGCTACGTCGCAACCTGGAAGCTTCGACTGAATCGACTGCTCCCGCTCAGCTCTGTGTGCGCAATCGCTGCATACTGGCTGTATTTCGCCTTTCGCGTTAGGTACACGGTGGCAGCGCAAGAGCTGAGGCATACAGTGTATCCAGTGGCCTGGCTCTTCATTTCTATTGAGCTCGGGGTTGCATGTAAGCCTCCTGATATTTTTCGCATTTTTTCCCATGGATGTCTGCTAATGCGGATATCCTATAGTACCAGTAGTGCTAACTCAACTGTTGCAATGTTTCTCGATCAAACCTCGCCGCCGCCCTAGACTGCGTGTCCTTGGAGAACATGTTCCTATGGTCGACGTTCTCATCACCTGCGCAGGTGAGGAAACTGTTGTAGTTCTTGATACACTTAGAGCAGCCGCTGCTATTGACTGGCCCCGCGACAGGATGCGTGTCGTAGTCTTGGATGACAAAGCATCTGAGGAAGTGCGACGGGAGGTGGAGCTTTTAGGCTTGGACAACCCAAGTATACATTATTCGGCAAGAAAAAAAACGAAGGGCGTACCGCACCATTTCAAAGCAGGGAACCTTAATCACGGATTAAGTTACGTTGACGGTCTCGAAGGAGAAAAAGCTGAGTATGTTGCTGCTTTGGATGCTGATATGATTGTTGAGAGAGCATGGCTCCGCGCTATCATCGCCCATCTCATAAAGGATCCTGGATTAGCATTAGCATGCCCGCCTCAGGTATGTCGAACCCTCATCAACACCTTAGGTGGTAGTAGTCTACTTCGTTTGGACATGCCCTACTCGGTGTCTTGACTAATCAGCAGTAGCTATTCTACAACATACCAAAGAACGATCCACTTTATCAAAACTTGGCGTTTTTCTTCGGCATTCTAGAAGGCGTAAAAGATGCCATTGGATCAGCTTGGTGTACAGGGTCTGGCTATGCCCTCCGTCGGACTGCTCTAGATCAGATCGGCGGGTTTCCCACCGGCTCAGTGGCTGAGGATGTTTTTTGCTCGAACTTGCTGCTCGGAGCTGGATGGAGAACATGTTACGTACAGGAACCTCTGCAATACGGGACGGTACCGGACTCATTCTCCGGCCATATCAAGCAGCGAGCACGATGGGTAAGCTTACATAATCCTAATATACGGTCGTTTTCGATTCCTGCTGACCATGATCAGACGATTGGGACCGTTCAGACCTCAGCGAAGCTTAACTTCTTTCTCTTCGGCCGAATTTGTCGAGGAATGAGCGTGCTTCACCGATTCACCGGATTCGTTTTTACTCTCGGTACCCTCTCAACAGTCTCCGCAATGGGTTCTCTCCTGATGTTTCCCATTGTGTTGGTATCTGGCTTTAGGCTCGTTGCGTACGCAGATAACGACCAATTAAGATGGCTCCTCCGACTCGCCTTCTTCTCTTTAGCTATCAACCGTGTAAATGAATGGGTCGCATTCGTGCCGGCTGGCTATCGTTTTGCCTGGCGGGGAAACCTCAATACGCTCTGGATGGCACCCTGTCAGTATTCTTGACTCATTCAGCATCCGTCCTTTACATGCAATCATCCCTTTACTGACAATTCTGTTCTGTGTAGATCACGGGGTTGCAATCGTCCGCTCATTCCTCCTCCCCGCCTTTCTCGGCGGAAAACTCGCCACCTTCTCCTCATCCGGCAGCATCGACTCCGTCATCAATGAACGCGATGCCCGCAACCGTGCCCCCCTGATGCGCCGCATAAAGGCAATTTGGTGGAACGGCGGAGCTTTCATCCACCTCTCCTATGTGTTCTTCACTGTCGGTGCCGCCGCTCTCTCTACCGCTCGCGCATTTACAACAACCCCAGATACCTACCAAGATCGCTTATTTTACATCCTCACCCATGCCGGTTGGCCTCCATTGGTTTGGCTTGTCGCTTCGGCGTCTTGTATGATTCCCATCAAATATGCAGTAAGCCCGCCTTCGATGCCTGATCGTGAGGATTTGCTGCGGAGGGACAAGGATACGGGAATTGCGCATCCGACCGACGGTGCGAAGCGGTCGAGGTGGGGCAAGACTAATTATTTGCATGAGGGCTTTTATGCCGTGGTGACAATTTACACGACGATTCTTTTCTTTGGAACCTGGTTTTATTAAGCAATGGGACAAGAGCGAGAGGCAAGAAGGTTTCTATGAATTGAAATTATCAGCGATCTATCTAATGATACAAATAGACTTGGAGGGGGGAGTTTTCTGCAAGGCATTATACAACATACACATTGGCCTTATTCCACCGTTCCACCATTCCACTACATTCAATCGCACCCACATCTAGGTCAGAGGGCCCGGGGCTATGGTACAATGGTCATTCAAACGGCGCTGTCGCAGTGATCGAAGAGTAGGACTGACCATTGCCGACCACTATGGCAGGGGCGGCTTGGCACAAATATGTCTGCCAAAGCTATACGAAATGTACCTCGATCTCACCCCTGATTAGTTCTAGGTCGATCGCCGCCCTATGGTCGCGCGACCTGGGTGAGCTGGGAAATTACACGCTTGGGCACATTACGAGCCACAGCACAAGTCTGAACGAGAGTGAAAACATCGTATCTTAAGATTAACTTTTTGCCAAGTGTTACAATAGATAGCTTGACCCAACTTCGATGAGGTAGAGGTAGCATTAGGTAGCGAGTAAAAGTAGCGGAGATCAGAATCGGGGGTATCCGAGGCTAGCCTCTAGTCACCCTTAACAGAATTACTTTTCAGAAATCGACAACACAATCCTTGATCACCGAATTTCCAGTTTATGGATTGCTCTACTCAACTAGTGACAGAGTTCTCTAACGAGATCCGTTCTAAGTTTATTCGACTCCAAAATTCGCCCCAGTGCTGGAAGTCTATGTATAGTATCAAGAGAGCCAGAATATCTTTGCAGTCTTTCACTTTCCACCCGTCTAAAGTCGAAGCTACAGCCTCGTGATAGAAGGCGCCTCTGGAATGTTTATATTTTGTTTTCAGATAGCGCATGGATAAAGTAGCATCGAAGGGTAGAGAAAGAGATTATCGTAAGATAGGAGAATACCGCAGAGTATCGTAGAAAAGAAGAATATTGTAGAGTAGGAGTATAATGTAGAGTAAATAGCTACCGCGGGGTAAGAGGGTACTGAGAGTACTATAGGGGCGAGTTCCGAATGACGGGGGGGTAGATTTCTTATAGCTTGTCGTACCAAGCAACGTCATCCTCCTCAATACATCGAGTCATATTTCAGGCAACAGCTCCCAAGATATGTCGCTGAGGCATGAGCGTCTACGGAAATGCAACAAAGATCATCTTCAAACATAAGCACTCTTTTGCAAGCATGGCATCCTCAATCAAGTCTGCTGATCTCGAGTCCTTCCAGAACCACCTCCGCTACTCAGACCGCGTACTAGCTCTATGCGGTGCAGGCCTCTCAGCTGCCTCTGGGCTGCCTACGTTTCGTGGCGCCGGCGGTCTATGGCGAAGCTACGATGCAGTCTCTCTCGCAACCCCGGAGGCTTTTGCCGAAGACCCTGGCCTGGTTTGGCAGTTCTACAGCTACAGACGGCACATGGCGTTGCAGGCACAGCCAAACCCAGCTCACTATGCTCTTGCTGAACTGGCCAGACGCAAGAGGGGCTTCCTAACCCTGAGCCAGAACGTTGATGGTGGGCAGAGTGTTGCACCAAGTACAATCTTTCAGCAGCTTATGAGTAATTCCAGGACTCAGTCAACGAGCAGGCCATCCAGCTTCGAAGCTTTGTCTCCTCCACGGGTCCTTGTTCGATGTCAAATGCACCGCGTTCTATTGCAAGCATGCAGAGTCGAACAATTTTACAGATCCTATAGCACCAGCGCTGGCAATTCCTAAGGGCGGGCCCTCACCGGCTCCTCTGGGAACAGCGACCTCGGGAGCCGGAGCCACAGACTCACTGCAACATGCCATGCACGGCGCGGGTTCAAAGCATCAATCAGGGAAAGAGCTGGACATATCGGATGATCGGGTTGAGATCCCAGAGCTTGATACCAAAGACCTTCCCCATTGTCCCGAATGCGGCAGTGGACTGCTTCGTCCTGGCGTCGTCTGGTTCGGAGAGATGCTACCCGAGAAGATTATCGAGGAGATCGACGATTTCATCGAGGAATCGAAGAAGATCGATCTGATCCTCGTCATTGGAACCAGTGCTAAGGTCTATCCTGCTGCGGGTTACATCGAAAAAGCTAGGGCAAAAGGCGCAAGAGTCGCAGTCATCAATATGGACAGGGCAGACACGGGCAGAGGAGGGTTGAAGAAGGGAGATTGTTTCTTCGAAGGCGATGCAGGTGCTATTCTCCCCGAGCTCTTGAAACTAGAGATTGGAGACATCTTGAACACAGAACACAAGGCGGGGCGTGGAGAGGACGGCGCATAAGGGGTTCCGTCCTACCAAGGAGAACTGGAAGCTGAGGTGGCCACGAATGGAATCTCATAGCGGCTGCCGATGTCCAGATCATATGGCTGGACTGCTGGCACAGCAGTATACCATGGGAGGAACCGAAAGAGCCTCCAACTCCGTCTGTCCTTTAAAAAGCGATTGTCCAATGGCATACAAATAGATTCACCTTAGGGTTTAAGCGAAAAGGCGGGGTTAGCATGCTTCCGACAATACGTCAAAAGCCAACAAAGAAATATCACTTCGGAAGTCTGTGCTTAAATCTCTTCTGCCCACGTCTTACGGTCCTCATCTGAAGCAATCCAGGCCACTTACCATACTTGCGGACCAAATCCGGTACGTTTGGAACGCCCTGACTTCGGGTGTTTGACCCTTTGACTACCCACTGAACTTCAAACGCCATAATCCAACGTGGCTGGGTCGAGAAATCTGGTTCCGACTTCTGCCGATTATGCTTCAAGGCTGTGGAGCTAATGTGAGGTTCAGATACATACAAAACAGCCGCCATGCCCTCAAAAGAATTAGAAAACATTAATCGTCCTCGAACTCCACTCGCCACAGACTTTACAGCGCAACAACGGCAGAAACAACTAGGCAACAACTACCATTCCAGCTCACTCGCCAGAATGATCAATCCGAACAGCGTCAACAAAACAAGTCTTCATCCCGGTGGTGTTGAGTAAGTCTGTACTTTCTCTTTAATTCCAACTGTATTCAGAAGAGCTCCCACTAATCCATAGACTCCCTTAGGCCACAGCGCGAGCACACTGAGATCGAGGAAGAGCTCCATGAAGTGGCTCATATTGACTACGACCGCGTCTCCATTGTGAGCCATTTCTCCTACAAGATCCCCGAGTCCAGAACTGAAACATCATAGATCGCCAATCCCTCTGTCGCAGCCTTGTATGAAGATGCCTTGGTGTATGAAACAGGCTCAGCCATCACCTCAACGGGAGCTTTGACCGCATACTCAGGGGCCAAGACCGGCCGTTCACCCCTCGACAAGCGTATCGTCAAAGAAGAAGGCTCTGAGAAGGAAGTCTGGTGGGGTCCGGTCAACAAGCCGATGTCACCTCAGGTCAGTACAATATTTTCTTTGCGACTCGGCATTTGAAGATGGATGAGCGGGTTTTGTGGAACGGGATTGCCTCGGCATAGCAACCCCGCTACAAGTCACGTGTCTCTAGAACCCCGGATGTCTGACAATCAAATATCAGGTCTGGAGGATCAACAGAGAACGGGCTGTTGACTACTTGAATACCCGCAATCGAATCTATGTCGTCGATGGCTATGCTGGCTGGGATGAGCGGTACCGGATCAGCGTTCGAATTGTTTGTGCTCGAGCGTATCATGCACTCTTCATGCGCAACATGCTCATCCGGCCATCGAGGGAAGAGCTACAGCATTTCCACCCAGATTACACGGTCTACAATGCAGGCTCATTTCCAGCCAATCGATACACGACCGGGATGAGCTCGTCCACTTCTGTTGCTATCAACTTTGCCGAGAAGGAAATGGTTATACTAGGGACTGAGTATGCTGGCGAGATGAAGAAAGGCATATTCACGGTGTTGTTCTACGAGATGCCTGTGAAGCACAACGTATTGACTTTGCACTCTTCTGCCAACCAAGGTAAAGACGGCGATGTTACAGTCTTTTTCGGTCTATCTGGAACAGGAAAAACGACACTATCTGCAGATGCCAAGCGTGCCCTGATCGGTGATGACGAGCACTGCTGGAGTGATACAGGTGTATTCAACATTGAAGGTGGCTGCTACGCCAAGTGCATTAATCTCTCGGCTGAAAAGGAACCGGACATCTTCAATGCGATCAAGTTCGGCTCCATCCTAGAGAATGTTGTCTTCAGCCCTGAAACACGAACGGTTGACTACGATGATGCCACATTAACCGAGAACACTCGTTGCGCGTACCCAATTGAGTACATTGAGAACACCAAGATTCCTTGTGTATCCGACAACCATCCCTCCAACATTATCCTCCTCACTTGTGATGCTCGTGGTGTCCTACCGCCTATCTCTAAGCTAAACACTGAGCAAACCATGTTTCACTTCATCTCTGGCTACACATCAAAGATGGCTGGCACGGAGGACGGTGTCACCGAGCCCCAAGCGACATTCTCTTCTTGCTTCGCTCAGCCATTCTTAGCTCTGCATCCCATGCGTTATGCCAAAATGCTAGCTGATAAAATCGCGCACCACAATGCTAATGCATGGCTGCTGAACACTGGTTGGGTAGGAGCTGGTGCCACGACTGGTGGCAAGCGTTGTCCGTGAGTCTCACTCTGCCCACTTTTGGCATAAGGCGTGCTGATGAGCACAGATTGAAATACACACGGGCAATCCTCGATGCCATCCACTCAGGCGAGCTTGCCAAAGCTAAGTTCGAGACATACGAAACTTTCAATCTCCCCGTACCGACATCTTGCGTCGGTGTTCCCTCTGAGCTACTCAACCCGGCGAAATCCTGGACAGGAGCGGCTGACTTCAAAGAGGAAGTCACGAAATTGGGGGGTCTGTTCGTTGAGAACTTCAAGAAATATGCTGATGAGGCGACCGACGAGGTCATCAAAGCCGGCCCTCAAGTTTGAGCTATCGAAGTTTTGTTAGCCTGGATAGTGCCATGTACCAGATATAATCTAGCAGGAATGGCGATTTGGTTTTTTGAAAGGCATACTACAGGCTGGAAGACTGGATAGAGTACGAGTACAGAGAGCCGCTGAAGCGGATGGCAGCGAATGCATGTAAATACAAAGTCACTGTAGCATAAATACTTCGTAGTGAGCTTTGGTACTTTGCTTGTGAGCACCATACTTTTGATGAAAAACTCTGTTATTCCCTTACCGCTCTTCTGGGGCTTATAGCGCTCTGTGGGTCTTGAAGATCGAGAGGACTGCTATTGTAGGTCGAGGACCGTCCTATACTGAAGGTTAGCCGACTTCTGCCGAAAACAACGACCAGTGTTCAGACAATCAGCGAACAAAGCTTTTACCTTGGGTCTTCGATGAAACCGAATATTGAAGAGGCACCATACGATTTTTCTGTCCATCTGGACCTCACGAGGGATCGAAGCACCTGCCAAACCATGCGCTGGAGTGAATCGCTAGGCAAAATCTACCTCATCTGGCTGCGATTTCCGCCCATGTGGTATGGCGCTTTGCTCTTTCCCTAAGAAATTCCAGTACGGCCGAATTGGGCAACTACGGCATTGCAGTTGATATAGAGACCGGGGCACCGATGTTTACAGAGATCTGAGGCTGATCGCCGCAATGGATTCAGATTGGCAAGAGGTATCTTTAGACTTCTTAGTATTTCGTAAGAGGACAGGGCAGTTCACGCCGTATTATCTGAAAAAATCGGGACTCTGCCTTTTCACTCAACGACTGACATCCCTCAAATACAAGGTCCGACAGATACAGCTTTCTCCGCCAGAGCTCAACCAATATGCGCATATTATCGCTACAATTGCATTCGACACTCATCAAGAATTGTTATGGGTTGGAGATGATTATGTGAGACTTCCTGTCAATCAGTGCTGGTGCAATGACTTCTGATACGGGAGACGATCAACGATAGGGACGTGTTAGTTCGTACTATGCCTCGCAGCTGGAGAAGTACACTTCGCTGCAAGCTCATCTAGTGAGCGAAGGTCATGTCGAGCAGTTTTTGTTCAATGAGAGGGGAATCATCTCTCTAGCTTCGCGAAGTGTGCATTTTATGAATCGGCGGTGTTTGACCCAATGGCATATCGAGTCTGTCCATGTCAACGAGCATCCCACCGCCACCACTAACATTCATACAGAGAAAATGCTATGCGGAAGCTTTGCTGCATGAGTTTTCTTCGCAAAGACAGCCCGCTTATCCTGGTCGCTGGATGTCAGGGAACCATGTACAAGATCGATGTGGAGAAGGGTCAGGTCGTTGAGGAGATCCCTACAAATGCAGATTACACTATGATGAAGGTGTCCCGCTATATCTGCGCAGCAACAAGCACAGGCTCCGTTGACTTTCTGGATCCAGGGACTCTTAAAGTGGTCAAGACATGGCAAGCTCACTCCTCGAAAATCAACAGCATGGATGTCAAAACGGACTACCTTTTAACATGCGGCTGGTCTACGAAATCATACGGGGCTCCACAGCTTGATCATATTGTGAAGATCTTCGATATCAAAAATTTGGAGGTGCTTGCGCCCATTCCTTTTCCCGCTGGAGCCGCTTTTGTGCAGATACACCCTAGGATGTCAACAACCACTCTTATCGCTTCACAGCATGGGCAACTGAATCTTGTAGACTTTATGAACCCGGATAACGCCGCCGTGCTACATGTACAGCTCATGAGCGTTGTGACCTCGATGATGATCTCACCGTCTGGCAACGTCTGGGCGGTCGTGGACCAGGATAATGCTATACACCTTTGGGGTTCTCCTGAGAAGCTACAATTTACTGAAGTTCTCAACCCTACTGAATTTGCGGACGACGTGGTGCATGTACGTCCAATGGGGCAACGGCCGATGGGGGTGGATGACGACTTGTATTTTCCAATCTTTCCGCCGAACAAATATGTATTGACTGATTCGTTTCCTTTGCAGTCCACTCAATATAATAGGTATGCCTTTCTATCGCGAGAGGCTTCTGTCTGCCTGGGGCAATGAACGATGCCTTGAAGTTGGAAAGCCTCCTGCCGTGGTTGACCCAGACATCGTCAAAAATCTGCGACCGAATCCTGGAGGCATTGGCCAGATCGCTCCAAACCCTCGAAAATTATTCAGAAACCAGGTTGAAGGATTGAAATCCGCAGACACCAATGGTACAGTTTTTGCTGCACCGAAGTTGCTGAGTGAGAAGGCTCGTGACTCGAAGGTGACCCCCAGTAACGACAGTCCTACCAGTGGCGCCGCAGAAGCACTGCTTGATACTGCGTTGTCAGACAACACCAAAGCGGACGTACCCAATTACTACGCCAATTTAACCATCAAATTCGGCCCTAGACTTGGAATTGAGGATTTTGATTTCAAGTATGTCTGTTGAATCAACCATATACTTCTGACTGAATCTAGGGCAGGTACTACAACAAGACCTGCTATTCCGGGCTGACAAATAACAACATGAATTCCTACCTAAACCCTTTGCTTCAATTATTTCGTTTCACCCCTGTCATTCGCAACATCGCCTTGCATCATGCCGCAGGAAGCTGTATCCAGGATTGCTGTATGCTCTGCGAAATAGGCTTCCTCTGTGATATGTTGGAAAGATCACGCGGAAAATGGTGTCAGGCTACGAACTTTCTTTTGGCCTACCGCAGTCTACCGGAAGGTATGCGTAATGTAATGAAAAGAAACTGTAGCAAGCTAACAACCCATCCGTACTCAGCCGCCCAGCTCCATATTGTAGAGGAAAGCTCCCCGCAGAACACGTTGGACGTGAGGATCTCAATTGCCAACCGGTTCCTCTTGCAGCAGATCTGTCGAGACTCTCGCAGAGCGGATCTTTATGATTCCACTCTTGACCAGGTGCGTTGCCTATGCCGTACTGTTCCTCTTGCTTAATTCGCATACAGGCTTTTATCACGAACGGTCTCCTTACTCTTCGCTGCCTCAACTGCAATCATGAGACCTTCCGCCATGATGCCTCACATGTCACTACTCTGACCTACCCGGACTTAGTATGTACAAGCCTTCTCCGAATTGTTTCTGCACGACTTCGAGTATTGACGAATATAGAATGCTATTGGCAGGAGTCGGGGTCCCTTCCCGAAGTTCTCGGACGTACTTAGCCTAGGCTTCCAGAATGAATCACAAACCAAAGGATGGTGCCAACGATGTCGACGATATGCACCGTTAGCTAGCCGACGAACAATAACTGATGTTTCGCCTATTCTCATGATCAATACAGGCTTAGACAAGAGCCCAAAGAACAAGCAGTTTTGGGCCAAACCCCATTGGCTACCGCAAGAGATAGGAATCACCATCGAAGGTGGGAACATGAGGGTCCTCGAAGGCGAGAGTTTGCAACCCTTCCGATACCACAGATCCACCGTTGTCTTTGAGCTCGTGGGATTAGTGGCCGACGTCACAAGCGCAGACCGACAAGAGTCCCATCTCGTTTCGATTGTCAACGGTATGTGGCGTGCAAAATAGCTCGAACTTTCGAGGCTTACCACTACTATAGTCACCGTATCAGAAAGGAGTCCTCGAGAGATCGGCAATCATTGGCATCTTTTCAATGACTTTCTAGTCAGGAAGGTCGGACAGGACGAAGCACTTGAGGTCACGCCATGGAAGTCTCCCGTCATTCTTACTTATCAAGTACGACACGCCCGACACAACATCGACGATTCGTGGAAAGATTCTCTCGACTTAAGCTGTCTGTACTACAATGGCTCCTTGAAGTGAGATAGATGACTGATGCTCTCTCTTCGTTCAATCTTACTGATTTCACTAGTATCTTTAACAGCCGTGAAGCATTTACACTGAAACCTGGTGTTGAGGTTCCAGAATCAGGCACTCACGTTGCCATCGACGCTGAATTTGTAATCTTAGTCCGCGAGGAGATCGAGCTTACAGCCAACGGCAGCCGAGTCACCACCAATCCTAAGCGCAACGGTCTCGGTCGTGTATCAGCCCTCAGAGTCGGCGGAGAAGACGAAGGAATCCCTTTCATCGATGATTATATAACCATCAACGAACCGATCGTGGACTACGTCACTCAATATTCCGGCATCGGAGAGGGGGACCTGGACCCGCGCCGCTCGAGGCATGCGCTGGTGAGCCTCAAAGTCGCGTACAAGAAGCTTTGGCTGCTGCTCAATCTCGGCTGCATATTCGTGGGACATGGCTTAGGTAAAGACTTCCTTGAAGTCAACATTCATGTGCCCAAAGAGCAAATCATTGACACAGCCGACCTTTTCCTGCAACGAGACAACCCGCGCCGACTGAGACTGGCCATGCTGGCCGAACTTTTGCTGCGAGAAGAGGTACAGAAGGGCAACCACGACAGCATCGAGGATGCACGCACTGCGCTGGGTCTATGGCGCAAATACCAAGAGTTCGAGGACGCTGGGATCGTGGAGCAGATTGTCAACAAAGCGTATCGTGACGCGCGAAAGACGGGCTATGTACCACGGTGGGAGTACGAGGCGGCTCTTGCTGGAAAGCAAGAGGGAAACGCTGGCGTGGGAGGGGGAAGCGCTGATATGATACTGTTGGGTGGAAGAGTCAGCCCGGAGATGGGGATGGCGGCAGGGAGTGGCACCAGTGGAACAGTGACGCCTGCCCGGAGAGGACGGCAGGGTGGGGAGAGTGAGGGGAATGGGTATTTTGAGCGTCCATTGAAGTGAAAGACGCAGAGGAAGGGGAGGACCAGGAGTGAGTGTCAATGTTGCGAGGCAGGTGGAGAATAGACAGGAAAGTGACGGTTCTTGAATATTAGCATGTGGTCACTCCATCATCCTCCACCCTTTCGCTTTCCGAGATTGAACATTTCTCCCCGAATCTGGATTTGTTCGACCGTGTCAAGGAGAAGGTTTAGTTTCGGTATTGCCACTGAAGCTATTCCCGGCTGGCAGGCCAGATCTCGATGGCGCACACCGGAGGATCAGCAGACCTGCAGGGTGCACGGAGCCGATGATATCCGCCGGCCGCCAAGACACGTGACCCGCACTGGTTACCCCATGTACACAGGCAGCCTTACCGAGCAGTACGGTAGTAGTGGCACGCCTGTCAGCGGAGAGGGGCGACTGAGTGGTGGAGCGGGCCAGACTCGCAGCAGTCGGAAGCCTATCCTTGTGGAGTGGGGACTTTCTGGACCGTTTGGCGTAAGCAAGCACGAGTAAGGGTAATTCATTGGTGCAGTGGACGGAGACGCACGAACCCCTTGGTGACATCCGGGGCATTGTTTTATCTCTGCTGCTGATCTGATCATCTTTGACATGAGTGACAAGTCTCCGCTTCCTCAGAATCCAGACCTCATTATTCTTACTTTCATTTTGGAGCCACGAGATGATCCTTTTAGTACTCTTGCTATAACCCATTCACTAACTTCTCCAAGACAACAAGCGTTCTTGAAAATGCGAATTCCTTTTTTCCGTCGTCGTCATGGATGAGATTCCACCCTCCCGGACGGCAATTAAAATACGCTGGATTGACATTGGCATGAACTAAGGATTTTCGCCACGGAATACAGGGATATAGGTATGAGTAAGAGATCGACGTTACTCGTAAAGTCAAGTAAAGTAAAGTAAAGTAAAGTAAAGTAAAGTAGGTGCGGGGCATGACTTCTCCACTAGTGCTTCACTAGCCTTACAGGCACAAAGCTGATGCATGCAGAAGAAGCTAAGACAAACTCTTCTTCTTTGTCCACCAATAATGAGAAAGCATATCTCCTTATCCTACCAGAACTTGACAGCTTACTTAACGGTACTTGTTCAGCACATGATGATTCCCGAATGATTCTCTCCATCCCTTGTCCAATCGCTTTTCACTCCTCACACTTTAGCTAACAATCTACTTTTCACTTGTCTCCAATCACCTGCTCACACCTCCACACTTCAACATCCCCCCCGTTTGCAGCGGGAAGCAGAAAGCAGAAAGGTCAGAAAGTGAAGTACTATAAATCAACCATCTCCACATCCCCAGTATTCCATCCTCGACTACTACTACTACTGACCCCTCACTTTTCCTTCCCTCTATCTTCTCCTTCTTCGTCTCTTCATCTCTCTCTCTCTCTCTTTCTCTCTCTCCTCTTCCACTCTCCTTGATTGCCAGCCAGCAGCAGCTAGTCACGCTGTGAGGCATCTCATTCCACCCACTCACCAATAACTACATCGACCACTCATCGAGCAACAGGACCGCCACCATGCCGGGAGGAGTTGTAGGCCTCGTCGCCACGGCCGACACAGGCCGGATCGAGGCCCCCGTCACCCTCAAAGCCTACATGATGTGTGCCTTCGCTGCTTTCGGTGGCATCTTTTTCGGCTACGACTCGGGCTACATCAACGGTGTCATCGGCATGAATTACTTCGTTCACCTCTACACCGGTCTTGACCCCAACGACCCTCGATTCAATGCCAAGACCGGGTCCGATCCCGGTGGCTTCGCGCTGCCCTCGTGGGAGAAATCTCTCATTGTCTCCATTCTCTCGGCCGGCACATTCTTCGGGGCCCTCATGGCGGGTGATATCGCCGACTTCACCGGTCGACGCACGACAATCATCTTGGGCTGCATTGTCTTTATCATCGGTGTCATACTACAAACCGCCTCGTCCACCTATGGACTGCTGGTTGCCGGTCGTCTCGTGGCCGGTTTCGGGATCGGCTTCGTCTCTGCCATCATCATCCTCTACATGTCAGAAATTGCCCCGAAGAAGGTTCGCGGTGCCATTGTGTCGGGATACCAATTCTGCATCACCATTGGCCTGCTCCTCGCCTCTTGCGTCGATTACGGCACGCAGAATTACACCACGACCGCCTCCTACCGTGTCCCAATCGGTCTACAAATGCTCTGGGCCATCATCCTGGCCACCGGTCTCTTTTTCCTTCCCGAATCACCCCGTTATTTTGTCAAGCGAGGCAAGATCGACCGTGCTGCCGATGTGCTCGGCCGTCTGCGTGGCCAGCCTCGCGATTCGGAATTCGTGCAGACGGAACTTGCTGAAATCGTCGCCAACCACGAGTACGAGTTGCAAATGATACCCCAAGGCAGCTACTTCACCAGCTGGGCCAACTGTTTCAAGGGCTCCCTCTGGGTACAAAAGAGCAACCTACGCCGCACCATTCTCGGGACATCGCTCCAGATGATGCAGCAATGGACCGGTATCAACTTCATCTTCTACTTCGGCACCACTTTCTTCCAGCAGCTGGGCACGATCAGCAACCCCTTCCTCATCGGTCTGATCACCACTCTCGTCAACGTCTGCTCGACCCCAATTTCCTTCTATACCATTGAGCGATTCGGACGCCGTACGCTCTTGGTCTGGGGCGCGTTGGGCATGGTGATCTGTGAGTTCATTGTTGCCATCATAGGGACTGCGGACGGAGGCAATCCGACGACCGTCAAGGCCGAAATCGCATTCATTTGCATCTACATCTTCTTCTTCGCCTCTACGTGGGGTCCTGGTGCCTGGGTTGTTGTAGGCGAGATCTACCCTCTGCCAATCCGCTCCCGCGGTGTCGCCTTGTCAACTGCCTCCAATTGGCTGTGGAACTGCGTAAGTCATCTCCAGCCATCATCGCCGTTCTTCTTCCCAGTGCTAACATGATTTTCCACCAGATCATCTCAGTCATCACCCCCTACATGGTCGACAAGGACGAAGGCAATCTAGGCCCCAAAGTGTTCTTCGTCTGGGGCGCCCTCTGCGTCTGCTGCTTCATATACGCGTACTTCTTGATCCCGGAAACCAAGGGTCTTTCCCTTGAACAGGTGGACCGTATGATGGAGGAGACCACACCCAGGAACTCAGCCAAGTGGGTGCCGCACAGCACCTTCGCCGCGGAGATGGGTCTCACGGATAAGGGAACACTGGCGCCGGAAATCGTGGAGGATGTGGAGAGGAAGGGAAGTGTGGTTTGATCGGTCTGCAGGGGATGGTGCGGCTGGGGTACATAATGGGAAAGGATGACGATCGGGATGGGTGGATAGGATCTTTGTCGATATAGCTCTTCCAAATCCATCTTATCATCTGCCACATGAATATCTACCACCAACGCCTCCCCTGCTTTCCCTTCCCTCCCCTCTCCTTCCCATCATCCTCACCCAGCGCAAATCCAACCCGCACACCTCCATCCTTCCCCCCTCCCTATTCCCTTCCTTCATTCCCCAAGGAAAAAATCATCATCATATCCCAACCCAACCCAACCCAATCCAGCCTCACCACACCACACGACCACAAACGATGATGAATGGATAGATCCGATACCATCCACCTACCTACACAGTACAGCAACGACCTACATCGCACGCGCCGTGCCGATTCATCGATCGCTCTCGTATCGGCGACGATGACACTTTGCTGATGGGTGCGACGGAAGGAAGGGAGGGAGGGGGGAAAGGATTCCGGGTGTGCGATATTGTAAAGGGGAAGGGGGGGAAAAAAAAAAGGGTAGTTTGTTGGAAAGGGAAGGGAGTTTATGTAAATTCTATGCTACGACAACATAATTGTCCAAGAAGAAAAGAGCAGCTGTGCATGGAGGCGAGCGTGCCCGGTGTTATGTGCATTATGGGGACGCCCATAGGATCAGCTCCTTTAAGATCGCCTCCCCTTCTCGGCGCCCCTTACCGCAGCGCGATATAGAATATTTCAAGGCTTCTCCTGACGCCAAAGATCAAGCAGACTTCTCATTGTTGTTTGTCGCCACCCTCGAGACCCTCGACGCCGCCGTCTGCGTTCTCGACATATCGACCGGCGCCTCTTCTTGAACTTTCTGCTTCCTCGGAACCCTAGCATACCAATACAGCCCCAATGCGGCGAAAACGTTGAAGATGATGTACGCCCACATGATCCCAAAATTGCGCCATCGGGTCGAGTATTGCGAGCTGAGCTGTGCCAGGTAGACATTGGTGCTGGCAGCGGAGCAAAACTCGCAATTCGCCGTGGCGTCGTCGTTGGTGAGGTAACCACCTGTTTGGTTTATATAGGTGGACATGTATTGGCCGCATGTTTGGCCGGGGGAAGGGTTAAATTTGACGAGTTCAATGGAGGAGCAGACGATGGCGTTATTGGCCAGGCCGGTGGAGAGCATGCCGTCAATTAGGTAGGTGAAAGGGGATATGCGGTACATGAAGATCCAGAAGCCTGGGAGAGCGGTGGGACCGGCGAGGACACTGGAAGGGTTGTCAGTAATGGGTTTCAGGAAGGCAGTGAAAGGATCTGAGGCTTACCCGCTGAAGATCAATGTCAAAGAGAAGAGCAGCTGGGCGACATTGCCGGCGGTCTCCGCCGAGTCCATACCAGCTATGACCATGTCGGTGAAGGTTGAAGTGAAGAGCAGGAAAACCCAGACAAAGAGGAACATCAGCCCCCCTCGTTCGTGGACTTGATGGTCGGGGATAGCATTTTTGTACATGCCAATCGGATAGTAGAAACAGAAGAAGATGATAATGGCCATCAAAGTGTTCCATGGCAGCTCGACGATTATGTTGGACAGCATGAAGACTTTCCATGAATACGTCTTGGATGGTCGCTCTCTGACCTCGTAAAGAGAGCGCTGGGTGACGAAGTGGGGCATTATCTGCTGGACTAGATTGCCGAAAATGGTCATCAACATGAAGATGGAGAACAGCTGGTTTTGGAGTCCCTGGAGACTAATGGCAGCATCCCAGAACGAGAAGCCGATGAAGAGCCCCGAGGCCGCGCAAAGAAGAGTCTTGGAGTACAGGTAAGAGGGCGTCCGCCAGTACTGTTCGAATACACGCTTGGTAACGGCGTATAGCTGAACGTTGAAAGGCTCGGCGAATTCGCGCAATGCTGTTGGATCCTTGTCAGCTGGCTCCTTGGAGAGCCTCTGCTTCATGTCTGCAAGCGTGTCTCTGATAGCCTGCTTCTCAGGCGAGTCTCGCCATTCTTGAGGCCAGTCAATCGTATTTTGTGACCCTGGAGCCGCACCGATGACATCCAACATCCATTCGGCAGGGTTTTCCTCAACGCCGCACTCCCTTGACCCATTGCGCTCGAAGTAGTCAGTCAAAGTCTTCGAACTGTGTCCTATGTCTCCAAAGTAAACGGTCCTACCGCCACTTGCAAGGAACAGCAAACGATCAAATTCCTGAAAGAGGACTGCCGAAGGTTGGTGAATAGTGCATAGAACGGCTTGGCCATTGCTTGCCAACTTCCGAAGCAATTTGCAAATATCCCATGCAGTCTGGGAGTCGAGGCCAGAAGTCGGCTCGTCAAGGAACAGAAGCAACGCAGGCTTCGCAGCCATCTCGACTGCGATGGTGAGTCGTTTGCGCTGTTCAACGTTGAGTCCCTCGCCGGGAACACCAACAATGGCGTCGGCATAAGGACCCATCTCCAAGACCTTGATCACCTCGTTGACGTATTCGAGCTTTTCCTTCCTTGGCGTGGTTTTCGGCTGTCGCAGTAGGGCGCTGAAGTTCAAAGCTTCGCGAACAGTAGTTGTGGCAAGGTGAAGATCCTGCTGCTGAACATAGCCGGTTTTTCGCTGGAAGCCACTATCTCGTTGACGTCCATTGACTAGCATCTGTCCGCTGACAACGCCCATGGTGACACGACTGGCCAGTACATCCAACAACGTTGTTTTGCCCGCTCCTGAAGCTCCCATCAAGGCCGTCAAAGTCCCAGGCTTTACCCAGCCATCTACGTCGTCAAGCAACCTTCTTGGTTCGCCTTTGATCTTGATGTCATAATTGACAGCTTGCCAGTGGAAGATGGCCGTCTGCTTTTGAATGCTCGGAGGGACATCACCACCTGACAGGGTCTTCTCAGCAATAGTGCCCTGAGCCGTGGGGCGATCATCAACATTGCCCTCTTCGTCGCCATTCTTTGCTATGGCAGGGGTTTGACCACGACGGAACAGCAACACTTCACCCTTTGAGCGTTGAGATGAGATGAACTCCGTAGCTGTTAGGTACATGGCGCAAAAGCCTATCATCATTGCGAAGATGATACCGAGATTCCTCCACAGATGTGAATGGTAGTACGCATAGCTGGTGTTGATGTAAGTGTCTCCATTGACATAGCTTTGTCCGGCAACGGAACCCACGGTGCTACACACACGCTGGTCCGGGGCAACGCCGTTGTAAGCATCACCTGAGGGTATGAAATTGGTGCATGCAAATTGGCGGTCGTGGAACTCATTGATCATCAAGGCTTCGAAAGCGTACGCCACTGGATCTAAGTAGTTGATCCAGCGGAACCAAGGATGCATGTCTATTACAGGGACCACGAAGCCAGTGTAAACGACCAAGGCCAAGATGAACACGGCAGCAGGAGCCATAGCCTGCGCGAGAGTGCGTGACAGAGCTCCGATGGTGCGGAACACCATGGACATTGTCAAGGCTACCACGAAGGAGAACAAGTAGTAGATGAAGAAGGCCGACGGAGTCCTTCGCAGGTTGGTCAGGAAGTAAAGTGTGAGGTTGAAGAAGATCGAAGTGATGATTTTTTCAGGCAAACCGACGATTATTCCCGCAATCGCTTCTGACAGTGGATGATAGAAGGCGTACTTGCTTTGCTTCTCGACGATTGGCCGTTGCCCATAGAGCGTAAGAATCTCGAGAAAACTGCTGAAGGCGCTAAGCAAGATGGCGAAAAAGAGCAAGGCGCTTCGATAGTAGAAGCTGCCGGTGTCGGGTTGAAGGTTATAGAAGACACTGCCGACTATCAAAGCCATGACAGAGTTGCCGAGGACGCCGGACAAGAACAGACTCATGTCTCCTCGAAGCCGCTGAAATCCTCGACCCATGCAGAGTTTGACCTGCATGGGCAAAGAGAGAGTGTACGGGGATTTGACGCGCTGCCTCTTCGCCTGCGCTGCTTTGCGAGAGACTTGGAACTTCTGCACCTGCTCGCCGCCCAAGGGGAATTCCCGCTCGAAGTTCGCGATATCTTGCAAAAGCCGAGCTCGGGCGTCGCTATTCTGCCAGGCGGCCGCAAATTCATCTGGCGTCCTCGGAACGCGATGCTCAAAACCCGCTCGAACAACTCGTTCGCCTGGATTGGTCAACGACGTGAGAAAATCTCCGGTGGTAGCTCTTTCGGTGCAATGGAAGCCCATGTTTACAAAGTACTCCTTTGCGGCGGTGGTGTGGCCGAAGTAGATTTGGCGACCCTCGTACAGAACGACCACCTTATCAAATATGTCGTAGATGCTTTGGGAAGCTTGGTATATAGCCACTGCAGCAGTCGATCCTGCCAGGCTTGTTGACAACCTCAAAGTTTTCACGAATTCGAGAGCAGTGGCGCTGTCCAGGCCACGGGTACTGTTATCCCAGCACTGGAGAGGACTGCCGCCGATTAACGCCTCGGCAATACTGACTCTTTTCCTTTCCCCTCCGCTGACCCCGCGGACAAAATCATTGCCAACCCTGGTGTTGTAGGTATGTGAGATGCCGAAGACTGCCATGATGACTTCCGTCATATGTTCGGCGTATTGCTTACGAGTGACCCCTGGGATCCGATTGCGTGGAGCCCTCGCTTGGGCTGCGAAGTTGAGGGTTTGTCCAACAGTCAATTGGGGAAAATGGACGTCGACTTCGGCTTGGTACATGCATTCGCCCCGAAAGTCCTTATGCATCATTTCCTTGGGAATTCCCTGATAATTGATCTCCGATTTTTCATCGATGAAGAAGCCATGAGTTTCCCCAGATATGGTCTTGAGTAGCGTAGAGCATCCGGAGCCGGGACGACCAAGGACAACCAACATCTCTCCACTGCGGACCAGTCCTTCAAAGTTCCGCAATATCTGAATCTTCGTCTTGCCTCGTCCCGTGAGTTTGTTAAAGATGGAGCCGATCTCGAGAGGATAATTGCCGAATGTCCTGGAAGAGGATCGGATTAGCTAGTGATGATTGAATACATTTGTCCTCAACATACTTTTGGTAATCCGTAA